GACCAAGGGTGAATGGCCAGAGTCTTGGAATCGCCAACACTGCAGTATGTTAGTAAAAGCTTCGAAAGGAGAGCCACCTCGGGAATGGGAAGGAGTCATACTTGGCAAGGTTCGAGATCAACTTGAAGTTGTCAACTACCTGAGCACCAGCGGCAGCGCCGCCCTTGATGCCCACAGACAGCACACCACCAAAGCCGCGGGGCAGGTACTTCTTTGCGAGACCGTGACTAGGGTGATCCTCCAGACCGGGGTATGACACCCAGCTCACATTCTCGTTCTTCTGCAACCATTTAGCCAGGGCGATGGCGTTAGTTGCATGTCGCTCGCAGCGCAGACTCAGAGTCTCCAGGCCGAGGATCAACTGCTGGGCACCGAAGGGGTTCAGGGCAGAACCGAGGTCGCGCAGGATCTCAACGCGCACTCGAATAGCATAAGCGAGGGAGCCAAAGGTCTCCCAGAACTTCAACCCGTGGTAACCCTCGGATGGCTCGACGAATTGGGGGAACCGGGCAGCGTGCTTGCCCCAGTCAAACTTTCCACTGTCAACCACGACTCCAGCAATGGTGGTACCATGTCCACCGATCCACTTCGTAGCACTGTGCACGACAATGTCGGCACCGTGGTCAATTGGGCGGACAAAGTAGCCGCCTGCACCAAAGGTGTTATCAACCTAGAAGTAAGATTCATGAGCTTTGCATCCTGGCACACACGTTTCAAACAAACAACATACCACAACGGGAACACCCTTCTCGTGTGCAGCCTTGGCAATGGCCTCGAAGTCAGGAACATTATAGCGGGGGTTACCAATAGACTCAATGTAGACAGCCTTGGTACGGTCATCAATGGCCGCAGCAATGTCCTCAGGCTTATCACCTTGAACGAACTTGGTAGTAATTCCCATGCGCGGGAACATGACCTTGAACTGGTTGTAGGTGCCACCGTACAGGTTGCTGGTGGAGACGATGTTGTCTCCGGCATGGGCGAGGGCCGAGATGGCCATGAATTGGGCTGCCTGGCCAGAGGAGGCAGCAACGGCAGCAACACCACCTTCCAGAGCTGCAATGCGCTTCTCGAAGACGTCGACTGTTGGATTCATGATTCGGCTGTAGATGTTGCCGAACTCCTTGAGGCCGAAGAGCCTCGCGCCGTGGGCGGAGTCATTGAACACATAGGAGCTAGTGGCGTAAATTGGGACAGCGCGTGAGTTTGTGGTTGAATCGGGTTCGTGACTTGAGATTGTTAGAGTTGTCTTTGAATTGGATCGGACACTTACCCAGCATGAAGCTGTAGAGTGTCGAAGTGGAGATTCTCGGACATGGTTCTGAAATGCGGGGAAGCTATCAGAATAGATTTTGGACAACAGTCAAACAGTGGGATTCCTGGGATTCTTAAGATGAAATTGAAGAAATTGGAGAAATTCAAAAAAAAAGAAGGTCAAAGGGGAAAAAGGACGGGAGAAGAGGGACGCTCTAACATTGGGGGGTTTGCAAATGGCGTGATTTGGGGGGGATTTTTATACTCCACAAATGTTCCTGCATTCCAAGGTGGGATATATAGTCCCTATATACACTATATCCATCCCAGTAATTATTCTGATTCCCTATACCAGCCCTATTTTCAAGTCCAAAAAAAAAGGAGAATAAAAAAAAGAACAGTCTACAATAGTGAGGACTCCAATAACTCACCGCGGGTGTTGCCGCAGTGAGTTTATGGCGACTCTGTCGATCAGTCAGAAGAATACGAATCACCCTAAGTCGCCCGAAAAATGCCAAAGGCAAGAAGAGAGAAGCTATCTAGACAAGATGCTGATTAGAAGGGGGAGGTGCAGAGGCCATCAATATTACCTGGTGGATTAGGTTAAATAACGAGAATGATGCGACAACTGGAGTAGAATCACTAGATGTTCCCTCGAAAAACAGCTAATCACACAGGAAAGGTTCAAATGAAAATTCTTCTTTGTCTTTACCCCTTCGGGGAAACCTATCCATTCTCCCCAAGCCCTGGATCCAGAACATTTTGTGAACAAGGACCTGCCATTTTCTCTGCTCGTTCTAATGCAGCCTCCATTATAAGCTTCCTATATAGTAGCAAGTATAAATGGCCCGATATAATGAAATGATCCACTATCGAGGATATCCTTCCATAGACAGTTATAGACATTTTTAGACATTCAGAAATTTATAGACGTTGAAAAAGACAAAAAGGAAGAGTAACCTATCCGAGTTCAATGTGCTTACTATAAATACCTGCCCATACCCCCTTTATCTTTCATTCTTCCTTTTTCACCTCCGTAGTCTTGGAAGATCGTCTTTCCGCTCAGCTGTGAACCCTTTTGATCATCGCACTAAGTGTTATTTTCGACTGCACTAAAGTTTATGTATACCTAGGTAGAAACGGCTTCAAGAGGCTATCCACTGGGAGCGGCAAGTAAACTTGCTCTTGTATACTCTTCTATAAAGGTCAGCTGAACTATGGGTCTTTACATCTCGCAGACACTGACCGTGTTGCTCACAGGGTATAGGGGTTGCAACTTCAATCGCCGGCATTACAGAGTCAACAAGAATGTGATCTGTTTGGACCACAAGCACGGCTGCGAAGAACAATTCCCTAACTCAACATCGTTCTTCAAAAATGCGCATATAGTCGCCGGCATCAATCTCGTCCGTTAACTTCTTGCAGGGAGCGTTGCGTAGCCTGCAGCGATAGCTATCGTTACAGGGTACAGTCTCAGTACAGAGCCTATCTGGCAGCCGCGGCCCGCTGTCACGAGCACGATACATCGGGAGATGAGGGATGGTTGAATGCCCGTGTGCAAAAGCGGGATCGAGCCCGGAGTATGTGTTACCATAATTGCTACGGCATGTTCCGTGGAAGGCTGGGCCACATTTCGACTACACTACTATGGTAGCGGCCGACGGAACGAAGGCGCGGGGAACATCTTGGTGCATCACCACAGATGGTGCAGTGTGGCTCGTTAGGGTTTCTTGCTAGGACTTCCAATGCATGAGGTATGCTATAGGCATATTTAACATAGCAAGATTACGTGGTGTACTAATGTGATTTAGACTCTTGCAAGGTTCAGACTTATTCCTGCTTGAATCTCCCAGGGCATCGGTCGTAGTCGCGGCTCCGTTTTCATTAGTGCGCTTGTGGAGAGCCTGTCGGCCCGTTCCGGGGTATGGAAGCGAGCATTGCCATAATTGAACTGGTTCAGTATGAACAATCTCGGATTCATGCGAGAATTCCAGCGACCTAACGTGGCTACAAGTCACGCCCGACTTGGTACAGGCCTGGGCAATTCTTGGATCACCTCGTCAAGACCATGCTTCGGTACATCGATGACAGTCATCTGTCTTGCCCACTTTCATTCTCACTCTCCGTTTATTCAATTACCAGTTCATAGTTTGTGCCCCATACCCTAAGTGTTGTCCTAACTAGGCTAGCGTATTTCAGTACCACTGACTTGGGGGTTATCGTTCAGTACGGACTACCCCGTACACCAATAGAAGGTGTGTTGCTTGGCACCAACATTGGGATAGAATTTATCCAGAAAAGAAATGTCTGGAATGTCGTAGAATAAAAGATCCATTTTAACTCCCATTTTTAGTTTATTAACCTCAGACTTACCCCATTATATCTCCTTATATCTCCATATATGGACCTAAAAAAGACAAAAAAAAGTGGACCTGCGCGGGATTGAACCACGAATCTCCGAGGAATGGCATGGAAACTCCCCAAAGGGGATGTTTACATAAGCTCGGCGCCTTGACCATTAGGCCACAGGTCCTTCGTCGCAACTCCGACGTGGTCTCATGACATTATAAGTTAAACTTCATCATACTAAGGTAGCACCTAAGCCTCCTGTTCCCGTGCTATTATCAGGATATGCGCCCAGCTACAATACCCTGAAGCTTTTATGTCTATAACGATGTCAATCTATTGCTGACCAGAGCTGGAATCCACGTTGTAGTCAGGTTTCAGTGCCATGTCAAGTCCATTCTGGGAAATTACCATTATTTTTCCATATCAAGTGCAATTTCGTTTAAATGCATACTCATCATTATCATCCATGGATGTGCTTGCATATCTCGAGTACGAAACGCGGTGTAGCATCTCGGCTTTCCCCGTGTTGCCAAGCTTCTCTAGATCCCGCAGATCTCTGATCTGCTCCACATGTGACATCCCCCACAAGAACCCAAACAGCAAACACTCCCAGTGAAAGACACACCCAGGTACCATCCAAGACATCCAAGACAAGGGTTCAGGTGAAGACGGGCTACACTGACCTATTTTTTTTAAAAAAAAAAAAAATAAAGAAAATAGTGAAATGCAATCATTTAGCCGATCAGACTGTGGCGTTTAACGTTCTAGAAGCGGGATAGTGATACGAGGTTGACTTCGGTACATTCCAAGGTTACGGAGGACAAAGTTACCATATGGTATCCGCTTCCCGGTGAGATCTTTTTTAGTCCAATCACTCCAAATGAACTCCCCTTTTCTTTCTCCTTCTCCGGGGCCCCGCATCCATATCCCCAGAGTATCCCCATGGCCAATTGAGACTGAAATTTAAACCGGCTTTCTCTCCCAAGCCAGTTACTCGCAAACGCCACAAATCCTTTGGTCAGCCGATTTTCAACGCCCCCGGCGACTAACCTTTTCTAGTCGCAGCTAAGCCTCCAGCCCATTAGCTTCGACACCTGCCCAGCTCCGGCTAAATTGATTCTGTAACCGTCGTACTCACTTTCGGGGAAATGGGCAAAACCCCGGCGGGGCAGGGTTTCGCCCCTGGTTGCCTCCAGGGCTGTCTGATCGCTGACTGGCTTGACCAGCTCTCGGCAGGATTAACCCACGTATCACGCGTATACCGTGCAGCTCTAGAGACGTTCACAATGGGGGGATATAAGACCCTCGGATCGTCCCTACTTTTATTTTTTCTGGGCTTTTGGTTTTCTTTTCTTTTCTTTTCTTTTTTTTGGCGGAAATAACGAGTGTTTCCGAAAATGTCGTCAATCGACAAAAATGATGACTTGCACGGCGAGAAGGCCGCCATTGAGCAATCCGAGGTCTTGGTCAATACGGATCTCATGAACGATGCCTTCGATGGCGAGAACCGCGAACATGAGATGTCTACGTGGGCGGCCATTAAGAGCCACCCCTGGGCTTGTTTATGGGCATTCACCATGTGTTTCACTATTGTGAGTTGGATTTCGATATTTCTCCGCAATTCGGGTACATCCCGAGTTCCACAGTTCCCTTCCCCCGGATCCCAAGATCAACTAAGCTGATACCTCCAATCAGGTCATGGAGTCCTTCGACATGTTCCTGAATGGTAACTTTGTCGCGCTTCCCCATTTTAAAAAGGTGTACGGCGTCGAGGTCCCGGGACACGGTAAAACTATTGAAACCAAATGGCAGAGTTCTCTCTTCCAGGCTGGTCAATGTGGCGCTTTCATCGGTGTATTCTTGGCCGGTCCCATCACTAACAAGTTTGGCTACCGCTGGACTACTATCTTCGCCCTGATGCTTATGAACGCCACCATCTTTGTTTCCTTCTTTGTGAGTAACCCTCCAACCATCGTTGAGCTTGTTCTCTAACTCCAGTTAGGCCAACTCACTCACCCTCCTTGTGGTCGGCCAAGCCCTAGAAGGTGTCCCTTGGGGATTCTTCATTGCAAACTCCCCCGCCTATGCCAGTGAGATTGTTCCTCTCTCCCTGAGAGGTGCCTGTACAGCTACACTGCAAATGAGTTGGTCCATCGGTTCAATCATTGTCGCCGGAGTAACCTACGGCTTCAATAAGCGCAACGATGAGTGGGCTTGGCGAGTGCCTCTTGCCTTACAGTGGATCTTCCCTGTGAGTCCTTTCCTTACTAAATCTTGTATTTACAGGTGCTGACTCCTTCTAGACTCCCCTCTTGATCCTCCTTTTCTTCGCTCCCGAATCACCTTGGTGGCTGATCCGCCGCGGACGCAAAGCAGAGGCCCTTCGTTCCATCGAGCGGCTTGGTAGTAAATCCCACGAGGAAGCTCAGCAGTCCCTTGCCATGATAGAGCGAACCGTTCAGATCGAAGCTCAGATGGGCGGGTCCCCAACTCTCCTCGACCTTCTCAAGGGAACCGACCTAAGACGAACAATCATTACCTGCTTGATCTATGCGTCGCAGAACTTTGCCGGTAACTTGATTGCCAATCAAGCAACTTACTTCTTCGAGCGTGAGTAGCTTCTTCCCCTATCTAGCTCCCTAAATTCCAAACCACAATGGATGTCTGACTCCCCATTTAGAGGCCGGCATGGGGCCCGAACGTTCCTTCCAGCTCAACCTGATCAACTCGTGTCTGCAATTGGTTGCCAACATAATCGCTCTGCCTCTGGCCTCCTCATTTGGTCGCCGAACCATCTATCTCTGGGGCACAGCCACCAACGTGACTCTGCTCATGGTCCTTGGTGTTTGCGCCTCTATCAGCCAGAACCAAGCAACCAACTACGCCCAGGCCGTTTTGGGAATCCTTATCTCCTTTGTCTTTGCCGGTAGTCTCGGACCCATCTCGTACACCATTATTGCCGAGACCTCCTCCGTCCGTCTTCGCGCTTTGAGCACCGGTGTTGGTCGTGCCGCCTACTACGTTGCCGAGATCCCCATGATCTACCTTGCTTCGCAGATGCTCAACCCCGGTGGATGGAACCTCGCTGGAAAGTGTGGTTATGTCTGGGGAGGTACCGCTTGTGTCTGCTTCGCCTCGGCCTACTTCTTCCTTCCTGAGCTCAAGGGCCGTTCTTACCGTGAGAGTGATATCTTGTTCAATCGCAGGATTCCTGCTCGGAAGTTCAAGTCGACCGTTATTGATGTTAGGGATAACGAGTAAGGAATGGGGATATGAAAGAACGAAAAATGCTTTTTGGAGACCATTATGTGCTCGATTACACTGTTACAAGCTTTCCACTGAGTACATCTGCGTAACAGATGCTTTCGGTACTCATGTTATACATAGACCATTATTACGGATACTAGCAAGTCTACCAGGAAGACTTCATCATAATATAGAATGAAACTATATAAACCGGACTTTCCCTTGGTGGGGGTTTCCTATTCGAGCTGATCTAGTAAACATCAGTTATACTAGCGGATTGGAAGAACGTTGATCCAGTACTTCATACCCAGAATCCCCCTTGTCACCAACCTGCACATATTTGGCTTCTCTCTTGAGACCATGCAAATACGATCGTCTGCGAAAGATTAAAGAGATAATTGGGGGGGGGGGGGCAAATTGAATTAAGCGAGTTGCTTATCATCAAGAGATGTCTCTGGTTTCAAACATGCAATTCTTGTCGCTGCTAGTATGCTAATATCGTGACAGGCATTCTCGGCGTCGAAACGGAAAGCTGGCTTCCTGTGAGCCTTGCCGTAAAGACAAAGTGCGGTGCGACCATGCCCAGCCTGTGTGTGAACGCTGTCAGAAACGGGGTTACACCAGTAGTCGGTGTTTCTACCATCCTGCGCCGTTGACCAGCACCAGAAGACGACCAGATAGGCATAGTCAGATTCACCTGTATGTCCACATTGATTTGCCTGCAGCAAAACTACCAACTGAGCGCAAAAATTTATAGATCACCTTCGCCTTCCTTGAGAAATCTAGGCAACCCCATGTCTGACTCTGAAACCCTGGACGCTTTGGCAGAATGCCCGTCAGTTATTCAGCCGGCACTTCGAACTGAACAGTTGCTGCCAGCGGGGTACTTGGGCCCGACAAGCTTCATCGCAGGGCTTGAGGAGAATGTTGATCTTTTTCTTCATAGTGAACAGTCAAATACAGTTGGAAGCGAGAATTCCACCATAGCTCTATCTCCTGGGTTAGTCAAGAAGACCGCAGAGATTCTTCGCTGCTTGCAAGATTTCTCTGCTATTAAGAACTTGGTCCAGAAATACTACAGCGTCTCTCAAACTGCCGTCATTCCATCATCATTGATCCTCAACGCACTGGACGAGCTTGAGGTCACTGTTAACGCAATTTTGTTTGGGCCAGCCTCTGATGAACAACTGTTTACATTCAGCACATTCGTAATACACAATACTAGCAAGGCTTTGAAGATCCCACAGAACAGCGATGGGACAGTGTTTCACAAATGTTTTACTGGCCCTTCTCTTCGCTTGGAGATCATTGGAGTTATATGCGCTCTAGCAGGCCGGGCCAGCTATTTCGGGCTAGCTGACAGTGCAGTTCGTGATACCGAGTCACGAACCCAATTCTCTCACAAAATGTTGGTTGCATGCGATCTTACTATTCACATATGCAAGAGTCTAACGGGCTTGAATGATCTTTCTCTCTGGCTTGTCCACGAAGACCTCCTCTTGTCGAAACTGCTTCGGGGTGATTCTAGTCAGTCATCGTTACTGACCCTACACGGATCCCGCCGCTGACGAGGTGTTTTACAGGTTCGGTGACATGGAACCGCCTAGGTGAACTTGCCACAGATATATTTGAGCTTGGTGCGCATAGGGACACCCCTAGCTTATTACCGCTTTTCATTCTCGAATCCCGACGAAGGCTCTTTGCGGCTTCCTATCAGCTCGATAAAAGTATTGCGACTTTTCTTGGACGACCACCTCGCATTTCATGGAGGCACTCTGATTGCCGTCTTCCTCTCGATATCAGTGATGTGGATTTGGCTGGGCACACCCACATACTAGAGGCTGCCCGGCGCTCTTTAGATTCTAATGGATGGAATACAAAAAAGGTCTATCAGCAAGCATCTTGGATACGGCTACGATTTATTATCAGTACATTCCGAGAAGAAATTTTGGAGCTGTCACTTCAAAATCCAAGTCCAAATAGAACGGAACAATTGCGGTAGGTTGAACTCGATGCCCGTCTAGAGCCATTCTTGTCTACTTGGTGCTGACCATTCGTACTAGGGATGTCTCTAGTCGCTGCTACGAGGCTTGGAATTTGTTGCCCGAACATCTTCAATATACGTCCAGTTGTTGGGAGTCCGACCTTCCTATAGGAGTGAAGTTGATATCGATCATTTCATATCTCGCCTACCTTTACAATGAGTTCTCGATCCAAAGCCTATTGTACCAGGATTCTAAAAAATCCAATGCTGCGCTACTAGACGTCAGCTCTGAAATTCTCTCCACTGTGTTGACCCTGGGCCGACAGTGGGAGCGATCTGTTGATATTAAGGGTGACTTCACTTGGATCGTGAGTAGTCAGTTTAGCTGCCTAACAGATCCCCACTAATCTTCCTTTTTAGGCTCTTGTCTATGGATTCTCATGCGCCGGCGTTTTGATCCGAGCAATACAGGAGCAAGCTCGGACAGGCCAGCCACTATTGTATTCCGGGTCTCGATCATCCCTCATTCGCAACTTGAGCGTCTTTATCTCACAACTGGAGTCCATGGCCGGTCCGGAGCAGGCGACATCTCCATTATTCATCCGTGCAACGTCGGTCTTCTCGGGTATTATCGACGAAATATTGGAGCCGAGACCTGAAGTTCCCGTCGACGGCACCAATCTTGATGCGATGTTGGATTCTGATATTGACACTTTCTCTTTTGATCTTCAGGGGATGGACTTGTTTGGGACCCAGGATTTTCGGGTTGCCTTTGATGATATGCTTTACTAAAGGAGGCGGCGAGCTTCTGGCAACCCACTTAGAAACTTCTACACTTTCCTGCAAGCAGATACTTAGCTCCCAATCCATTACGATTCCTTCACAGATACCCTGACGAGGTATACAAGCATTTGTAGTAACCGAAGTCTTCCTAGACCGTACCTATAGCTTGGAGGGCAATATTGGTGTCAATTAGAGTTGGTTCCATTGCGTATTTATAAAGTAGCGAGTATATTAGAATGAACGGTCACATCGATGTACATTTAGGGAAATAATCTACAGGGGTACAGCGCAGGGTTACACTTGGAGCTAGCGTGCTGCACGCTGGCTGTCCTATATTGAGGTGTACGGCAGTGTATAGCCGCCAGTGCGCCATATGGTACTTTTCTATATTAAATTTTGACTGTCATATTGCCAGTTTACTATTACCTACAAATTGGGGTCTACTAATTAATGCCTACAATATCAACTTCTATAGGGTCAATTTCTATAATATCCCGATTCCTATTATAAGAATAATTGGCCGCTTATACGGGTATAGTCCTCTTAGTCGTCTTCTAGGTTGTCTGAGCACTAGATCGGAAACGAAATCGAAGAACTGGCAGTGGTTATCAAGTAGGTAGAAATAAGAATAAAAAAATTGTACAAGCAAAAATGAGCCACCCTCGTTGTTCAAACACCGGCGCTATCAAATCACATTACATTATAGAGGGGAAAAACCATAGATCATGGATCCATAACACAATTGCGCGAAACCTCCACCCCGGATAGAGAATATCCCGTTTTTCGATTATCCGCCTTTGCATAGATTGCGTCACTATGCGGGCAAGCAGAATATCTGGTCTTATTAAGGTAATATAGTCTGATCACGCCGAACTCTTCGTCTCAGAGTCGGCAACACCGTTTGGCGTCTTCTCAGATTTAGCTGAAGTTGAGGTTGAGCTCTCCGTAGAAGGCTCACCGGACAACTTGGCCTCGGCGGCGGCCAACTTGGCAGTGGTCGTGTCCAAGTTCTTTTTCAGCGCCTTGATGTAATCAATGGCCATCTCCACAGCGGTGGCCTTGCTGATGGCCTGGTTAGCCTTTTCTTTCTCTTTTTCCTTCTCGTTGACCTTTCCACCGGATTCTGCAGCTTCCTTCGCGTTGCGGGCCTCGATGAACTCCTGCGGAATGAGAAGCTCAATCTCCTTGAGTGCATTGTTGATTCGATTCCGGCGTCCCTGCTCTGCGAGCTTGTGATTCGTCCGCTTGGAGCTCAGATTCTCTGCCAGAGCCTCTGGGTAGCTCACGCCCGATGGCAGAGTGCCATCGAGAATGTGTTGATAGTTGGATTTCGATGCCAGGTAAAGCGCATCCTGTGACATGCCTAGAGAATAGTTAGTATAACAGCCATGGAATTCAATTGGGATTCGAGACTCACCCTCGCTCCCTTTCATAAGGGGCTGGATGCTGGGACTAATCTTGGGCCGCAACTGTGGGCTAGCCTGAGTGGAACTCATACTGGGTCGTTTCCGATTGGACGCAGTTCTGGATTCTGATTTTCGAGGAACCGGCCCGCTGGGAGACGGCATTGCACTTGTGCGGGGACTAGGGGCCAAAGAGGCGCTGGGAGGCTTATCGTACGTCGCAGACGAAGGATCCAAAAAAGGTGTCCCATTCGTAGAGACCGACGGATTTCGAACAGCAGTATCGATACGGTTGGGTTTCGGACGCAGCTGCGAAGGAGTGGCGGCCTCTGGAAGTGATATATCCTCCATTACTTCATCTGGGAACTCAGGCTCCGCGAGTTGCGCTTGACCGCGGAACTGGCCTGCGGGGTCTTGCGAATGTTGATTCCGTTGGATGCGCATCAAAAGTGCAGGAGTGGCGGCAGTGCCGGGCGAAGAAGCTTTGACGTGAGGAGCAATTGCAGGAGACATCCGAGGAGGAGGAAGAGCTGGAGGGGGCATCATCGGTTCCGATAATGGCTCCGGGGACACCGAGTCCTGCCCAGAACCCTCATTGCTGCTGACCTGGAGGGAGCGGATGTCCTGATTTTGCGGCTTTGTGGAGTTAATCTCCTGGGTAAGGCTATTGTAGAATTCCTCCGAATTGGTAGCCAAAGTACTGCGTTTGCGCTGCGCCCGAATAATGGGTGATTGTTTGACCTTTCGTGAGTTGTTGAGCCGGGTAGCGGTCGTTGTTGGCCGCTGACGACTGTTGGGCTTCCGAATGATACTAGGTGAAGATGGAGCCGAGGTTCCAGCGATCGGGTTCACCTCCGCAGTAGTGGGGACGAATCCCATATCCGATACCTGTCTTGCATGGTACTGGTAACTGCTGGATTCGGCGTTTTGGGCCTCCAGGGCTGGAGAGGTGAGAGGTGTGAAGTATTCGCCGGGGATTGTGTATTCAGGGAGTCGGAATTGGTTCTCCAGGGGCGTCATAGCCGGTGAGATAAGAGGAGTATAAAGGGCCTTCGTATCATTAGCCAACGAATTCGTCTGGGATTTGTGTGTTTGAACTAACCTGTTCCTCGTTAATGCGTGAATATCCGTCGTACATATCCGGGTTCTCATCCACGCGCTGGGGGTAACGAGCGGTATTGCCATGCATCTCGATACTATTCGGTGTGGGAGGAATCATGTTGTGGCCCTGCATGTAATGCTGGTGGGTAGGCGGTTGCGACATGGGCGATGGTTGCTGGGCGCAAAAGCCTGGTGTCATATGGGGAGTCGAGTAAGGCATTGGGTGACCATGATTGGTGTGCGACTGTGTGTTATCATTGAAATCCATGAGGCCCTCCATCTGGCCCGAGTATTGCACGGCATTCGATCGTAGGTGAGCCATATCCGAGTCCGGGCCGGTGGTGGTCGGGAGAGAATGGGAATGTTGCATATTCCCTGGTCCGTGCTCGATTTCGGAAAACGGTATGTTGAACTCGAACAAATTGGAGAATTCTTCTTCACCAGGCGCAGTAATGAGATTATTCTCATGAAGCTGCTCGGGCCATGACATGGCTGGTTGTTCCATTTTTGCAATAGGAGATATTCAGTTAGGCCAATCACCCAGGCCTTAAAAGAGAGAAGAGACACTGGCCAATCAGGCCAAGAGTGAACTATGTTGAAGTCGAAACATTCACAAGAGAAGATCTTGAAAAGTTCGAAAAAGATCGGAGAAAAGGAGAATCCATTCGAGGAAATCGAAGAAGAGATGAAGTGGAGAATCAACCTTGGAACCTTTCTCGGGGGGGAGACGGTCCTCCGTGGTCGGGCAATGGGACCTTGCCACTGTGTGTTTTAAGAGGCTACGGAGGGTCTACCCTTTTCGCCCTTTTTGGCCCTTTTGGCCCTTTTTTTTTAGTCTTATTTCTGCGCTAGATGCGCGTGTGCTTTTATATGCAGAACTTGGTTAAAAAAAAAGTACTAACTTAGTACGGAGTACTCCGTCTAGGTACTCCGTCCATTTTTCTCTCTTTTTTTACCGTTTAACCCACAGTGGAGATATACGGAGTATGGACCAACTTCCGATATATCTATGGATACTATACTCCATTTTATATATATGTTGTATATTGTATATTTGAAATAATAAAGAAGTAATTCCATTAAAATAGGTATTAAGTAGGTTGCCCAGGTGGAACAGAAATCCCATGCATGAATACCTCAGGCAGAAATCAAGAGGGGTTTATCACCTCGTGATGCTTACCTGAGCAAGGAACATGACATGATCATCTCCAACCTTGGAAGGTTTAGACTTGCAGACCTGCAGAGAGAGCTTGACTTCTGGTTGACTTTCTCTTACCTTCTTCAAGATCTCTCTTTCCTATGAAATGCCTTCATAATGAGACCTATTCCGGACCTCTCATTCTCTCGCAAACCCTCCGACCATCCTCCATCTCCATCCCTCGATCCCCGCACTGCCACCCCTGCAACTTTCTTCTTATCGCGCAGTCCAGATGTCGCGGATCAGGATTCCAGTATATCGCTAGATAGCCCCGAGGATCTCAAAGAGAATATGTATGGAGTCCAAAGCCTAGATGCCTCTCTGTCCCAATCAGCATTCACATCCTCGCCCCACGATCACTCTGCAGAGGACAGCCTGAAGCAGGTAACAGACGGTTTAGAATCACACCTCGCACAACGCCGGTCAACATTGAAGCCGTTTAACTCGGGCACGGGGGAATCCTCTGAATACGCATCACCCATCCATGCAGTGTCTCGGCCCTTAACTCCGCTTACGTTGGGCATCCCCGATGACCCATCCTCCCTGCCCAGCAGTCCCAAATCTACATCCAACCAGTCCTTGCGGCCACTCGATGATGTTTCTATCACGGATGAAACCAATAGTCAGGCTGTTGGATCTGGAGACGAGGACGAAATGCCCCATGGGTCTCCATTTTTGGCCCCAGGTGGAGCCTCCCAACTTATCATGCCAAGTATCAAAATGCCAAGTCGGAGACCGTTCACTGAACGAGGTAAAGCCATGGGTCGATTCAAGGTTCTTCTGGCTGGTGCTCCTGGTAGGTCTCAATTGTTTCGGAGCAAATTACACAAGCTGATTGTCTCAAAAAAAATTTAGGTTCCGGTAAGACCTCGTTGATCAAGTCTATTGTTCAGACATGCGAGGATATTGTACATGTCGACACCATCCCACAGACAACCTCTTCGGGACGTCGCAGACCTTCCCGCCCCCGATCTCGGGCATTGATTGCCACAACAGAAATTTATGCTAGCACCAAACCTTATCCTTCATGGTGGTCGGATTTGGAAGATTCGCGCGTGCTCCAGCGACGGAAAAGCATCGGAGAAATTGTGTTAGAGAGGAACCTGTGTTTCGTGGACACACCCGCAACAAATTTAAGCCGAGCAGGTCAAAGCGACGCTATCGCGCAATATATGAGACAACAATTTTTCCGTGCCACCAATGCGCTTAGTGGGTCTAGTGTTGATTTCCAAAACCTCCTAGCCGGGAATGGTGGATCCCAGGTGGATGCAATCTTATATTTGATTTCTAATGGTAGGCTCTAAGTTGTATTCTGTCTCGGAAACTTTTCAAAATTAACCGATCGCTGACCTTCTATAGACACCCTCTCAACAGATGTGGAATGCATTCGCAAGCTCTGCGAGCTTAGCAATGTAATCCCAATAGTATCAAAAGCAGACACACTCACCCCAACTCAAATCACTCACTTGAAAATCCGCTTCCACGAACAGGCTCGCGAGGCCGGAATCAAACCATTCCTATTCGGTGATCCGCCGAACGGGCTAGATGGGCTCGAATCCCAACCCCCGTATGCGGTCTCGTCCGAGAAAACAATTGACACCGAAACGATGGATGCAAGCACCCTAATGAGTCCAGACTACGTTCAGCCACTCGTGCCCTCCGAATTAGACGCCCTAGTCAACAAAATGTTCGATCGCGATAATCTAGCATGGATGCGCCATTCCGCTGCAAAGAAACTTCTCCAGCAACGCACGGATTTGTATCCGCTTCCGCCCTCAATGCCGTTATCGAGTGCACAGCCGGGTCCTGCCGCAGGTGGGTCCGAATCTGCATCTAGCAGCTGGCGCTCCGTCTCGGGAACGTCCATTTCACCCGGCTCCCCACCCGGCTATGCCATGGCCCGCATCGCGGACTACACCCGACATGAGGAGCGCATGGCGCAGGTGCGCCTCGCTCAGTGGGCCACAGACCTGCAGCGCAGCTTGCAGAACGAGCGCGATCGATACACCTCACTGGCTCGCGGCGAGCGCGCTGTATGGCTTACCGAGCGGCTGGGCGAGTGTGTTGTCGATGGGTCGTTGGTGCCTCTCTCGCAGACGCCTGGCTTTTGTGGACTGCATGGCCCCATCGGCGAGAAGAGCGCTGGTGGGTTCCAGGTCATGCGCTCACATTCCGCTTCCGGGGCGCGTCGTTTCACGGCTTTCAGTCCGCATGACCCACTCGGCGTCGTTGGCTGGATTGACGACCTTGGGCACCGGGGCTGGATGCTTGTTCAGATTGTTGGGAGCGTAGGGGGTTGTTGGTGGGTTGGCGCTTTGGCTTGCGCGCACTTGGGGTCTGCCAACGCGCAACCTTTCAGATTTGCGGCTTGATTACTGGTGTGGTACTATGGAACGGTAGGTTGATGAGATGACTTCTGGTATGATAAATGAGGGTATGAATATGTGATGGCTCTATGGAGTTATGGTTTTCAAGTTTGTTGCCTGGAGCGTTTCTACTGGACGGGTCTATCTTTCCACTGTTGTGCGCATGATCGTCTGAAGATCATTGCTCTCATCTTCCTTCGGCGTCTTATGACCGGTGTCTTACGACTCTGGGACTATTTATTCTCTTTGCGGTTCTGGCGCCACGTAGCATAGTCGGATAGGGACATCTCTGCATGAAAATGATAAATCTGATTTTTATTGCAAGTGGTTTATCTTTTGCCTTTCCTCTCTAATTCTCCTACCTAACTCAATATGGATATCATTTCTATTCCAGCCATTCCCGGTATTATAGCGGCTAATCAACGGTTGAACATTGAAATTGAAACAGGTCCACTGTATTTAGGAGCATTTAACCATTTAACCATTTCTTTAAGAAGAAGGGGAAAAGGAAAAAAGGGGGAAAACAAGCGCTGGCATTAGCGTCTTCCTCGACAGCTAACTATATGTGGACATTAATGTTGCAGTTATACTACATGATGACCGTATTTTCCCTTCATGAAGACAAAACTGCTCGCTTCTTTCATCCAATTGGCAAGATGGCCGAGTTGGTCTAAGGCGCACGGTTCAGGCCCACCTGATCCCGATGGTATACAACTGTCTCCGTGTCTCGAAAGGGGCGTGGGTTCAAATCCCACTCTTGTCATGTCTTTTTTTGTGTTTTTGTTGTCCAACAATATAATAATACAATATTGCGTTGGATGAGGCTGTTGCTTTTTGCTGGAATACATCGATACAAGTGGAGTATGTTTGTCGTCAAAGCAGAACCCATTAAACCTCCATCTGGATCGCTCAAATCAGCAATTGACCGAGGTTCTTTTTGTAGACAAAGCTAGAAATGAAACAAGTACATGGAACATACAGGTGACGATGACGGTCCTTGCCATTCCTCGTCCCAGATCATGACTATCGCGAGCAAAGGAAATCCATAGATCGACCGAAGAGAATAGGAACAAAGGATAAGGTACAATTGTATTACAGTCAACTACACCTTTCAAAGAACAAAGGAGATATCGGCAATGAATCTAGGCACAAGTGGTCACATCGAATCCAAAATGAAGGGAACAGACTTCTCCCTCTCTACGGTGTAATGTATACAGGGATTTTAAACGGTCAGACCGATGTCCTCGGCGAAGGGGAGCTGGTGGATATCACCCACGCTGACGAGGGTGGCCTTGCCAGTCAGGAAGGTGTTGGCGACCTATGTGTAACTGTTAGCACCACGACATTAACAATGTGGATAGGAAAAAAATAACATACCTCCTTGACCTGCTGCTCGGAGACCTTCTCGAGAGCCTGGGCGATCTCATTGATCTGGTAGGGCTTGTTGCCGTGGACAAGGCCGGAGCCGGTAGCCTCAAGACCAGTCTCGAGGGTCTGGACGGACTCCAGAGCACGGAACTTGGCGAGGGCAATAGCCTTCTTGATGTCCTCGGAGGCGACCTCACCGGCGGCGGCCTTCTTGAGGGCATCGACGACGTTCTTGCTGGCGGCACCGACCTGGTCGGCCTGGCCGGACAGGGTGACGGTGAAAAGACCGGCATCGGAGTAGGCGTTGTTCTGGGTGGAAACGCGGAGCTGGTTGAAGCCCTTGGTGGCCTGGGAAAGAAGGGAGAAGCCGGGGGTCCACTTGATAGTGGACTCGCCGCCCAGGAGAGCAGCGAGAACGGAAGCCTCGGCCTTGTAGCCTGCGGTGCCGAAAGCGCTGGAACCAGGGAAGGCGATCACAACAGCGTTGCCGGTCTTGGAGGCAATGCGCTGCTCACCACCGTAGTACTTGGAGGCGACGGAGGGCAGAACGTTGTATTTGCTGGAGGCGTTGCCGGTAGGGGTGTCCTTGAAGAACTGGCCAACCCACTTGGAGAGCTCAGCGGAGTTGGGGCCGCTGGCGACAAGAGCAATGTTGGACTTGGAGTAGGCACTCTGGGCGAACTCGGCGAGGGCATCGCCGGAGACGTACTTCTCGTAAGGAGAAGTCTGGGAGGGGGTGATGGAGGCGCCCAGACCGCGGTGGAAAGCAACACCGTGGGCGGCATCGACAGCGACGGTCTCCGCGTTGGAGTGAACGGCCTGCTGCTTGTACTTAAGGAGCTTGCTGACAACCTCGTTCAATTCGTGGTCTGATATTCGTCCGAGGGGGCCTCGGGTCAGCAAAGGATGCTCATATAATTGCGCTCTAACAACCACCATTCATCGAAAGGGACCGACTCACCTGCGAACTTGGTCTGGGTAGCAACCTCGGCCAGCAACTCTGTGAAGTAGGGGAGATCCTTGGAGAGGAACTTGGTCCGGAGGACAATGTTTTCGCGCGAGTGTGTCGACGAGATTTCACCGCCCAGCAGCTCAGTCTCCCGGGTGATCCGCAGTGCAGACCGCTTGAGGGTAGTCTGTTGAGGAGTTGAACGTTTAGTATCACCAAATAAACCTGATATGAACCAATTGTTGCCATGGGACCGACCTTGAAAGCGAATCGGTCGAGAGCATCGGAGAAACCAGGGAAGGGCTGGTAACGGGAGCCAGCCTTTGCAACCAGGGCCAGGGTGCCAGTAGGACCCTCAACCTCACGGTTGGCGACCTTCACGCCGGAAGCTTCGGAGACATCGTACTGGAAGGCCGGGCTGGCAGCGGAGGCCATGGACCGACGGCCGGCGGCGAACGCACGCGGCGCATTTCGGCTGAGGGAAGACCGCGACAGCATCGTCGCCTGTGCCGAGAAGATGTGAGAGAAAAAGAAAAGATATAAACCCGAATTGGGTTCGTAAAGAGGCGCAAATGAGGCGGGGAAGGAGGTGGGATGCGGAGAGAGCAAGAGGGAAGAGGCAGTTTGGGAGGTCACGAAAAGCTTCAAGATCCCGACTCGTCACTCCAGCCAATCAGCGGTCGAGTAATCAAAAGCGCGGACGGAACCGGAGTTACTTTTGTTGCGAGTATATCGAAGATGGTTTTCTATTGTCTTTGGATTAATTGTTCTTATAGTCCAATTGAGTATATTTAAATAATCATATCCCTAAATTGACTTGAATATCTCTATTGTTCCCCCCTATTGTGTCTCCGACACGTTTTCAAGTGAGGCATTTGGATCACCTGATTGGTCCTGTCACGTGAATATACCGATAAGCAAAAAAAGAACAAAAGAACGTTGGAGACATGCATCTCATCGCGCATCGGATTTTTGGACTTGCAGATCTCTGCTAGCTTGGAAATCTTCATGAACATTCGGTGACCTTTAATTGCCCCTTCTCGAGGTTTGGTGGTGAATCATTTTATCTTTAGCCCACCATGATGTCCCAGGTATGTCACTGTCCCACTAACCTCCGAGAGAGCTACTTACTGACATGAATTTAGTGCTCTGCCGAGCTCTGTATGCTCTTGATCGAAGACAACTTTGGAGAGCTCTTTGCCGTGAGTCATCTTGTGTAGACTCTCTGACTTGTCGTGCTTCTTTGCGACAGCGGGGAAGGAACCGGACTGACTAGCCATCTTTTCGCAGCGCATCTTTACCGTCCTTCAACGTTACGAAAGACTGACTCTCCCTCGGTTAAAATTCTATGCTCGCTTGACTGATCGCCAATTGCATCATGGCCTTTCCGCCATGATCCAGCACCACTTGGTCTATCACTTCACTTCCCTCGATGACGGCAATACCTACTACGAAGCTAATCCACAAGCCGCGTACTCCCTCGTGCGATCTGGAAAGATTCTCCAGCTTGTTGAAAATCGACTCGGAGAATATGCGGCCCAGGTCTTGGAAGCAATCATGATGCTCGGTCACTCCTCGATCGCGCACCTCGAGACACTTCCCGAACTTAAGTCCAAGAGGCAGCGCATTCCGAATGGTGTCCACCATGATGAAATTAAGATCCAGGGAGAGGAGGAAATGGAAGAGGATTCCGCTGCTCCTAATTGCGATCATGCTGAGAGCGAGAAACCGGCACATCTTCACCCCACCTTGAAGAGTCTTGCCTCTCACGGATACATCCATCGCCTTCGAGAGGCACACTTCCAAAGCCCAAACGACAACTGGCTAAATGCTTCCCGAATCGTCGCATCAAGGCCGGATGTCAAACAAATGAAGGGCAAACAGCAAGCGGCAGAGATCGAGCAGAAGGCGAAGGATATGGTGAAGGAAAAAACTGAAGGAGATCTGAGCCGGGGCCTCATATACAATGGCATCCCCCGGGGCGCCAAAAGAAAACGCAATCACGGCAACTCGGCATCCAGTGATCCGGCGCCGAATGGCACCAACGGCGTCAACGGAGACCACGTAGACGACGAGGGGGGAGAGGGCAATGATTGGTCCGACGATGAAGATGACGTTGATTCAATCCCAATGGATGTAAGCTCGTTTCGTTTCGTTTCTTTTTTTCCCCCTTGCTGCGGCTTCGAATCAACCACTAACACTTACCCCAGTCTAACCTTATCGTTCGGGTGAACTACGAGAAACTCGACGTGGCGCTTCGAAACACGCGGTTCCTTGAGCTTGCTGAGCAAGACGCACCTTCCGCCTCAGTCGAGATTTACGACTGTCTGCTTCGGCGCATTGAATACCAAACACCCCGCTGCCGAGACACTTTCGAGATCCCTCGCGAAGGAGAAGAAGGCGAACAATACTCTGTCCCAATCCAACTGAGCTCAATCGTCGAAGACGTTGATCCGCACCTGGATCTTGCAGGATGTATTGGCCCAATGGAGCCCTCGACGGTATTGAACCGACGCGGCAAGCGACCATTGGATGATGACACGAATGGCGTGAATGGTGACGAACATGAAGACGAACCGAGCGGGAAGAACCGCGCCTACGAGATCGACCAGCATCTTAGTATTCTCTCACAACCTCCCTTGAACCTTACCACAAAACACGTCATCTCCGGCCTTCCTACGTGGCGAGTTGCATTCCGAGGCCTGGCCCGGAAGCTTCGCCATTTAGAACTGGAGCGCATGATTGAATCGCGGTACGGAGATGTGGCACTGCGGGTGGTCCGCGTCCTGCATGCCAAGGGCAAGCTTGACGAGAAACGGCTCCAGGAAATCAGTCTCTTGCCATTCAAGGACCTGCGCCAGACACTTGCTAGCATGCAAACTGGAGGGTTCGTAGATCTGCAGGAAGTGCCGCGTGACGCGCAGCGTCAGCCTTCCAAGACAATCTACTTGTGGTACTACGATCCGGATCGTGTGTGCAGCAGCATTCTGGAGGATACATACAAAGCCATGTCGCGGTGCCTGCAACGCATCAAATTCGAACGTAGCCGCGAGAGAGATTTCCTTGAAAAGACAGAACGAACTGACGTCAAGGGCCACGAGGAAGAATTCCTTTCCGAGGCCGAATTAGAACATCTTCGCAACTGGAAGGCTAAGGAAGCCTTGCTGCTGGCGGAGGTATCTCGATTAGATGATATGGTTGCTGTTTTCCGTGACTATTGATTTGCTACGTTCATATCATTGGAGGCTGGGAAGTAATTGGGGTTGCATAAATCTGTACAGGCGCATGAGCGACGAATTGATACAAATGACACCTACATGCTTATTTTTGCGAGTCTATTCGACATAGTACGTCGCTATGCTTCTCCGTTTAGGGTCGTAGATGCTCCTTCAAGTCTCCCGTAGTCTCTAGGCCTTGCCCACGGGATCTGTGAGGACAAACCAGCATAAGCTTGGCCTTTGCGTCTCATACAGCCACAATAGGAATGAATACATGTCCCGGGTGCAAGAAACAGAGTGTCTTTGTCTTTGTCTTTATATAACACTAAGTATGGGATTATTCAGCGTTTGTCCAATATTACGCCTACAAGAAGCTATGATTACCTTTCAAATGACCGTTCTCTGTATCTGCTGCAATGCTCCTTTCGTTCTATGGTTTTTTTATCTTTTTTTATCTTTTCGTCAGAGACAAAGCAACAAAGATGTATACCCTCCAAGTTGCACAGTGATCGGCAGCCTGGCGTCATACGGCTTTCACATGGATCATTTAGCCAAGAATATACAAGACTAGCGTTGAATACTTTACTATAGGCAGCAGGGAAAGGGAAAAAAAAATAAGTAGAAAGTATTAATAGAGACAGGATCATACAGTGTTTAGGCAGTAATTTAAGGACATCAAAGGACATCAAAAAGCCATGTTAGAGAGTATAAATCAAAAAACAAAACAGAAATAACTAGTCAAAGCAGGAGAAACTAGAAGTGTCATTTATTCAAGGTAGGAATAAGCCCCTACGTCAGCCCTATTGTCAAAGTCGCCCTGCAATGACGCTGGCGCAACGCCGGTGGCTGAATTCCCTGCACCTTTTTATACCTTGCCATGCCTTGTCCTACAAAATGTCTTTTCTGACGCAAATCCGCAGATAAATTTCCATATTTTGCATTAATCTCCCATTCAATCAACATTCTATCTACATCGATATCAACATCAACATCCTATCAAAGATGACCCTCCCGTGGATGTACCTTATCCGAGCCGTGCAAGCACTCTTCGGCGTGATCGTGATAGGCTTGACAGGATATGGTCCGTCACTTCAGAACAAATTCTCAAACATCTATGGATACTGACAAGTCTCTAGTGGTTTCAACATTCTACTACAGATGGTCATACTCGGATACCGTCAACTTCCTCCTTTTCCTTGGTTGCTGGACTGCTTTTGTAGCAGTGCCCTACCTCGCCATTACACCAATATGGTTCCCTCGCCTGGCACACCATTATGTGATTCCTGCTGTTGAGGTGATTACCATGATCTTCTGGTTTGCAGGATTTATCGCTATGGGAGCGATGTTGCCCCCACCAAGGTGGTGTCACGGGAGTGTCTGCAGCTCGCTCCAGGCAGCAACGGTATTTGGGGCGTTTGAATGGTGAGATTCTTGTGTCTTTGTTTTATTTTTGGTTTTATGACAGCATATATATGGTCAGAGAGCTAACTGTCATTGATGTCGCATATAGGGTGCTTTTCACAGTGACCAGCTATTTCGGGATTGTCGATCTTATGCACCACGGCCGCGGTGGAGCGAAAACACATACGAATGTGCAGATGGGAGTCTGAAGTGGTTGATTTCATGATCAGCCTGGAGGTATCTGAGACTATCGGATTGGACATTTGTTGATATTTTTCATGTTTTTCATGTTTTGGGCGTCCTTGAATATGCTTTGAATGTTCTCATAGTCATGGTGTTTGGATGCGATACCCTTTGCTAGCGACCTTATGGAATTCTTCTCGTATTAGCTAACCTCTATTTCTTCCGAGGTCCAGATGGGATCTATTTAAAGAATTCAAGGATCAGAGATCTATCTACGGAGTAGGGAATGTCATTCTTATGACTCCAAGGTTATCAGGTTATCTCCGCAAACGGCATCCCGATTCGGCCAAGCCCCGGGCTTGCCAAGTGTGTGGCTACGGAATTAATTAATTACTGGATCTTTATTTCCATATGAAAGTCTTTAAAGACAGAGACTGGAGGATTAACGGAGTATATAGTATGAAATAAGATGTGTTGCATACATATATAGTCTATATACAAGGTGCCCGTGGACATTGGCTTTCCCATTGATATGCTACAGCAATGCATGATAGCATCAGTATATAGCGACGGACACAATAACCTTGGAAAGCCTAGACTAGATCGAGAACAGATATCAAATAAAATAGATACAAAATATCTGCTATAGGGGGCAAAGAGAGTCGCCACCGAGGAAAACTCTTCCCCGGCAAAATGGCCCACTCCCAGGTGGTATCGGGAAAAGAGAAAAATTTGATAAAAGTCAGATTAGAATAATAGAATAGAATAATATGGGCATAGACATATAGATCGAATCACATCTTCCCCTCAAATTCTCCTTTTCTTTTACATAACATATATTTTCCCCTCAAAAGGTGTTCGGACGTGATAGTCATTGCTCCACCGAGGGAAAAAGCCTGTCTTCGGAGTTGATTTGAAGTGGATCCTCGCAGTCTCAGATCCTTTCTTTCTCCTCTTTATCCTCCGTCCTGAAGCTGTTCCCCTTATACAGCAGACATGGCCGAGTCAAAGGGAAAGATGAGCGCTGAAATGCCTGTGCAAGTCCAAGCACAGAGCCCGGCCTATGATATCGACTACGAGAAGCATGGCGCTCAGCGCGAGGCAAACCCGCTGCCGGATCTCAAGCGGAAGCTGAAGAGCAGACATCTACAGATGATTGCAATTGGTGCGTTGGATGATATTATCGGCCAGGACTATTCGGGCTAACGGTCTTTGAAGGCGGCACAATAGGTACCGGTTTATTCATTGGTAGCGGCACCGCCATTGCTCACGCAGGCCCCGTGGGCGCTCTCATCGCTTATATTTTCGTCGGAACAATCGTGTACTCGGTCATGACCGCTCTCGGAGAGATCGCAACATATATCCCGATTCCCGGTGCTTTCACCTCGTACGCTGCTCGCCTGATCGACCCAAGTCTGGGCTTTGCTATGGGTTGGATCTATTGGTTCTCATGGGCATCAACATTTGCGCTAGAACTGACCGCAACCGGTTTGATCATTCAGTTCTGGGATAGTACTATTCCGATCTCTATCTTTATCGCTGTCTTCTGGGTTGTGATTATCATTTTCAACTTGATGCCTGTGGCCTTCTATGGTGAAATCGAGTTTTGGTTCGCGAGTATTAAGGTTATTACCGTGATTGGCTTCATGATCTTCTCGATCTGTATGAATGCCGGCGTTGGAAAGGAAGGGTATATCGGTTTCCGGTACTGGGTGGACCCTGGCCCGTTCGTCCCTTACTTGATTGAAGGGAACGATTCGTTGGCCAAATTTGTCGGATTCTGGTCGACGCTTATTCAGGCCGGGTTCTCCTACCAGGGAACCGAACTGGTTGGTATTGCAGCCGGTGAGACCGAGAACCCTCGCAAGACCGTCCCATCTGCCATCCGCAAAACCTTTTTCCGCATCGTCTTCTTCTTCGTCCTGACGATCTTCTTCCTCGGAATTGTCGTGCCCTCCAGCGACCCCGGTCTGATTGGCTAGTGAGGGAGATGGTGCTGCTGCTCAGAACGCTAATGCTTCGCCGTTCGTCATTGCCGCTAACCGTGCCGGTGTCATGGCTCTCCCCGGTATCATCAACGCCGTGCTTCTGACTGTGGTGCTTTCCGCAGCCAACTCCAACGTCTACAGTGGCAGCCGTATCCTGGTCGGTCTGGCCCAGGAAGGTTTCGCCCCTCATTGGTTCAAGATTACCAGCAAGCGTGGTGTCCCTTACTACAGTGTCCTTTTCACAGCGGCATTTGGTCTGCTCGGATTCTTGAATGTCTCTGATGCAGGCAGCACAGTGTTCACTTGGTTGCTCCAGATCTCTGGAGTGGCTGGTTTCATCACCTGGTCTTCACTGAACGCCTGCCACCTTGCCTTCCAGCGGGCGCTTAAGGCTCGTAATATCTCTCGGGATATCCTACCCTACAAGGCCCTCTGGCAGCCCTGGTTCTCGTGCTATGGTCTATTTTTCAACTGTCTGATCATCCTCACCCAGGGATTCACCTCCTTCATCCCACACTTCCAAGTTAAGGAGTTCTTCATCAGCTACCTGAGCTTGATTTTGTTCGTGGTGCTATATGCGGGGCACAAGATCATCTACCGCCCCGCCTTTATCAAACCCATTGAGGCTGATCTGGATACCGGCCGTACCACTGCTGATAATGAGACATGGGAAACTATTGAGCCAACTACATGGTATGGCAAGGCCTGGAAGTGGATTTGTGGGTAATTAGAGGTTCTTGATTTCACTGTATATATATTTTATTTCTTTGCATATTTTATAGGCGTTATCTTTTACTTCGAACGCATATATACTCCACAATATACTTTATTATATCTTAATATTCTAAAATATTCTTAACATGTGTATCTCGGTCCATGTGAAAATTAAGTGCATGTGAGTTGTTCAACAAACCTTGGAATGACGTGGGATATGTAAGCAGGGCTCCACTATTGTTGGTACCTGAGATACTATGTGAAGAACCACTCTGTGGCAAGTACCCCCAAAACAGCCGAGGTCCCCTGATCGGCTCATGTCTTTGATGTCCGAAAAGAGTTGGTCGCTCCGGCTTTCATGGACCTCCAGTTTTTCTCCCCCACACTCTTTGCCCCCTTTAATATCCGGATCACTCGGGGCCTTTCTTTCTTTTTCTTTTTTCTTATTCACATAGATTTTGGTTCGTCGGCCTATTGTGTATTTTCATTCCCTCGCTGACCATAGATCGCTGTCGCGACAGACATGTTCTTCTCATCACCTCCCCACTTGGCTAAGGCCGAGGAGCTCAAGCAAGCGCCTCCAAAAGGCGTAGCTTACTCTGTCGCCATTCCTGGCACTGAACAGCCCGGCCGAAGTCGGGTATACCGAGCATGGAATGCGCAGAAGGAACTTTTGACGACACTGGACCCCCAGGTACAGAAGGCTCAGCCAATGCCAGAATATCTTAATACTGACCAATTTTAGGTCACCACGGCCCATGATATGTTCGAATCGACCGCCAACCGCCTGCCCAAGAACCACTGCCTCGGTTGGCGTCCGTATAACTCCACGACCAAGTCTTTCGATCCATACCAGTGGCTCACTTATGAGACTGTGCAGAAGAGACGCGCTGCGTTCGGTGCTGGTCTAGTAGAGCTGCACCACAAGCACGACTGCCATCGCTCCGGCCAGTATGGTGTTGGTCTCTGGTCCCAGAACCGACCGGAATGGCAGATTACTGGTGAGTTGTGTTGTGAGGGCGAAGAATTCAAGAGATAAAATGCTAAATCGAACCTATGTACAGATTTGGCTTGTATTTCCCAATCTCTTTACTCCGTCTCGATCTACGACGTCCTGTCCCCAGACGCTACCGAATATATTATCAACCACGCTGAGCTCAGCTGTGTTGTGACCTCTCTACCCCATATCCCAACTCTCCTCAAGCTCAAGCCTTCTCTCCCGAACCTGAAGATCATCATCAGTTTGGACCCGTTAGATGGTGGCGAGCAGGACGGTCACTCCAAGCGTGCCCTTATCGAATCCATGGCTGCCGGTCAGGGCCTGGCGATCTACACTATGGGTCAGGTTGAGGAGCTGGGCTTGGCCTCAAAGCGCGGGTACAATGCCCCTTCTGCTTCGGACATTGTCACTATCAACTACACCTCCGGAACTACCGGTCCCCCTAAGGGTGTTGTTCTGACGCATGGCAGTGCCGTGGCGGCCACGTCCTGCGGTCTGATCACTATCGGCCAATCCCGAGGTGATACAATGGTCTCTTATCTGCCGCTGGCCCATATTTATGCCCGTCTGGCGGAGCACACTGCTTTCTGGGTGGTGCCCGGATTGGTTATTTCCACGGAAACATCGTGGAGTTGGTCGATGATTTGAAGTTGTTGAAACCCACTGGTTTCATGTCTGTTCCTCGTCTTTACAGCCGATTTGGTAGCGCAATCCGTTCTGCGACAGTTGAGCAACCTGGCTTCAAGGGCGCTCTTTCGCGACACATCATTGCGGCCAAGACCGCGAACATGAAGAACCCCGATCCCTCCAAGGCGACAGTCCGGCACGCTGTGTACGATCGCCTGTGGGCTAAGAAGGTGGCTGCCGCTCTCGGTCTGGAGCGAGCCAGATACATGGTGTCTGGCTCCGCGCCCTTGGACCCGACACTACATGACTTCCTGCGTGTTGCCACCGGTACCGATATCCTTCAGGGTTACGGCTTGACTGAGTCCTACGCCTCAGCCACCGCCCAGCCGACCTACGACCTGACCTCCGGCAACTGCGGTAGCCTTGCTCCCTGTGTCGAGGCGTGCCTGGCCTCCCTGCCAGACATGGAGTACTCCGTGGATGACAAGCCGTTCCCCCGTGGTGAGCTCTTGCTGCGCGGCAACAACATGTTCCGCGAGTACTACAAGAACGAGGAAGAGACCCGCAATGCCGTCACTGAGGATGGCTGGTTCCGCACCGGCGATGTCTGCACAATCGACGAAAAGGGCCGCTTCATCATCATTGATCGCCGCAAGAACGTGCTCAAGCTCGCCCAGGGCGAGTACATCTCCCCCGAGCGTCTGGAGGGTGTTGTCCTTGCCGAGCTTGGCTACATCGCCCAGGCTTATGTCCACGGCGACAGCATGCAGACCTTCCTAGTTGGCATCTTCGGTGTCGCACCTGACCTCTTCGCTCCGTTTGCCAGCAAGGTTCTGGGCAAGACCATTGCCCCGACCGACTTGGAAGCGGTCAAGGAATCTCTGGGCGATGACAAGATCCGCCGTGCTGTGCTCCGGGACCTCGAGCGCGTGGCTAAGAAGCACAAGTTTGCTGGCTACGAGAGAATCCGCAACGTCTCTCTCAAGGTGGAGCCATTCACCGTTGAGAACAACTTGCTGACCCCAACGTAAGTTTTTATTTCCACCTTTCTGTAATCCGAGCATAGCTAACATTATCCCCTCCCTTCTATAGTCTTAAGCTCAAGCGTCCCCCTGCTGTCAAGCTATACCGTTCCCTTCTGGATCAGCTCTATGAGCAGGCCACCGAGGAGCAGTCTGCCCCCAAGGCTAAGCTGTAGTGGCTCCAACACTTATTCTTATTTTCTTTTCCATCGTATTCTCACTCCGGCATTTGGCAATTCTTCGCGGGCTCGGTTCAGGCACTGTATATAGAACCAGTCTGTACATTGTAGTATATTGAACATTCTGATTGATTTCTGGTGCGCTACTACTGTCTTGGGTCATTCGTGGCTTGGTGGGATGCTCTCTTTAGTTGTAGGCTCATTAATTTGGCCTAGTCATATCTTGTTCTAGTTTGCTTCCTCGCCTCCTCGTCGAACTACACTATATGCATACTACTCACCTAGCGATTTTATTTTTTATACACTACTTGTCGCTTTCTTCTTCTGTTAACTTCTACAGTCGCACTTTTACATAACTTCTTAGGGTTGAGGCTTTCATCCAACTTCGATTACGTGCGTTGGTATGTGTTGTTACGCTCTTTCTGCACAACACTGCCATGTATACACACCGACCAAAAGGAAATAACCAGTCATCAACCCCATTGTTAAAATGATACTTGGAGGGAGCAACAAAAAGCAAAAAATTATGACAAGAGTGGGATTTGAACCCACGCCCCTTTCGAGACACGGAGACAGTTGTATACCATCGGGATCAGGTGGACCTGAACCGTGCGCCTTAGACCAACTCGGCCATCTTGCCAACTTGGATGAGAGAAGCGAGCAGTTTTAGATTTATGAAGGAAAAACATAGATTAGGGCTTTCTGCGCACCTGATCACACTACTATTCATCATACTTGTACTTCACTTGTCAATTGAGTAGTATAGGTCAGAATGAATCGCATCACTTCATTCTCATTAAGTATTAATATCTTCAATTAGCAGTGGGTGGGTGTTATTCAATTATTGCAGGACTATCAGTACACCAACATATATAATCCACCAAAGGCATCGCCTGGACAACAGAGCACAGCACAACTTGTATTATACTGGTGGTTTCAGTCAAATATCGGCCGGGCACCAATAATAAATACATAGACAGTATTCTACCGTGATCCGACCCGATCAATCCCTCTTTTCCATGTAAGGCAGACACGCCTCATAAACCTCCCCATAACCAGGGTACTTGATGATCCTCTGAAACACCCCCTCATCAACCACTCTAGTAGACTGAAAGAGACCCAGCAATGAAGAAATCAGCGTAGCTTGGCCGGGAACCGAGCACAAACGGACCGTCCGCATTGTGCGTCCGTATCAGGTCGCCAACAGCGCCCAAAACTTCACTAACACCGTCCCAGACCCGGTCCTCCTTGTCCCCATCAAGCAGATCCTCGAGACGATGACCAAGGGAGGCTTCGCGTGTGCGTCGGAAATACTCCTGCGAGCGCGGCGACAAGATGCGGATCTCGCGCGGCATCACTGACGAGTAGATGGCTTTGCCGAGCACACTACGTGCCTTGGTCTCGATCTCCCGACCGAGTTCTGATGTCAGTGGTACGGGTGGGACTGGGTAGGTCGATTCTAGGAACTGTGCGATCGGAAGTGAGTCCATAATGTATGTGCTGGTTGGCACATGTTGAATTGCGGGGACAGTGTATTTGGGTCCTGATGTGGATTCTCCCGGAACCAGGCCACTGAAGGATTTAGGGTTAGCTTGTGGCTGTTCTCATGTACGATGCAAGGTCGGGCTTTATATCGAGACCTGGAAATGAAGGGAAACGAAGGGGATTGAGAGTAGAAATGAAACCCAAAACAAGGTAAATGTAACCCACAGTTCCTTAAGCGTGGGCTCAATGTCTGGAAACTCGAGGAATATGGTTTTATAAGGAATATTCTTATAATTGAGCATGAGGCGAATGCGCCAGACAACGGGAGAGAAGCTGACGCTCTTGGTGCAGGCCAAGTCATACAAAATGATGTCGGGCTTGACGTGGGAAGCCATTTATCCGTGCTGTATTATAACCAGAAAGCCGAAAAGGTAAGGTGCAATGCAAATCAAACGATCGAGAATCAAGTGTAATACACAGAAATTGTGGGTAAAGTGGGAGACTGTCGAAAGGGCTGATGCTGGAATGCCGATGATTTAAGGGAGCTTGGCCCTATACGAAAAAGTACCCACCAGACCTTGAATTATAGGTTCTGCAGATGCTTCATGATGAGAATGCTATATATAGAATAGTTGACCATTGCCTGCTACCTCCGTTGGCTCAATACAGTTAGACTGTTTCATCGCTCCTTGACCAATGATGGATGATATGGACATGTCTATTATATAGGTCTGAAAATCAATACTGAACCCCGACAACATGCTGGTATATTCATAACTGGGATAAAAATCAAGATAGCAAAGCAGTTCCCTTCATAAATCCAAAACTGCTGGCATCCTTCATCCAAGTTGGCAAGATGGCCGAGTTGGTCTAAGGCGCACGGTTCAGGTCCACCTGATCCCGATGGTATACAACTGTCTCCGTGTCTCGAAAGGGGCGTGGGTTCAAATCCCACTCTTGTCATGTCTTTTTGCTCCTCTCCATAAGATGGCAAGTGTCTATAACTTCCTTTTTTTTCTATTCTACTCGTTCGCTAGCCACTAGCTACGGTGATATTCAAGTGCGCGGGTCCAGACACTAGATGTAATAAAAACTCTTGATATAGTGTGTAGGCACGTGATCTAGCAAGGAGAGGTTAGTGGTCAAAGGTATATATATGCTCAACGAGGCCAAAAAAGACCACTGAAAAGACATATGGAAAGGCTATCGGATAAGACCACCTAAGAAGGCCGCTAAGAACCTTGGAAGACTATGCGGCTGACACTTCTTATAGTTGTTGGCAGGCGGTATACAGGGCGGTATACTTAGGTACAGAGGTCCCTCTCTGTACATGGCTAGTTTTATCTATAAAAATCAAACAACATCGATAAGAATGGGTAGAATAACGAGGAGAACAAATGTAATTGACAGTGAGAACTAGTGAAGTCTAGCCTAGATGAAATATAGGGTCTATGCAAATTTCATTCATCTGTGCAGTTTGGAACCAAGTTTGATCGACTTAAGACCAGCAAACGCACCGCCCTAAAATTTCACTCAACCACCTATTCACTTTCTTCACCAAGACACCAAAAATCCATTGAGCTAAAAAAGGCCTTGATTTGAGGCTGAATGGGCAAAAACAAAAACAATATTGATAAGAGTGGGATTCGAACCCACGCCCCTTTCGAGACCAGGAAACTATTGCTAGTTGTGGAGTTAAGGTATACCTTAACCTGGCGCCTTGGACCAACTCGGCCATCTTACCAATTGGTTGGAAAGCAGATGAGAATATGACTACATGAAAGGAACCTTAATCCCAGTTGCCATAATGACATGCAAGTAATCAAAAATGGACTGTATGAATTGAAATGCAATCTTGGAACCTTGGAAGTGTCTAACAATTAGTAATATTTGGATATCCCAAAATATCCATACATATTCATGGGCACCCTTTTCATCTGATAGTAGCGCAGAGTGAGTTATCGCAGCCAGCGGAGGAAGTCAACAGAATTGTGACCGTCTCTATTATCCCTCCTGCATCAAACCGCGATCGGTGTTAGGTTGAAGAATCGCACTTGAAGGAGTCGAGATCACTCATTTCAAGACATGTCAGATTGGGCTCCGAACTCCGAGGTCCGACGTTTGGGATGCGATAAGATGTTAAGATGTTAACTGTCAGAACAGAGTCAAGATAAAAAGAAAAAACAGGGGTAATCCTACGTAGGAGAAAATATTTTTAACATTTGCATATCAACGGTTACAAGTCTAATATTGTTTTCGGATGTTCAAGGGTCCAAAGTGCCCAGGTGAACAAAAGAGAGACACATTGGGGAAGAGGGCTGAAACAGGATGCCACCACATCAAGCCAATCGATAACGGCAATTTAGGGTACCTTTTGGCGAGAGAAATGGCGCTAGGGTGATGCCTACTTTTTCATTCCCTGGATTGTAAATTTTGGAGATCGTTCTCTCTTTCACCCTTTAACCATCTTCCTCTAAGAATGCCAACGGCAGAATGCCTCCAAGCAGCGAGACAGACCCCCTATTAGTCTCAAACCTAACCCGAGCACTGACTCGGAAATCAAAGAAATTCCTCATCCTAGTCGTGTGTTCCATTCTCACACTATCGACTGATTTTGGAATTTTTATGTTAAATGCGCCGCAGACAGCTGTATTTGAAGAGATCATCTGCCGGAATTACCAGGTTGGTATCCATCAGGCTGGCGCTGGGAACACGATCTTGGACCCAGGAACTGGAAATGCTTTGCTGGATCCAAAGGCTTGCAAATCTGAGGCTGTGCAGGGAGAATTGGCTATCGTGATAGGGTACAAGGATACCTTCGATGTCGTCCCTGGTAGCTTGCCCTAATACCTGTACCTCTGCCGCATGTATGCTGATATTAATGATGATTCAGGTCTTCTGCTGTCACTTCCATATGGAATCCTTTCAGATCATTGGGGACGGAAGCCGGTCCTGTGCCTTTGCCTACTGGGCCTTATTCTGGGCGAATTCTGGGTGATAATAGTCTGTGAGTTGGTCATACATTTGATGGCTTTCATCTTTTTCTCATTTAATTCATAGGCATATGGTCAAATTACATCCCTCTGCGGATGGTCTGGTTATCATCACTATTTAAGATCATCGGCGGCGGCGATCCGGTAATCTCTACTATTGTTTGTGTCATAATAGCCGATGTCTTCTCGGAAGATGAAAGGTATTGTCGCGCTTTAGCGGTCTTGCAAGATCATCAAGCTAACAAATGCGCAGATCAACTGCCCTCTTTCGTCTGAACTCTGCTGCTATCCTGGCGGAAATCTTGGCTACGCCCATAAGCGCCTATCTGATGACCTTCAGCCTAATGCTCCCCTATATCTGAGGAGTCGGTCTTGTTATTTTAGGAACAATCCCGGTCGTGTTTCTTCCTGAGACACTGGAAGACGTTAAATTGAAGCAACCAACCCCAGCAGAATCAGATCGGGAATCAGATCAGACCACTGAAAATGAGCGAGTAAAGCAGCGAAGGGGCAAGAAAGAAATATTTCGAGAGTTTACTCGACAGTCCCGCGAATTCATCGAGTCGACCCGATTTATTTGGTCCGACTCTAATGTGTCTACTATGATTCTTGTGTTTTTTGTCACGATAATAGGGCGACAATCCACAAACCTGCTTCTGCAGTATGTGTCAAAGAAGTTTGACTGGAGCATTGCTCGCGTATGTCCCATTTACCCATTCGAGGTACCAGAAACTAACCACATAATAGTCGAGTCTTTTGATCTCGCTGCGCGGTATATTCTCTCTTTTGACCTACTCAATCTTAATGCCAGGCCTATCTGTGCTTGTCATCAGATACCCAGATCTCCATGGAAAATATAGAGACCATGTAATGAGCAAATGGAGTGGCGTCCTATCAATCATCGGTTTTGCGGCCATCTCCCTTGCCCCGACACCAGCGATCTTGATTAGCGGCCAGATCATCCTTTCAATTGGGTCATCGTTCCTAGTGACCACTCGCAGTCTGGCCACAGCACTTGTACTGCCCGACCATGTCGGCACCTTATACTCTGCCATTGCCATCGCACAGTCGGTAGGTGTGCTTGTCGCAGGCCCGCTATTCGCCAGCCTCTTTCGGCTAGGCATGCATCTTGGAGATGCCTGGATGGGACTGCCATTTCTACAGGCATCGCTCTTCTTTGCCATGGCGGTCATTGCCGTCTGGCGAATTCAGCTTGGACCATCGGTTCGGGGCGCCAACGAGGAGGAGCATGAATCTGTTTTACCCGAGCGCTGCTGATGCCTCTCCGTTTAATTATTTGGTCAATGCCTAATCGATTTAACACTATAAACGAAACATAAGCGGAATTCGACCTCAAAACAATATACGAATGGATGGGGCTGATAGAGCGGCTAGACAGCATCCAAATAATCCCGGATGCTAGGTACAAAATGACACGTCCACAAAGCAATGGATTACATGGGCAGCATGTTGTATGTGCATAGTAGTAGCTTCATGGTGCTATGGCTTAGACTGTTCGTTGAGCTTGATATTCGCTTCGATGAAAATACTAGTCTACTTCCATTTTGAAGAGAATATGGTATCGGCGGTCTCAAGCAACTGCTTGAGATGAGGATCGCAGGGAAATATTTCCAGAGATACCCCTAGTTCATATGTTGAGATCAACCCGCGCATCAGCTCCTGAGCTTGTTTCCCGAAATGAAGCTTCTGGTTTTGCAATACTAGCAGAGCCCTATCTTTCATCACGTCTGAACTCTGTTGTTGAATATATTAGCCAATATTCGAGGCAAAGGGGCGGCCTTGTGAAACAGAAAGAGTGGGATTTACAAATTCATCATCGGTAAGCTGGAAAGGAACGCTGTCATGGTTGTCATCCAATAGAGACTCCAGCGTATGAAACAAGGTATTTGACACTGTATTTGGTGTTCCTTGCTCAAATGACGGTTCTAGTCTTTGTCCAGAGCCACCTGCTACTTCTGCAAGGGTAGAGTCGAGCCCCAATAGTCCATTTGTGCCCTAAAAAGGCCAATATTAGTTATCTATTTTCTTTCCTAAGAAGAAGCGTGCAGGTGGATATCAGAGGTGAGCGAACCTGGGGGTCCGAATAAAATGGCATTTCTGGAAGAGGAGGATTGGAAAGGCGCGCCTCGTCATGTTGGGATGTATACAATTGCCCCGTAATGGTATCAAGTGTTGAGTTTTGATGTGAAAACGAATGGGAATCCATAGGGACCGAACTCAAGGACGGTAAGGCGGTTTGTATCCATGTTTCTGCGCCAGAAACCTCGCTATAATATCCCGTCTGAGCACCTGGGGAACAGTTCAATATGCACAGAGAGCTGCGGTCCTGATGTTGAATTGTCTTGAAATGATTCAGTTTCTTACTTCACTCCCCTTATTCACTCAGTCAGTTTCCAAACCAATCGCAGCATGCATATGACATACGAAACTTTTGTTGCGCAATGCGATTTTGCAGTCTTCTTCGTGTGCGATAATCTGTGATTGTGACCATAATGCCTCACTGTATGGTTTAAGGAGTGCTGCACATAATACCGACATTGCTGCAGTCTGCGAGCGATCTATTAGTACCTTGGTTCCGTCCAGGCTGAGGTAGACGCAAAAGACGCAGGATACCCATGATTACGGAAACCTTGACTTTTCTATATTAAGCCACCAACGACTCTAGATATGACACGTCAACATTGATCCATTGGACGTTAGGGATCACACATAAACGCCCGGAAGGAACGGTCCGCCGTCCGCCCTGATCGAAGTGTCACAGAGGGGCACAACGTACTTCTCAGCAGGTGACAGATAGCTCGTGTAGCTCCTGAATAAGGTTAGAGTCTGAGGCCACTATCCTAACCCCTGCTGTTGTCAAACAATCACCAATGGATTCCCCTGCTTGTGCTTGAAGGCTTTTCCGGACCCCGACGGTGATATTAGCGAACAAGACAAGGAATTTATAACCGAGATCTGCGGTAAGACTTGTGACTAGAAATTTAATACAAGGGAATTATAATTCACTTGAATACGAGAATAGTTGTCTAGGCTACCGTAGCGGGTTTTGATTCAGGAAGTGATAATGTTGTTTCACAGTCCATTCGGAGTTCCAGTTAGGAATTTCCCGAATAGGAAATTTAATCAAGTCCGATGCCGAGGTCTTATCCAGCACTTTATCTCAACCTTCAAAGCCTTGATTAACGGTCTCTGACCTTTATTTAAAAAAAAAGAAAAAAGGAAAAACATACTGTGAGAATGGCAACGCCTCGTCGAAATGGACAACTGTCATCGTGCGAGCCTTGCCGAAAGTCCAAACTACGATGCGACCACCAAAGTCCCATCTGCGATCGATGTCTCCGTCATGGCCAGGCCGAACGTTGCTTCTACCATCCTGCTCCACTAACTCAGCCCCGCGCACGCGCCCCCAGGATGATATCGCGGAGACCGAAGAGGCAGCAGCGCCCGGGCAATCAATCGGTTTTTCGTTTAGATCAAAAGATTTCCAGCACACCCCTGCCAAGCCCGCCGTCAGGTTTGCTGCCGTTTACAGATGAGGGGGATACGCCACGCGACCAGCATATCGCGAGGTGGACCCCGAAGGAGAAACAGACTCTGGGACCGGGAGTGCTAGGGTTGGTCTCCCCCAAAGATATTTTCAGGGAGTATGAAGATATCCTGCGTGTCGAAGAACCAGGCAACCTGCCAACAGCCACAATACCAACAACTGCATATTCATTGAGCGACCCCAATCAGGTGTTGCTAGGGGTTCAGATTCTATCACACCTGCAAAAGATCCATTGGTTCCATGAGATCATCGAATTGAAGAACAAGATATTCCCGGGATGGTTTCTGGGTCCTCCCTTGACTCGCGCCTTGTGTGATTCTATGGAGCAAATGTATGATCGTGCAGTTCGCAGCTCCCGGGATACCCATGCATCGCTGGCCACCTTGTCACGTCAAATATTTGTCAACACATCCAGAGATGTCCGAACACATCCGACAATCGACTTACCTGAATATTTCGATTCAATAACCGCGAGATGGGAGACAATTGGACTTGTCTTCGTCCTGCTGGGGACAGCATTATTCCATACACCCGATGACGACCCGATCTTCACACATCGCAACCCGTGGAAGCTTGAAAAATGCCAGCTCAGAAATATCGCCACCGCCGTTGGAGAGATTTGCTGCCAATTTTGCAATGGTGCTGGCACCACTAGCGACCCATTTTGCTGGCTCATGACGCAGCAAATAGTACTCTTGACTTCGATGTATGGTGACAGCGGTAATCACATCACTATTCAATATTACCTGACTGGAAAAGAGAGAAAATGGCTGACGTCTGGATAGACTACAGGGTTTGGCAAAAGCTCGGAGATCTATCTACCATCATTTACGCGTTCGGCTTGCATCAATCCAGTGAAGACATCGAAGAAAAATCTCCGTTCTTCTTGGTGGAGATACGAAAGCGGGTTATGGTGTGCGCATATGCCATTGATAAGGAGCTAGCAACTTCTTTGGGGCGTCCCCCTCGGATCTGCTCTCGATACTGTATTATTCCGCTCCCCTTGGACATAAGCTATGAGAATATGGTGCTATCACGCAGTGAAGGAGAGAAGGCATTGGAGAGTCTCGACCCGAATGGTTGGAATACCGAAGGAAAACTGACTGTTGGCGTCAGGCTTCGCGTCGTGCTACTGACGAGTTTGCTGCGAGAAAGTATCCTGGAACTGTCTTTGAGTCCTACGACGCAGCATATTCTAGCTAGAGCTGAGTTCGTATCCCATTATAGATTTCATATTATGTTGGTATCAGGGGCTGACCGGAAGAAAACTACACAGAAAGTTGATTCAGGAATCTCGTCAGACGCAACGAAACCTTCCATCGTTTTTGCACTGGTCCCCCGAGGAAGCTGCAGCGGGTGCTTACAGATTCACAAGAGATGAGGGCCGCGCCTTCGCTCACATAGAATTTACGTACCAGGAGTTCCTGCTACACCGAATCTTGCTAAAGCGCGTTGGGATACACTCACAAGGTCTCATTGAAAGTTCCATGGAAATAATTACCACGCTGTTAGACATTATTGCCTTGCAGACCCGGCCTGCTCAATTGATGGCAAATATGTCGTGGGATGTAAGCCTACTGTGGTCTTCAATTCTGCCGTTGAACCTCATAAGCTCATCTTATCCTAGTTATGCTACATGGGTCTTCCTGCTGCAGGCATTCTGACTTCGAAACTACTCTCGGAGCATACCCCTCAGATATCGAATCCATCATCAACGCCGTTGCCTACCAATATTCGCTCACTTACAATCCAAAAGCTTAATACTTTTGTCTCTCATCTAACCTTCCTGGTGCCGCCGCACGAAGGGAGTTATGAGATTGCCCAACAGGGAGCGAGATTTATTCGTCGAGTGCTCGATCGAATTCTTTCTCCCTCCTGCCCCCAGCCGGCCCCTTCAATCCCGGATATTGAACTGTCTGAAAATTGGCTTGACGGTTGTGATTTGGATGGCAACCTTGATTTTATGGCATGGTTTGACAACATCCACTGGTCGCAGGACCCTTTATTAAACTTCACCTGAATTCGCTACCACCATCTTAAATCCAACATATACCTCTAAGATGCAATACAAAAGCCTGATCTTGTTCGAATAGATGTTGTAACGCACGCCCGAATATTGCTTCCTGCAACAGCAACAATAAAGAGTACAGTCTCGTTCAAAGTCCATCTTCTCTTTGCATAAATGTATATCATAGGTAAATCAATTTCCGACCAAATGAACAACTGAAGACGAATGGGGAAGGACTTGTCGCGTCAGCTAACGAAAGGCATCAAGGAATCTTCAATGCAGTATATATTTAGGACACTAAATAATTCTTGGACGCTACCAAAAATATACGCATCCTGTGCTCGGGTATGAACAATCTTAGTGCTTCACAACTCTTCCAAAAAAGTTCAATCATCATACATGCTTGAGTGAACCATCCCACAGCCAAATTCTACCCAACGCGTTTCCTGTTTGACTACCCCGACCATTTACCTAACTACCAAAGTTAGTGCGTTCCTGGATCAATGGATCGAGTAGATATACAGACTGATTTCCTAGGCGTCGTCTGCCTCAATACGCTTGCCGATTCTCCAGGCCTCATCAGCTTCAGCACGCTTGCCGATGTTCCAGGCCTCATCAGCCTCAACACGCTTGCCAATTCTCCAAGCCTCATCAGCTTCAGCACGCTTGCCGATTCTCCAGGCCTCATCAGCCTCAGCACGCTTTCCAATCCTCCAAGCCTTATCAGCCTCGACGCGCTTTCCGATCCTCCAGGCCTCATCGGCTTCTGCACCAGTGTGCACGACGAGCGCCTGTGCTCCAATAGCCCAAGCAAAGGCTATATAGATAGTGCTGGTGAGATGCATCTTAGGGGGTGATTTTGGTTGGAAACCAGGCAGGTGAAGGATTTGAAGTTGAGGTTTTGAGGTGATATGTTTCTCAAAGCTGATATGTGGATGTAACAAATGGGCAGCTCTGCTCGCTTTTATATTTCTGTCTCTGGCTTTTTGTCTAAGCTCTGTATTTTGATTAAAACCGTGAGTATCAGAAAAGCACAGGCAATGGCAGGACTGTCACGGTGTAAAGATGTCCAGTATCTCACGCCGGAGTCTACCCTGTCATGGACTTGGTCTAGACACCGAGCTTCGGTGCATTTTAATGATATTACGTATGCTCTCTTCGTGTTCTATGCATGCTTACTTTCTTATGTCTTATTCGCTAAAACAGTACAGAGCTTTAGGCAAGCACTATTGATATACGAATTACCTTAGCTGAAACTGTCCCGTCACCTGTAGCTTTCGCGCTGCTAGCAACAAGCCTGCTGTCTAGTGCATGTCAGCGACTGCATCCTGCCTTTCCCCGCGCGTAAGCTTACAATTGGTCTTTTCATTGGCCCGATTAGAGTATCGCTCCAGTACCCACCATTGTGATTACTATGGCTGTGATATCATTTACAAGACAATGAATGCCAGTTCATCTCAATTTGCTTAGGGCTTATACTGGGTTTATACGGAATTTGGACATGTCTTAAAGTACTCCCAAGTCATGATAATAATTTTTCTTCTGGTTTATTTGCTTCTATCATTGAACAAATCGCAAGAAACTACTAGCACTCGACTTAAGCTTCAATGGAGAAATATTCAAAGCTGGGTCCTGAGGATAATCCCTCTGTGGAATCCTTGCTCCACGGTAGAAATGCAACTTGTTCGGAAGATGATGGCTTAGACAGCTTCACTTTCAAGCAGCACGATGTTTCCTGGCTTAAGCGACACAAGATCTCCATCGTCTTTAATTTTCTCGTATTATTGCTGAACCTGATACTATGTTTCTTATTTTACGCCTGGCTCAACCACCAATACTCCCATTACCCACTTTTCAAAGAGAGTGAGTGCTTCGACGAGAAGGAAATCGGAATTGTATTTTACACATAACTAACACCTATCCAACAGCACCCGCTCGCGATGTTATCAGATTCGAAGGAAGGCAGCTGGATTTGCTACCTGTATATCTGCCCAATGGGACCTTGAACCCTGAAAAGCCAGGACATTTCAACGGAAAACCAACAACCGAACTCGCCGAAGATTGGAAGAGTATCATGCAACGTATGGACCTTATTGATCCTTCCATGAATATGGGAAACCTCCAGCCTCGCTGACTCTTTGTATAGACCAGAATATTCGTCTGCAAAAAGATGAACTTGGTCCATTCGCCCATGATGACAGCGTCATCCAACTTGCGGATGGATCTGGTTATTTCGCTACGTTAGCGGTGTTCCATGGACTGCATTGTGTGAAAAGATTCCATCATTACATTCATCGGGATTCTTACTATCCCAACATGACCAAGGAAGATACCGCACGCCTCTTGTACCATACTGGTGAGTGAGGCCAGAGCAATCAAAACTGACCGGTGTTCTCGTGGGTTGGTGCTTACGAATTCGAATTCAGAGCATTGTGTTGACTGGTTGAGGCAATATGTACAATGCAACGCCGACACTACGCTCATCCCCTTTTACTGGGGAGCTGGGTAAGATATTCCCACAAGCCAGCCTATGCATGCTATGCTAATGTTTGACATAAGACAAAAGCACCCTTTAGCTGTTGATAAAGCGAAACATCAGTGCGTGAAATGGGAGCCCCTGGAGCACTGGATGGCGGAACATTCTTTCGACGCCTTCGAGCAAGGTCTACTCATACATCCTCTTTACGGTAAAGATACTATTAGCTTTGACTCCAGATGTAAAGGTGCTAATTTTCTGATATAGGGGACCCTTACACTGGAGAGAAGGCGGACACAATTGGAATCGCTTTGGGCGATCATGCTCTGGAGGTCGGGCATGGGGGGCATTGAGAACTGACGGGGACGTGAGGTGGAAATTTTAATTAGAAAATTTAAGACCCATATCGTGTGAGAAATTTAAAGAATCGAGCCTTGGAAGATGCCTCGGGCTGATACTAGGTAGCGAGGATGAGTTTCCAGTCGGTCGTTAAGTTTCCGCTTTCTGCCTACTGTAAGGATCTAGAAAAGAAGACTTTTTTCTTTCTTAAAAATTTATTTTGCACTAATCCTTTTACGTTTATATATCGTGTCATCACGACATTTCTGTTCTTCGATGACCGAGTACATACTACTCCGTAGGCCGTTAACATATAACAAACCCTGCGGAGTATACCGAATCTATTCGAAGATCTCCGCATCGCATGCAAATCATTCTTGAAAAAGAAATAATGGACTGACTTGCTGTTCTTCGTATGGTACAGTGCTTATCTGCGTATGCAGTAGACAGTCACGCTAGGATAATTCGGGCATAATGCTTACATGTGAATTCAACGAATTGGAAAAGATAGGGCAATATGGAGAAGTAAGCTTACGGTATTTTTGACATCTCGCTATTAGTACGAGCATGGCCGTATCCACTTCTCTCGCGCTAAGTTTTATAAACCGTTTACAAGGATGGCCCTTTAGATCCACTACGGAGCTACTGTGTTTGGGGAGCGGGTTTACGCTTGGCCTGCACAGAGCTGATAGCCAACAAACTCTCTCTTATCAGGGCATCAATAGTGATAGTACTGACCTACACATCGTTCCTTCCCAGTACCTTACTCTGGAAAGATTCTCAGCCTGACCCAACGAAAGCGAGATAGGGCTCGTTGAGTGTACTGCAGAAGCTTTGAGCAGTGAGAATCCCCTTTGCTAAGTGTCACTATGTTTAACACTCTCCCATAAAAGCAAATTTCTGCTTTATATGCTTGCTTACTGTTGCCCTCAATATTAACTTATCCTTGGGACAGAACTTGATATAACTGCAGCGATCCGATCACCTTCTCGCGGTTATACTCCAGCCGTGCCCTGTACCATTACAGATGGACCTAACGGAGATGCCTTCTGTTTCCAAGAGCAGACCTCACTCTGTGGGCATCGTTCGTGACGAAGAATGTGTCAAAGTCGCTGATCAACTGCCTCTGTACCATTCCGACCGACGCCACAGCCGGTGCTTGAATGCGGCAATCCGAATTATAACGATTCTCCTGGCGTCTTGGGGATTTATATCTATCTGCCTCCAATTGTCTCGCCTTGTTAGACCGCCTCCACCCACACCCGACGTATACAGACCAGAGACTCTGGAACCTACTATGAACCTATGTGACTGTGGGCGCAACGTTGAGGAGGCCCTTTCTAAGCATTGTGTGTACGATTCGCTGGCTACAGCGTGGCTACCCCCTCACTGCCGCGACGACAAACTGACGGCGGAGTTTGACCAATCGGGTCCGTCACCTGATGGATCATGGCCCTACTATGCGGATGCAAATGGCACCATCCCGATTGAAAAAGCCCAAGTTGCACTTTTGGGCGATAGTGAAGGAAGCTTCTGGAGTCTGAGAGACTGGCATATTGCACACTGCATGTTCTACTGGGAAAAATATATACGAATGAGAGAAACGGGGGTAGTGATGGAACGGAGGTTCGATAGTGTCGCTCATGCGCGGCATTGCAGGCGGCTGGTCATGAACCCGACGAAGTTTCACAAGCAGCTTTTGGAGGTGCCTGTGATGATGAATTCAGGGATCAATGAAGTCGAAGGTGGGCATGAGCACGAACATCACCATGACCAAGGGCAGACCCCTGGTAGGGATTAGATACTAGAATTTCCCCATCAATTTTCCATCATTTATTTCATGGTTTCTTTTGCTGCTCTGTGTGCATTGCTACTCATGCGGATCTCGCCCGGGTTGGGGGGTACTTCTGTATATAACGCGGTCCCTTTCTCGAACCTTTTGAGCATTATGTGCATAGCTGTACGTAGCACAGGGGCCACTGCTACCAATACTTCCAAGCTTTGAACTCCAGGAATACATATGCAGACATCCATTGATGGCTTTTCCCTCAAGGGTGACTAAAATATGCAGGCCTCGCCAAAACCCGTAAACATAACTTTCACCCTGCGATTCGTCGATGTGGTCTAGACTCAGAAGAATTTCCCAAAAAAAACAAATAGTATATCGATAACAATCTTGGGGCTGAAGAGATAATGCATCTTCGGAGTTCAACAATTGATTCTTCCCAAATAGGTAATTGGGCGCGGTTGCTCCGAGTTAGCTCTAGGGGTATATCCACATGGAGATGTTCCTATCTTGGTATAAATAATTTAGTGTATGTCGTGGAATCAGCAATAGTCCTTAAACGCAACATAATTTATTGGACACTCAATATACCCAACAATACTAATGGCAACCAGCTTGTGCTGGTCATTGGAAGCCGACAATCGCTTTGGCCCTCGCGTCAGCATCGATTGTCGTGCCTTTGACTTTACGCTCTTATTTGAGGACATATTTTTCTCATCTCTGCCAGCCGCGGTTTTCTTATTGGTTTTACCCATAAGGATTTGTTTTCTCCGACACGAGACGGTCAAAATCAATTCATACAGATTAGCGGCCTGCAAACTAGTAAAAACATCCTTCCTTATACCTTCCCGACCGTTTCTAAGCTCAAGCAGTGCCTTCTAGCCGTGTTATTCGTTCTTCAAGTCCTGTTTGCGGCATTTCAAGTCCGAGAATCGTCCCTTCATACGCGGGCTTCTTTGCCTGCAGTCATACTCAATATCATAGCAACATTTGCAGCGTCATACGCCTCCTTCGTAGAGGACCAGCGATCTGTGAAACCCTCGGATATCCTAATTCTCTATTTCTCGGCGTCTAGCATTTGCAGGCTGCCTCAGCTGCGCTCACTATGGCTGATCCCATCCGTTGGAGGTTGTCGATATCTCTCGCTAGCTTGCTTCCTGTTGACGGTGGCAATTATAGCCCTTGAGTCGGTCCCAAAAACCAAGATCCTGCATTCTAACCATTGTGGTGGTACCGACGAAGGAAAGGTCGGGTTTTGGAGCCGAAGCTTCTTTACCTGGGTACTGCCATTCCTACAAACAGGGTATCGGGAAGCTCTCGAGGTTGAGGATATTCCGGAAGTTGACATGAATCTTCAAGGACAATGCTCGGGCGGCAAACTTCGAGAATCCTGGGATTCTGCAAGCACAGATGGCCATTATCGCTTAATTAAAGCCGTTTTTCGTGCATACCGATGGGCTTGTGTCTCCGCGATCCCCCCACGCCTGGCCTACGGTTGCTTCACCTTCGCACAGCCTTTTCTGATCACAGCAACTGTGAATTATATGGGAGGATCAACAGTGTCAAAGCCTAAGATTTACGGAACTGGACTCATTGGCGCGTATATTCTGGTATATGTGGGGTTGGCGGTGGGTGCTCATTCATGATTGCCAATGAAGCATGTCTCTGACGGTCGCAACAAGGTCTCTAAAGCCGTATACTGGCGTCAAACTTACCGCCTACTCACAATGATGCGGTCTGGTCTTATTTCTATGATCTATGACCAGACCATCGGCATGACTGCGGCTGATTTGACTGATTCCGCAGCTATCACGTTGATGGGCACTGATGTCGAACGGATAGTGGCTAATTTGAAGAACCTACATGAGGCATGGGCATCTATCATAGAATTGGGGATTGCGATATGGTTGTTGGAGCGCGAGATCGGGGTCGCCTGCTTTATACCCCTCGTCATCTCACTGGGTAAGAGTTTCCTCATCTAATTCTAACAGAAACATTTCAAGAGCAACAACTGAGAAGCTCCATTAGGCACCGTGTTTGCAATGGTTCCAGTGTCAAGCCGATCTGGACAGGCGCAAAAACAATGGATTGAACGAGTGCAAACGCGACTAGCAGTGACAGCAAACACGCTAGGCAACATGAAGGCTGTGCAAATGCTTGGGCTAGGCGATGTTATTTTACCGCTGGTGTCGTATCTGCGTGAAATTGAAGTGAAAACTTCAGTTACTTTCCGAAAGTTGCTGATATGGCAGGTTGCGCTCTGTAAGTACCCAGCATGGATTAGATGGCTACCAGGACATAAACTGATGTTGAATCCAGCCAACTTGCCAGTCGTCCTTGCCCCCTTTGCTACGTTTACAATTTACGCGATAATATCTGTTGTGCGACACGATGGGACAATCCTCTCAGCCCAAGCATTCACATCCCTCGCTTTGATTTCTCTTCTCACGAACCCCCTGCTCATATTTTGTCAAGCCATGCCTGCACTCTGGCAGGCTGTCGCTTGCTTTGACCGGATTGGAGCATATTGTGCGGAGGGTACCACTTTATCTGAAAAATGCGATGACGAGGTTCAGCCATTGCCGACATCTGAAAAAGTCCGTCCATTCTTGATCTCATTCCAGAATGCAGACATAGCATGGTCCTCAGAAAAAGAGTCCATGCTCTGCAATCTGAATGTTAATATTTATCCGGGCATCACGATGATAGTAGGTCCTGTTGGATGCGGGAAGTCAACTCTGATTGAGAGCATCCTCCACCAGCACATGGTTAAAAATGGTTCCCGAACAAGATCATTCTCAAGAGCGGCCTATTGCCCACAGACACCATGGATTAGGAACGTCACCATCCAGAACAACATCGTTGGATTCCTGGAATTTGACAAAACATGGTATGATACCACATGCACCATGTGTGGCCTGCAAGAGGACCTCGACGCCCTTGCAGAAGGTGACATGCATCTGGCTGGAAGCGGCGGCATCTCACTTAGTGGAGGCCAAAAGCAGCGAATTGTGAGTCATTATGCACGACATGCAACTATATTTGTACTCACTGATGAATCCTCGCTTTGGATCTGTAGGCGCTCGCCCGAGCAGTCTACTCTAGGCTTGACGTTGTCATTCTGGATAATGTGCTCAGCGGGCTAGACTCGACGAGTATTGCTCTTATCACGAACCGGCTTTTCGGCAAAGACGGCCACTTTAAAAAACTGGGGATATCAGTTATTCTCGCCATGAGTACCTGTATGTCTTGAGATGCCTTGAGGGGGAATGATGACTATTACAACGCGATCAAGGGCCAGTGCTAAGAGAACATATAGATCAGTTGCTTCCTCATGCGGATCAAATCCTGATGATGGACGAGGGAAAGATTACAGCATCGGGGTCATACAATGAGATGCTATCCAAAGAGCCAAAAATTGGCTTAGAGGTTCAGAAGTCAACATCGGATCCTCTTGAAATGGTGGAAAGGCCAAATTCTGGTCTCACCGTTGTCGAAAAAAGAGATCACACCAGCATTGCTGTGGAAACAGCCGACGATAAAAAGACCATCCGTGTTAAACCTCAAGGAAATTGGCCCGTATACACATACTACTTTCGGAGTGCAGGATACAGCATTTTGGTCTCGTTTTTGGCATTCTCTGTTATTGAGTCTTTCTGTTCCAACTTTCAAAGTCTGTTCTGGTTGATCCCTCCTCAGAAGGAAAGCTGACTTCTTTTAGCATTGTGGATTCAATGGTGGGTTGAGGCAAATGAAGAGCAACCAAATAAGCAGCTGGGCATGTATCTTGGTATTTACGGTCTGATATTTGGATTGACATTTTTGAGTCTTGTCGCTGGCTGCTGGTAGGTGCTTTCGATGCGATTTCTTTTCAGAGTTTCAGAGCTGACTGGAGCTCATAGGTTGCTCTTCGTTCGAGCCCTTAACAATACTTCGCTGAACTTGCACTCTGATCTTTTTAAAACAGCCTTTAGGTGGGCGATCATAGTCTAACTTAGATCCATATTTTGTCGTACTGATATTTCCTACCATAGGGCATCGATCAGCTTCTACCAAGGTGCAGACACCGGTTCAATAACGAATAGGTATTATTACCAACCCCTCTGCCTGTGCTATTTGCTGTTTCTAATATATCCGAAATAGATTCAGTCAAGATTTGGAACTTATTGATATGATGCTACCGATATATGCCATCAATTTCGTGAATAGTACAAAACCTTCTCCAATATACAGCCAGAGCTAACCCACTCGACAGGTTCCGTCGAGGTTTTCATCAACATTCTTATTGTCTGCGCCATGGGTAAATACCTGGCAGTCTCAATCCCATTTTTAGGGGTGGTGCTATTCTTCATTCAGTCATATTACCTACAAACGTCCCGACAGGTCCGATTGCTAGATATCGAGGCTAAGGCGCCTCTCTTCACACACTTTCTCGAGACAATCCACGGCATATCAAGTATTAAAGCCTTTAACTGGGGGCCCCAGATGCAAGAGAAAAGCCACTCCCTACTAAACCGATCGCAGCGACCAGTCTACATGCTTTACAGTATTCAGCAATGGCTGATTCTGGTTTTGGATTTGGTTGTAGGGGCCATCGCAGTCATTTTGATTGCCATGATCACATCCCTGAGAGACCAATTCAATGCAGCATCCATTGGAGTTGCACTCAACCTTCTACTGACACTAAATCAAACCTTGGCCAATGCTCTCAAGATGTGGACCATGACTGAAATCTCTATCGGGGCTGTCTCGCGCGTACAACGATTCATAGAAGATACTCCCTCGGAAGAATGCCGCGTGGTACCCCCGATTTCCCCTCAATTACCGCATCACTGGCCTTGCGGTGGTGCGGTGGAGTTCACAGACGTGACAGCTGGATACGAGTACGTATTATTGTCCCGCTTGAACAGCAGTTTCTTTTGTTCTATATATTCAAAGCTAAGTCAGACACAGCCATTCAACCACTCTGGTCCTCAAGGGTCTTACGATAACCATCAAGCCGGGTGAGAAAATTGCCGTTTGCGGACCATCCGGGAGTGGCAAGACATCATTTATCATGGCGATACTCCAGATGCTTGATATTCAGTCCGGACGCATCAGTATAGACGGCGAGGACCTTGCCGAGATTGCGAGAAACACAATCCGCTCACGCATCAACGTTGTCCCCCAAGACCCATTTTTCATGCCAGGGACCCTCCGGTTCAACCTTGATCCTCACCAGTGCGCGATCGATGCAGAACTGGTCCGTGCCGTCGAGAAGGTGGGCCTCTGGGATCAAGTCCACGCCAAAGGGGGGGTTGGATATGGAGTTCTCTGCTGCGGACTGGTCGGTTGGACAGAGGCAATTGCTTGCCTTGTCTCGGGCCCTTGTGAGGAAGAGTGCCCTGTTGATCTTGGACGAGGCCACAAGCAGGTAATGATATGTCCGGACATTGTTCTATCGACTTATGAAACTTTTTGCGATGAAAGCTAATAATTTTCTTGTGTTAGCGTCGATTGGGAAACGGAGGCGATTATGCAGGATATTATCGAGAAGGAATTTCCCGAGCAAACTATTATCGCAGTGGTGCACCGGTTTCGTTATATTAATTGGTTCGACCGGGTTATGTTGCTCAAACACGGGGAACTTGTGGAGTGCAATAGTGCCGAAGCTCTGCTGCAGAGGGATTCGGACTTGCGAAAGCTATATTTGGATTTCCAGCAGCCGTCCACTAGTGGAGATCTCTAGTTGAAAAGTGGAGACTTTGTATTTACCAATGGTGGTCATCTGTTCACATCTCCCGAGGCTAGGATAACACCACCAGGAACGGGCCCGACGCAGAGTCCGATGTTTGTTGACGTAAGAATGGGGCCTAGAATCTTGTCACGTTTGGAGCAAAGCGAGACGTCCGCTGCAACGGCGTAGGCAGATATGCCTCCAATCTATGTCCGGTTCCAAGATTTGATTGAGTTTAAAAAGAGGGGAACCTTGGAACCTGTTACCCCACACATCCACCATGTGGGGATACCGCAGTCGATAGTAGCAGTATGGCATGTTCCAAGGTTACTACTCCACCTACTTGGCATCCATCTACATGGTAGTACTTCCGAGGTCCCCCGAAAGTAGCCCAGCCTTGGAAGGGATCTTAGAAACATCCCCCGATGTGAAAGATCTGGAGGGCGATATCGGGTTGTCTATAAAAGACACCCATTATCCTTCCACCTAAGCAACCATCCTCATCATATCATCATCAATGAATATGTACATATCCTTGGCTTGTGGGCTCCAGTTATATTTCCTTTCGCAACACCGATTATCTCCGCATAACCCCTCTTCCCGACATCCAAGTTTGCAACCTTGGAGGATTCTGTGTATAAAAGGAGCTCAGCGGACCCTTAAGGATTAGTTTCACGATTTGCTTTGTGAATACCATTTTACTCCCTTTATTTCTACTTTATTCCCTTTTTCTACCATATTCGCAACACGGTTTTAAATAAATCACAGAGATCTGAAATATGACAGTGGAAAATAATCACCTCACGAAATGCCAGGTGCCTCGGAGCATTCTACAATGTACGTCGTTCTACATTAATTCCGCCAGCAGAGTCCTACACAGTGTCTTATTAGTAGCAAATTCACCCAGATCTTCCAATCGCTGGCAGCAAAGTAGTCGATGCCACTCAACACGGTCAATCGCATTACGGACGCACTGCACGGTTAACAATTCAACTTCCGTCGGGACTACTTACAAGTTATTTTCTAAAGGTAGGGAAACAGAGCACCATACAATGACCCTAGCGACAAACTATTGCCCAAGAACAAACTGTTGTGACAGGCATTCATCCCGATGCCTTGTTTGTCAGGCTTCACATGTTTGCTAGCTAGTAGTATATTAGCTAGTCTCGCACTGTCAGAGAATTTAACCTTCTTCTCTCCCTCTCTCCCTCTGGCTTGCTGCCAGATCATAAACCGCTAACCAACTCAGTAGATCCTAGACGGAGAACTCGGAATGATCACCTGCCGAGGCGAGTATGAGTCCCTCAAGTCAATTTACTCGGTGTGCGCACATGCCCCAGCACCACTTGGATGGGGCAGCTATACCGAGGACAATATCGACTATTCTTATCTCCTCGTTGAGTTCCTGGCCATCCAGAAGCAGGTAGGTGTCTAATTGTCCCGAATACTTTTTTCCCCTATTAAACGATCTTCCTCTCTAGCCTGCGGATGCAAAGAACCTTGCCGCTTCCCTAGCAGAGCTGCATCTGAAGTCTCAATCCCCAACCGGCAAATTTGGGTTCCATGTGCCCACCTGTCATACTCGCAATGTTCAGGCTGTAGATCTTTGGACGGACTCATGGTGTGAACTCTTCTCCAGTCATTTTTCGCGCATTATCTCCCATGCCAAGACCGCTTTCATGTGGCCTGAATTTGATCATCTTGGAAGACTAGTTCTTTCCAAGGTCGTCCCTGCTCTTCTTTTGCCATTGCAGACGGATGGGCGTTCCATTAAACCGTGTCTTGTCCATGGGGATTGCTGGGATGGAAATACCGCGACTGGAGAAGACGGTCGTGCTTTCTTTTTTGATGTTGCCTCTTTTTATGCACACAATGAATACGATCTAGGTAACTGGAGGGCTCCCAGACACGCTGTTAGTGATCCGGCGTATACGGATGCCTACAAAGCATTGGTTCCCGTATCTGAACCAGGTGAGTACTTTACCGTAAGTATATACTACAAGAAGGGGGCAAAAATTATTAACACAGTATTTGTTTTAATCTCTCAAGTCGAGGATTGGAATAGCAGAAACCTGCTTTACTCCTTGACATGGAACATATGTAATGCATTGTTTGTGCCTCACTCCACGCAAAAACCACAGTAAGGCTATCTTCGCAGTATCAGGACTTTTGTTAGCAACAGATTGGCTAATTTCAATGTTATTTTAATAGGGTGTTCAAAGACATGATAGTCCTCTGCGAGAGGGTTTGTCCGGATGATCTTGATAATCTGCTCTCTGCCCAGGACAAGGCGAAAGGGATCATCACTGATCCCCCGATGTTTATCACGAGGACTGAACCATTCTATACTGAAACTGAGAATGAGGTCCCAAATAGCTAACCAACCCTGAAAGTTAAGCTACCTTTTTTGGACCCATCAACATTGCCGTGGGGTGTGAATTCAAGACCTCGCTTGACAACGACAAGTTCATTTAGTTTGACAAAGATAATCTCAACCGTGCGTCCAATATCCAGTAGCATCTGATCCGTGGGAATCACCCAGTCATTAGGAATAAAGAAATGTCTTATGACAGGCTCCTCCGTCTTTTCTAGATTGATGGAGCACACCCAGCGGTCAGTGTCGAGGTGGACTAAACGTTCATCAAGCGCCCCAATAAGGGCTTCAACTCTTGAGGACATGGTACCAAAGCTGTGTACAGGGGATTGCATCGTCCTATCTGAACTGAAGTCTCTAAAATCCCATACATATATCTGTGGCTGAGAGGACTGAGTAGGCGAGGTGTCTTTCGTTATTGTCGCGAAGCAATGGGGATGATGGAGAGGAGTCACACGATCGATCACCGTCGAGGGGTCGAGTAGATGATCCGGAGAAACAGTGTTGAGGCATTCCAGAGAGATCCAGTTGTACGCCATTGCTCCAGTGGGCGTTACAAGGAGTAGATTATCGGGATGTGCGGCACTCTGAACCCAATATCTTTTGCCTTTGACTTTATTGCAAATTAGAGGACCCTTATCCCTAGAGTCAGTCAGATCCCAAAGAGTATCCTCTGATTTGGTGGTTACAAGAAGCCGGGATTTCTTGCTACAGACAAGCAGTTGCTGTATACTTGTTCCAACGTGTAAATCCAGAAAAGGATCCTGGATATCCCACCCCGATCGTGGTCGTCGCGTAAGTCTCCTGCTCACTACGTGACCGGCGCAGACTGCGCAGGCGAGAATGCCCTCGTCGAAGTGGAGGAACTTGATAAAAATTCCAGGAGTTTGTACAAACAGTTGCTGGCTCCGGAGCTCAGAGGCAAAGTCGTAGACATGCACGGATCCATCCATCTTTCCACAGAAATCAATTGAGGCAGACGGGACGCAGACAATGGACGTGATGCTTACGGCTTCCCGAATCTGGTAGTCTATCTCTTGAGGGTTAGTTGAGACGGACACCGTGTCACTGTTTATATCGTCGAGATCTTGTCTCTGCAACACTGCGGGGTCCCAGATCCGGCATTGGCGGGTCCGAACGTCGAGGAGTCGACTGCTGTCTGAAGTGAAGGCGAGGGCTTCGGATCCGAACGGGTCCCCATTGAACTTTAGCTGATATATCATTTTGAGTATCTCCATATCGTAGAGCCGAATCGTGCCCCGTGAGTCGGCAGTTGCTAATGTGCGGCCGTCTGGGGAGCACGCCAGCGCCTGAGCATTCACCCCCCGTAGAACGCCTCGAACGCTACCGGACAAGGTATCATACACCACAGCATCTCCATCTGAGTAGGCCGCAACGAGGACACTCGCGTCGATAGCGGGGCTGAAGGCGACAGTCCAAACTGTTGTGCTTCCGTTGCTTCTTTTCAGCGGCTCATATAGAGACCCGGACTCCTTTTTGTATATATCGTGGATTCGTTCTAGTTCAAAATCCCACAAAATAAGGTACTCCCCTTTATACATGATTGCCAGGAGCTTTTGCTGAGGACAGAACTCTGCGCCCAGAGGTTGTCTGAACTGGATATCACGATTCTCAAAATCATGTGTCCAATTGATCGGCTCGTCCGGTGTGATCCCACCGTTTTGGATATCCCAGCAAACCAGCTGATTGTTCCTCAATGCACCAAGCAGAAAGCAGTCGTTTTCTGTAAATGTCAGGGCAATGCACATCGCTGAGATTGGGAGCGTGCAAATCTTGGACCAGGAGTCCAGATTCCACACAGACACCGACTTTATACCGGCCGACGCGAGGTAGTTTCCGCTCTCCCCGAATGCCAATTTCAATACCGCCCCTTGTTGGTAGAAAGTATTGCATTCCTGACATGTGGTAATATCGTAAACTATGATTTGCCCCTCCGCCATGCCCGTGGCCATGTACTTATTTGATACCGCCACGCTCATCAGCCGCGCCGATTTGGGATATGAGATGGTGGACATGCAGTCATCCCAAGTATGCAAATACAAACCATGCACAGATAATCCCCTAGGCGACGAACCAAATAGTCGCCGCACAGTCGAATCGCGGGGACAAAACGGGGGGACGAGGTGGTGGATTGACAATGGGTAGAGAGAAAATTGGTGACCGAACAATATCATTTCCCCACTCTTGGATGAGCCTAAGATTTTTCTTCAGACCCATTGGAGATATATGCAGCGAGCGCCGTGTCAACATATTGTCGATGGCCTTTCCGGCATGAAACACCAACTGCAACTCTCCATGCCTGGCAAGATATTCAATCCAGCTCAGAATATTGGGTGACATGAGAAATTTCGCCAAGGCCACGAAAATATCCTCGTCCGTCGACCTGGCCAGAGTTAAATGTTTGAACACAAACTTGCATGCATAATCTGCGAACGGGGACTTCTTGGCTTCTGTGGAGAGGCTCAGCGTTTTTGAACGAGGGACTTTCATCTCGGTGCTGGAGAGATACTGGAGACACGCCAGAGTAAGTCGCCTGTGCGCACTTGACTTGTCAATTTCAAACTCCGCGACAATATTCTGACGTAGAAGAAAGTCCCGCGCAGTCAAATGAATTAACCGGACCATTTTCTGGCTATCAACGTAGGCGATGTTGCGACAACATGTGTTGATGGAGCGCTCAAAATCGTGGATGCTGTCATTGATGTCAAGCTCGATGGCCTGATGTATTTCATCTATCAACAGTGGCCGAAACGAGCATGCTGTCCAGGTAAGGAAGGTCTTCGCCAAATCTTTCCCGAACCGAGCGTCGGCCATATCCATGAGAATTTTGATGTAAAGATTATCCATGCTGTCGGAACTGCTCGCTAGGACTTTACGGATATCAGCGGATGTATTTGCCTGCTGGAGTTCCTTCAGCACTAGGTCAACCCAGAGGAAGCAACCGTTAGACATGTCGCCAATGTCATCCACCATAGCCTTTTTTTCTTTCATCATCGTTCCTTGAAGGCAGTGAATTATTATGGGCGTGCAGGAGAAGCGATATATCCTTCTTTGTGTCACGCTCTCCGATCACCTCCGACACGAACTCAATTGCCTGATTGGTGAAACCCATGGATGGCATCGGATATCGAGAAGTCACCAAGATCGACAATGGCCAGAGCTTTTGGACCTTTGCCAAGAAAGATAGGAGTTCGGAGCCTGCTTTGCACTCATCCAGAGCGTCGATGACCCAATATTGCTGCTTCATGTGAGGAACTTTGAGCAGACCGCGCAGATAAAGTGTCTGCCAAACAGGATTATGGTCCACCTTGTTGATCATTGCATCCTGCCAGGTCGCCGCGACATCTAGTACGGCCGACAGAATGTCGGCGTGTAATTGGGCCATCTGCCAAGCCAAAGACCTTAAGAAAGAATTTATGGTGACTTTTGATTTGTCCTCTTGCTTGAAGAAGAAAAAACAGCAATCTTGGCCCAAGCTCCGCAGACGGTTAATGATGTGACTGGTCAAAACGCTTTTCCCTGCACCCGGCCGTCCTCGCAGCCAGAGTACTTGGGAATAGGAAGAACCCAGCCATCGCTCGAATGAGGGTTTGCGTAAGAACCAATCACACGAGCCTGGAACCCGAGTGTCATCTTTGCTTATCAAATCTCCTTCTGGGGCTTCGGAGAAACCGAGGAATGTATTCAAGGCCTCTAACCGGTCCCCTTTTACCCGCTGGCCCTGAGATATTTGGGAGTCCCTTTTGCTCTCGATGTATGCTGCGAGCGAGTTCCGAACTGCGAGATAGGAGGGATCACTGGTAGAAGCAAAACGGGCGACATCTCGGTGATTCGCGTTGAGATACATCTTTCTTTCGTTGACGTAGTTCATTACGCCGAGTTTTTGTCTACAATAAGCCCTCGTCCAAAGACGTAGCTCATCGGCTTGTTTTCGTAAAATGAGAAGAGTTGCAGATTACCACAAAGGTGAGGAAATTTTTCGTTGATCGATTCTAGTGCCGGCGATCCCGGAAAGAGGTCCTGTACGAATGGCCGGGTCCCTGAAACCACCTGTAAGATTCGCCTCAGGGTCTGCGCAAGATCGGATCCTTGATGCGGTGTCGCGAGGAAAAAGATGGCACAGATTCTGCGAACAAGCGGCTTCATTTCCTCACTATCATGGGCAAAAATGAATGCCTTCTTGATGACCAGTCCACTCATGCTGTGGCCAACCAAGATCAATGGTGTCTGAATAATATCGAGCGGTTAGATAATTAAATCTGTGGCTTCAAAATGCGTCCAAATATACCTACCTTACTATCTCTTGGGATGACTGGTGAATCATGTATAGAGTACACCAGGGATCGTGCAAAGTCCGGGATATTGAGAACCGATGCCTGCGAAATGGCAGATGCATAGCCAAATGTATGGATACGAACATCCTGGAAAGCTTGATCCTTGGGGAGCCATTCTTGAGGCCAGAACAACGATGGATCTCCGTCCTTGGTCCATGTGCTTTGGGAGCCCCCATTGACTCCATGGACAAATATCAAGTCGGCCACTATGTCATCAGGAGGGTTGTACAGTGTGGTGAGACCGATTGGACCCTTAGCACCAGCCTCTTGGTGAGACCAATCCGTAATGGTATCTCTGCGGGTGAGGGTCCGAGTGATAAGCGTCTTGGTAGTGGCGCTAGACGCGAAGGATTTGCGTCTTTCTCCATATTCTGATTCCATGTCATTCAATTGCTACTTGTGGGTGACGGTGTTCGAGATAGGGGGCTGGATGTTTTGTTTTCCCTGTGAGCATAATTGGAAACAGGAGGATTTCTCCGACGCCAGTAATTCCGAGTCTCCTATGATTGTGACATTCGTCTCTTATTTTTCTCCTGCACAAAACCCATTCAAGGCAAGCTTAATATCCTGCTCCTCATCCTGAGCATATCATTTGACGCCACGAATCTGCCACGTCACGGTAATCTGCAAAGCTAGACCTACCTCATGCAATGAAGTTCGAGCTCACGCCGAAGCATTGAGTAACTGAGTGATCGCAATCCAATCTATTTCAGATGAATGATTCAATGATCCAATTCCTTTCTAAATACGGAGTAAGTATAATGAAATAGAATTTCCAAATTCAAATGGGTGGTGGGGGGAAAATCATGTTTCATCTGCCATGTTGACGTCCGTTAGCGCCGCTAACTGGCCAACTAACGCAGGGTGACGGGACCAGTGTGACGAGCGTGCATATGGGGGATCCCTGTCGGCTGTAAACAGAAATAAAAATAGAACACTGCAGCTATTATTATGTTGACTTGAGTTATAAAAGAAACCTCAATCCTAAGTAACTCATCGCTAGTAAAAGAAAACGAAACCAGACCCCTTAGATGGGTCTAGGAAATTGCAGTACTCGCAGGTGTGATAACAGTTGTGGATTATCATGTTTTAAAGCGTAAGAGATTCCTCTTTTTATCGTACGATTCTACGTATATGATTCTCAGCCCAAATTTTGTGTTTGTTACTACCTAGGTATATACCTCCCCGAGGGATCAACAGTGGTCAGCATCTCTTCATATAGTAGAACTGCTGAGACTAAGATCACTAATACCACTGGAGGTGACATTCAATACTTTTTTGAAGTGGAGTTAACATCAGAGGTTTTCCTAGAATCCAAGCCTAACTTATTATGCGACACAATATGTTGCGCAAGGGGACATGGGCTAAGGGATGCCACGCCAGCCATCCCTAACTCCATTTCTGATGCTGCCCCTCCCATTGAATCTCCCCAGGAAGCCATCCAAAGTATAGTATATATAACTTAAATTCTATCTTGTATAGAATGCATCTCATACTCCTCCTCCACCACCCTCCACTCCCGCGTCTGGTGAATAATCAGACGTCGTGAGTGCTGACTATCCTGCGACTGCCGGGAAGCAGTCAGATCAGCTTCATCCCTCTCTCCTCGATTTGTTGAGTAGACGTGGGATTGATTGGTCGATGCACTCTTTCCAGTAGGTGTGAAATACGAATTTTGGCCCTTTCCGTTTGTGACGCCCTGTCCCCATCCTGTGTTGAATGAAATAACAAACGGTTTTAGACATGGCACTGTAGATACCATAATGCTGGAGTGAAGAAGAACGGCGGTCACGATAATTGCATCAGATAGATGCAAAGGTGCGTCGGGATGGAAAAGGGAGTGGGTGAGATAGTTTTGGCGAAGTATGATCAAGATGACAACCCTGAATATCGCGGAAAATGATTAGTTATTGCAGTCCTTCTTCATTGAATTCGCCTTTGCGATATCACACACTCACGGAGCCCTCGTCCCAAACGCAAAAACTACTGCCCATTTTTGCTTCCACCGCATCTGAACCCCCCACACCAGTAAAATACACAGCGCGAAGGTAAGGATTTCCGTAATCACGTCGAAGACAGTGATAATTTTCCAGGCAACTCCCTGCTCTCGCTTGTCAGTTGGGTGGACACATGTAAGCAAGTATAACTCACGATACTGCTACAATGTTGGGCCATGGTAAATTGGTATGGCGGGAAGCAGCTGAGGGCAACCGCAAGAATCGAAGCAAGCATCCACGCCGTCACCACGCCAAGAAGAATCTTGGAACAGAGCAAGTAGCTCTCTTGCCGGCCGAGTTGTTTGAGAAGCAAACATATGGAAATCTTGGCTGTGCCGTGTCCAGCCAGGAATAAAAGGTTCGCTGCGTAGACATTCTGAATGAGCATCCGTCAGTCTCCGTGTCTTTAACCTCTCTTCTTTGTCTTCGAATGGCATTGAAAGTCGAGTTTGGGGGTCCGGGGAAGGGAAGGCGACCTTTCCAGCGCGTGTTAAGTTCGACACCGAGCTTTCGTCCTCTGATCGGCCTAGACCATGGGAAATTGCATCCATGATTGTTCCGACATGGGCGACGGCCATTATCTAGCAAATCAGACCCGGTCAATATCAGAGATGTGTCACAGATTCAAAGGGTGGTGGGATTAAGGGGGAAAGAGGAAAGGTTGGGAGAGGAGAGAGGAGATAGCACAAACGAAGACTTACACTGCCGGCAAACACTACCACATCATCAATCTTGACCGGTCCATTGATTGCAAGACGCATGTACAGTCGAATCAGACTCACTATAATCATCCACGTCATAAACAGTGTTTCAACGATGACAATCAAGCCACTTCGATTTGTCGCAGAGACTGCATAGGGGGAGACGGACTCCATGAGGGCTTAGGTCGAGACAGGCGAGATGCGACGGGGACTAGAAAGCAGAGAAAGCAGAGTTTTCGCGATGTGCCATGGTTATAGCTTTGGAGAAATACTGGGGCCATGTTCGCGGATGAATGAATCGTAGGATCAAATGAATGACAGGGGTCCTGGAAGACTTGATATATCGAACATATAATTATCTCCTGTAATAAGTCCACGGGTTTGTGTACGGTGTACGTAAGTAGACCCTAATATGGTCTTATAGTATTAATTAATTTTGGGAGTTAATGAATTACAACCTACACTTCGTCTAAATCTCGTATTTTCAAATCACCCCCAAGTCTCGAATTGAAAGGCCTATTCCCAAGGGTCAATATGCAAACGAGATGATATGTACTTAATGGCTTGATCTGAATGTGAATCCAGGAAAAATCAGTAGAAGACCTAAATTATCTAGGGTAAAAAAAAGCTTGTGCCCACGGGGCACGGGTTATATTATCTCGGCGCCATGCGGTTACGAAGATCAGCATAAGCTTGGCAAACCCCTATTATATATAATCTTCTTCCGTATAATAACGGAATAGGAGCTCTAGATGGCTTAGGTAGTGTATGGTGGGGCGGGATCTCCAGACTTGGCCCAGGCCATTGTTCGCATATGTACGAAGACTATCTAAGTACGTATAGTGGGTAGAGCTAACCCGGGAGGAAGGATTAATATAATAATTGACCAATCAGATGGTCTCAATAGAGTGCGTACATAGCTGGGATTGTGATCCTGAACGGGCCAGAATTCGGCGGGACAGCTAACGGCAGACCTCAGGGCATTCTTTTTTCCCTTGAACAATATTAATCCCGCATAAAAAAGCCTAGTGTATAAAGTACTCCATAATAATAATAAAAACCATCTAGCTTGTTGGGTGTCTTACCACCGGCATGCCCCTAGTGGTGCCGTAATGCATCGTACTTTGGTCGTTACCAACCACAACTTTTGCTTGTTGACCAGGGTTCACCAGATATATAAAATATTTTTACAACATACATATTTTTACTACCGTAGTCTATTATCGTTACAATCATCTACCCCTGTGCCTACGTTGCAGCCTTCTAACCGAAAACACGGCTACATTCTCGCCCTAGTTGCACCATCGTTGATTTAAGATTCTCAATTCCCTTATCTACTTCCTGCTCTTCCTTTCTTTCCTTGTACTGGTTTCCCCTCCACCCCTGTTTGTTTATCCCCCTCACTCACTAGAATTGAATTTACCATTTTTCACCATGGGGCGCGAGGACGGAATCATGTTGAACGTTCAACATTCCTCGGTGGAGACCTCCTCCCTGAAGGCCCCCTCCCAGAGGGAAGGCACGGCGCAGGACAAACAAGACATGTGGCGTGTCGGGCGAGACCAAGAACTGAATGTACGCAACTCTGCTCAGCTTTTCTGAGCCCCCCCATTCCAAATCACCAATACCAGTAAAACAGAAGGAAGAAAGAAATGACACGTCCTGCAGAGGAACTTCAGGTTCCTTTCCGTACTTGGGTTTACAGCGGTGCTTATGTGCACCTGGGAAGCAGTTCTCTTGTAAGTCTCCATAACTAAACTAATCGATATTTATTAAGATAATCAACTTCATTATATTATTGGATCGTGTGCTGACCGTTGACATTATTGGATTAGTGGTTCATCTTATGGATTGACTAACGGTGGCAAAGGGGGTATGATATATACTTACCTAGGAGGCCTGGCAGGGTTCAGTTTCGTGATCTTCTCAATGGCTGAAATGGCTTCCATGTATGCATAGTTCACATGTCTTGGCAATGAGATTGCTAACCCTTATATTCGATTTCTCTAGGGCCCCATTGTCCGGTGGGCAGTATCATTGGGTGTCCGAGTTCGCACCCCCCAGTTCCCAGGCCCTATTGAGTTACCTCACTGGATGGATTTGCGTATTGGGTTGGCACACCGGTATTGCAGGATGCAGCTACACGGTGGCTAACATGATGGTTGGTGTGATTGCCATAAACTACCCTGACACGTATACGTACGAGCGTTGGCATGTCACACTGCTTGTCATTGCGGTGGCCATAGTAGCCTTGATGTTTAACACATTCCTGGCCCAGAAGCTTCCCTTGATCGAAGGTATTATCTTGATTGTGCACTGCTTCGGTTTCTTTGGGATTTTGATCCCACTTTGGGTGTTGTCCCCTAAGGTTCCTGCTTCTGAGGTATTTGGCTCAATCGAGAATCGGGGTGGATGGGATAGCAATGGACTGGCGTGTATGGCGGGACTGGTTGGACCCATCTATGCCTTGATTGGTATGTCCCCGCGTTGTTTAATCTTATTTTGCCCATTGCTAACAATATCCCCGGAAAAGGCCCCGACTCAGCGGTTCATATGGGTATGTATCCTGTTATTCCCCAATCCATGGAGGAGACGACTAAGAAAGTAATACAGCGGAAGAAATCCGAGATGCATCCCGGGTGCTCCCCATGGGCATGGTATGGACACTAATCCTCAACGGGTCCACCGGCTTGGTCATGATAATCACATTTGCATTCTGTGTGGGCGACATCGATGAAGTGCTCAAGTCTGAAACAGGATTCCCCTTCATCCAGGTTTTCCTCAACGCCACGGGATCAGTCAGCGCCACGACAGGCATGACAGTAGTGATCATGATCATGCAGTTTTGTGCGGCAATCAGTAATGTCGCTACAACCTCCCGTCAGATCTACTCTTTCGCCCGAGACAAGGGTCTTCCTTTCTCCGACTTCTTGGCACAGGTGAGCTCTTTCACGCACCTTCATCCAATGCTCTGACTAAAACGGGGGAAACAGGTCAACCCAACATTCACTGTTCCACTGAATGCTCTTTGCGCCAGTCTCGTTATCGTTTCTCTCCTCTCCTTAATCAACATTGGGTCTTCTGTGGCTTTCAACGCAATTATGTCCCTCGGCACAGCCGCCCTTCTGTCCTCCTACATCATTTCCATCACCTGCGTTCGTCTTCGAAGATGGCGCAATCAGCCCCTACCACCGGCACGTTGGAGCATGGGCAAGTTCACCCCAATCTGTGACACCATTTCCATCATGGTTTTGCTGGTGATATGGATCTTTAGTTTCTTCCCCTAACCAAGAATGTGGACCTGACTACCATGAATTGGAGTGTGGTTATCTTTGGGGGCGTTGTTGTGGTTTCACTAAGTTATTATGTACTTTATGCCCGGAAAGTGTACAAGGGTCCAGTGACGCGGGTAAGGATGATGCAGCAATAAACAAGGGAGATATCACTTGGTAACCTAGCGGGAGCTGAAAAGTTATATAGCTATTACAGTTAGATCTAGTAGCAATAAAGACACTAATTCTTAGAAAGCCAGCGATGCTCATTATAATGATAGGTAAGGAACATTTGCAGAATTCTTAATCTTTCAACGATTTGAAGTAAGAACCTACTCCGAAAGATGTATGATGTATCTAGATGGACGTATTTTATTGAAATACACCATGCACCATTTGATATAGTATTGCCCCATTTGTCCCCGGAGCGTAAATTGACCTCGCACTAAGCTTGTCTTGGCGGCGGAGCCCTTAACCGCCTCACACCTTTCAGCTGTCTCTCCCACTCAACTTCAGCTTTGGTGAATTCTTATTCTACTCCTTCAACGGCTTCACACAATGGCTGCTGATCCTGATCTACGAATTTATGATAGCTTTGGCCATTTCAAACTCACCGACGGCGATGGGGACTACTGGCTGTTTGGGTATGGTAAAGGTCTGCGAGTGGAATCATCTGTACTAGCGAAAATCATACACCTTGAAAATCTCCTACGAGAAACGACGCAACGAATAGAGTCCCTTGAGCGAAGAATGCGGCCTATACAGAAGTTAGAATCTAACAATGATGATTTGAACACCCTGCAAAAATACGAGATGGAGGTCGACGAGCTCAAAAGATTGAGCGTTAACATGGAAGCATACATGTACGCTGCGGAGTCTCAGCTTCCGGAAAAACCGCTAAAGAGGACTTACTACAAAATCAGACAGAATCCTGCCTGGTATCTTCGCGAAGAGCTCATTAATGATTGCATACGGAGGGGTGGATGTTGCGGTAGGAACTGCGGATGCTGCGTACATCGTCATCTATCCCAAAACGGGAGAAACGGAATGGGGATTGGCCATTGTACAATGGAATGTTGGTGCTGTGAAGTTTTTCGCGGGTTTGAGAGTACTGAAGAAGAGAAGGGAGAGCTCAGAGAAAGGCTGCACTCTACGATCAGTAACCCAAATCCCTCATACCAGTTATCACTGGCGGAGAGCTACTTCTGTATGCCGGGAATGTTTGGGCTTGGGAGGATCTCCTTTGTCAGAGCCATCGCGTGGTATTGGAAGAAAGGTGGTCCGTGGCAGTGGAAAAGAGTGTCGAATTGGCTTAAATGACCTAGGGATTGGATGAAGATTGTGTTACGTCCATCCTCCATAGATGAGATGCCTTAGTGATAGGCAGACTGAGCCTTTTTGCTTGCTTGCTTGCTTGTTTGTCTGTAGCTCAGGCCTTCCAAAAAGTCTTTCTCTTGAGTGATTGAATACAACAGATTTCTCTTCTTTCTCCCCGAGTGCTTAGTTTCGTAGCCCTCAACATATTATATTATTGCTTATATTTTGGGCGATTAGTTAACTTGTTACCAGTCTAAACTTTGACTTATAGTAATTGTTGAGGGCTACGATACTGGAGATCTAGTGAGATGCACTAGTATGGGAAAATCGGGAAGAAGAGAGGTGTGATATGAAATCTATGGAGAGCAGGCTGTATATGAAGCCTATGATAACAAAGAAACAAAAAAAATGGCAAACTAGCAAACTGACAAAGCAAAGGCTCAGTCTGCACAAAGAGATAAATACATCTCATGTATGTCAACAGTAATTAAAGGGATAAGTCGCTAAGAAATTGCCTGTTTCTCGTACTTGAGATCAATTTTAGTAAAATAGGCGCGTCAACAAACCCTATAATGAAAAGCTGCTACTTCATATTTTCCCATGGTAAATTTTGACTACCCGATAGAAGTCGATCCACTTATTATAAACTGAAATTGATAATGTTGTGGCTAAGCATCCTTTGATCATCTTTGTTGCGATGGGTTTTTGTATGTTCTTATGAGGCATATCAGTATCTCTTGTGATGATCAAGGAAGCCTACAATCAAGCCTACTAGGGAAGCATTGCATTCAATACGGGTGCAGCTGGAGCGATAGAGAGTCCTTCATTATGTGTATGAGTGATTGCTTCTTACAGTGAGCTCATTTCCATAGAAAGGAGATCAGAACAATCTGACATAAAATTATAGACAGCACATCCCGGACAGACCCCGGGGTAGCCAGCGCACAGGTGTGACGGCTTGCATTAGGTTTAGGATGTGTCCTGTCCAGCAGTTGTTGCCAGTGGCGAATCGACCTTGAACCTTTTCTTTGACCCGACACTAGTCCAATTGCCCTTCACTGCGTCATGATACGACTTTACGGACTGCTCCTTCACGATGCCAGCGAATGCCAGGAGCGGAGACCTTTTGTCCGTTTTCGGGGGCTAGTAGGTCGTGCGCGTGGGAGTCACAGTGGCGGCGGCGAGCACGAAGGGTGGTCGAAGGGCTGGGTTCGGTTGACCGGCCCAAACATGTCGTCGTCCATGCTCCACCGCTGAGTCTGCGCCTTCTGCTTCTTCTTGACCTTCTTCTGGGCGGCCGCCAGCTCAATCATGGCGGCCTCCCGTTGTCCCTTGGCGGACTTCGGCTCCTCCTCGGCTGCCTGGGCCCGCGACTCGCACTCCTCTGCTTGTTTCTTGGTGGCCACGACGACATCGTCCTTTTCCAGGCCACATTGAGGGCACTGTTCGCGGCGCCTATATTAGCTGTTAGTATCTGTCTGGTATCTGAGGACCGAGCACCCTTCTACGACTCCTCCTATGGAACGATTCAAACTTACTGGGTCCTCGTGAAGGCGATGTTCGCCCAGCACTTGTTCCATTCTAGAAGTGCCTGGAAGGTGGCCCAAACCAGGATAACTCCAAAGGAGTAGCCAACTGTGTGCCATCGCGGATCTCAGCGACCCAGTTTGTCCCCAAACTACCAGTGCTTGTACTAGCACTGGTGGTGGTGCTGGTGCTAGGGCTTGTGGTGATGTCGGGGCTTGACGTGGTTGCGGACATGATGAAGGCTTCTTGCCGCATTGAGGGCACTCTGCGCAACGCCTATAGTAGTAGTTAGTAATCGTTTGACATCGAAGGACTGAGTAGCATTCTTCTACTCCTCCTATAGGGAATGATGGAACTTACCTGGCATTTTCCAAAACCTCATTCCCCAGCACTTGGCCTATGCTGTGAATGGGTAGTGGTGCAAATCAGGACCACACTGAAGCAGATCTCGAGGATCCTCCAATAATGAATATCTGCGACCCAGCTTGTGCACTTCCTGGGGCCGGGCTGAGAGGTGCCGGTGCTTGTGTCTTGCGTGGAGAAGGTAGAGATAGTTATTCTTGAAGAATTGTTGACAGGGAAGATCGGGGGGAAAGAAAAAAAGGAAGGAGATAAGAGCAGCTTACTAGATTAGGCTAGTGCATATCGAGTCCTCAGCACCTTCCTCTTCCTGTCGACTATATGGTTAACAACCACTTTATGCTGTTCTTGTTGCACATCGTCTACATATAGATTTCCCTGGGCTAACCTTGGAATGTAGGATATATTTGCACATTTACTATCATACCTCTTACGCTATCCACGAAGCACAAGAAGATGAGCAGGAACGGTTTGAATACCACTAGATCTCTCTAAAGTTTGCGAGGAGGAGAACGAATGCTATAACGAGAGTTGAGGATGTGTTCTTGAGTTGCAGATAGTGGGTTGCTATCATTTTACGTTAACAAATACGATGTCGCAATCCAGGCTGACTGACTAGTGCTATTGAGGCTGTTAGAGACATCGAAGCCAGCAGTTTACATTATCGTGCTGTCAATCTCGCGAGTTCGTTCAATGAAGGGGATCCGTTAACTCCTGGGCGCTTCATTAGGCTGCAGCTGGTACGGCTGGAGTCGGACTGAAAGTGGAATATTGTCCGATGCACTAGTGGGGGACCGATGTAATCTCTACCGGATGTCCACACTAATTCATATACGAGAATTACGGGTAGTGCTTACTGTTGGCGTCTTGATGTCTCTAATCAAATCCAGCCAACCTCACCTACGACGGGGTTGAGGGACCATCATGACAATCAACCCGCTTTTTTTCCTGGCAAGAAATGTGGGTAGTCCTAGCCGCTTCCCGGTATATGACATCCATGCAGATGACGACTAATTCTCCTTGTCATTGGAGCTATAGCAATAATAACGCGGGGATAATATCTATAATATAATACATCTAAGGAAATAAACGACATACAGTAATGCTACCACCAAAAATACCACATGATATAACATAATCATTCCAAAAATATCCCATCACTTATTACGCGCCCGATCTAGGAACGAAGTGGCATGTAAACCTTAGCCCCACCATTTGGCTAACAGAGGCGCCCATCTACTGGATGAAGGGCAGCCCAGCGCATGGGCCCCGTGGAGCGAGGCTTTCGATTCTCTGGGCAAATCTCTTAGTGAGGCTTGGCTGAGTCTTGGTTATGGTTAGGGGACTCATGCGGCATGGACCTGGCAGCTTTTGTGAACATAGTATAAAGCTATTGAGACCTCGAGCGTTTATCTGTGTAGGCTTTGCACCTTGAACAATGACATGATATATACGAAGTATTTAGACCCGTACGGAGTATAGACTAATAAAGACTGCCCAGGTGTCCGGCCCGCCCCGGGGGTCCTACCACCGAGTGTGGGTCATCCAGCTAGGGCCGTCTCCAATCTTTCCTCTCCAAGCCCCTCCTGCGGAGGCAAGACGGCAGAAGATTGGCCAATTGCTGAATCTTCCATAATACGATACAAAACGTGTGATTCGACAAAGCATCACGGTTATTCAGTGCTGACCACCGACGAACGAGACGGTTGTCGGTCCACGTGGCGGGGTATACATGGGAGTCAATCAACCCTGCACAGGGGATTATGCCACATATCGTGGTATAGATTATGTAGACTCGACACCGAATAGAAACCCCTAAAAAGCCACACCTGCTATATATATATACATACCCACATGGCTCTTGGTGTTCTTCGTAGTACTCTATGCATCATTATATTCCAATAACCAAGCGCAGAAAATATGGCACCCTGTCCGAATGAACCTATTGCTATTATCGGCAGCGGCTGTCGCTTTCCAGGAAATGCGAGTAGTGCCTCTCGTCTCTGGGAGCTGCTTCAAGACCCCCGGGACTGTCTGACTGAGATCCCGAAAGACCGATTCAACTGGGAAGGCTACCACTACGCAAATGGACCACACCACGGTAGCAACATAACCAAGTATAGCCACTTCTTGGAGGAAGATATCCGCAAATTCGACCCACAATTCTTCAACATCCAACCAGCAGAGGCAGAGGCGATTGACCCCCAGCAACGATTGCTCCTGGAGACCGTCTATGAGGGACTGGAGTCTGCTGGTCTGACGCTTGAAAGCCTCCAGGGTTCCTCAACAGCCGTGTATGTAGGGCTGATGAGCTGCGACTATACTGATGTGGTGCAGGGTGATATCGACTGCATACCGAAGTATGCGGGCACCGGTATCTCACGCAGCATTCATTCAAACCGCATCTCCTACTTTTTTGACTGGCACGGGCCGTCTGTGACTATTGACACTGCTTGCTCCTCTAGCATGGTAGCTCTTCATCTCGCTGTGCAGTCGCTCCGAAGTGGAGAGTCATCGGTGGCTGTCGCTTGTGGTGCAAGTTTGATTATCTCACCCCGTATGACTCCTCCGTTTCCTATTCTCTCAAGTCTGGTGGGCTCTAGCTAATTTTGGCTTTTAGCAAACTATCTCATTCTCAGTCACTTGAAAATGATTTGTCCCGACGGCCGTGCGAAGATGTGGGATGCGAGTGCAAATGGATACGCCCGAGGCGAAGGTGTTGGCGCCATTGTGCTAAAAACGTTAAGCGCAGCAATCGCAGACGGCGATCCAATTGACTGTATTGTCCGCGAAACCGGCATCAACCAGGACGGCCGCACGCGCGGTATCACCATGCCCAGCAGCGCAGCCCAGGCGGACCTGATTCGAAAGACATACCAGCGGGCCGGACTGGATGTCTCTAAACGAGAGGATAGACCTCAATATTTCGAAGCTCATGGGACTGGGACAAAGGCCGGGGATCCTAGGGAGGCTGAGGCGGTGCATAATGCCTTTTTTGGGGGACGGGAGGAGGGCCTTGGCGAGGATGATGCTATCCATATTGGATCTATCAAGACTGTCATCGGTCACACCGAGGGTACTGCTGGTCTTGCGGGCTTGCTCAAAGCGGCTCTCGCGATTAAATACGGCTATATTCCGCCAAACATGCTGTTTGATCACCTGAGCCCGGCGGTAGCACCTTATGCAAAGCATCTTCGCCTAGCTACAGCCCTGACGCCATGGCCCGTCCTCGACAAGAGTGTACCAAGACGGGTAAGTGTTAATAGTTTTGGTTAGTACCGGGAACTGCACAGCAATAGGTGCTCAAATTTGGGATGACTGCTAACAATTACACCATGATAGGCTTTGGCGGTGCAAACGGACACGCTATCTTGGAAAGTTATGAAGACACGAGACCAGTCCACGCGGAGCCTGGCGAGCAAACATCAACAGTGACGACGCCATTTGTCTTCTCAGCTCAATCGGAGCGGACCCTCGTGTCAATACTGCAGAACTTTTCCGAGTATCTCAAGTCTGGTACCGATGTAGACCTGCGCAGTCTCGCTTCCACTCTGCAATACAAACGGTCAACCTTCAGCGTGCGAACAGCAATCACGGCACTTAGTACCGACGACCTTCTATCTAAGCTGAGCATCAAGCTGTCAACAACGGAAAACCCGGTCGGTGTCAAGCCATCCCTCAAACATGATGGACGAATCCTCGGTGTTTTCACAGGACAAGGCGCACAGTGGGCGGGTATGGGCCAGGAGCTGCTCCGAGCCTCCCCCAGAGCCCGTGAGATAGTGCAATCCCTGGATAATTCATTAGCAACCCTTCCACGAGAGAATGATCGTCCATCATGGACAGTTGAAGAAGAGCTCGCGAAATCGCCGGAGAACAGCCGCATTGGGGAACCAGCTATCTCCCAGCCCCTTTGTACTGCCGTCCAAATCTTACTTGTCGACATGTTACAGAGTGCTGGCATCCGCTTCCATACCGTCGTGGGACACTCGTCCGGTGAAATTGGCGCTGCATACGCTGCCGGCCTCGTCACAGCATCTGATGCCATCCGTATCGCTTACTATCGCGGTGTTTATACGAAGCTCGCAGGTGGGAAAGAGGGACAACGGGGAGCAACCATGGCAGTTGGGCTATCACCAGATGGGGCCCGTGAACTATGCGAAGATCCCGGTTTCCATGGGCGTATTTCGGTCGCTGCGTATAACTCTTCGACAAGCGTGACCATCTCTGGGGACGATGATGCCATTAACGAGGCGAGGCTGCATTTGGATGAGCATAACAAGTTTGTCCGGGTGCTGAAAGAAGATATGGCTTACCACTCACATCATATGCTACCCTGCGCACAACCCTACCTAGACGCATTGCGGTCGTGCGGTATTCGCCCAGTGTCGCCCGAAGGTCCTTCGCCCGTTTGGCTTTCCAGTGTCTATCCGGGCGAAGCAATGTCAGAGGCTTGCGCTGGGCTCTCCGGCGAATACTGGGTCACTAATATGACCCAAACCGTTCTATTTGCTGGAGCGCTGGAGGCTGCGCTCACCACACGAGAGGGGGGGATTTGATGCAGGACTCGAAGTCGGCCCACACTCTGCCCTTCAATCGCCAGTTCTGCAAACAATCCAGGACATAAGTGAGGCCAAACTCCCTTACAGCGGAGTCCTTTCGCGGAGGAAGAACGACCTCACTATATTTGCGGAGGCATTGGGGATGTTGTGGACTTACTGCGGGCGCGGCACAGTCGACTTTGCCGGCTATGACCGGACGTTCTTCTCCAACGCAAGCAAGGTATCCTTTGTACGGGATATCCCAACCTATCCGTGGGACCATGAACGATCATATTGGTTCGAATGTCGTAAGGAAAGGGCAGGGCGCAACCGACCTGGGCCAGTGCATAGTCTACTCGGTGTTCCCTACGGCGATGCCACGGATACGGAGGTAACATGGCGAAATTTCCTTATTCCGAAGGAGATCCCATGGCTCTCCGACCACCGTCTACAAGGTCGGGCGGTGCTTCCCGGTGCGGCATATGTGGTGATGGCGTGCGAGGCGGCATTATTGAAGGCGCAAGCTGAGGAGGTACGGCTTATCGAAGTCTGCGACTTGGCCATTCATCGGGCCATCTCGTTCAGCGATGAGACTACGGGCGCCGAGGTGGTTTTAACCTTGTCAGATATTGAACGGACACTGACACACAGCGGTTCAGGCGATGAAATCTTCAATGCGAACTGGACAGTGCAATCTCCGGCGAGCGAGGAGACAGACAAATTGAGTCGAATTGCTAGTGGATCTGTTTCATTGCACTTAGGATTATCAGAGGCCAGCGTGCTTCCCGGCCGCGCTCTTGATGATGTCCTGCCAAATATGATTTCTGTCGACGTCGATGAATTCTACAGCACACTCTATGAGTTAGGGTACGGATATACTGGGGCTTTCCGGTCTATTTCCCGACTGGAGCGTAAAATGGGGCACTCGTATGGTTGTTTTCAGCCTCAAATATCGCCCGAGAATTCGATCGTGCATCCTGCATTGTTGGACGTCGCATTCCAGGCCTTGTCTGCGGCCGCTAGCCACCCCGGCGATGGAAGTCTCTGGAGTCTACATGTACCGACCGGCATTCGCACGGTCAGGATCAATCCATACCATTCCCACCAGTCTGAAATATTGTCGTTTTATGGGAATGTCCCCAATTCTTCAGAGGCCGGAGACGTCACCATATACACCGATGCAGGAGACGCTTTTGTCCAAATTGAATCTGTCTCAACGGTGCCCTTCAAAAAGGCTACTGAAGCGGACGATCGCAACATTTTCTCTGAAGAGGTTTGGGCACCGGCAGACCCTGATGCGAGTTCCGTCATTATAGAGGGTCGTGCCACGGCCGACGAAAATGGAGCATGCCCGTGCGTGTGAACGAGCGGCCCACTTCTACTTGAAGAATCTCAGGTCTGAGGTATCGGCTCTGCAAGAGTGCAACACCGCGTTGCATCACCAACAACTACTAGCTTGGGCTAGTCACCTGGTTTCGGAGGTGGCCAGTGGCAAGCGACGACATTGCGAGGCCGACTGGGCAAACGACACGGAGGAAGAAATACAACGGATATTTAACAGATACCCCGACAATATTGACTTAAAACTCATCAAATCCATGGGACAAGCTTATCCATCTATCGTTCGGGGAGAGTCAAATCCCATAGAGCATCTCACCAAGGACGATATGCTGGACAAATTGTACGCCGAAGGACTTGGGTTCTCCGTGGCTAACACCTGGGCTGCTCGTCTTATCAAGCAAATCTCCCATCGGTATCCTCAGATGAATATTATTGACATTGGTCAGTTCCGTCCCGTCTTAAGTATTATTATGGTCTAACAATAAACATCAGGGGCCGGGACTGGAGGGACAACTAAGATGATACTCGACCATCTTGGCTCTGCCTTCAAATCCTATACATACACTGATACCTCGAAAGCTTTCTCCGACCAGGCCCAGGAGATGTTCAGCCCTTATACTAACAGAATGGTCTTCAAACCCTTCGATATGGAGAAAGAAGCAAACAGCCAGGGGTACGAGGAGCACTCGTATGACGTTATCGTCGCTTTGAACGTCCTCCACGCTGCCAAGGACATTGAGAAAGCCCTACAAAATGTCCGTTCCTGCTAAGGCCAGGTGGGTACTTGCTGCTCCTTGAACTGACAGACCAGGAGCCCAGCCGGATCGGGTTCCTGATGGGCGGGCTCCCTGGCTGGTGGCATAGCCAGGGAGGAAACAGGAAGTGGGCGCCAACATTATCAACGGCCCAGTGGCATTCTTTGCTGCAAAAAACAGGGTATTCAGGACTTGACACGGTTGCCATGTCCCAGGATGGACTTGCCAATCCCTTTTCAGTTTCAGTCACACAGGCAGTTGATGGCCGTGTTGCCTTCCTTCGACAGCCCCTTTTTTCGAGGACTACACTGGATGCAGAAATGGAAGATCTTCTCATTGTCGGCGGAGCAACGCTCGAGACTGCCAGGCTGTCCACAGATGTCCAATGCATGGTTGGCCAGCGTTTCCGTACGATAACAGCCATCGAGACACTGGAGGAAGTGAATGACTTCTTTGGAGATGACAACCTACCGACCACAATCCTTGTCCTGACCGAATTGGAGATCTCCATTTTCAAGGAGATGTCTGCCAGTCGACTACAGGCCGTGAAGATGCTCTTCGCAAATTATCACAATTTACTCTGGGTCACTCGTGGTTGCAAGAACACAGAACCCTACAACAATATGATAATTGGGCTAGGCCGCTCTGCCAGCAATGAGCGAAAGGAACTTCGACTGCAGTTCCTCGACGTCGAAGATGGCTCTGCTACGGTGGCGCTGGACGGTCGGCGTCTCTCTGAGATGCTCTTGCGTCTCCGTTTCACACAAATTTGGGAACGTGAAGGCACTCTTGACCAGATCCTGTGGACGACCGAGCCTGAATATTGTACGAGCAAAGATGGTCGTCTGTTGATTCCACGCATATGCCAACAGGAAGCCCAGAACAGCCGATATAACTCCAAGCAACGACAGATATCGTACGAGGTTTCACCGACCACAGACATGGTCTCTATCGCTTACTCGGAGTCGTCATCCAGAGGTTTCAGACTTGTGACGGAAGCTCCCTCCAGCACTAACTTGTCGTCAGAGCACTCTGTATCTATATGCGTGTTGTACTCCGGTCTCTCGGCGCTCAGGCTAGTGGGCGGGCAGTATCTCTTCCCTATCATCGGCAGGTGTATGGATACCAATGAGACTGTCTTCGCTCTTTCGACGTCAAATTCGTCGCTTGCTGTTATCCCACAGGAGTATGTTGTCTCCGTCACGGTGGTATCTGGACAAGAAAAAGCCCTACTTCTTCGACTAGTCTGGGAGCTAATTGCCCACACCATCATCTCGACTGCCACCAAAGGTGAAACCATCTTGACTCTGGGAGTTGAAACAGAGCTTCTCGAGATCCTACGGTCTCACGCCGATAAGCAGGGCATATCCGTATTTACCGTCACCGATGACCCGCGGTTGAAGGAAGATGCCCGGTCCATTTTCATCCACCCTCTGGGATTCAAAAACGTGCTGAGAGCCAAATTACCCTCTAGCATGTCAGCATTCCTGAATCTATCCTCTTCAGGACCCACTCAGGATAACTTGCATAAGCGTCTGACCTCCGCTCTTCCGAAATTCTGCCAAGTTCACACTGCAGCTACCTTGTTGTCACCAACCTCCTTCTCTAGGGCCTATCTTCATGGTGCGTTACTGCACGATCTGATTGCTGGAGTACCACCCGATGCATATCAAACACTTTCCGGGCCTCACGCGGACAGGCTCACGCGCACCATCAGACAAGTTCCCCATCTCAGCCGAGAAGACGAAGAAGCATTTACAATCGTCGACTGGGGTGCTGATAATACCGTCCCCGTCGATATCTCACCTGTGGATCATGGAATCTCATTCCCCGCAGACAAGACGTATCTCCTTGTTGGGCTGACCGGAGATCTCGGACAGTCGCTGTGCGAATGGTTCGTCCAGAAGGGAGCCAGGCATCTTGTTTTGACCAGCCGGAATCCCAAAGTTGGGCACAAATGGCTCGATATCATGAAGGCTGCAGGTGCAACAATCAAGGTCCGTGCAATGGATGTTACAAATAAGGCATCAGTACGGGCCGTCTACGAGGAGGTCTATCAGACCCTCCCACCCATTGTGGGCGTGGCAAATGCGGCCATGGTCATGCAAGATATCATGTTGTCGAACATGGAGGTTGACGATCTACTAACAGTAATGAAGCCCAAGGTGGACGGTAGTCGGTACCTTCACGAAGTGTTTGGCGACAATCATCCACTCGACTTCTTCATTTTGTTTTCCTCGCTTAGTTTGGTGGTTGGTAGCAGTGGACAGAGCAACTACGCTGCGGCCAATGGCTACATGGCCTCCTTGGTGGGTCAGAGAAGGGCGCAAGGCCTGGCTGGGTCAGTCATGCATATTGGCGCCATTATTGGAGCCGGATACATCACGCGCACTGGCCAGCTCAAAACTGGAGCTTTGAACGCATTGGGAGCCTACCCTCTCTCGGTTGCGGACTTCCATCAGCTCTTTGGGGAAGCCGTACTAGCTAGTCCTCCTCACTCGGGGCGCAAGCCAGACATTGTTACTGGCCTCCGGACGATCAACCCAGAGGTCGACGATCGCGTGCTCTGGCGATCAAACCCCAAATTTTGCCACTTATGGAAGGTTGAAGAAGAAGAAGAGATGCAGACCAACGGTGGTGCAAAACGATCCATAGTGTCTGTCAAGGTCCAGCTGGCCGAAGCGACAAGCAAAGCACAGGCCAGGAAAATCATCCAAGGTATGGGATCAGGCGACCGTCCTCCACGTTCCTATATCTAACTTGAACGCATATAGAATGCTTCTCTGCCCGCTTGGTTGTTCTGTTGCAACTCAATGCGGGTGATATGGACGACAATGTCGCTATTGTTAAGCTAGGAGTGGATTCTCTTGTTGCAGTCGAGGCGCGATCTTGGTTCATAAAACAGTTGAACGTCGATATCTCCGTTCTGCGTATTCTGAGTGGTGCGTGTGTGATCGACCTTGTGGAGGATACGCTGGAACTCATTGGACCGGAGCTGCTTCCTAAGATCAAGTCCGACGGACAACAGGCCTAGTCGCATCAGGTACATATGTAGTGTATATAAATAGTTAGCCGCTTTACACGGTGATTTTGGTGGTCTTTTTGGTGGTCTTTTTTGGTGGTTTTTCTATACATACTCTTAGGTATTTCCCTGGATGTATTTCTTTCATATATATTTCTCCCGTTTTTGGTACTACATCTAGAGGGATAAGAATAATTAGCTGTTACAACCTACATATACCACCATATCCAACGTTATCGTATGATAGAAATCGGTTCGGGTGAGCTAGCAGTTCTATGTTGAGACCAAGCAAGTTTATCAGCTCTTACTATCCTGCCCACTCACCACCCAACCAGTTATATTCCATAACTATTTCCCCCATATAGCATAATGCTCATTCAAAATATCAAGCATTGCAACATCCCACACCTAACTTGACGATCAAGGGGATTTCGAAAGTTTCGTACAGTGCCAAGTAAATTTCGTGATCGCCCCTCAGGATGATGCACGCACGAAGAGATTGTTGAAAATGTATTTTCAATTATTTAAGGAAGAGCATGTTCGACTTATTAGAACCAAGGAAATAAAGATGGAACATTTGTCCAAAGCTGAGCCTACAGGGTTTGAAGATCAACCTCAGACAGGGTTGTTCAAGGTATTGGCGCGCTATGTGCCCTACTTCCGCAACCCACAACATGTCTTGGTTTTCAAGCTGGACTGCTTGTTGTTGACGTGGACTTTTATTGCTGGGATTTTGAAAGAAATGGACCAAAGTGCGACCGCTCAAGCTTACGTTTCGGGGATGAAGGAATCTTTGAACTTGTATGGAAATGAATTGATCAACTTCAATACGCTCTTCTCTGTTGGATATGCTATCGGTTTGATTCCAGGTCAACTTATCCAGACCAAGGTGAGGAGACTTGGAATGTCGACAAATTTTACTCAACTAACAATTTTCAAAGGTTCGACCTTCTATTTTTCTTCCATTCTGTGAGATATCATGGGGCGTCCTGGTCACCTGGTAAGTAGAAGCCAAATTACTATATTCAACATATACTGATGAATTTGAACAGTATTGCACAGGCACCAAACGCTAAAACAATATACGCATTGCGAGTCCTACTCGGATTATTTTCTGCAGTCTTCTGGCCTACCGCTGTATCTATGATCTTCAACTGGTACACACCAGCGGAGCTAGCCAAAAGAATAGCCTTCTTCAACGTATCAGACGCAGCAGGTGGTATGTTCTTAAGCGCGCTCCAAGCCGCCCTTTACACCAACATGAATGGTGTGCATGGTATCGCCGGATGGCAATGGCTATTTATTGTCTCGGGTACAATAACTATTGGGCAAGGACTGCTCGGCCTTGTTATCATCCCAGACTCACCAGTTCTCACTCGCGCTATCTGGCTTACCGATACGGAGAAACGCCTTGCACGAAAGCGTATGGCTGACTTCGGCGCCAATACCTCAAACATGATTCCTACCAAGGTCGTAATCCAGAAGCTGCGGAAACTCATCTTCCACCCTGTGACATATTTCTTCTTGGCTGCTTTTGCCTTGCAAGCCTGGGCCAACCGAGCAAATTCTTATTTCACTCTTTATCTCAAAGCGCTGGAAGACTCGTCAGGAAACCTTCGGTTCAGTACATACCAAGTCAACGTGATTCCTATGGGCGGCTATGCTCTCCAGATCCTCATCAATTTGGGTCTAAATGCGCTATCTGATTGGAAGCACTGGCGCTGGCAGATCAGTGTTGCGCCGGCATTTTTGCTCGGCATTGTGCTCAGTGTGTTGAGCGCCTGGCCCTCAGACTGGAGGGTCATTATCACCTTTTATTTCCTTACATATGCGACAAATGCAGGGAGTCCATCACTTTTGGCTTGGATGGCTGAACTCCTCAGAAAGGAACCGGAAGCGCGGTCTATCATTGTTGCGCTGACGGTGACAATTGTATACATTGGCCATGCCACAATTCCGATCCGCGTTTGGAGGACGAGTGACTCACCTCGTTATCCGATCGGATTCCCTCTCGCGACTGCCTTTATTTTCTCGTCTATCTTTGTTCAACTTGGCATGCTTTGGTGGGGACGACGAAACACACAACTGGCTAGATACGGATACGACGCGTCCGATGTTTCAGCCAGGCTGGATGAAGAGAGCTCTGAGATCACGGAGGAGCAAGTGGTAAAGCAAAGTGATTCAAACTAGATATCAAGACCTGGGATTTTCTTCGCACACATTGCAATATAGTTACTCGTTATATATAAAGAACGATGAAACAGCCCTAGCATATATACAGGGTTAAGAGAGTTGAAGTCCGCTCTAGGAATTCCAAAGCTATTCCGCTCTGTGTGCATATGCCAAGATGTTAATGTTGCAGAACCAGGCACGCCAGCTGAGCTGTGCGGTCTTCGCTTAGGATTCTCACTCTGTTTATAGCACTCACGCTTCATCCCACCGCCCTATGACTTGCATTCTATCATTATCTTCTAGCTCATAACCTAGCACATACGACCATAGGGTGTGGAAAACAGGGCTTCCCGTCCGCTCAGCCGTACTTAAGCCACACGCCGGTGAGTTAGTAGTTGGGTGGGTGACCACCAGCGAATCCTCACTGTTGTATGTTTTTGCTTTTTCTTTTTCTTTTTCTTTGATTTGTTGGGTTTAGCCTTGCTGCTCTACCTTCAGCCCCTTCACCTAAACAACGCTTCGCCTGAATATAGCCTGAAGCCCGTCTAAAACTCGCCCAGTTACCCCGGACCACCTGAATTCTAACAAGAATTAGTCTCAGCATATAGAGACATTACATTGATCCCCTCCCACAGCCATTGTATCTTACCCGGTTGATAGGCCTTACACCTGCAGACTGTATATCTTTACATCTCTATTAAGAGAGAGGGCCCGTAGGCAAACTATCTAGGTTCTATCTAAATGATGCCTGAGGCATCCAACAGAATATCCGTTGAATTAGGGATACAAACACTATGGCTGATGTTCTATGACCACCGTTTACATCCATGGATTAGGAGACTGCTTACATATAACTTTACTTGAACCTCTCGGTCCTGAGCTATGTTGAACCCTGTATATGGGCTCTGAACTCTGTGGGACTAGTACAGATGCTAGCAGACAAGGGAAGCGAGGAAATTCTTCCCTATCATTCAATTACGTACAATCTAATGCCTATTTGACCGTCAACAAGAAAGTATTCTCGTTTGTCTGATACTGGGGTCAACACTTTTCTCTGTGCAACCGCGGCTATGTCACCAAAGGCAGCTGAATAAACTGTGGTGGAATTAAATGCGCTAACGGATTGGATGTCTCTATCTTTGAAGCTTCGAAGTGTTTCCCGTATACTGGCGGAGCTGGTTCGATTAGACCCAGCACCAGTCCGTGGATTAAATGCCTTATTCCGTCACTAGGCCAACTACTTTGACTTTGACCGAAATCGTGTTTGCTTCTGGCAAACCCATGATCAGCTCGCGTACTAGACGGATATTCTCATAAGAGGTTTCGTGCAGCTCCAAATCAAACCAGCGAACAACCACAGCAAATGTCAGATACATTTCAGAGTAGGCCAGACTATATCCAGTGGGATGCTTGGTTAGTAGCCACAACATAACGGACAAGCATCATTAGTAAAGACTCACTTAAGGCCCATGCACTGTCTTGTCCCTCTGGAAAACGGCACAAGGTACCTGTCCAGCCGTTCAGCTTTTGCTGCAGCCTCAATCCATCGGTCCGGCTCAAACTTATGCGGATTGGGGAAAACATATGGGTCGAGGTGCACGTCGCAAATGGACTGGCTGACAGGAGTCTGCGGAGAGCAACAGGTTAGTCCGACAGGGGTCTAGAGTCATGCAAAATCGGAGGACATAATACCCCCGCTGGAATGGTGTAACCATTGAACTGTAGATCTTCCTTGGGCGCTATACGAGGAAGGCGACAGGGTATGACGTGGGTGAGACGGAGCGCCTCGTTGATAACCGAAGTCTAGACACAGTTCAGTGGGACATCTTGGTGAATCAAGTTAACTGGAAGTGATAGGTGCTTACTAAGTACGGTAGCTCTTCCAGCTGATTCCAGGTTGGTCGTGCGTCAGGAGTTGGCATCAGCGGTTTGAGTTCAGCCCTCAGCCTGTAAAATAGAGTCTTGTTACTTAGAAGGTAGAAGAGGCCCACACTCATGACACGTGCTGTTGTCTCGGTTCCTGCACCCAGCACAAGCAATGCTTCGTCCTCTAGACGCTGGAGGCTCCGCTCTGCTTCCGGAATTGCTGGATCGCTCAGAGCGTCGAATATTGTCTGAGAGCTCTTTCGTCCATCATGTTCCAGTGCCTCTATCGACTTCTCGCGGATTATCCGTTTCATCATGAATAGGTCAGCTGCGCGTGGGGTAAGGCTCCTGGGAAGGTATGCGGCAATGACCGCAACTGCTTTCATCAAAGGGGGAAAGAACCGATACAAGTGAACCAGTAAGGCGTTTCCATCAACAGCTTGCCGTAGGCCATTCACGTAGTCTTTCTGATCCAGATAATTAAAACTCTGCCCGTAGCAGTTGTGAGAAATGACGTCGGCCGTCAACGCTGCGTAAGCAGCGTCCACGGGAATCACGGTGCCCTCCCGATAAGCATCCTTAAACCGCTGCACCATTCGATCTATCTTCTCTTGTATGAGCCGTTCCATGCCAAGGACGGATTGCTTAGAGAAGAACGAATTGAGGAGACCTCGCCGAAAGCGATGGTGTTCATGGCCACGAGTTGAGACCATGGACGAGGGTAGGCCAAAGACTACAACGTGCTTCGGGTCTTTCTCTCGTTTACGTGCTGAGGGAGCGTATACTTCATTGTAGTAGTTGGAGTCTTTTATGTGTACCTCTCGTGGATTTATCCGTACGATGGGGCCTGTTGACTTTGAGAAACTGTTTGTTTCATTGGGAGGAGGCCGCCTACCGTATTTTTTCATGCATTTCCTCGATTTCCCATATAAACCTTCCATCTCGGACAACATCATGATAGAATTCCCAAAGATGCGTGATTGCTGTGAACTTTGGACCGGGAATTTTATTCAGAGGATGGAACCAAAGCCGATATATGCTCCTAATCAAAAGATAGACTGAAATGATAATAACGAGGACGGAGAAATGATCAAGGCCCATGTTTCTAATACCGAGGTATTCGTCAAATGACTGCAATAAGGGGGAGGTCGCTGCTCAATAAAGGTCCCTTGGAGGCCTAGTATCTTTGCTTTGTTTGTACAACGAAGGGCCTCATCCTAATATGTAAATAGAGTCACTAAATTCTCGCTAGTTGCTTGGGATGGCACTTGCTGACAACATAGGTTCGCACCCCCTGCAGATTAGCCATCACGTCACTAGATTGTTTCTCGCTTTGAGAATGTGGGACACATTATAGCATAGGTCCATGATCAGCGGTGGGAAAGCTGTCACCACATCCAATATGGAACATTATGGTGCAACGGCTGCACCCATACCTCCAACTCACACTCGCGAGAATTGCAGGTCCTGGGATCGATTCGATAAATCACAGCGGTGACCAGCGAACCTCTGGTTTAAGCGTCCGTACTTTCTGCAGAAGCCAAATCATACATTGACCGCTTCGGGTGGTACAAGGAGAAAGATGTGACAATATATTCCAAATTACCACTCCTACCGCTTCCGCTTGGCCTTCTGTCCACAAATGCCTTTCAACCACCATGGCTCCTTGCATGTAACTTCATGAAAACGGTGTCAAACATGCGAGATACTTCCTGAATTCAAATACCAATGAAGGGGCGCATTGTGATGTGTAATAGATATCGCCGTGGAGTTTGTTCTTGTTTGGCTGTGGTCGGCGCTCTGGGGCACCAACCAAAGTTGTGTTAAACGGAGAGACCAGACTGAGACTCTTGCTCCTGTAAAGCTACGTAACTAACACTTGTGTCTAGTTACACAGCTCTCGGGTGTCCGCAACATTAGTGGAAACAGGGGATGTGAACAAGCCCGAGGGCCCTTCACGCTTTTGAACGAACCAAATATGACAGTGTCCGGTATTCAGCAAATGAGCTATAAGCTTTCCGCATAATGCTCTAGGCAGCGGCCGGAAGGGATCCATTCCGTAATAGGAAAACAATTACATTAGTCCTGGTCTGTAGAAGCAATTGACTTCAGCAATATGTGGTTGAAATTCGTTTGTCTTCCATCCGCCCCCATTATCCCTGGAAAACGTGGATTCAGTGGGACAGGCTTCCTACATCACCCCCAACAGCATGGAAGTACACAGTAAGATATACTCCAGCAGATTCAGAATACGAAAACGCCACCCAACGTTGGACCTTCGTAGTCTGTTTGATATCGCGACACGGGCTGTACACATTGTTAGCTCGTATTTTTGGCGATGCATACTCAATGGGTTCTCACAAATTCTGTATTAACTCTTGTTTGTAGCGAGTAGCAAGATTTTCCCACTTCAGATACCTGAAAAAGTCCGCCAAGCCATCGGAACCGGAATCATCGTTCTGTCCATGTGAAGGCAAATATAGCTGTGGTCTAACTGTTTCACCACCAATTTCCAACCCATAGTTGAGAACCAAGGGCAAGTGGTCCACATCGGTATGTGAGCGGGAGGCTTCATCGAGCCGGAGAAAGCTCCACAGCTTCTCTGCAATTGCAAGGCCTTTGACTGTAACGGGATCGCGCAGATATCCGCCCAGGGTCCAAAAGTGACGGATACTGTCAAGGCATAGTTGTGTATTGGCGACATACAACTTGAGACGAGCGTTACTAGGGACGACACAGTCGACAGCAATCAGGAGAATCTCCGATGCGTTGGATTCTGAGGGATTTTCAGTTAAACATGGAGACAAAAATCTTTTAAGAACTGATATCCCAGGTTCAAATCCCTTGTCAAGGTGCTCAATTGCTCCGAAGGCCAAGACAGCAATAGGGATGCCGGTCACAATTGACTTGGCTTTGAGAAAGAAGTAGGCTTTTGGGAGAACTGCGCCATTCTTTAAGTCAAATGCAAGAACCTTTGTTTGCCAGCGATGTCGTACTAGATGTGGAGCTGCTGCGTTAGCTTCCTCGTGAGTAAGGCTCAAGTGTGAGTCGAAGTGGTTAAACCACCGCAGGTCGATATTATCGTCAAGGCGTGCAAGTCTTCCCAGCAACTCCCTCGCCATATATTGATTCAAACGATCATGCTCCGTGCCGGCAAACTCACTCTGTGGCTCGCAACCCAAACGTAGTACCGAGCCGCTTAGCTGATGGTTGACGCTTAGCTCGAAACCGTAACCCTCAGGTGTGAACCCGCTGAGATAGTCAGGTTCCATTCCAGAACGAATGAATGGCCCCAGAACACTGATTATGTGGCGGTGGTAGAAGCATAGATATTGGTATTGCAAATGGATATCGTAACCGCACTGTATCAATAGCTTGTTAAAAAAGGGCGAGGTGTGGAGCCACCACAGCTCCTGGTCATGGTTAGGAAACCCGAGAGCCTGACCGAGAATACGCCAGGGCATAGGCAAGATGGCATGTGGTCGTTCAGCAACGTGAGCTTCGCTCGTCTTTGGAAGCAGAGTCATGACGAAGAAACAATGAGTCTGGGCTTGATTGACAAAACAGATAGCGAAGCGGGAATGCGGATATCATGTCCAGCGGCAAGAATTGCCGTGGACGAACGGTGATTCAAGCGCAAAAAGGCAATTGATAAGGCCTAGGAGGGTTCAGACCATCTGAAGTGGGCTTACTCACCGACTCAGAGTAGTGGGCTACACTACATCATACAAGGATCGGGAAAGAATTTTGCAAGTGATAGCATAACAGTTTGCCAACAGAAGGCAATAAGCAAGGTAGACAAGCGAGAAGAGCGAGGAATGTTGTCACACAAGGGAATGACATGCTCACAGGGTCGTAGGGTAAAGCTCGTAGGGTAAATGGTTCTAGTATTTACCGGAGTTTAGTATATAATTACCAGTTTGTTACCGGTTTATTATAGTCTTACTTCTTACCGGTTTCGTAGCTCGTAGGGTAAATAGTTCTAGTATTTACCGGAGTTTAGTATATAATTACTAGTATATTACCGGTTTGTTATAGTCTTACTTCTTACTAGTTTTCGAGCTTGTAGGGTCGTAGGGTAAAATATATCTAGGATAGGATTGATAGTAATAATAAGTAAGCTTTATTAAAATCTAGGACTTCTAGTATCGTGTTTTTAGATACCGTTTACTACGAGCTTTCTACTAATAAGATGTTTTAGTTGCTAGTTTTTACTATAGTATATATAGTAGTATAATAGTTTAGTATATACTACTAGGATCTATCACTAGGACCTTCCTAATACCCTAACTATACTAGTATAATATAGTACTAATAGTATAAATTATAGTATAAACTACTAAGACGGTAAATAAACGGCATCTAAAAGCATAATACTAGAAGTTGCAGGTCTTAATAAAGCTCGAAAACTAGTAGGAAGTAAGACTATAATAAACCGGTAATATACTAGTAATTATATACTGAACTCCGGTAGATACTGAAACTATTTACCCTACGAGCTTTACCTACGGCCCTACGAGCGTGGCCACCCACACAAGGGGCCTATTTCATGATATACGGTCTGGGTTATGTTTTTAAATTTGGCCTAGCTTCAAGCGGGACGACGCGTCCAATATTTATTTATGTTGGTTTGAACTATCGTCAAACGTGCGTCCCTGATGTAGATCGCTGCTATCAGCGACTTGGAGCAGTTGCTCAAAGGGACTGAGAAGCCCCATCAAATTGGGCTTAGGCCGAATCAGGGGATTTGGTCCGGCTTCCCGCTTCAGTCCTCCATCATGACTGCTTAAAACATGCGTAAGAGGAACGTCACGGATATTCCAGTCTGCTAGAGAATCCAGTTGTCCTGGGGTCTGTGACCATTTGCAGACCCTCGTTTAAAGGATGCATATCTCATACTATATGTGCAGTCGGCCTCCGCCGCTAGACTGAGATACAGATACTGGATAGCCTCCAGTACTAGCAAGTTATCGGGGACGCCAGTTACGAACGCCACTATTACACTGAATTAGTCTCTTAGGTTAACCAGCTGGCTACATTTCTACCCTACTTCTTGGGAAACGGCATATTTACAAGCTGCTAACCCGAGCCACTTGCCGGTGGGGTTTGCTAGTGACTTGTGGCCTTGCTCTGAAAGATAGATGCTACTAATGTGCAAGTCGCACTGCGTGCTAGTGTAACCGTGCTGTGGTATCTGGAGGCGCTGGATAGAGTGGGCCCTCCATTTGTCGGTGAGTAACGAGAGTACCACGAAGCATTACCCTTGCGCTCGTTCATCAATCATATTCTATTGATTATATACTATGGGTGGGCAAAATATCCTCCGACAGGCCATAGTAAAGCGAAAGAGACAGCGAGAAGGTATATGTTTTGCAGGATTATCGCCGATGAAACAAGACAGAGTTCACTTAATGCACGGAGGCGGGATATAACTATCTTTACCTTGGATCCGTGTAAGCAATGTTCTCGTCTCTCGTGCCTTGATTCATAAATATAATAACTATGCCTGAATGACAGATGTGACGGCGCGCTTTGAAGTACATCGGATCCCTACATGCTGACTCCGTTCATCTGCAAAGAATAAACATCCGACTATTTAGGCATAGAAGATGGGCTCGCTTGCAAATTCGAGAGAGTCGGGTTCGCACGGGGGTATCAATCCCCAGGGAGTTGTTTGCCTTTTCCCAGTGATTGGGCATACTAGTCATTCTGAAGTTCGCTTTGACCCGGAGACTCCCAGCGCTCTCCTGCAACTATCCGGCAAACTACAGATAGGCGCCCATGTCCTGTTGTCAGCAATATGGGCAACAGTTCTTGGTCGATACACGGACGCTGACACAACTCGTTTCGAACTTTTTGTCGAGGCGGCAATCGCCGACAACGGATATATTGGGCGGGAAGTCGCTATCACTGTCGACTCGACTGCGCCAATGACATCGCTCTTACAAAAAGAAAATTGGGTGCCACTAGCGGACTGCGATCACGACCGTGCATCATACAACACGAAGGTTTTCATACTGAAGATGTCGGATGACGATGAATATACCATAGCAGCGCAGCTGGCCCAGCGCTCTACACAGGTACGGGCCATCGGACACGACAAAGTGCCCTCTGACTTCGTTCTCTGTAGTTCCGTGAAGTTAATGTAGTTTTGAATGTCGGAGATGTGCCGGTGCTCACGCTGGTGCATACCCCCACTATTTTGACACTTTTGCACGCACGTTGCTTGGTTGATGTCATTTCTCAAATCGTGAGATCAATGGCTAGAGACCACACCAAGAGGATCTGCGATCTGGACTTATGCTGCTCTATGCAAAAAGAACAGATTAAGTGCTGGCAGCGTCCATTTTGTCCTATCCCATCTACCGGATCATTTTTATTCCAGAGGTTCTGCGAACAGGCAAATTACCGGCCAGATGCCGTTGCCGTGTATGCGTGTGATGGTTGTTTTACTTATAAAGAGCTCGATAACATATCCACGCTACTTGCATCTTACCTACAAGGACGGGGGGTGAGACCTGGCAAAATGGTCCTAGTATGCTTTAATAAATCCCGTTGGGCGATTGCTACCATACTGGCTGTAAATAAGGCTGGGGGAGCTTTCGTTCCTGCGACCCTTCCCATCCGGACAGCAGATTGCAAAAGATCGTGCAACGAACACTTTCAGTTTTGGCCTTGGTGTCTCCCGAGTATGAGCACAAGCTATCCAGATTTGGAGTCCCGACAGTGGTTGTGTCGTCGGCAATGATTCCCCAGCTGTCCATTCCCCATTGGACATATCAGCCACCCTGTAATAACAAGTCTTGTGAACCGGGATACTGCCTCTTTACTTCTGGAAGCACGGGAGAGCCTAAGGGCTGTGAAGTGTCCCACGCGGCGCTTGAAAGCGTGTCTGCCCAGGTGGGGTTTTTGCATCTTCACACAGGTAGTCGCGTTCTGCAATATGCCTCGTTCTCTTTCGGCATCTCGCTGATAGAGATTTTCTGCACAATTTCAGCAGGTGGAACGGTCTGCATCCCGTCTGATCACGATCGTCTACATATGCTAGCAGAAACCATGACAAGGATGCAGGTCACCTGGGCTATACTAACCCCAACGGTGCTTGGAGCACTGCATCCCGATGAGCTGCCATACCTCCAACACCTCGGTATTGCTGGGGAGCCTCTGGGAGAGTCTGACATACAAACCTGGTTCTCCAAACTGCATCTTTTCCAGGCGTATGGATTTACCGAATGGGCAGGAATATGTACGGTATCGCCGCAGATAACGTCCGTCAATCAGCGGAGGGTTATCGGAGCACCAGCCAATGCAAGGCTATGGGTAGTTGAGCCCGGGGATCATAATCGGCTATCACCCATAGGCGCAGTTGGGGAACTTGTTGTGCAAGGTCCAAGCCTGGCCCGGGGCTATCTTGCAGACAAGACCAGGACAGATCTGGTATTTGTGGAGCGTCCGTCATGGATGAGTGAATTCCCCTGTGGTGATTGTGGACCTATATACAAAACTGGAGACCTTGTCCGGTATAACGAAGATGGGACACTCAGCTATATGCAGCGAAAGGATAACCAAGTGAAACTTCGGGGCCAACGCCTAGAGATTGAAGAGGTGGAGTACCATACAAGGCAGGTTGCAGCACGGGCCGAAAGGGTTATTGCAATGATATATGAGCCGCAAAATATGGCCGTCCAGCAGCGGACGTTGATCGCTCTCATCGTCATGTCGCAATCCAACAGGACCACTTTCACCCGCGGCAAGTTGAATTTCCTTGATCTCCGCAGAAAAGATGAAGATGAGATCCGGAGAATAGAACGAGAACTACCTTCCAGATTGCCCAATTTCATGCTACCTCAGCTACTTCTCCCTGTCTGCGGTGTGCCTGCTACCATAACCGGGAAACTCGATCGCCGGGCCATCATTCGAGAAGTGAATGGACTTCCATTTGACGAACTACGGCGCTTGGCGGGATTGGCGGTTGAATCCCAGAGACCTGAGAGTAGGTTTGAGCGACTCATACTTGAACAGGTCTCCGAGGTATTGGATTTGAAGCCGGATGATGTCGGAATGCTTGACAACTTTTTCCACCTCGGTGGGGACTCGGCCTCCGCTGTCAAGCTTGTCGCGAAGGCTAAGCGTCTGGGGTTGAGACTACAGGTGCTGGATATTTTCAAGAAACCTATTCTGCGGGACCTTGCGTCGATAGTAAAGGAAGTCGTCGCACAATCAGATTCTGTGTCCATACAACCTATGGAGCTGCTCAGCCTTCCAGCCGCAAACGAGATCAGAAAACTAGCAATGGCTGATTGTGACATTGAGGACGACCAGATTGAAGATATATATCCTTGCACACCTTTGCAAGAAGGTCTTCTCGCAACTAGTTCAAAAAACCCACATATGTTTAAGGCGCAGTTCGTCTGCGAACTGAAGCCAGGAGTGGATGTTGCTCTGTTCAAGGAGGCCTGGGAACAAGTCGTGGAGTCCAATGACATCTTACGCACTCGATTTGTTACGCACCCAGGGTACGGTACCTTGCAGGTCGTTGTCAAGGAGCCCTGCCGCTGGAGTAAGGCAGACGATCTCGAGGCGTGTCTTCACCACGCGCACCTCCAGCCTGCCGGTATGGGGAACAAACTAGTCAACGCCTACCTGCTTCCTAGTCAAACGGGCAGTGCTCCAGTGACATTCGTCGTTATAATGCACCATGCCTTATGTGACAGGTGGTCATTCGATTTAATTTTGGAACAGATAGCCATGACCTACAAGAAGCAAGGAACAAGCGGTAGGCAGAATCATTTCAGCCCATTCATCAAGTACATTCTGGAGCAGTCTAAATACTTCAGCCAGTACTGGGAAAAACAATTCGAGGGCGTTGGCGCAACTTCTTTCCCCGTACTCCCCCATCCAACCCACCAACCTGCGGCGACCGAACAATTCAGACAAACCATCAACATCCCCACTGATCGAACGATGGATCATACATTATCAACTTGTATCCGCCTTGCCTGGGCTATTGTCATTTCACTGAATACAAGTACGGCTGATGTCGTGTTCGGTATAACAGTAAATGGCCGTGCTGCCAATGTAGACTACATTGAGCAGATGATCGGGCCAACTATTGCAACAATACCCTTACACGTTCGACTCAACTTCAAGGCGACATTAAGAGATGCCTTAGCAAGGCTGGAGGCGAAGGCTATTGAAATGATCCCTTTCGAACAAGCAGGTCTACAAACCATAAGGAAGATTAGCGCAGAAGCGCGCCAGGCCTGCAATTTCCAGAGCCAATTAATTGTTCAGTCGAATTCAAGAAAACGTCAGACACTGTTCGACGGATGTCAATATTCCTCTACCACGCTGGGAGGATTCGCTAATTATGCCCTTTCAGTTGAATGTTTACCCAACGACAACGGGACCAAGCTGGACATAACCGTCTTGGTAGACACTAAAGCCATTAGCTCCAGAAGGGCACGTAGTCTCGTGCTCCACATGGCGGAGATCCTGCGCAAAATATTGCAGGACCCGCATCAAAGGCTGGATGATCTACCACAGATCCGGCCAGAAGAATTCGGCCAGTTGAAGGAGTGGAATAAGGTGACGCCAACAGATCCGCCAAAATGCATCCACCATCTCATTGACGCGCAGTCATCGACAGCACCGCACAAGCCAGCGGTGGTCGCTTACGACGGACAGTTCACATATGCAGATATAGAGAGATGGTCTAAGAGATTAGGCAGCTGGCTTCTGGGGAAAGGGCTTCAGCCTGGCGACATCATTCCACTTCTATTCGAGAAAAGTAAGTGGACACTTGTGGCAATGCTTGGGGTGCTTAGAGCTCGCGGCACCTTCGTCTTACTTGAACACTCCCATCCTCTGGGAAGACTCCAGGGAGTTTGTAAAGACACCAGTGCTTCCATCGTTCTTTGCTCGCGCTCTTTCGCCCAGCTGGCGGGAAATCTTGCCCAAATAGTCGGTGTCATAGAGGAACAGGGGACATTCCTGGAGGCCAGGGATGAGCCTGTATTCCCGATCGTACAGCCGGACGATGCGGCGTATGTGGTATTCACGTCAGGATCGACAGGTAAGCCTAAAGGCGTGGTAATTGAACACAAGTCGTATTGCGCGGGTGCCCAAGCCCACAATCAATCCCATCAGGTGGACAGCTCCTCTAGGGTGCTACAATTCGCGTCATATTCTTTCGACGTGAGCATTGTTGAATGCCTCAGCACCTTAATTGCCGGAGGATGTGTTTGCGTCCTGTCTGAATGGGAACGGAAGAATAATGTCGCCCAGGCGGCTCATCGCCTAGGCGTAACACACGCCTTCTTGACTCCGTCTTTCAGCCGTCTTCTCAAGCATGAACAAATACCGACCCTTCGTGTCTTGATTGTCGGTGGTGAGACCGCAGCGCCATCTGACTGTTCATATTGGGCGGACAAGGTCAAATTGATAAATGAATACGGCCCGGCAGAGTGCAGTGTCGCGTTTTGTGTGCAACCCTACCTGAATGATCAGGGTACCCATCACAAGGATATCGGTCATCCCTTGGTTGGAGCTGGGTGGGTAGTGGATCCCGCCAATCACAACAGGCTTCTTCCGATAGGAGCCGTCGGTGAACTCTTGATAGAAGGCCCTCTTGTTGGTCGGGGCTATCTGAACGCACCCGAGATGGCCACCAATGCCTTTATTGAACCTCCTCCGTGGCTCAAGGCCATACGCGGAAGACATCCATGGCCAGTCTATAAAACAGGAGATCTCGTTCAGATCAACGACAACGGATCTTTCCGTTTCGTGGACCGACATGGTACACTGACGAAGCTACACGGTCAGAGACTGGAACTGGGTGAAGTCGAATCCAACATTCTCCAATGCTTTCCTGGCGCGACCGAAGCTGCTGCGGTGGTCACAAATATTGAAGACAGAAATAGGAGCCTGCACTTGATTGCATTCATCGTTGTTGAGGGTACAGCAACGATAAGAAAGGACAACAGCTTGCTTGGTCTACCAACAGACGACTTTAAGCAGAACCTCCTCACGGCCCGGTCCGTGTTGAAGAGAATCCTTCCCAGCTATATGGTACCGTCAGTGTTCCTCCCCATAACACATATGCCACGAACTGGAAGTGGAAAATTGGATCGCCACAAACTCAAGGATGAAGTGGCGAGGAGACCCTGGGCCGATCTACAACAATACGGCACCTCCATTGTGCAGAAACGGGTACCATCAACTCTCGCAGAAAAGGCCCTCCGGGATATATGGGCAAATTCTCTGAATATCACAGCATCCAGCATTGGACTTGATGACAGTTTCACTGATCTTGGTGGGGACTCAATCACAGCCATGCAAGTCGTCGCACAGGCCCAAGGGAAGGGCATGCCATGTTCATTCCGGGATATAATAGATTTCGGAACAATTGCGAAGATTGTGGGTCGTACGTCGAACGCAACGAATCGCTGCCTGGAGAGCCTACCAGAGGAGCCTGAAACGGTGTTCAGTTTGTCACCCACTCAGCAGTACTTCTTTGACAAATATCGACACTCGGAGATCCCGAATCACTTCAATCAAAATATAATGGTGCACCTCGAGGAAAGGGTGCCTTTTACTGAAGTTAGGAAGGCAGCGGTTAATCTAGTGAGGTGTCACGCAATGCTTCGATGCCGCTTTTCTCGACAAGGTGACGGAACGTGGAAGCAATATATTGCAAGGAACGTCGAAAGCTCGTTCTCCTTCAGGCTTCATCAGCTCTCATCCTCTGCAGAGGTGCAAGATCATATATCGTCAGCCCACAAGGGGATTCATATCACGGATGGACCGGTTTTCTCTGTGGAAATGTTCGAGATGGGGCCTTACCAGTCAATATGCCTTGTTGGCCACCATCTTGTTCTCGACCTGGTATCATGGCGGATAATACTAGCCGACTTGGATGCTTCTATTCGTGGCACGCTATCTGACGGAGGTAACTTGACCTCCTTTCAGACTTGGTGTGGGCTTCAGTCCAGATACGGCGAGGAGAAGCTTCAGCCGCCGCCTAGCCTGGTCACCCGGAGAAAAGTAGGCATGAGCCAGGGGCTCTGGAGCTTCTGGGGAATCGACAAACATATACGGAATACATTTGCTGAATCTGTCGGGATGTCTATAACAATCGACGAGCAGACAACAGCGGCCCTACTGGGCCCATCGAATCACCGATTCAGCACCGCACCGGAGGAGCTTCTCCATGCAGCCATACTTTTCGCCTTTATTAGAACATTCCCTGACCGTCCCATTCCTATCATCTGGGGGAAAGGCCACGGTCGTGAAGCTTGGGATCGGTCTATTGATCTGAGTAGGACAGTTGGGTGGTTCAATACGATGTGGCCCGTGGAGGCTCAAGTTGACCGGGCCTCCGACCTTGAGACTATAGTGCAGATCGTCAGAGATACTCGGCGCCAGCATCCGGATCATGGATGGTCCTACTTTACCTCTGTATACCATAACACCCAGAGACGAAGTTTGGCTGAAAAGCTGCCCCCAGTGGAGATCACGTTCAATTATGCTGGACGGTTGAACCAGCAAAGTTCCTTGTTGCGACTAGAGCCAATCTCCAAGTTAGAATTGTTCAACGGTTCTGGCAACGTCGAGCGCTGGGGTATATTTGAGATCAACTCCTTGGTCATAAACGGGCATCTAGAATTCCACCTGGCTTTCCCCAGAAGGTTAAAACGGGATCGAGTCGTCTGCCCTTGGATGAATAATTTTCAGTCCTGCCTACGTGCACTGGCTAGCCTCGTCACACAGGTTGCTGATAAGTCTTTATTGACCTTAGCTGACCAGACTGTACCTCGATGATCTAGCGGAGACTGGCAAATCGGAGGGCGATATGTAAGCTTATCTCCATATATAAAAGTAGCCTCTATTTTTCTGGAAGTAATAGAGATGCGATACAGATGGAGAATCAATGGAGAAAACACTGTGCGTATTGACCGTCTCGCACGAGGAGAGGAGAATTTTTATATTTCCTTTCGTGGGGTCCTGCCAGATGTTCCCTGTCTCAGCAATGGATCCGAAGCTCGCATGGCAATGGCAAAAGGAGTCACTCCAAGCAAGATATAGAACTGTCAAGACATTGCAATTCATAATTTTGAGAATTCCAGTTAGTAATTTAACCTGAAACCGGATTTTCCAACATTAACGGGAGTCGTGCCAAGTTGATTGAACCCCCATGGAACACGTCATAATAATGTAAAGCATTATCAATCAGGTCGGACTGTATATAGTTAGGTATCGAAGGTCACCTTCGTAAGAAACCAAAAGGTTGTCAACTAAATAAATCTTTTTTTTTCCTTCGAAAGGAAAACCTTTCCGAAAAGCCACCGTATCCTATATTAAGTTTTATAATGTCAAGTCGGAGTAAGTGCTTACAATATACGACAAATGTCTGCCATAGCCTACTAAACAACAATTAGATTATAGTTGGGCTTGGGGTCCTCTTAGAGTATATTCGTTCTTTGCTTGACGTGATTGTACATATATATTTGCTGATTATTCGCAGATTAAGGGCGGACTCGACCCTTCATCAACTGAATTCTCTGCTGAATACTCTATTATCGAGAATTCCTATAGAGAGAAGATTATTGGGAGGTAGTCTACCTCGCTCCTTAATGGTGAACCATTCGTTTACTCTGGGGAGGAAGGTACATTTACATCCACGTTACATTTGCAGGGAACAGCAATTATGGCCCATGTTGAGGGAGATATCTATAACACAACCCTAGCTGTTATTGAGAAAATTGGCGATCTTTAACTTGAAGCATGAAACAGATTGCTCATCTACCATTACTTAATTGCCGGTTATTACTATCTAATCCTTACGAATTAAATTTAGAAGTTAGCACCCTCAGCCTGTTGCTGTAATCCCATGAGCTAATGAATTAAAGCTGCTATCAATCATAAATCGGTATTATACAAGGTAGAGCTTTGAACTGTTACCGGCCCTCAGCATTTTCATTCCATGAGGTGTATATATTTCTGCTTCGCAGCCACGTTCTTGGATAGAGCAGTATACCCAGCGGTATAGGGGCCAGGGTTCAAAACCCGCTTGTTGGGGGGGGTTGATGCCTGAATATGCCTGAATGCCTTGCTTTAGAACGGCAGAAAAATTAAGATACCTGAATTACTATTACATATGCCTTAGTAATCAAAGTACACTGTTTCTGCTGATGTTATAGGGTGGTAATAAAATGAAGCCATTTCTCCCATACAAATGCATACATCTCCATTTTTGAAGGTGGTTTACAAGCTCTCTTTCTTCATGTATGAAAATGAAGCTTTTTCATCCCATACAAATGCATACATCTCCATTTTTGAAGGTGGTTTACAAGCTCTCTTTCTTCATGTATGAAAATGAAGCTTTTTTCTCCCATACAAATGCATGCATCTCCATTTTTGAAGGTGGTTTACAAGCTCTCTTTCTTCATGTATGAAAATGAAGCTTTTTTCTCCCATACAAATGCATGCATCTCCATTTTTGAAGGTGGTTTACAAGCTCTCTTTCTTCATGTATGAAAATGAATGCATGCATCTATTTTTGAAGGTGGTTTACAAGCTCTCTTTCTTCATGTATGAAAATGAAGCTTTTTTCTCCCATACAAATGCATACATCTCCATTTTTGAAGGTAGTTTACTCTCTATATATAAGAATGAAGATTTTTCATTGATTCCTAGTTACAAATCCACATATTTATCTAACCCTCCGTCTCCGCTGGCTTCGCCGAGGTGTGGTAACCGGAGATCTAGCCCGCTTCCGCCTCACTGGCTCTACTCTCACTGGCTCTGCTCTCACTGGCTCTGCTCTCACTAGCTCTGCTCTCACTAGCTCTACTCTCACTGGCTCTACTCTCACTAGCTCTGCGTCCACTAGCTCTACACCTACTAAAGTAGCCACTTTAGTAGGTGCTGGACTTGGTGTAGTTATATAGAGAGGAGCCTTATCACCCTATAGATCATCCTCGAATGTATAGGTATCTTTATACCGCTTCACAACTATATAGAGCTTTGCCTTCCGACCTAGAAGCTTATCAATAAGCTCCTTTACAGTACCGTCAAAGGAATCATCTACTCCCGACATCTATCGAGGACTATATTTTCCCTTTATACACTATATATCCTTAGTAAAATAGAGCTTATCTATCCAACCCGGGCGGAAATCGACGATACTCGGTAGTCCTATAATAAAGTAATCTCTTATAAAGGCGTCGATATTAAAGATCACTTAGTTAGGACGAAGGTTGACCGAAATTAAAGCTATCAAAGTAGTAATTAGCTTCAGCTTCTAAACTATAATAATAATAATAATCATATAGTAAAGTAAGATATATATACTATCCGGAATTGGATTTATCTCTCCTAGTTTCTCCTAGAGATAGAAAATCACTATTATTATAATCTCCTTATTCGTCTCTTTAGCGGCTTTTCGAATAGCCTCTACCTCTCTATACTTCTTTATATAAGCTAGACGACTTCTACTTATTAGATTGCTCGCGAGGTTAGAAAACCGAGTGCCTATATACTAGACTAGTATAGCTAGCGAAGGCAATACTAGCGAAGGTACTACTATCGAGGAAATTACTAGCGTTATAGGTATAGCTAGCGTGGCTATTAATAAAGATAGGGTAGGACTTATAGAGGTTAGCTCACGTAAAATAAGCTATAAGGCTTCCTAGGCTATAACTAAGAAAGGCATTTTAATAGATAGTAAGAGTAAGGTATAGATAAAGGAAATAAGTATTTATATAGACTTACGTACTTTAATTAAGGTAAATTATAGATCCCTTCTTTATAGTATTTTAATTTTAACTATATTTCTAATTACCGAGATAGATATAGTATATATCCCGAGATATAGTACGCATCTATATATATACTAGGCTGATTTTTAATAGTAAATATAATATTAATAAATTCATCTAACCTTCCGAGATATACTCCTAGCCCGAATACTCCTAATCTATATACCCTTTATCTATATCCTCTTCACCTATATACTAATCCTAATCTATATACTCCCTATACGGATCCTAATTAACTATACCTATTAGCTTTATATAAACGTCGAGGATTAGTTCTTAGCCCGAAGCCTAATACTTATACGCTCGCTCCCGTAGCTTTATATATACCGCTTTAAATAGAGACTTAGCGTTACCTATAAACCGTATATCCGGATTCTTAGGGTCAAATAGGATTCCTACTAATTGTTATCTAATTTCAGTTAATTATTAGCGATACTAAGCGAATGTAGACGGTAGAAGATATTACTTAGGATCCTATTCCTATACGTCTTCTTTAAGCCTCTATAGAAGCTAGGCCTACTCTAATACTAGATCTTTATTAAGTATACACTTTAAGTTCTCTACTTTTAGTAAGTAAAAGTTCATTGTAGGCTTTCCTAGGATAAGTTAAGTCCGGCGACTATTAACCTAGATAGGGTAGGCATTCTAATACGCGGTATATGATTTTACCCGCTATCGAATCACTTATATATAAACTATAAGAAGGGAAACCTAATTAAGAATACTATCTTATATAAATCGATCTTCGTATTATAAATAGCGAAAAAAACGCTATTTAAATTAGTATAAATTGAATAGTTATAGAGCTATAATTAACTTATATAGAAGAGCCTAGTAGTTACCCTCAATAGCATCCCCTACTATACTTTAATTCGCTAGTTATTAACACTTCTTCTATAGATCTAGCAGTCCTTTAGTATAATAGAGGGATCGGTTCGGCGACGAAGCTTATAGTGGCTATTAGCGAGAAGTATAGTCTCTATACCCCGATTAGAGCGGCATTTCCTAGATTAAAAAAATTGAAAATTAGCTTATAAAGTATAAAAACCTTACTATTAAAAATACTAACCTTAGTTAGTACCCCCTCTTTTTAAAAGTCTTAAGACCTTAGCTAAGAACGCTAATAGTAGTGCGAGCGCTTATACTAATATAAACCTAAACGATATATCGAGAGTACCTATTAATTGTAGTATAGATCTCGATTCTAAAGGGCTCTAGCTTTATATAACCATTAATATACCATATATCGTTCGGTCCTAGAGAAATATAGTTGACTCTTTCGCGCCGGGTGCCTAAGAGCCGGCTTTATACCGCTTCGGGCCGGAGGAGGCGTTATATAAGTTTAATTTAGGCTTTAGGGTAGGTTAGTAATAGTAAGTATATAATAAATCTATAAGAAATACTCACTTAGTATAATATAGCCCTATAGAACGAAGATGGCGGTATAGAGTACGGTAGCTATAGTCCTCGATTTCACTAATAACACTCTTATAGATAATAATAGCTTGCAGATCGTCAAATTGTTGCTATCGCTGTTTAGGAGAGAGCCGAAGCTTAATATTAAGATCGGCTCGAATTCTTTTAAGGGTTCTCTCTAAAGAAGGTCTGCCCTCTACGGCGAGAATTTGAAGGATTTCTTTTATATTGTACTAAGATAGAAGCGCTTCAACACAATCTTAGATCTCTACCCTAGGGGTAAGATTAAGATCACGGCGTATAGGCGGTTTCTAGTCGCTAAGAGATCTCTTTAGGGTACTACGGCTAATTATAACATCGTATCGTTATTCAAGAATAGCGCGAATGTCTGTATGTGTAGTTATCTGGTCAATGAGATCGAGTATCTCTTCTTTGTAAGGCTCAAGATCAATACGCGGGCGCGGCATAATTCATACACGGAGTAGTGTAGGGAGTAGTATATAGAGAATAAAGATTTAGGTACGATTTGTGGGATAACAGCTGGCAAGTTTTAATATAGACCAGTAACCGGGCTTAGTAAACCACCTTCAAAAATGGAGATATATGCATTTGTATGGGAGAAAAAAGCTTCATTTTCATACTGGAGGCATAAACCACCTTCAAAATCGGAGATGCATGCATTTGTATGGGATGAAAAGCTTCATGTTTATATAAATGGTTTACAATACACTGTATAGAGCGGTGTAGAGGGCGGTGCTATTTAAGGCATCCAGGCATCAACATCCTCTAGTAAAAGGGGTTTTGAACCCTGGCCCCTATACCGCTGGGTAGCAGTAATTATCCATGTTAGTTATCAAGTACTCTAGTTAGTGGTTCCCGATATAATTCTAGTGCCTACTCGAAAAAGCTATGAGACTGTATCTTTGCTTCAACCCTCGATGAGACTTCCCTACCTTTAGCAAACGACACAAGCAAGCAAAAGACACCGATTTTCGAGGGACGAGGAAATAGCTCGGCACAAACAAAACCAGCCGCGATTTTAAACATGCTGGTCAAGTGTTTCTGATTAAACCACCCATACTATTCGTGTAATATCCTTAACAACCCTCGTTATAATAGGTTGGGGCTTCTTCACACTTGGTTATAGAGCCCCATACTTCGAGACATTTCATCTAAACAATTACGATTGGGACTATTTCATCTTGCGGAAACCGACAAATCGGTGCGCATTGTGTATCCTTTGTTTGATTAGAGGGCCCCACTTTGAGCTGATTTTGGGTCTTTATGAGCCTGGCAGTACAGTGGTGTTCATCCCTAATACCAAGTCTCATCAACTGTCCTGCCTCGCCTCTGCGCAGGTTCGCTGCCGGGTACATAGATGTCTTCAAACAAAACATCAAGTCTTGCCTCCGGAGCGGGCATCTGCTGGGCATGTTCGACTTCCTCTTTGATCATCCTTTTCACTTCCTTTTCGACAGCCTTGGCTTCATCTTCCGTCATAATGCCCCAGTCCACCAACCTCGTCTTCAAGTATGTAAGCGGATCATTTGCACGGTTTTTTCGCATTTCCTCTCGAGTACGGTAGGCAATTCCAGGGTCGGACATAGAGTGACCGGCGAATCGATAAGTGACATACTCATAGACGAGGGGACCATTGCCCCTTTTGACGAAATCACGCCCATGTTTGACTGCAGCCATTACAGCTAGAACGTCCATCCCATCCACCCGAAGACCAGGGATGTAATGACCCCGTTTATAGTACTCCGTCATGGCAGAAGCTCTTTCGGCAGACGTCCCCATTCCATACTTGTTGTCTATTCGCCTTGCAGTCAGAGGAATGGAATCAACTAGGGAAAATAGGAGAGACTTACTCTCGCAGCCGAACATGACAGGCAGATTCCACAACTTCGCCATGTTGAAGGCTTCGTGAACCTGTCCTTGGTTCGCGGCTCCGTCGCCATACAGATTAATTGTGACGTTACCTGTCTCGTCATACTGCTGGGCAAACGCTATTCCAGCCCCGAGTGGCACGTTCGCACCTACGATACCATTTCCACCAAAGAAGCTTTTGGAGTACATGTGCATCGATCCACCTTTCCCATGCGCTATCCCGTCCCGGCGACCGAGGAGTTCGCCGATGATTGATTTGATTGTACCGCCGCGCATATATGTGAACCCGTGAGAGCGGTATGCGGTGATAAGTTTGTCTTCTTTGCTGATTGCGTGCTCGATCCCGACTGCAACTGCCTCTTGTCCAGTCGACAGGTGACAGAAGCCACGGATCTTTCTCTCTTTGTACAATTGATCGGCAGCTAGCTCCATACGCCTAATACATATCAGCATGCGTAAGTGAGTGGGCCCAACCCCAGTACGAACCTTATTGTTGTCATGTCACGATAAAGCTGCTTGAGTTGGTTTTTCGTTGTTTCGACAGAATATGGCGGCGGATCGAAATTGTATGTTCGAAAGCTCTCTTCTGCAATGGGTATTGTGAAAGGCGTATCATTTTCCTGGCCCCCGCCCAAGTTAGCTTCAACGTTGTCCCTAATTTACAGCGGCCGAGTTCTGACTGCAGGTATGCTCCCGGGGTTTGCGGCTTGGGCAAACCCACGCTGCTCGACACGTAGAGACCGGATGAAGGTAGGTCTGCGAGCTCCAAAAGGCAGGAACTTTGCTCTGATTGTGGCTGGCATGATGATAGTGGGAATGAGCTCAATGAGCCGAAAAATATCGTTAAATGGTATCGTTAAACCGTGTTGTTAAATTATGTCATTAGATTATTAACGATATCCTTAACGCTATTTTTCGAATATTAAAGACAATCAAGTTTTAACGATATTGCTTCGTACTCCGTTGTATTCTATCTGATGCAATTGTGAAATCAGACATTGATGTCAGGGAGATGACGTCAGTCGAGGACCGTTTTGGCAAATATAGACAGATCTCGGGAAATCAACATAGAAAGGGTACCTAGGTAACTATATCTAACCTAAGTTCGAAGGAAACTCTCTACACTTCATGAATCTAGTATCTCTCGGAAATATAGGAGACATAGTTGATTTTCCGGCAACCAAACTCACGTTAATGAATGCTCCATTCCCAGTCCCAGACAAGACCCCCTTAACATGCAGTAGCATTTTATATATGCAGTTACTGAGCAACCTTGGAACACTCCTGAGGGAGGTTACTGACCCTGTCGAGAGCCGGTACACACCGGGAGGAATCTAGTGTTAGTCAACTAATGGAAATTAACTAGGATTTTCAACATGCTTTACCTAGCCTACAGATTTCTTCTGAGATTATGCCTCTAAACGTCATACGGGTTAACAAGACTATAGAATCTTAATTGTAATTGTCATATATTCAGAATATTCATCCTCAGAATGCTTATATATTCCAGCGTAAGGAACAAGCGAGACACCAGCCCTGATATATCCTCAGAACCGATCATCCTCTCATTGTGTATGTGTGTGAACTACTATTCACCAAAAATGACCACGGAATCTCTGAATGCGTCCCCTTTCTACGCCTATATTGTTAATGTTGGTTGTTCATAAGATATTTACCCCCAGCACAAGTTAAGGCTAACTATAATCAAGACCACAGATAGGGACACATGGAGGTCTTTAATTACATTTGCTAGCTTTGAATTAGCAAATACGTGGTGGAGAGCCATCCAAGAAGCCTCCTCTAAGCCACAATATGCATCATTCCGTCGGGTCTCTCCTCATCTGTTTACTTACAGCAAAAGTGATCTGGGAGATCAAGCCGCCAAATGCCTCAACGATAATGAACCTACCAGCTCATTCAGGGGTAAAATGTTCTTTACGTATTTACCGGACCTTGGGACTGGGGACCGACCCCGACTCTGGCCACTTCCTTCATTACCTCAGAGGGACCCTATCAGTGGTCATACGTGAGTCTACATGTCTTTCACAAGCAGAAAGTTCAGAAGGCTAATCGACCTTATAGGTTCTTTATCCGAAGCAAGGCGACACCACATCTATACTGGTACGTAAAGAACAATCGAGTCGGCGCATCTACTACGGCGCGTACAGCCTTTGTCATCGAAAAAGCCGACGACGATCATCGACCGTGCCGTTTCCCCGATTATCCGGTCGTCTTGATAAGTAAAGATCGTATCAGGATTTCTCCGGCTTTCTCTTCTGGAAATTACACTCATGTGTTCCCCGCACATGATGGCCACCTGCACATCGGAAGTGATAATGGCAACCTCTATTTTAGGGACCTAGAAAGCGGCTTTAGCACGTGGGATTTCACTTTGGGGGGTCCAGGCTCTTCTGCTCTAGGTGATGGGGCTTCACAAATCAGTGTTTTTAAGAACAAATTTGGAGATGTCTGGGAACTGGTTTAAGTGGAACATTACTATTGTTGGAATCCATAGTCAGAAGGTGGACATTCATATCGTCAATTGTTTTGTACTAGTCATTGTGTCTTTTAACTGAATTGTAAGCTAGGGGCTTTTACAGCAACCCGACCTTTTATGGCTTGCTTTTGGAGTAGGGGACGTAGCTAGTAATATCTAATAAGCTAATCAACAATGACACCTAAGACTAAGCACGGTGGAAGAGTGCATATTCTTGCCGGATTTGTATGCCTTGGTTCTTTCTTGGGCGGTATTTGCCGATTTCGAGGGAAAGGAAGAGGACTGATCAATCCCTCCAGGGCGCTCTGGATCTATGCACTTCAGGTCGCTTAAAAGGGAAAACTCGCCCCAGCAAAAGTTTCTAGGTACTCGTGAAAAGGAACAACCTATGAAGATGTCTTAGAAAAAGGATGATTTTGATGGCTCCATTGGCCGGCACAGGGAGCAGGGCATATAAGACGAATTTTTCTCCACGGGTATGGTCTAGGTTAAAGGGCTGTTCATTTCGAATAGTGAGGAAAGGTAGAACCATGTTCAAAGTACATTATGTTTCCCCGGACCATGGCTTTTCGTCAGACACCTGGGAAATGTCGCAACCATCGACGGGGAAAGCCTTGGACTTCGCACCTGCATTTGCAGGCTGGGAGCGCCTAGTGTCAGTTAGACTGCAGTCTCGAGGGATGGAGGACATACTTACGCCAGGTATGTCGGAATTTTCCATGTCGCCTATTGCGGAATTTGCAGAGGATTGTAGAGTTTCATACCAGTGGTCTTGATTTCTCAAGCTAGGTAATTTCCCGTCGCAACAGAAGCGGTATGATAGAGCTTGAATTATCTGAATTGCCGACCTCGGGACATGTCTTTGGTTAACTAGTTAGTTGACGCCGTATAAGAGGTGTGTGCCTAAGGGACCGCCCAGCTGGTGGTTCTGTCGTGTGGAAACACTTGGCCCAAGGCAACATTGAAGTCAGCCACGCCGCTTATTTGGCCAATCCTAGGCTGAAACTTGATGGGTACATGCAGATGCCAAGAGACCGCGGTTTCAGGAAGATCGAGGAGAATTAATACCGCTATACCTGAGCTTACCTGAGAGGGTCTGTGTGGTGGCCGTGCGTCGAAGCATAATTCTCATCCCATCTATTACGCACTCACCCTTCTCACCCTTCTCGCTATCGCGCGACGCCAAAGCGGCTCACTCATATACTAGCTGGTGATACTTAATTATTCTCTCGTATACATAAGCTGATACATACATAGGGTGTGGAAAATAGGGCTTCCAGTCCGCTCAGCCTTACTCAAGCCCATTATTCTGTACGGTCAATACTTAATGCGCCATTAGTATAGAAGCGGCATTCTATGGTGAGTGCGGGTAATATAGGTGAGAAGTCTAGAGACCTGGGTGGGAGAGGTGGGAATGGGGTAACCCATTTAGAGTTTATACTCGTCTAAGCAAAAGAAAGAAATAAAACCAATATCCAGGGTCATGCTTTTGCTCTACTTAGGTTTGCTTTAATTTGATTTGTTCTAGAAAAATGGTTACCTAGAAGACTTCCAGAATGCACTCGAATATTTAAAGAGTTCATAGCACTCGTCTTTTTACATGTATTTAGACGCGAATATCAAAACAAGAAGGAACCCGAGGATAGTATCATCTGTCACCGCCATACAGGTCTCTACCTAAGAACCGAGCTTACCCCCTTATACATATTAGCATGACACTATTAGATATTGGCGTATGCGAGGGCTTTCCCATTCCGGGACCATTATCCGTCCATCTGTGGAAACTGGGAAAACGGGAACCACACATGGCAGCTAAGCGTATCGCTTATACATCAGCGTTTTCCATGACACTTCATAGCTCAATTACAGTGGAATTCTCATGGAATACAGATACAGTGTAAAATCAGTATGAGAAACAAAGTATGTATTCGGGGTGGACAGAGAGGAGAAAGAAAGAGAGAGAGAGCGCAGGCAGACTATCTGGGTTCTATCTACATGGTGATGCCTGAGGCATCCAGGCATCCAACAAATTCCTATAACCGGTCACATTTGGGTAGATTGCTAACCCTGCACAAACGGACACCCGCTACTACTGCTCTCGCTGCTAATCTGGTGCTCTCTGCTAATTTGGCGAAACATTGCCATAGGGTCATACCAGATATCAAGAGTCTGCACCTGTAGTTTATCATTGACCTTGGCCACTGTAAGTCCTTCGATATCAATCGGGCCACCGTGCGCTTGAATCTTGACCTTTTCACCGGAGCTAGGATTGTAAGCATAAGACCAAATCATCATGGATAGTAGTGACCAGATACCTATTATATCCCACGTAATCATGCTTCATCTCGCCCCAATGTCTCCACCGAAAGGTAACAACAGGAGGACCAGAGTATACTTCAAGTACCTCCCAAGCAAACGTTGGCATCATCCGCTTAAATGACTTGTGCGAATCGTCAAAAGTGTTATGTGCAGGATCATAATACTGGCTCGCGGTCAGGAGAGCATTATAAGTCCCCACTTCTAACATATGGTGACCTGTTCGTCGTTCACTACCATTCACGGAAACTGTGTATACGTCGTGATCTATGGTACGCCAGTCGGATAGATTTGTCTTGAAGGAGGCTTCGATTTCCCAGTTCTTCACAAGATTTTCAACGAGAAAAGGGAGACTGCCGGGTTCGTGGGTCTTTGTCTTAGCTGAATGATGTAAGTAATAGAATTCAGATGGTTAGGAACAAGAGTGGGGTACTTTTTTCATAAAAGGCTCTTGTCTTAGAGTAATCTGGAGCATTGCCATGGCGCCAGGCTGCATTGATGTCTTTAAGGACAGCATCAGGATCAAGCACGTAGTCAGGTAATTCACTCATTATGAAATTTATTGGGGTGAAAATCAAGTGAGAAAATGAGACAGAAAAGAATGAGACTGGGAAATGACGGTTTTTATATGGGCCCTCTCCCATAACTCCTCTCCCGTCTTACATCTCCCATGGCCCCCAAGTCAATGAGCATGGGTATCATGGATGTAACCTATACGGTAGGAACATCTTCCTATCTCAGGCCGGGATATGCGCCCTCCCCCGCTAGGCCTTAAACAGGAACCGAGGCTTTTTGTTCTGGTCTAGTGGTAAAACTGGCTGTGATTTTTCCCGCATCCTAACTAGTCCACGATATTTTTGGTTAAGTAGGATTGCGAAATAGACCAATCAGGTTAAATCTAATATGGGTTATATATGGCCTTTATGGAGAACATAGTATTTCCGCTTTATCCGCCCAGATTTATATATTAAATCTCGTATCACGTAGCCCTTTGACCCCGTTTGTACCCCGTTCCTAATTCTTTCATAATTCGTTCTTACCTCTTATTACCCACACTCACCATAAGACAGATTTTCTTGCCACTAATTATTCGAGGATACTCGAGAATTAACCGTGTAGAGAAAAGACTTGTATGTAGCTGGTAGTCGGGTAAGCGCCGCCTTAGCGTTGAACAGGTCAGTGCATTGTGTCTCGCAGCTTGGGTGATTCTCCTGATTCTCACCCTATCTATGTTGTATAGCGCACTTGCACCGCTCTCACCCCGCTCGCACAACTCCGCGAGCGCCATAATGATTCTTAACGAGTAATACAGTATAATCTTCTTTCATACTAAATATAGTACATACGACCATAGGGTGTGGAAAACAGGGCTTCCCGTCCGCTCAGCCGTACTTAAGCCACACGCCGGTGAGTTAGTAGTTGGGTGGGTGACCACCAGCGAATCCTCACTGTTGTATGTTTCTCTTTTTGTTTTTGCATCTCTCAGCGCCACTCCTACCTACCCTTAAACATAAATAGTATCTCTAGGGCACCTATCTAGATCTACCATTTTAAAAATTTTGATTAATAAGTTGGGCACTGTTGGTTGTTAATATACTATTTTAGATTTTTAGGGCTTATTAATATTTCATGACAGATGACCTCGGGATCTCCCTCTTTTCTCGACCGTGCCAGAGACGGTTTGCGTATCACCTTATAGCCGTATAGCTGTTCTAGAGCGTATACGGAGACAGATTGTGCAATATGATAAGGTAATCATAATAACAAAGATCCAAATCTACAAAACAATCCAGTTAACGTCCACTGATTTATGCCTGGGCAGATATTCCCCATCTCCCACCGAGGTCAGCACATGGAGATTCCCGATTTTGATCATCTTCTCCGGCTGCGAAGAGTCCCCACAACCGGCGGCCTTCAACAACAAACCATCCCATTGTCCGGGTCGGTACCGGAGATGAATAGCATAGTACGTCCCACGTACTCCGTAGATCTCCGGGATGAGCTGTTTAATCCAGTACCGGAGATCCCCATGATACATGCTCTCTTGGGGTTGGAAGTGCTCCCGTTCAACAATATGTTCAGGCACCGGCATACTCAAATCGACAAAGCATGTCATATACTTGATATCGCCATAGTCACTATTGGATGAGAAGAGGATCTCCACTTTCGGTAGGAACACCGCCCCGTCGCCGCGGACCTCCCACGTCGATACGGACGGATGGTCCGCCGTCTCTACGCCCGGCACACACAGGCGTCGCGGCTCGGAGATCCGGGCCCGGAAGGGGAGCATAGTGCCCCGGACTACGTCCTGAGTTTTCACATCGTCGACGGGCAGGTAATCCGCCAGAACGGCGGTGATGAAGAAGCTAGAGCCCAGATTGCGCGCGACCTCCTGCACGAAGACGAGCGGGTACTGGTCGAAGACGAAACCCGGTTTGTTGGGCTGGCGCTGCTCCGGCATGGCAGTGGCGGAGTTGTACCATTCTGTCATGCCGAGGACGGACATGATCGCCTGCGCACGGCTGTGGCTGCAGTATCGGCTGGTCGCTAGGAAGAGGATCTGCTCGCGCTTGAGCTCGTGGAGCTTGTCCATTCCTGTGCGATGGAGGAGATCGAATACTTCGTAGAAGCCTGGGTGGACGAGGGGCTTCCAGCGCTCGAGGAGCTGGTCTGCTGGGGTAGTCAGATCGTTAAGTTCCCTATTGAGTGTGTCTTTAACTCGTTCGGTAAGGGAGACGAGAGTGTTGAAGGCGACGAGGGCCCCGTTGTCGCCTACCGTGAGGAGGTCGAGGTTCTTGTTGCAGATCCAGATGTCAGGGCGCAGGCACACTTCCTGCAGCGTCCACAGGGAGCTGAACCAGGGCAGAGTGGCCATGTCCGGTGAGAACAGCCCCGTGGCCTGGAGCCGGTCGTGCGCTTTCCACGGCGGGACACGTATGGGAGACTCGTCCCCATCCGAGAACTGGAGGTCCAGATATATGGATGACATCCACTGGATGGCGCTGCACATGCCGTCCCAGGACTCCGGGGCGGAGTCGGTATTCCACCAAGCGATGGCGTGTTTGGCGCCCTTGAAGATGGATGCCTGGCTCGCAACCTCCGTCCGCATGGCCTGCCGCAACTGCTCGTCAAGCTCCTCCCCGCAGCCCTCCTGCGGAATGCAAACCAGATCAAACCAGATATAGGGTGTATCCGTGGGAATCTGGGCCAGGATATCTGGTAGTCGCTCGACATCGAACAGTGAGTTCCGCGGGATCAGCCACGGCACGTGCGGTTTCATGTTAACCCCAGGCTGATCGCGCTGCCGCCACCGGCCCCAGGTGTGACTGATTGCTGTGTACGGGATGTCGAAATCGTATTCGTCCCACAGCGAAAAGACATCCACGGTCCTCCGCTCTTTCACGTCCCACAAGTAAAGCGGAAACCCGCGGATGTCTCCCAGCCAGGGGCAGGAGTCTATACTGGAGCCGGCGCTACAGCGAGGATCCAGCCCGGGTAGGTCGCTGCTCCCCAGGACCCGTCTCCCTGCGCGCCAGACCGGGGAACTCTCTGACCGGTGAGCGAGATAACTCTCGCCATCTGGGGAGTATGGTACTTGAGCTGGCTGTTGGGAGTGGCTTCCCGGGAGCATGCTTCAATCGCAATGGTTAGACAAGCAGCTTCCTGCGCCAAGCCCCGTCGGAGGCTCACCAGCTCGTCGCCGCTTCGGTGTATTACGAAGTTCTCGAATTCAGCGTTGAACAACGTTGCCATGCACTTGTTGTAGACGCAGTTGAAGCGGAGTTTGTACCGGATTCCACCGGCCTGGTGGATCGTCTCGCGCTCTACGAGGTTTTGTGGGTAGAAGTGGGACTCGTCGTCGCCAAAGAGGTCGTCGTAATTATCGTCGTATTCTTCTTCTGCTTCGTCCACAATACATACTCGGGAACACGTCGCCCACCATTTCCAGAGAATGTAAAACGATCGTTCCTGCCCGGGTAAGATGTTGTCGCAGTGTTTCAGCCCGATCATCATTAAACCCCGTGATGACCGTGCCGTCAGGGCCTTTTACACTGTCGACCGCGCCCTGCTCCAGAGCCAGTCGATACATGATCGAGAAACACCTGCTGTACCCGTCTCCCATGCCCATGTCCTCGCCGTAGACCACCTGCATCAACGTGGCGAGGGGGTATCCCTTGTCCCTCTCGGTGCTGCGCACGGGCACCCAGTCATCGGGGCTCATGCTGTTATGCTGGCTTTTCTATCTAATATAAGTGTAAATAATAGCAAGACGCTGATAGTAGTGTTTATTCGTAGAGACGAGCGACGAGTCAGAAGCGGGGTTATATATTAGAAAAACTAAGCGAACGCGCTATTCTGCTATTGGCTGTGCTTCTGCTAGTACGAGATCAGTTATATTGATGCAGATGGAACGAATATAAGAAAGGGAAAAAAAAGCTAATTCTCAGTGGCACTCAAGACATCACTGCAGCCAAACCAATGACTACCGTCTCACCAACCGCTCCAAACAATCCCTCCCCTCCTGATGCCGCGCATGATACGTCGCAATCAGACTAACTTTCACCGTCTCAGCCCCATGCCTCTTCTCCCCAAAAAAGAATCGCCGGCCGATCCGCCAGGTAATCAGCGATCTTAGATTCCGTGCTCGTGTCCCGTCCAAACGACGTGTAGCGGACTATATGCATCGTCATGACAATGTATAGCTGGTAGCAGGTCCACGCGTACTGAACCAGCGGCGGCATCCAGAGAGTCGAGGCCAGCAATCCTAGCGGAAATAGAGCGGCGAAAAGCGCTATAATGAACAGCTGGAGAATCTCCCGGGTTCGGTTCCGGACTGGGTGGCCATAGTGTCGGAAGAACTGCTGCACGATGGCTGAGAGACCGGTGAACAGCATGAGGTCGCCGCCTTGGGATTGGGGGAAGTGCAGGATGAAATCACGAGGTGATTCGGGTCCGGTGGTCGGCGTGGTTGATGGCGATGAGATGGAGGAGGAGATAGGGGTGAGAGGCTCGCGGTCGAGGGCGAAGAAGGCGCTCAGGAGGCGGAGGAGCAGCGGGGCTAGCCAGATAAGGCACCAGAGTGATCGGCCGATGGCGTAGATGACGGCAAAGATAATGATGCCGGAGAGCTCGGCGATGAAGATGCTGAGGTAAACGTGCCAGCCTGGTCGGCCGCAGTTCTCGCGCACAAACGCCATCTGCGAGGCTTTATCTTCTGCCGTTGCTGGAGTGAAGATGAGGTGGTAGACGGCGACTTTCGCTCGTAAGGGGATGCGGCCATTGTCGGCGGGCGGGAGGATGCCCTTCTCGATGGCAGCGCCCGTAGTCGGAGCGGATAGTCCTGCCAGTGATCCAGGCCTTTCGGCGGGTAAAGGCATGTAATGAAGAGCTCGCGCCCACATGCAGTTACGGGCTGCGCGGGGCTCGGAACTAGCAGTACCGGGAATGGTGTAGGTCCAGTCCGTTTGCTTAAAGAACGAAGTGCCCAGCATGTGGCCTTCGCGGGCGCCCTTCAAGAGTCCTTGGGCGTTGGCGATATCGAAGGTGCTCAGAGCGGCTTTGTGCAAAGGACCCCCCCATGGGCATTAGGAGAGCCAGGGTTGGAATGGATCGAAGTGTGAGGTGGGAGAATGATCGCTGGGGCCATAATAACGACGAAAACCAGATGTCGGTGGCTGCCTCTGCTCCGATATAACCAAGCACCGCACCAAACGCGCCGAAAACCCCGCCTTGGTCGGACATATCGCCAAGCGAGATGATTTCTGGTAGCAAAGGGTTGTGGTCAGATCGAACTCACTCCTTTTGCCCAGATGGCCGGATCTATCATGGTAATGACCAGATCTGATGATATGGCCGATTTTTGAGTTGGTCGGAGACCTGCTGAGCTGGTTAGTTGGTGAGCGGGTCAGCGTTGTCAGGCTGATCTAGGCTTACATTTCAGCCGCAAGATGGGGTTCTCAAGAAATCCAGTCGGCCAAGGGTCATTCCATGATGGCTATCATGTTTTGGAAGTGTTGTAGAATCCGTCTTCTGATATATCATATCCCTTGAATCGGGGACATGACAGTAAACCAGTCAATATCATCCATGCCGGTTTGGTTCAGGTCCAAAAGCTTGCCAAGACGGGACTTACCCATTTACCCCATTCCCCATTCTCGCCCCAAATAAAACGTACTCACCCCCTAATCACCCGAGTGGCGCGATGCCAAAGCGGCGCTCACTCATATACTAGCTGGTGATACTTGATTATTCTCTTCCACTCATAACCTTACACATACGACCATAGGGTGTGGAAAATAGGGCTTCCCGTCCGCTCAGCCGTACTCAAGCCACACGCCGGTGAGTTAGTAGTTGGGTGGGTGACCACCAGCGAATCCTCACTGTTGTATGTTTTTTGCTTATTGATTGCTTTTTCATTCTCCGTGTAAATTATCCTTAGCCGCCCTATCTTCAACCCCTTCAGCCTATTCACCTGAATGTCCTGATGCCCCTCTATTCTTCACCCGATCGCCCTGAATACCCCCCTTAAGGCTGACGTGGCCCTTCAGCTAGAATTTCCCTCCCTCCCCGTATCGGGATTGGGTAATTTGCGCGCCTGCTGCCTTCCTTGGATGTGGTAGCCGTTTCTCAGGCCTGAACTGATCCTGATCGGAGCTGATAACGGAAAATAGATTCACCGTGGCTATTATGGACGTAGTGAAGATTCTGACTAAAGAAGAGGCGCAGAAACGATTGCCTCGCTGCAATGGAAGTAACCACAATTGAAGAGCTCTCCTGTGGCCGAACGCATGGGGTACTTCAACAATTCAAACTGAATTTAACTGATGACCTTTTTTGTTCTCCCGGATGGACTACCGCTGAGAAGGACCCTTGGCGTACAGAACTTATATATTACATTTCTATCAGGTTAGCATATTATGTGACTAGAAGTTGAAAGGGGTTATTAGTGTTTCCAGATGGAAGGCAATAACAGGTACGACTGTAGCCCCACCCTCCAGGTGGCCCAAGATCAGGCTCATCCGAGCGGACCGAGCGGACCGAGCCCCCGGCCCCCGGCCCCCTCCTGGAATTGATCCGATCCAGAGTCTTTCTTCCCGAAGTCGGATATATCGGTTCGTCAATCAATCCAAGAATACCTCCTTCAGCAAAGCTACACAAGCGCCTTTCTTGACCTTCTCCAACATGAAATTCTCAAACCTTTCTTCCATCCTCTGTGCGTGTGGCCATGGGGCCGGTGTTGATTCCTGGGCGTCTCCTACTGGACCGACAACGGCAATTGCAACGGAGCCTCTGGTGAGATCATGCCTCTGCAAAGTTCAGTATTGCACCTAAGATGCTCAGGCATTGCATGTGATAGTGGTCGCTTAACGCTTGATCACTGTCCATCGGCCAATGATTATTGCCCTTCTATATCAGCAGTGGACCTTTCGGGCTATGCTTTCTCCACCGTGGAATATCCATTATTGCCCAGGAGACCTTGTTGCTTAATGTACTAAATCTAGTGCTTACCTCCCGCATTCTAGAGTTCAGGAGCCCAAATTAGGAATGGGTTAACGGAGCATCTCGGGTTCTAAAGAAATTAATGAGGTCAACTGGAGTCTCATTCCCGACCCCTTAGTAATCACTCCGTAGCTAGGTAGGTACCTAGGTAGGGTCGGGTATTAAAAACCCAAGTGCTGCAAGTCGCAACACTTTGCTTCCTCAGTTTATTCCAAAGTCTAAATCAGCCATCTTTCTCAATGCTTCTCAACATCATTATCGCCCTGTCGACTGTCTCGCTCTCAGTGGCTAAACCCGCCGCAAACTTCAATGCATCTATTTCAACTCTCACATCCCTAGGCTGCGATGCTGCTTGCCAACGGGCCTTTAGCGAGGGACGAAAGCAGGACGTCGAGATGTTCGGAACGGATTTTGATTTCGACTTTTACGCCACTGCTCGCAACTTCTCATCGTCAAAGCCTGGCGACCTCCTCAAGTTCCAACCTCTGAACGGTTCATCCCTAAGTGTAGTTTATGGGCTTGCCGCCTATCAATACCAGTATACTTCCGTCAGCTTGAATGGAACCGTGGTGCCTGCTACCGGATTTATTGCAATTCCATACACTTCGGCTCGCCAGGATGGAAAATATCCTGTCATTGCTTATGCCCACGGCTCCATTGGCATTTTCGCGGGATGTCCGCCTTCCTCGACATCTAAACTATACGACTACGATACCTGGAGTATTCTAGCCCAAAACGGATATGCCATTGTTGCCCCAGACTACGCGGGACTCGGGAACAATTATATCGAGCACGAATACAGTAGCTTCCCGGCGCACGCCAATGATCTCTACTACGGCATGGTTGCTGCTCGCAAAATATTCACAAACACCTTCACCGACAACTGGGCAAGTGTTGGCCACTCTCAGGGAGGGGGAGCTGTCTGGAAGCTATCTGAAAGTCCCCTTATCAAGTCTGGAGCAGCAGCCGGTAACTACATAGGAACCGTCGCCGTAGCGCCAGGTTCGAAACTTTATGACTTGATCCTTCTTACAGCGGAGACAATCTTCCCCCTGTCCAACTATAACACTTACTATATCACGTATATATTCTTATGGTTGTCCACTGCCCTTCGACGTGCTATTCCCTCGGCGGATATGTCAGTCTTCTCGCAAAGGCTCTTGCAACGAGCTCAGATCGCGGACCTCACGCAATCCTGCAACGATGGCGCTTTGGCCCTTGGACTCGGGCTCTCTCCCAAGGAGATAATAACAAGCACAGCCGCGCTCAGGAACAGCACAGACTTCTCTAACTGGCAAAAAATGAATGCTCCGGCCATGGGATCCAAAGCAGAGCAACCTCTTTTGATCGTTCAGGGGTTGGCAGATACCACTATTTTACCTCAGATCACCATCAACGCCTTCAATGACGCCTGTGGATTCGGTAATGAGGCACATCTGAATCTGTATCCAGGCATCGATCACGGTGATGTGCTCACAGCTAGTTCCCCCGACTGGCTGCGTTTTCTGCGTGAGCGTTTCGAGGGGAAGAGCACAAGTGGTGAATGCAAGAAGGCTGTTTCTGGTCCGTTTGATGCTGCTCACATGGCCATACTGAATCAGTCTAGTATAATACTAGATCTTTGATATGGGTAGATTATTTCAAGCTCACAGACGACTAATTACTGCTTATCCTAACATATCGAACTCAGAGGTCTATTCCCTACAATAAAACAGCTTGCATTAATTCTATACATAACATGGGCTAGAATGAGAGCCACACTAGAATGAAAACCACCAACAGATACCTATATTTAAGCGACGCTGTATCCAAGGAGACTGGGCTGCTCCATCTATCTCGGTCTTCGCAAAATTAATTATATCCATTTACTTGTTTTATAATTCTATTATGATAGAACACTTCCGTCTTCCAGGCCCACCCAAACGCCATGTTACAAGCCTCTATATATCCGGCGGAATAACGGACTATAGATATAATTTGATAAAACCAGGGATAGAGGCATAATTTAGCGATTTGCTTCTCTACTCCTAGGGCTGAGACTTACTAGTCGAAAATAAGTAACTTATAACTATAACCAGATTCTGTTCGTGGCAGCACTACCCGCTAGATTTTATTATTACTATATTCCCCGAAATCCACAATATTGGCCATATATCTAACGTTAGGTCATGCTTGGTACGCATCTTGCTCGTGACAAATCGAGGTTGGAGTGATAAAGCGAGGCTGGAGATGAAAACGGAGGAGAAAAGAAGGATACTTGTAGCTTTTTTGGCCATGCTGGAAAATGTACCTTTTGCTGTACAGGCTGAATATTCGGGTGAGGAATATTCAGGCGGGTGAATATCCGCCCTGAGTGCCCTGAATAGAGCGGCGAGCCGCCCATGCCCGAACCGTGGGCGCTAGGTGACCACGGCCTTAGACATGCTGTTGTATGTTTTTGTGTTTTTGTGTTTTTTTTTTGTTTTTTTTGTAATTGTTGATGTATTTTGGAATAGAGACGTTGAGACGGTTAATACCCGCGAGGCTAGCAATTATGGTGGCTATTATCAACATGAGCGAGCTTTCTATGAATGGCTAACAAACAATTGGAACAATCTCCACACAATCTAAGAATGCTTCTTCGGAAAAGAGCAAGAGATATTACCACTCCCACGCTTTGCTGTTGAGATACCAGTCAGAGTCCTTGAGATCACCTCGCTAGCCCCCTCTGGCATACGTCAAGTGCGCCGAAGCAGAGTCAAGGGGTTAGGGACGAAGCCCACACGGTTTTGGTCAATAAATTAACCCTCATCATTGGAAAAGGGAAAAGGCTTAAGGGGGGGAGGCCTACAGCAATCTGCTTGATTGGTCGAAGATGTTTTCCCTTAAACTGGGTCGTTAGTGCCATTGTCGGGTACCGCGTATCAAGCAAGCCCATAGCTTTTTCAGAGCAAACCCAGAATAAGCACGTTTAGACTGACCCAACCATACTGAGCCAAATGACCCTACTCACGCTACCTCAATACATTGTGAAGTGATATATAAGAAGCCAAAGCGTCCGGAAAATGAACATCTTGGTATTTTGATGCATCGCTTTGCTAGATCAGCTAATTTGGAAACGTGAGGTTAGTCAAGCGCAAGCCGCGAGGAAGGACGCGAAAATGAACGCGGCGGCTCCCTTAGGGAATTTCCGGGCGCTATGGAATACGACTCCAGTGCATGGCCGTTCTTCGATTGGTTGATGACTTTGAAGCCTCGGTCGAAGTTTTGGATGCAAATAATGGTGCAGAAAACCGTTGCAGACGTCAGTACCACACATACCGATGCGAAGAAAAACATCATGTCCTTTCCAGCGGTGAGAGCCCCGCGGAGAACGATCATGCGGGTGATTAGATATGAGAGTAGACCGAGGTAGCATATCTTAAGAAAAGTCAGTAGGAGTTCTCTATGGAGGTCTGGCGGGCAGGGAGGAAGAGAGCTCACGATAATAGCAACCACCACAATGGTTCGTTCGTGTTGGACAGCCCAGATACCAAGTAGCATAATGATGAAAGCGACCGGAATTAGGAGCATTGTGAGAGTATACTCCGGTTCCTCAAAGTGGACATACACCAGGTTGTACTGGATGATGAAACCCAACAGGAAATAAAAGAGCAGTTTTATCAGGACCAGGAAGATCTATACTCGTCTTTCGTTAGCTTAGATGCTCAAGTTTTGGTCAATGGCCAGTGAAGCCGTAGGTGGTGGAGATTACCTCGTAGAACAGATAACGCCTTCGTGTTTTCGAGCTGCCCTGGACGGACTTGTATATAACCCATGAATACTCCCTATGCAGGAGGTATACAAACAAGCATACAAGCATACTGCCCAATGCTGTAATAACTGCCACTAAGATCTCCGCTGGCTGGATCTGGGGCCAAAGGTTGCGAGTGGTATCTATCAGAGTTGGAGTCCCATAGCGATTGCCAAAGAGTCTCATAGTGGTGCCTTTCACTGATATGTACTGCATAACAGAGTATACAAAGCTGCAGATATTGAAGATGCAGATTGAAAAGAGGAGAACATTATTCTTGTTGTGGATCGCATCCAGAGCAAGGATGAACTCGTAGACAGAGGCGAATATTAAAATGCCTAGATTGATTGGGATCATGTAGGAAACTGGCACCTGGGTGATGAAAGGAGTGACCCATCGCTGCCATTCCACGAGTATATAGCTGATTTCTGGTTAGGGTGGTTCAGACGAAGAAAGGAAGAGCGTACATCTCAATGGCAGTGGTCAAGATAGCCTGCGTGAACAACACGACACACAGCCACCATTCATTTCTCGAGGTTGGTCTATACATATTGATTCCTCTCACCAGGGCATTGAGGATGGAAATAAAATACTTTTATTTATCTCCCCTTTCACCTGGTTTTTCCTCTTGCTCCACGTGACCACTGACTTGGTATGTCGTGGGCATCAGGCCAATAGGAATTATTTCGGCAAAATGCTAACCTTCCTGCACAGATTTCTCGACTTTCGCCCCTTTTAATGCGATTTAATGTGATTTTAGTGCTGTTGCTAAAAAGGTAAAACAAGCCACAAACCCCAGAATGTTGGCCCAAAGGCGGATGTGGATATAACGTTGAACCGCGCCCAATATATCGGACTGTATGTATGGCGAAAGCGTTTCCTATGTATCAGACAGGTAGATATATGTTATACTTCTAAGTTTCAATCCTATTAGAAGTCTCATCTAGACAGTTATCCGATGAAAAGCCCTGTTCTGTCTGTCTGTATCTTACCTGCCTGCTGTAGTGGGAGCTGGGAAGAGATCCATGGATGTACTCTTGGCCGTCACATGCGAGTAGCACGGGCACAAAGTACAGTACACGGCATGAATGGCACCTAGCTTGATAAAACGACATGCTTCTTGGTCGTGGCTCTGTCATATTCTTCTCAAAGTATAGTTCCCACGTGGTATATATATATTAGCAGGGTTGCCGATTCTGAATTCCAGGTTCCCAGCAAATAAATGAAACCAGTCCATCATAAGCTACTAGCTAACAGAGCGAAAACAATGCAATTGAACAAAAAAAAGGATACTGAATATTAATTGTCATAGAAAAAACTGCCAATTCAGTGCTGGGCTTGCGACCGAATACGGAAAAGAAAAAAAAAGAAATGGACGGGCAGCGATTCGAACGCTGGACTTTTCGCATGCAAAGCGAACACTCTACCAACTGAGTTACGCGCCCAATTGATGTAATGTACAGACATTTATAGATATATATCGTCAATTCCTATATGCTGAATTTAGAACTGTTTGGTGAAGTGTTGGCCGGGTTTCGTTCAGTTTGACGGATATGGGGGTTGGAGATATATTATTACTTATTTCTCATTGTTCAAATATAAATGAAGATTGTGAAGGCAAAGGTGTGGTCTGCTAAAATGTGCAATATATGATATTTGGAGAGGGAGATCCAACAGGATAATGAGATGAAGCTTGTAAATTGCAAAGTACCTAGGTAGACTTGGGAGGTCATATCATCTATAATTGTATGGTGATGTATAGTGCTGTACACGTACGACGTCTTAAAGTCTACAATAAGACACTACACTACAGTCTACTGGTCCGGAAGAGAAATATAAAAAGATGCCGGTTCCTATTATAGAACACATAAAAATGAAAAGATAAAAAACATCACAGAGGGTCGTATCCCATTTCCCATTTCCCGTAAGACTTAAAAATTAGCAAAGAACGAGTTGACTGAATTAATCTAATCAACCTCCTCCATGGTGCTCTCGCCGGTAGCCTCGGCAGGAGCAGCAGCCTCGGCGGCGGGAGCGGCCTCGTCCTCATCGATGTTCAGGCCGAGGGAGACGAGCTTGTGGATGCGCTCGGAGAAGCTGGCGGGCTCCTCGATGGTGAAGCCAGAGACCAACAGGGAGGTCTCGAAGAGCAGCTGGGTGATGGACTTGACGGTGCGGTCGTTCTCGCCATCGGCCTCAACCTTCTTCTTAAGCTCCTTGATGATGGGAGACTTGGGGGAGATCTCGAAAGTCTTCTTGGAGGACATGTAAGAGGACATGGAGGTGTCACGGAGGGCCTGGGCCTTCATGATACGCTCCATGTTGGCGGACCAACCGAACTGGCCGGTACGGATGGCGCAGGGGGAGCCAACCAGCTTGGAGGAGACAACAACCTTCTCGACCTTGTCGCCGAGAACATTCTTGAGGGCCTTGGCGAGCTCCTCGAACTCCTTCTCCTCAGTCTCACGCTGGGTCTTCTCCTCCTCGGTCTCCTCGAGCTCGAAGTCCTTGGTGATATCGACGAGCTTCTTGCCGTCGTACTCCTTCAGCTGGGTGAAGGCGTACTCATCAATGGGGTCAACCAGGAAGAGAACCTCGAAGTTCTTCTGCTTGAGGGTATCCAAGAAGGGAGAGTTGGCAACAGCCTTGATGGACTCGCCAGTGATGTAGTACATGTTCTTCTGGTGCTCGGGCATGCGGGTGATGTAGTCAGCGAGCGAGGTCTGCTCGTCACCGGACTTGGTGGACTGGTAGCGGAGGAGCTTGGCCAGAGTGGGGCGGTTCTGGGCGTCCTCGTGGATACCGAGCTTGATGTTCTTGCTGAAGGCCTGGTAGAACTTGTCGAACTGCTCACGGTCCTCGGAGATCTCGACGAAGAGCTCGAGGGTCTTCTTGACGATGTTCTTCTTGATGACCTTCATGATCTTGTTCTGCTGGAGAGTCTCACGGGACAGGTTGAGGGGAAGGTCCTCGGAGTCGACGACACCCTTGACGAAGCTGAGCCACTCGGGGATGAGGTCAGTAGCATCGTCGGTGATGAAGACACGGCGAACGTAGAGCTTGATGTTGTTCTTGGTCTTCTTGGTCTCGAACAGGTCGAAGGGAGCGCGCTTGGGAACGAAGAGAATAGCGCGGAACTCAAGCTGACCCTCAACGGAGAAGTGCTTGACACCGAGGTGGTCCTCCCAGTCGTTGGAGAGGGACTTGTAGAAGGAGGCGTACTCCTCAGTGGTGATGTCAGCGGGGTTGCGGGTCCAGATGGGCTTGGTCTTGTTAAGCTCCTCCTCCTCGATCTTGGACTCCTTGACGGTCTTGGTCTTCTTCTCCTTCTTCTCCTCCTCCTCATCGACCTCCTCTACCTTGGGCTTCTTCTCATCATCCTCCTCCTTGGTCTCCTCGGCCTCCTCATCGGGGACCTCGGTCTCGGTCTCCTTCAGGACGTGAAGGTAGATGGGGTAGGAGATGAATTCGGAGTGCTTGCGAACAACCTCCTTGATGCGGGCCTCGTTGAGGTAGTCCATCTGCTCATCCTTCAAGTGAAGGATGATCTTGGAACCGCGGCCGAGCTGCTCGCCCTCGGTGTCCTCCTTAAGGGTGAAAGTGCCACCGGCGGCGGACTCCCAGATGTACTGCTCATCATCGTTGTGCTTGGACACAAAGGTGACACGGTCAGCGACAAGGTAGGCAGAGTAGAAACCGACACCGAACTGGCCGATCATGGAGATATCAGCACCGGCGGACAGAGCCTCCATGAACTGCTTGGTGCCGGAGCGGGCAATTGTTCCAAGGTTGTTGATCAGGTCCTAAAAGAGATGAGTATGAGTATGGGTGGTCGAATACACATGGGGAGAGAGTGATTTGAGGCAACTCTCAGAGCCGAAACTTACAGCCTTGGTCATACCAATACCGGTATCACGGATGGTAAGGGTCTTGTTCTCCAGGTCGGGGATGATGTCGATGCGCAGATCCTTGTTGGAGTCGAGCTTAGAGGGGTCGGAGAGAGCCTCATAGCGGATCTTGTCGAGAGCATCGGAAGCGTTGGAGATCAACTCACGAAGGAAAATTTCCTTGTTGGAGTAGACGGTGTTAATGATCAGCGAGAGCAGCTGAGAGATCTCAGCCTGGAACTCGAAGGTCTCAGACATGATGGCGGATTGTAATTCTGAAAGGTGAGTTAGAAACGGATCAATATCTCGCAATTGAGAAATATGCAGAGAGATGCAGATGCAGAGTCTGATCAAGCGGTGGGGGGTGGGGGTGAAGTTGGAAGCGGTGACTGAGAAGAACAAGGGGATGATATCTTACAAGAAAGCAAAGTAATTAAAAAGAAGAAGCTCTGGGGGGGGAGAAGAACCAAAGCAAAGAGGAGAGATGGAGAGAAAGAGTCGAAGAGGCGGGCCAGTTCCTTTTGTGTTTCCAAAAATTTCTGGTGGAGAGTTTCTACGGTGATCCAGCAACTTCCATGTCGTTCAGGCAACCCCTGCAGCTTCTCTCGATATTATTCTAGACTCTTCTGCTGTTGATTTTACTTGCATTTTCAGAATGAACTTACTCTAATTCTCCCCAGTTTGTAGCTTTTACCTCTTCTCTTTCTCTATATTTGGCAGTGGCCAAGCTGTGGATGCCTGAGGCATCAAATCTCTAGAATCTTCCCCGGATGACTCGTCGACTTATCGCACCATTAGGTAAGCCCCAGGAGGTCCCCGAGTATCAATCTTGAAAATCTTGGACATACTAGTTTGATGTATAGCAATTCGGAGATTCATTATTCTCTAATCCATATTTGGTAGGCTCATTCCCATGATACAGTTGTAATTCCCCCCGAGAATATTCCATTTACACATCAGAAAGAGAACGGATCCTCATAGCCAAGAAAATCAAAAGCAAAATACAAGAAAGACCGGGATGGCGCACCACCGTAAAACCCTAGAGTTTGCTATGCTAGTTAAAAAAGATGCGATATAACGTCTTGCACGAAAGGAGCAAGGAACAGATCATGGCAGAAGACACTAAAAGAAAGAAATATGGTGCGAAAAAAGAGAATCGTGAATGTCCAAGACTAAACCCGATCCCTTTTTTTTAAAAAAAAAAAAAAAAAAAAAGGTCAGGTTAAAACACAAGTGCCCAGAGGGAAGGAAAGAGACGCAACTTTTCCAGCCAACCCGGACCAACCGCTAATATGCACTGTGACGGGAAAAAAGGGGGAGGCAATAGTCACGTAACACATGTCATTAGGAAGAGACGGGGCAAAAGAAAAAAGAGAATCAAAATCGGAGTAATACAGATCCTGAAAAGATCATCCGGCGGAGGAATGCTCACGGGAATTGTGAGAGACATGACACCGACGGCGAAGGAGAACGTAGAGGATCATCAAAATCACATGAAAAGTGTTTAAGCGGCTTGGGCCTGGCTGGGGCGACCCTTGGCAGCAACGTTCCCACCGCGGCCACGGGGAGTGAAGCTGCCACGGCCCTCACGCTGGAAGCCACCACGGCCCTGGCTGCCAGCGCGGTCACCACGACCACGACCGGCACCACCGCCACGGCCGGCGGGGAAGCCGTTGCTGCCGTAGGCATTGCCACGGGGGCGGCGCTCCTCAACGAGGATCTGCTCGCTGCCAATCTGGTGGGGGTTGGCGGCAACGGCAGCGGTATAACCGGAGGGCTCGTTGAACTCAACAAAGGCGCAGTTCTTGGGGCGGCTGACATCGAAGTACTTCAGCTTGCCGAAACGAGCCAGGGTTTGCTTGAGCAGGCTGGCGTCGACTTTGTCGTTGACGTTCTTGATATAGGCAAGGACGGTCTCCTCAGCACGGGGCTGCGACTTCTTGTGACCATCGCCGGCGGTCTGCCATCCGGCTTCGGTGGAAGGGGTCTCCTGGGGACGGGCAGGCTCCGCGGGGGCGGGGGTGGCAGCAGCAGGAGCGGCGGGGGCCTGAGCAGCGGGAGCAGCAGCCTTAGGAGCAGCAGGGGCAGCCTGAGCAGGAGCAGCCTGGGCGGCCGAAGCCTTGGCGGCAGCAGCGGCCTTAGCAGCGAAAGAGGTAGTCGCAATGCTAGCCCAAGTCTTGGGGGCAGCGGGAGTGGCTGTCTCCTTCTCAGGAACCTCCTCCTTCTCGGGAACGGGAGTGGGCTCAGGAGTGACAGGCTTCTCGTCGTTCACAATTTCAGCCTCGACGGCAGGAACAGGAGCTGGGGTCTCCTCAACGGGAGCGCCGTTGGTCTGGGGAGCAGCCTCCTTGGGCTCCTCAACCTGACCGTTTGCCTCAACCTCCTCAAGCTTCTCATCGACCTGGGAGATAGCGGCTTCATCAACTACCTGGGGCTCCTCAGCGGGAACCTCGGCAGCGGCCGCAGGGGCTTCAGCAGGTGCAGCCGGGGCGGGCTGCTCGAGTTCTTCTTCTAGCTCTTCATACATGTACCGGAAGATATCGTTAAGAACATAGTAGCCGTTGGGCTGCTCAGCGAGGACGAAAGTCTGCACGAACTTGCGGGACGGCTCGGAGTTGTTGGAGATCTCACCAATGACAGAGATCAGGATGTTGTCGAAAGATGCCTGAGAATCAACGTTCAGGACGCGCACCTTGCAGTCCTGGAACTTCAACGAGTTGAGCTTCTCGTTGATGGCCTATGAAAGTGGGGGTGCTTGGTTAGATAGCATTCACATTGAGGGATCGAATCAAGCCTACCTTACTGCCAACGGTGACGGGAACCGACTCAGCCTCAGTGCCGAAGACCAGCTGAGAGCGGCGGGAGTAGAACAGGTGAAGCTTGTCGGGGTTGCGGCTCATGGTGGTGTAGTACTGCTCGACAAAGTACCAGCCCACCTCATCCTTGGAGATCTCATTCTTCTGCTGGTCGGTGGGCGTGGCGGTTGTCGGGGTGGAGGACTGCGCAGGCTGGAAGCTGGCAGCAGTGTTCATAGTGACAGATGCATGGTTGTAGGATTCGGGGTAACCGTGCTGGGCAGGGTAGTTGCCATTGATGGGAACCTGAGTCATGTCGGCCATGGCGTAGGATTGAGGGGTTTTATCTTCGGTTTCGGGTGAAAAATGAGATTAAAAGTCACCGAGCGCGGCAAAAATGATGGCCGATACTATAAAGGCTTTTTTTACTCAAAAAGCGAGCGATGAACTGTCTAAAAAAAAAAAAGGAAATGTTCGTGTTTCCCTCGCTTCACTGGTAACTCATTAGTCTCGAGGCTTTGACCATGTGGTCGAACTGGATATGATAGCGGAACTCACAATGCGAAATGGGACCAATGCAAGCAATTGAAGAGGATAGAAGGAAAGCAAAAGAACAGAAATAAGAAAAGGCGCTTTGAGATTGCAGAAAAGCGGGAAGTATGGAAGTGAGAAAGAGTTGGGAGATGGGGGGGTTGAGAGAAAGATGAGAGAGATCGAGAAAATGTGGGGTCTCCAAGATGGACAGAGTCAGGGAAATGGGAATACAAGAAAAGAGGTGGAATGAAGCTGTGGGAATTCGCCTTCGAAGAAAAGAACTTCCTTCTCTTTGACTCCGTGCGGGTTTCGTGGCTTGGCGGATGACCGCCCGGCAGAATGTGTCCCAAGTACAGGGCTTGTTTATAGCCTTCCAAGGTTTCCTCTTTATATAGACTTATATAACGAACATCCATACATGAGTTCTTACATATAACCTAATATCATCTTGGCCTAAGTAAATCAGATTACTGCCTACGTCAAGGACATAGGCCGTATGAGGGACTATTCTTGTCTCGATAATCATAGTACAACGTAGTATACAAGGGTAGTATTGTTAGGAATTCAATGAATATAGATGAAGTTGAGGAAAGTTCTCATGATGGCTCAAGATATGTGATAGTTAGGCAAGGAAATAAGAAAAGAAAATACCAGATCCGGAAGTTCATACTCAAGGAAATAATGCGCATCTCATCAAGTCAAAACGCCACAAACTGATCCGAAAAAAAAAAAAGAGAGAGGGGTATGATAGGACATGAAAGGATGACTGTAAAGAAAAAAGACAGCAATCATAAGAGCCGTGTTGATAGAGGCTCGGATGTTGGAATGAAAAAGAAAAACCAGAAATAAGAAACCAGACAAGCGAACGATCAGAGACGGTCAACCATGCAGCGAACAAGCACATGACAAGTCCTATGTCTGCTAGATGTATCGTCGCAATCAGGGCGACTCAGTTGGCTCAGCCTTCTCAGAGAGAGGCTTGCGCATGACAGCGTCTTGGCTAGTCATTCTCCGGCCCAGAGCGCGCTCGACCTTAGCCCCGAGAGCGAGTTTGTTCAGGTTGTTCGACTTCTCCTCTGTGGGGACAAAGCGCTGCTTGTTGAGAGGCTTGCTTTCGAGGCGCTCGAAGCCATCGTGGAGGTGGTAGATGTCAGCGATTCTGGGGTCACCGGCGGGGAGAGTGCCGTTTGTGCGATCGGAGGCAGCCAGCGAGGGGCTTCCACTGACAGTGGAGAATCGCTTCGAGTTTCGGTTCTGCAACAGGTTATACGTTAGACTTGCTTGGTTCTCACTAAAGTGAATGCAAAGGCCCTACGGTGGGCAGAGTAGGTGGATAGGAACGGGGGGAACTCCTACCGATTGGGCCATAATGGGACGCTCAGAGTCGAGAGAGGGCTGGCGGGCCATTTCCGGGAGATGATATGGTTATTAAGAAGAGACTTGCGCCGAAAGAGGGGTAGGGTTTCGAATTGTAGGTATATGAAGGCCTGGAATGGAATGCCTGCAGGATTGACTTGTTAGCGGGTATTACTGCCAAGTGGCGATCTTGAATCTCCAAGGGGTACGTACTTAGGGTACACCGTCGAAGGGGATGTGTTGGAACCAGGCGCAAAGGTACCAATGCAGTGTAGGAGTAGAAATAGAGTCACAGAAAGGAGAAGACGAAACGGGGTGGGTCAAAGTGGTGGGGAAAGACAATGTGTGGCGGGAAAGGGGTGGAAGGGATTTTTATGGAAGGATCGACGTAATCGTAAGATGTGCATTAAAGGCAATGAAACTTCAAAAGGTGGGTATTTGTGATTATACACAAATCAGAACATTGAAGTCATTGATCAATAACCTCGGAATGATTTAATTCCTTTCTGATGTCAAGAAAGCTTTAACCGGGAATATCTTTGCCACGTGCTGCCACGCGAGCCGATCATCTCGGCAAGTACTTAAGGTACTTGATATGGGAAATTAGGTCCTACTATTGATACTTTAACTTTTAGTGACTTTATTATGGTATTGTATATTGTAATAAATGAGGTGAGAATGAAACTTGGGTAGCTTACTTACTACTATATTTGAGGTACTATAGCAGCAAGGGACAGTACCTCGGTCTATCTCCGTACAACTATCATCTTTACAGAGGCAACACAGACCTCCTTTTGCAACAGGGATATTACTTTGAAAAACAAAATAAAACATGAAACAAGATCGCTTACACCAGTCATCTACCTAGGTAGTCTTGGCATGCAGTTTCGAAAGGGCTTTGAGTGTCTTTCACTCGCACATTCTATAGTTGAAGTCACAAAATTAACAAGTACTAAACCTCAGACCAGGACAATAACTATATCATTATCATTATTAGATGTAGTCGAGGTGAAAGCAAGTGAAAGCAGGAAAGTGACAAAGTATACTCCGAACTCCGTCACCGCGCAAATTCTGCCGGATTTACTTCAATTTCAAGGTGCACTGCCATCTCTGTCGATTCTCATTCAATTCAATCAACAGCATTCCTGCAGATATGCCGAAGCCAAAATCCTTCCTTAGGGAGACAAAGACAAAGAAGAAGGCTGCCTCAAAACATGTATGTGGTAGAGATACCCCGCACGGAATAGCTCGGTCATGATCTCATACATTTTTATACAGGTGCCTGTAACGGCAGATGATTTTCTTGCAGGTGTGTATTTGTCAATAAGCCAATAATATCAACAGTCAAAAAAAAGCTAACTACACCTCCAGCCGGCGTCGAGCTAGAAGAAGCCGGCGAGAAATGGCGGGCCGGAGATGCGGCCAAGTCCATGCGCTTCTTTATGCGGGCCATCACCAACTATGACGAAGGACTACAGAAACATCCAGGGACATTTGATCTAGCTTACAACAAGTATGTATAGTTGAAACCGACATCGAAACAAGCCGATGTTTTGCATTTTTCAATTTCGTCCATGATTGAGAGGTCTTGTTTCAAGTTTAGCTTTTACTAAGAAGCCACCCAGAGCACGAGTCCAATATGAAATCACCCAGCACCCCAAACTAGCGGCCCAGTTGACGGCGCCACAGGGGAGATCTTGCAGGTCGCGCTGCAGTCACACCGGGATGCGCTGGCTTTGGAGCAGGACAATGCTGACGCGTTGTTCAATTCGGGCCAGGTGCTGACCAGTCTAGCGGAGTTGATGTCAAACCTGAAGCATCCTGACGAAGAACAGCAGATGCAAGCGGGAACCTACCTACAAGAGGCGGTTGAGCTGTTCCAGCGGTGTCTGATAGTACAGGAGATGAAGTACACGCAAATGCAAGAGGAGATCGAACAGATGGAATCCGGGGATGTGCCACCGGAGCCGGAGGTTGTACCACAGGCTGCAGAGAAGTCCCAAGCTGAGTCCGCAGGCGAGGAGCAAGAACAGTGGGCGATGATTGTGGAGCCCGTCACGAAGAATACACTCGTGGACACGGCGGTGGCGCAGCTGGAGACCTTGACTACGCTGTGCAACTTGTTGACTTCTAATCCGGGTGCCGGCGGTGTTGGTTGGGTGCAGGAGTACTCGTCGGAGCTTGTGCATTCGCGACTGCCTGCTTATGCCGAAGGTTCGGACAGACAGTATGAGGCGGCCTTGGCGCGCGCCAAGTTCATCTGTGCCTTGAACGATTTGCTCTATCGAGGCGGACATACCGATATCCAAACTTACCAGCAGGAGGTTGGACATGTTTTTGGCCCCGAGCTGGATGTATCCGCGGACCCTGCAGGACTGTGTGGTAAAGCGGATGCGCTCACATCGTTGAACCAGGCGCTTTCAGACATACCTCCATCAGAAGATGACGAGACATTTGAGAACGCAGTAGCATTGCGTTGGAAGTCGCTTTCAACTGCCCTGGATGCATTGACCGCTGCTAGCAAGCTCCCGGATGCCGACAACCTGCCCAAGATCCACCTTGGACGCGGAGACGCCGAGATGCACAGATGGCGTCTTGGACGAGCGCCCTGGAACCACGCCATGGCGAAGCAGAACGGAGCTATGCTCTTACGCAACGCTCAGACGTACTACCGCGGAGCAACAGCTCTGGCCCGCCGCGACGGAGCAGCCGAGGAAGAACGCGACGGAACTTGCAAGGAGGCGATTGCTGCAGCGATCGAAGGCCAGAACACGAAGCTCGAGCAGCTCAAGTCAACGGACCTCCAACAGGTGATAGTCGTGGCGCAGGATATGGTGGAAGACGGAATGGTTGACGGCAGGGAATTGAGTGTCCTGATTTCATCATGAATCGGATAGAGAAACAATCTCCGCAGCTCACAGACCCGGACGGGCTTTCACCTCCTCATCCATCTGGATCGCGTCCTGGCGAATGTGATGTTGTCTGCTGAATTGGGTGGCTGCCGAAGCAGCACCTTCAATATCCGAAACGACCAATTCAAGATGCGACAATAGCCGCTCAATTTCCAGCCGCTGCGCCTGCACAGTCTGCGCAAGCTCCGCGTTTTCCGCATGCGTAGCCTCGAGTCTGGCGTTGAGGGTCGACTGCGCTTCCTGCAGATAGGGCGTAAGGTGCGCCTTGTACAGATCTTCGGCGCCGAGTGTATGCGCACTATAGTAAACAAAGTTAGAAGCCAGAACCAATAGCACAAAAAAACAAACATAGTCTGAATAAACGGCCAAATCCATTCAACATACACTATTCTCTCTTGTCCCTCGGCATTCTCTCCCTCCCGCTCCTTTCTAGCCCTCGCATCCCCAACCAGCCGATCAAGCTCATTCAAATGCGCCACTGCATCCCTTTCGGCGATAATATCATCAAACTCGGCCTTGGCATTTGCTTCCAGCTTCGCGTTCAGCTGCCGCCAGACACCCTCCAAGCTGGCAGGAACATGGCGCGCAGGTGTCGGGAAACAGCCTGCAAAGTTCGCATATGAGTTTGCACGGAGGGTGCGTGCGAGAGCCTGTTCGAAGACTTGGCTTAGACGTGAGGCGCGCGGGCCCGGGGTTTGGGAGATTGGAGCTGGCGGGTGAGGGGACGGCGACGCGGCGGGCGGGTGGTGGGAGTTTGATTCGGGCATGGCGGATGTTTCGGTTGTCGGGGTAGAGTCGGAGAGTGGGACGTAAGGAAGAGCATGCAGCTATGAAGAGAATGGCGTACAGGAGGCTGTTCGTGGTTCTTTAGGAATTTGGGTCTGGGTGTTGGACGGGGACTGTTCAACGCGACGCGCCGGTCACGTGCTTATATAGATCGAATTGATGAGATGCACTACATCGATATTTGATTGTTTTTTTATAGTTATATTTTGCTAAACGCTAAATAGTATTAAAATGGGTATATTGGTTACATGGAGTAGTGCATATAGTATATTGCGAAGGATAAGGCTTTCAGCTATTAACCACCTCCTAGCCCTAACTTGATGGATCTAAGCCCAGCCAACTTCGGCGTCTGTCCCCCTCATTCTCGGCTTTTACCAAGAGAGCAGGAGTCGAGCTTTGAGAGCCTTTTCGTAAATGGAAGGATTGTATATTCGTCACCGGACGGGGTGCGCGCCATGAGCATACGCGGCTATGGATGTCAGACCAAAGTAACTTGAACGCGGGCCATGAGATAGAGACGTATATAAGGCTATTCCAAAAGCCCTGGAGTGGAAGGACGAAGCTAGATGCATAGTTGAGACTGAAATTAAAGTCATTAGGACGAGCCAGGGAATAGACTCTGTTTATCGTCGAGGGAACCTGCAATGTCGAACAAATCAACACACGAAAGGAACCGAGAACGATTTTCAGACTATAATGGGCTTCGACTAGACCTACCCATGTAACAAGTAATGCAATGAAGAACAGCATAGCGTATTTCGTATATGCCCACGTAGCCGAACTAGCTTCTGTGGACGTCGACCTCCGCGAGTCTTGTCCATCCGGTCGCGCGGTCTTGCCAGAATTCTCCCGCTGAAGAGGACTGGGCCCTATCTTTGATCTGGAATCTTGCAATGTGTTGGCGGTGCTCCCGCCCTCGATCGTGACCGAGTATGCTCTGAACGCAGCAGACGGCAATCCGCGCGCATTGCCCTCCGACAAGGACCGACGCTCTGGAGTAGAACAGGCAATCTCCCTGGTAACTTGGATGCCGGTTAACATAGCAAAGGGAGATTCCGGGATAAGGTCTGAGTCGATACCGCCTAGGTTCCGAAGCTGGCGCCGTTTCTGGTAAATTACCGTCCCTGCTCGTAGGTAGATGGCGAAGGTCAATGAGATAATGAGCCAGACTGGTCCGTAGAAGATGGCTATGCGGAGGAAGGACCACTGTACAGAGATCCAGCACCAGAGCTGTCGGGTGGTAGTTAGGTTAGTATAGACCGATAGAAGGGAAGGCTTTATGGTCGTGCTTACGATGGCGGAGCCATATATCCGGCCTCGGGCTTGGGTCTGGACGAAGAAGAATGCGAAAGCTGGAACGAATGGAACACCGTAGCAGCAAAGCACATATTTCCATTCGAGCCGGCGTAGTTGCTCGGAGTCGTATTTGTGGAAGAATGTTAGGTAGACATTGCATGCCATTGCGAATGTCCATAGGGCATCGGCGGGCATGAACCTATCCTTGCTTGTTAGTGGTCGTGTGTTAAGGGGTGTTTAGTTACCGACTTGACACGAACCATTGAATCAAAAACCCCTGGAACTGGCACAGGGAACTCTCAACCCCAGAATGAGTCCCGTCTGCCGATATGATGGTGGCTATATTAGCCATGATATTACCCCATGATGCATAGAATACCAAGCGGTTGATGGGTTTACGGAACGTGGGGGACCACATAAAAGTAGCGACTATAACAAAAGTGCCAACTAGGGAAATAGTTGAGCACACACGCTCTGTGGCCGAGATGGCCAATATTTGCTGTTCTGTTAGGGTCATGGTATCATGGTCGATGAACTGACCTAGTCGGGAGGGGGGAGGGCTTCCAGCGCCTGAATGTTATATCCAACAGCAGATATGAACCGAGAAAATCCTCGTGGTTCAACAAAGCCAAGTCGGCTTGTGACAGATTGAGGATCCAGATGATAGTAGATCTACCAGCGGGACGTATTTTTGCGATATGGTTCACCCTTGAAACAGAAGTCAAAAAGCAGATATGACCAAAGCACAATACCACCTGCTTATTATCCGCAACAGGCAACAAAGAAAGGGAGAAAAAAAGCCAAATGACAAACAAGGCAAGACGGGCCCAATCAGCATATTGCTGTTATTCCCATCGGCCTGTAGCTAGGAAGATGCTAGCCTGATGCCCATGAAACAGAGGGCGCGGTCCCAACAGTTATTAGATTCAAACAACTGCCAAGAATAGGGGTAAGAACCAAGCAGGATATCTTTTAAATGATATTCATCTCAAACACTGGGACAGGGCTCCAACCGGTACAGGGAAAGACATGCGAACGATTCCTTGGGTGGTACCACAACGTGCAATCTCCCGGGATTTGCGATATAGGTAGGAGATTGGATAAAGGGCCAGTACTGGACTGCATAGACAAGCCGAAAGATAGTGGGTTGCACTAATAATTAGAGTCATTGTTTAGGCTGTCCTTGTCCCGAGCTGTCAGGGTCTAACAATGCTTGAGAAGTAACCTGGAGATGCCAAGGGTACACCAGTGACAATAGTGACAACATCGTAGAGGCCTTGTGGAATCTCAAAGTCAGTTGTGTGACACTAGCACTGTTTTCCCCCGATATTTTCACAGCTCACTATTGCAGACCAGATTGGAATACGGGTAACTGCATGTTTGAAAGATTTCTCCGAACGGACATGAAGACATTCAAATGCTTGAAAGGGTTGCTCTAAGCACTTACAGTTGAGTACTTAATAATAAAGCGCAGTGTAGCAGCCATGAGCTTTGTTTGTTCCGAAAATCCTTGGACAAAGAACCAGTTGCAGCAATAAGCCAAGATATCCCCGAGCATTGCAGTTCCAACCGGGGACATTTGAACTAGGCCCAAGCGCTTGTTTCACATGTCTCTGTATGTTAATAAATACAGGTTGGGGTGGATGGTAGAATGAATTTCTCGAGGAATAGCTATTTAGAAGACGGCAGGCAGAATGTTGACATCTGGAGCCCTGCTTCAGAGCATCATCAAGTCAGAACAGTGTGCCGGAGCAATTACATCTCCAAGCAGGCCAGATACTTCTCATCTTTGACAAAACTGGCCCCAAATGCACAATATCAGGTGGAAAAAAAAAGAAAGGAAAAAAAGGTGAACAAAAATATCCATCGTCGGGTATAACGCCGAATTCTCCCATGTCCAATTGTCTAATCGAACTCGTCATCTCGTCATGCGCATTCTAGACCGCTAATAAGCGGGCTGCGGGGGGGATCATGCCTCCATATCCAGCCATCTGCTGCTGCTGGTGTTGCTGCTGCAATTTAGCCTGGATCTGAGGCAGATCATGGAACCACGGGTGCTGCAGGGCCTCGTTGGCGCTGATGCGCATCTCCGGACGGAGTTGCAGCATACGGTTCAGCAGATCCATCCCGATAGCATCCATTTGAGGGACGATCAGCGACAGATCCTGCGTGGCGTAGATCTGGAAGTCGGACTTATATTCTGGCAGCTGGGAGATGCCGGGCCATGTACGTTCGGATGGTGTGCCCATCAGACGGAAGATCTTGATCAATTGATCCTCGTTGGTGGTGCCGGGGAAAAGCGGACGGCCCGTGTACATCTCTGCCATGATGCAGCCAGCGGACCAGATGTCAATGCTGGTGTTGTAGGTGCGACTCCCGAGGAGGACGTCCGGTGCGCGGTACCACAGTGTGACGACTTCGTTGGAGAATGTATTAACCGGAATACCGAATGCGCGAGCCAATCCAAAGTCACCCAGCTTGAGCTGGCCCTTCTTGTTGATCAGGAGGTTCTGTGGCTTCAGATCGCGGTGGAGGACTCGGTTGTCGTGGCAGAAGGCGATGCCCTTGAGTAGCTGGTGCATGAAGGATTTGACCGTGGCAGGATCCAGCTGCCCACGGTCACCGCGAGTGTCCATATATCTCTTCAAATCTCTGTCCATGAACTCAAAAACAAGCATGAGTTTGTTTTCCGTGTGGATGACATCGTAGAGCGAGACGATACTCTCGTGCTTCAGCTCTTTCATGAGGGAGATCTCACGGATTGCAGTTGAGGGTGTCCCCTCCTCGGAATCCAAGTGAATTTCCTTCAGCGCCACCATTTCACCGGTTTGGCGATTGCGCCCTTTAAAGACCTGTAGTATTCTGCATCAGCGGTGAAACGGGGAGAGTGGCGATCAAGCTAGGAGCGGGGGAGAGAAGGGGAGAGATATCGAGAGGGACCGAGACGTACAGTAGCATAAGTGCCTTCGCCGAGCTAGAAATCAGATGAATACCAGTTAGTGAAGGTCCAAGACCGGTAATAAGTAGAAGGGCATACCTTTTCCAGTTGCTGGAAGGAACTGGGCTGCTGAGACTTGTCCATTTTCTGTGGAACTTTGGAAGCCGGTGGCCCCGATGGTTTTTTAGAATGGAAGAGAAAATGACCAGGAGAGACCAGATTTGAGGCGATCTTTAAAGGGGCTGCAGAATCCCTGAAGTGTTCCATGCTGGGACGTGAGGGAGGAGCCCCGCGCTGAGCCGGGACTTATCAGACTTGGCCTTTTTTTTGGCCTGAGGTAGGCAGGCGCTTATATTCTTACTCTTACTTCTATTTTTATTTTTTTTCCCGTTATGATTATGTTATTTCACAATGACCTTGATGTTAGAATATTTTCATCTAATTTTCTAAATCCATACATTGACTGGGAGTTGAGATACAACGGTCGGGAGGACTGACTGGGATGGATGGCTACACCGGACATGAGCAGAGGGATCATGTCCATTTCCAAACAGCAGGGCTTCATTCCTGACGCCACCAACATTGATAATACCAATAGGCATGCCTCGTTGATGTGCTCGTTCCACCAGGCGCCACGCCGAGAAAGTCGCTAGGCTGCTACCCAGGATGAGTAGCCGCCCAGCATCGTCGATCGCCTCTTCAGCCGCTGTCTTGACCAGTGGATCAATGTTTTCACCAAACATGATGACTGCAGGTTTCAAAATGCCTGCGTTTGAACCCGGCGATAATGCACCGTCGCTCTCTACCTCTACAATCGCCTTCGTGCCATCGCTCAGCGTGGGAGGGTTCTCCAAGCAGGTCGGACATGAAGGATAACGGAAAGTAGAATATGGCGCTTCAGCGAGATCAACGTCGCCATCCGGGTTCAGCTTCAAGCCTTTCTGCCGTTGCTCCTCCGGATTATCGGTATCGAGCGCACCCTCTGCAACCATACGAGCCAAAAACTCCGCCCAAGCTGGATTGAGTTTCTCCAGTGACGCCTGAAAGTCAGCACGGGGAAGTTGGTTTCGACAGCTAGTGCAGACGACTGATCGCAAGTATCCGTGTAGTTCGAGGGTAGACAGTTCCGGATGCGCGAGGGAATGAAACGAGTCGACATTCTGCGTCACAACGGAACTGATGTATCCTTTCTCACCAAGGCCTTTAATCGCCCAATGTGTCGAGTTCGGCTTTGCTTTCACAAGCCCAGGCCATCCGATGAAGCTACGCGCCCAATACCGCTTGCGCGACTCATGGCGTGAGATGAACTCATGGTAGTAAATCGGACGATATGATTTGTTTCGCCGGTAGGTACCCTGGTCGCCTCGATAATCCGACAGACCAGACGCGACAGAGATACCTGCCCCAGTCAGTAGTACTGTCTGGGAATGTCTCCCCACATCGACCCCGCGGAGATTTAAAGACGGTGGTGCAGTGAAGAAAGTGCAGATAGCCTCAATTGCCCCTGCAAGTGTTGTTGCAGTTGGAGGGGTTATGATAGCAGGCGGCAATGGACCCGTAAAGGGGATCCGAATGGCAGGCGTCGTCATTGAAGACGCACCATTATACGTCCAATTGTCTTGGCGGAACGGAAGTGGAGGTTCTCCAACGATTGCGTAGTTGAATGCTTGGCGGATACTTGCGTAAGAAGATATCTAAGATTCAAGATTCGTCAAAGATTATGTATACTAGAATAAGATGAGTTGATAAAGAAGGATCCTGCTAGGTTTCGGGGAGTAGTCCGATTTCAGGGGATCAATAGGAGCCACGGAGATGGTCATGGGGAGAAATGCCAGTTGGAAACGGAAAATCAAGGAATTTGCCGGATGACATGAACATCCCACCGCAAGACATCTGATCTTTTTTAGAGATGTAAACTAAAACTAAAACCGTTTTAACTACAAGTACACAAAGAACATAAAGAACGCAAAGAACACTCTGTCCAATTTTCATGCTCGCGTGCCTTTGACGCGATGCCGCTGACGCAGCCCCTATGCAGGCTTCGTCCTCTCCACTTACGGATCTCTCTATCTCTTACTGCCCGGCGGCGTATATTTACAACTTCTCCTTTAAAAGACGCTTCTTCCTTTATTTTTTCGCTCCAGACCTCGTTCCATTCCACGTTCGACATCCCTCGCTATGACACAAACTAGGGATCATGGCCATAGCCATGGCCACGGTCACCACCATCATCACGATAATACCTACCTAACCTCCAAAAACAAACACGACGCGGGTGTTCGCATTACACGCATTGGTCTTGTCGCTAATTTGTGTATGGCAATTGGCAAATTCATTGGCGGTTATGTCTTCAACTCTCAATCCCTCATCGCCGACGCCTACCACGCGCTTACTGATCTCGTCTCCGACTTTTTGACTCTGGGAACTGTCGCCTGGTCCCTGAAACCCCCGAGCGAACGATTCCCCAATGGATATGGAAAAATCGAGAGCATCGGTGCGCTAGGAGTTAGTGGGCTCCTGCTCTGCGGAGGAGTGTTTATGGGTCTCAACGCGGGACAGGTCCTACTAGCTCAGTTCTACCCCGAGGTGGCTGAAACAGTAGCTCACTCTGGACTTCTGGGACATGGACATTCGCACAGTCATGGGCCAATTGGTCCTAGCATCAACGCGGCGTGGATCGCAGCAGGCTCAATCGTGGTTAAGGAGTGGCTTTACCGTGCTAGTAAGTGAAGAGAGATACAGGGATCTGGCTGTTTATATCCATCAGGTGACTAACTATATCCCAGCCATGAAGGTTGCCGAAGAGCGCAAGTCGTCCGTGCTTGCATCCAACGCCGTTCACCACCGCATCGACTCCCTGACGAGTATCGTCGCCCTTTTCACAATTGGAGGAAGTTATGTCTTCCAAGACGCCACCTGGCTGGATCCAGTTGGCGGAGTTCTGATCTCCTTGATGGTTATCAAAGCCGGTTGGGGCAACACATGTACCTCTCTTTTGGAGTTGGCAGATACTACGGTCGATGAGGAGATCCGACACTCTGTGGAGGATGCCGCCTCCAAGGCCTTGAAGGATATTGAGGATGGACACGAAGTGATTGTTCGTGATGTGCAGGGCATGAAATCCGGTCAAAACTACCTGATGGACATCGAGTTGGCTGTGCCGGGGGCCTGGGCTATTAGTCGGTCACGACACATCGAAGAGGTTGTTCGCCAGACTGTTGGATCTGAGGTTCGTGGTGTGAAGCGCATCAAGGTCCGCTTCATTCCCGCGGAACATCAGGAACTCACGTTCTCTGATGAGTTCGTCGCACGAGATGTTAGTGGTGACCCGGAGACACCCCATGCTCGAAAGCAGCAATAGGGATAGAATTTTGCAATGATACCCTTGGCGAGATCTATGAGTATAGATTGAATATAAAACAAGTCTACAATATAACCGATATAGCAGAAATAGCAGAAATAGCAGACATCCCAGCTACAACATATAACATCCAATATAGTACTACTCCGTATATAGTGGGGCATTTCTCTATTCTACCGAGAATTTAGCAGAGCACCTATTTACCCGGACATCTCGGGCTTCACTTGACATTCCTGGATGAGCTTACCCTAATTTGGTTTCTCGGTGTTCACTTTCCCACTTTTTCAACTGTACTCTACTACTTATAAAAGGAATAAGAGGATGTTATATATTTGTAGAGCCCACCACCGGGACCGGTTATAGTCCCTTTACATCATCGGTTCATCCCACCTGGGGAATCTTGCCGCTTGCACTTGACACTTCTTTTTCTTCTTTTCCCGGATTCATCCCTTGATCTTTCGATTATTTTTGCCTAAATTTGGGCAATACAGAAGAATCCCAGTTTACTTTATCTTTCCTGTTACTCTATTGCCTGGAACTGTATCTCTTTCCACCATGGCATCAGACAGTCCCCTCTACATTGGATTCGATCTCTCGACGCAGCAATTGAAGGGATTAGTTGTCAACTCCGATCTTAAAGTGGTCCACGCTGCCAAATTCGACTTCGATGCCGACTCGAAGGGGTTCCCGATCAAAAAAGGTGTACTGAACAATGAAGCCGAACACGAAGTGTTTGCCCCGGTCGCTTTGTGGCTGCAGGCATTGGACGGTGTGCTAGAAAGTCTGCGCAAGCAGGGTCTCGACTTCCGCCGCGTGAAAGGAATTAGTGGTGCGGGACAGCAGCACGGAAGTGTATATTGGGGTCAGAATGCGGAGTCGCTTCTCCGCAATCTGGATTCCAGCAAGTCCCTTGAGGAACAGCTGGAAGGCGCTTTCTCCCACCCATACAGTCCCAATTGGCAAGACTCGAGCACTCAAAATGAATGTGACGAGTTTGACGCAGCTCTCGGCGATCGCAAACATTTGGCGCAGGCCACCGGAAGCAAAGCACACCATGTAAGAAGCCCTCGAAGTCTAAATATATGCGGGACAAGCGTGCTGACAATGTAATAGAGATTCACAGGTCCTCAAATCCTGCGGTTCACAAGGAAACACCCCGAGGTTTATAAAAAGACCTCGAGAATCTCGCTGGTGTCATCTTTCTTGGCATCGCTTTTCCTAGGTCATATAGCCCCATTCGACATCTCCGACGTGTGCGGGATGAACTTGTGGAACATCAAGAAAGGGGCGTACGACGAGCGCCTGATTCAGCTCTGCTCGGGTGCTTTTGGAGTTGAGGATCTCAAGCAGAAGCTCGGCGAGGTACCGGAAGATGGAGGCCTGCACCTAGGCTCCGTTCATGCATACTTCGTGGAGCGTTTCGGCTTCAGCCCGGACTGTACGGTTATTCCAGCAACTGGCGATAACCCGGCGACCATTCTTGCGCTACCATTGCTGCCGTCAGATGCAATGGTTTCGCTCGGCACCTCTACTACCTTCCTCATGTCCACTCCCAGCTACGTACCCGATCCGGCCACACACTTCTTCAACCACCCTACTACCCCCGGCTTGTACATGTTCATGCTGTGCTATAAGAACGGTGGCCTGGCCCGTGAGCACGTCCGAGACGCGATCAATGAGAGCCTAAAGGATACCCCTGCCCAGCCCTGGGCCAACTTTGACAGGGTTGCATTGCAGACTGCCCCGTTGGGCCAACAGAGCCCAACGGACCCGATGAAGATGGGCCTGTTCTTCCCGAGGCACGAAATCGTACCAAACATCCCTAAGGGTCAATGGCGCTTTACATACGACGCCAATACCGGGGATCTAAAAGAGACGACAGATGGATGGAACTCGCCGCAGGACGAAGCCCGCGCCATTATCGAGAGCCAGTTGCTTTCGTGTCGCTTGCGGTCTCGAGACCTTACCGAGAGCCCTGGGGGTGGACTTCCCTCGCAGCCACGCCGAGTTTATCTCGTTGGCGGAGGATCTAAGAACAAGGCAATTGCCAAAATTGCTGGTGAGATCCTCGGCGGTGTTGAGGGCGTATATTCGCTCGACGTTGGCGACAATGCCTGCGCCCTGGGCGCCGCATACAAGGCCGTTTGGGGTATCGAGCGACAGCCCGGTCAAACATTTGAGAACCTGATTGGGCAGCGGTGGAATGAGGCTGAGTTCATTGAGAAAATTGCGGACGGGTACCAAAAGGGGGTCTTTGAACAGTATGGTCAGGCCGTTGAGGGCTTTGAGAAGATGGAACTGCAGGTTTTGCAGCAAGTGGCTGAGAAGGGCGATGGAGATGACTACTGAAAATAATATGGACATAAAAAAGGATTGGATTAGAATTATTTTAGCATCACTTTAGCTATTTTAAAGCCTCATTTCGCAATGAGAGTAGCAAATTTAGTACGGAGTACATATAGTTAGTATGATGTTCCAACGATAAGGCTCCGGCCTAAAACCAATTGTGTCCCCCTTGCCCTACTTATGGAGAGACAAAGAACATCACATTTCAATCAAAAACTCCTCCACATCTCTACTTCAGATACTTGAGAATACTTTAGATATTTTTACAGACTTGACTTCTCTTGGCAAGCGAGGGCGGAACCTGGTGCACGGGACCGATTACGATATCGAGGAAGGGCCCGCAGGTGATATCTCCTCCACCGAAAACAATTTTAAAACAACACAAACCTCCCCTACGATTTCATTTCCCTCTCTCCTTCCCACACCTCGAAGGGAGACTGGAAGATGGAAGAACAGGTTAGTATTCCAATTCTTTTCACCCTTGAAGCAATGGAAAAAAAATTCTCGAGTACCCCAACCACCGCCCCTCCCCCGCCGTTTCAAACAACCCCTCCGATACCTTTTCCTCACCTCAAGACACAAGATGATTGACACATCTCAGGTAGCAAATGCAATTGAGATCGCCTGGAATCCATCCTCCGACCAAACCCTAAAATCGCAAGCCTTCGAATACCTCAACCAACTCCGCTCCGACCCCTCCGGATGGCAGGTTTGCCTCTCTCTCTTCACCAAAACCCCACAACAGACCGAAGTTGTACGGCATGTTAGTCTGGAAATTGTCAATAGTGCCGCTCAGGGCGGCTTGATCGATCCGGCCTCACTTGGCGTCGTTCGAGATAGTGTGCTAGCCTACATTCGCCAGGCTTATGGCCCGGAGGCCACTGCCAGCCCCGACGCTCCTTATATCCAAAATAAAATTGCACAGACTGTTACTTTTCTTTTCTCCTCCTCTCTACGCAAATGGCTGGGAGACTTGCATCGACGATCTACTGAACCTGACCTGCAAATCCGCGGGCCGGGATAACCAAGTCGGTGTTGTTTTTTACCTGCGTGTGCTGGGCTCGATTCATGAGGAGATTGGCGATGTGCTGGTTTCCAGGTCCCGCGGGGAACAGGATAAGGCGAATGCGCTGAAGGATTTGATTCGTGAGAGGGACATGCAGAAAATTGCCAACTCCTGGCAGGAGATTCTGGCAGTGTGGCGGGAGGGTGATGATACAATTGTCGAGATGTGCTTGAAGGCGGTCGGTAGCTGGGTCAGCTGGATTGATATTGGTCTTGTTGTGAACCAGACCATGTTGGACCTGCTCTTCCAGCAGCTTGGGCGGGCCGAGAAACAGGAGCTTCGGGAGGGAGACAGCGGGTACGCGAATGCGGCCGTGGACGTCTTCACAGAGATCATCGGAAAGAAGATGAAGCCTTCAGACAAAATTGAGATGATCGCTTTCTTGAACCTTGACTCCATCATCACGCAGCTGTCTAACAGCCCTCCACTACGGGAGAACCGGTTCACATTCAAGTACGATACTGATTTGGCGGAGACGGTTGCCAAGCTTGTCAACAACACAGTCGTGGATATTGTTCGGGTATTGGACAATGACGCTGGTCCCGTTAAGGAGCAGGCAGAAAACCTTTTGCAGGTCTTCCTACCGCACATTCTGCGATTCTTCTCAGACGAGTACGACGAAGTCTGCTCGACTGTTATTCCTTGCGTCAGTGACGTGCTCACCTATATCCGGAAGCTCGCGAAGGCGAACCCATCCTTCGAGGAGCGAAACAAGTCCATCCTGCTTCCGATTTTGAAGGCAATCATTGCGAAAATGCGGTACGATGAGACCTCAAACTGGGGCGAGGAGGATGAGCAGACAGATGAGGCAGAGTTCCAAGACCTGCGCAAGAGACTGGGTGTTTTGCAACAAATTATCGCCTCTGCCGATGAGCAGCTTTTCATCGATGCAATCTCAGAGGTGGTGGGAACAACTTTCCAAAAACTGCGGGCATCCGGTGGGCAGCTCGACTGGCGTGACTTAGATCTCGCTTTGCACGAGATGTTCTTGTTTGGCGATCTGGCCGTCAGGGCCGGCAGTCTCTACGTGAAGGGCGCCCCTACTGGCATGGCTGCAAGCCGTCTGATCGAGATGATGCTCGCAATGGTAGAGTCCGATATCCGATCATTCACCCACCCCGCGACTCAACTTCAGTACATGGAAATATGTGTTCGTTATAGCTCATTCTTTACTCGCCACACCCATCTCATCCCCGGAGTTCTGGAGAGCTTCCTCCAGCTTGTGCACCACCCTGTTCGAAAAGTCAAGACCCGTTCGTGGTATTTGTTCCAGCGGCTAGCTAGACAGCTACGCAGCCAAATTGGCAACGTGGCACAGACTGTCGTGGAGGCATTGAGCGACTTGTTGGTTATCCAGGCTGAGGTGCCTTCGGAGGGCGATGACGGTGATGAGATGTCTTCCGAGGACCACGAGGGCTCGGCAGACGCTGTGTTCAACAGCCAACTGTACCTTTTCGAGTCCGTTGGAATCATTTCCTCGACCCCGAGTGTCGGTGCAGACAAGCAAGTTCTCTACGCCCAGTCGGTGATGAACCCTGTCTTCGGCGACATGGAGCGTAACCTCGAAGCCGCCAAGGCCAACGACGAACGCGCATTGCTGCAAATTCACCACGATATCATGGCTCTAGGAACCCTCGCCCGTGGTTACTCCGATTGGCAGCCGGGCACCAGCTCCCCTCTGCTCTCCCGGCGCCAGAGGTCTCGGCGGCTTTCGCTCAGGTGGCTGAAGCGACCCTGGTTGCGCTTGAGTCTCTCAGTTCCTCATTCAATATCCGGACTGCTGCTCGCTTTGCGTTCTCGCGTCTCATCGGTGTTTTGGGTGCGCAGATTCTCCCTCAACTGCCCCGATGGATTGATGGGCTCTTGACTCAGACTTCATCACGAGACGAGATGGCGCTGTTCCTCCGCCTTTTAGACCAAGTTATCTTTGGGTTCAAGGGTGAGATCTACAACATCCTCGACACGCTCCTGACTCCTTTCTTGCAGCGAGTCTTCTCTGGTATTGCCGATCCAACCACCGGCACTGATGACGAGATCCAGCTTGCCGAGTTGAAGCGAGAATACCTGAACTTCTTGCTGGCTGTGCTGAACAACGATCTGGGAAATGTCATCATTAGTGAGAGAAACCAGTCCATCTTCGAGACCGTGATCACCACTATCGAACACTTCGCCAAAGATATTGAAGACTTCACAACCGCCAAGATGGCGTTCTCCGTGTTGGGCCGTATGGCAAGCTGCTGGGGTGGACCTGACATTGCCCCTGCCCCTGCCAATGGCGCCACACCTGCCCAAGCCGCACTCCCCGGCTTTGGTGGATTCATGATTACCCGGTTCTCGCCACTGTGCTGGGCACTCCCCACAACACCATCCTTCAACTCCAAAGACGCACAAGCTAAGCAGGTCCTTGCCGAGGCCGGCGCTCTGCAACGCACTATCTACTCTAAGACAGGCATGGAGTATGCGGAATACTTGCGCAATCAGGAACTGCCTGGCATGGGCATGGGGGCCGAACTCATCGAAGAGTTCCTGACCGCAATGGGCCAGCTGGACGTGAAAGGGTTCCGGCAATTCTTCCCGGTATGTGCTGCTGTGTTATACTCCTACGCTTTCGATCTAGGTGACATCCAACTAACCTGCAAATCTACAGTCATTCATCCAACGATTGAGCGCATGAAGTTTCCTTTTCTCCTCTCTGTCTGCTTTCTAGATTCCCCCCCATTTTTCCATATTTACGTTTTGACGCGACGAGGTGACGTCTCTCCTCATGTCGCCCTGTGACTTCGCCATCTATACCATCTACTTTTCTCATCCAAGTATTCCGATCCTGATACCATGCTTGCCCCAGCTTGAACCCCAAGAATAGTGCTGGATCCAACTCTCGGGGGCAAATCAGAAAGAACAAAAAGAATTTACGTGATTTTTTTTAAAAAAAGAGTTCCGAGTATATAGCTTCCTTCTTGCTTCCTGTTGATCCCTTCTGCGGTGCATTCGCATTATGGTGTTCAGTATCCACCTGGACACGCCCTGGCGTATCCCCCCTTTCTCCTTTCTCCCTCTTGCCAGCTTCATAAGATAGGACCAAAATCGGGTTTATTTTTTCATGCCTTGTGAGTTCTTTCAACTTGAATTGATGTGAAGAGTAGAATTCGAGAAGATAGAAGGTCCCTCTGAACTCTACCTACCTAGGTAGTCCACTATAACTAGCTACTTTGGATTCACTTCACAATTACTCTTCTTGGCAGTGTGGGATAAAAATAGCATCGTTATCGTGCTAGTACAGAACTTTCTAGCTAGCCTAGCAGTATCTTATTTCGCCTAACATTTATATTCTTTATATTCCGCAAAATCTTTGACACTGAAATTCCAATCCCCAATCCCACAACCACAATGGCTCCGAATTGCCTGACCGGCGCTTGCCTCTGCAAGAACATAGTATACCGCATTATGTTACCCACCGAATCATTCCCTAAGGTATGATTTATCTCTACCTACTTCTAATCAGGATATCCCATTTACTAATAGTGTCCCTAGGTGATTATCTGTCACTGCACCAACTGCAAACGCTATACGGGCTCCAGCTTTTCCGCCAACATCATCGTGCCAAAATCCAGTCTAGAGTACACGAAGGGGACACCCAAGATGTACTTGGACCACGGCGACAGGGGCGGACAGGTAATGCGCGAGTTCTGTCCTGATTGCGGTACGCCATTCACATCATCAAGCGATGATCAGGAAGTTGCTGTGAAGTCGGGAACGCTCGATGAAGGACACCGACTTAATTGTGCGGAATTGGCAGCGGAGATTTACTATCATCGGAAGGATAAGTGGGTGGATGATATGGGAAATGAGGATGTTCGGAGGATCAATGGTAGTATGGGTTAGGGAGGTGATTGGAATTCAATATCAGGATATCCACAACATTCTGTGAGAATCCAAGGATGATTTTTGTAATTTACGTTGACTTTATACATTTTACATGGTTTGTGGCTATCTATTTTCATCTTTCTGCTATAAATTGAGGGGGAAAGTAGACAATAAAGATATTGTAGGAAATCCATTCAAAGTCCCAATGCCTTAAGCCAGATAAATAAGATTATTGAACTTGTATGAGACCAATGAAAAGTCCTTTTCTGCTTTTATAAGGTTTTCTAAACCAAATTGACCTATCTAGGGAGTATAGACTGAGGTCATGGTGATCCCTCTACATGGAATATTTAGAGATCTTCGACCCTATATCTTTCAAACATCGTATTTTCTCTAGTTTCCAATAGGCTTTTGGTTTTTCGAGATGAGCCTCGTTAAGGAAATCACTGATTATTCCCATCACTGCGTATCTTGTGCAACATCCCTTTGCCTCAAGGCTCCTTGGATGACAAGGTACCGAGTATGTGAGTTTGATCTCTATATTAAAACTACTCTTCTTTGGACTCATCCACCTTAGTATATTGGACCCGAAGCGGGACTCAGCTGTCGGATGTTTATACAACCAAGTTTGACTGGGAGTGGGAAGAAGAGAAAGCGTACGGTGATCAGAACAAGCTTGCCGACAAACTTGGCCCTTGGTATGTCATGCATATGAAAAAGCCCCCCAAGGCTTTCTTAATCCATGAGATCTGCTGGTTCCTCTTGAGCCAGCACTTTGAAGCGGAGGAGATTGATTTGGACAGGCTATTTGAAGTCTGTAAGGAGATTCCTCCTTCGGGAAGACCAGTATTTCTCTGTAAGTGAGCGTGACTATATTGATACCAGCTCCTTAACAGACCTAGCCAGATACGGTAGGCAGTTCTCGTTGAGCAACAGGTTTTACCCTTCAAAACGACCCATTATCAAGGGGCTTCGAGACGCCGCGAAACAATTCCCGAAGATGTCCAATGAAGAAAACCGCTCTGGTTCTAAAAGCAGTGTTGTGCTTCACTCTGACTGCTTCGATATCCTCCCCATCGAGATACGAGTTCAAATCGCAAGTTACCTTCCTACTGTCGACTTCCTAAGTCTACGACAATCATCCCGAGCAATGGTAATTGTCTTTGGAATTCAATCATTCTGGAAGTCGAGGTTTTCAGTGAATGGGGAACGTGGGTTTCTGAACTGCCTAGCGGAGAATCCCAAAAGTTATGAAAGCAAGAACTGGCGACTTATATACCGCTGTACAGCAAAGATTGACCAGTCCTACGAGCACCTCTGGACGAAACGGCGACGCTGGAGAAATAACCGATGGCTAAGAGAAAGATGTTCAATGCTCAGGGCATCAAAGAAGCAGATTGCCTCCAACCAGAAATTACTTGGTGAATTATGCTGGAAAGAGGTCTCTACTAGAGTTCGATGTGATAGAGACGGCAAACATGGGAAGAAGTGGAGGAAATGTCGGACTTGCCACGCAAAGCATAACATCTTTTTTCAAGTCGCTTTATTAGAAAGCTCTATCACCGGTCTGGCTGTCTCTGTCATACGCGAAGGGGCAGAAACCTACATCACTGGTTTTGACCTGCTGTATGTAGATCGGCCGAACCTGATTCTTGGGCATCGGCTACCAGGGCACTCCGTGACAATCGATTTCGGCGGACAACTGAGAGGATTTACGGTTATCGAGGGCGAAGTTGGAATCCATGCAATACGTCCCATTTTCAACAACTCCTCCACAGCCAAGTGGATAGGTTTACCAGAGGGCAGCGATATCTGCAAGTCTACGGAACTTGTCCTTGAGAAAGACGTCAAAGCCATTTCGGGAAAGTTCGATGTAAGTCACTTTATACCCCCCAAATGCGTAGCATAAGTTAACCTTGAGTTAGCATTGCAAGATGATTGGACTATCTATAGCATAGATAGAACCCACGCACGAAAAGAGCTAAGGCATTCTACAGTTATTCTATACAAGAATAGTCGGCGCTTATACAGCGGTAATCTTCTTGGTGACCTTCTCAAATAGACTTTTTATATGTCTGTTTAGTTGTCCTTTTGATAGTCTTCTCAGGTAGTCTCTTAAACGTCTAGTTATATAGATACTTCCTCCCCTTCCCAATTCGCTGGATAGACAGTAGAAAAGAGCTAAAAAGGCTTAATTTGTGAAATGGACTTTTCGAAAGATAGCCTTTGATAGAGTTGAAATAGGCTGCAAATCCATGAAGGTAAATATAATCTAATCTGTGTGCTTATGCCCTTGACGATACTTTCCTTTGTGACAGGCCAACGGATGCCTGGTTTGTCAGGCTCCATCCAACTATATTAACTAGTTAGCCAGCGCCTGTTTGTAGAGAAACCCATCCTTCTCCTTCTCTTCTCTCTCTGCTCCTAGTAGCCCCTCCGGCAGAAGAACCCTGGCCGTCCCTTGTTGTCGAAGTTGGGTCTTCCCAAGGTCATGCAACCCCTCAGAGGGATACCCAACGGTGGTGGAATAACTCGGACGGTGCCACAAAACTTATCCTCCTGTCCAAAATCAAAGACACCCGGGGCTTTGCGGGCGGATCACCCTCTAGACTCGGCCACACTCCAAATTCTATATTCAAGCTTGCCATAAGATTGCATACATGCCTGCAACCGTAAGCTTAGTGTTGACTGTTTTAGAATTGTGCTAACTGGATGACCTATACAGTATGCGGATAACCGAGTGATCGACCTACTCACAATGCCATCATCCAACAAAGAAAGCAAGACGAGAGGGAAAGAGTGGACATATACTCCAAGGGAACACGGCTCTTGACTTCACCTTACCTTTCCTTCACTTTACTCTTGCATCCTCTTTATATATATACGAAGTGTCCATCCTTCGTGGGCTTATTTCTTCTAGCAAGTGAAGAACAAGTCTCTCAGTAATAACCACCGATCCATCTTCATCCCCGCAATATATTTGAAAAAGCCACCGATATACCAGGTATATTGCCCCAAGTCACGCGCAGAGAACAGGGCGGACTTGCGGACACATATTCTACACTTCTTTCCGCCTCAGGAGGCTATGGTCTCGAGCGAGAGCCATACACCTCTAAGAACACCCAAACTTGTGGAATTGAGATCCTACAAGAAGGTGATCGACTACCTGGTCACTGCGAGAGATTCACGAATATAAGGATCCTCATCCTGTGTAACACCCGATACGCCGCAGGCGACATCCGACGCTGAGGTCAGGTTAAACGAACCGTCGGGATCTTAACGGAACATGGGCCTGATAAGCTGTTATTGAGGGGGACGGAAAGGGCCTTGCGAGAAACAATATTGAGCTTCGTGGGACGAACAACCTCGAAGATAGCTGTGTCGTCCTCACCAGGGCCTACGGATACCAAATCATCAACAAAATGATTGGCGTCCACCGGTTTCATTGTTTTTGGAGGTCATTATCATCGTTTCTGATGCGCCGGGGTTGGCATCTCGACTCCACCTGAGCAACTGGGCATCTGCAACTCTTCCCAATTACCAAACCCATCAGACATACAAATCTCATTGACAAGGTCATCCTCAAAAGTGACTTCGAGAGCCTCTGAGCCAGCTTGAGAAAGTTAGTTCGAGATCTAAAATGGCCGAAAACCACCATGAGAGCACTTTGGCCAGATACGCAGGAGTGTAGTGCGCACGAAGGATCTCGCTGGCTCATGTAACTAAAGAGCTATCGATACATGCGACTAAGAATGAACAATTTCCATCTTACTTTATGAAGACTCGCATTTGCACGGTTATATTCGACCAGAACTAGGGCATACCATATCCTTCAATACCTCTCATTTAAATCATCGACCTAACCTGGCGCTCACTTGAGCCAAAAGAAAAGAACCAATCAGATCCGGTTTACAAAAGATATACGCAAGACAATAAGAAGTAAAACATCTTTGAGATTAGGAGTTAAAAGGAGAGAACACACTATGCAAAGAGATACTTGGCCGCATGCTCCACATGGTCATCCGCAAAGGTAGCCATGGTATAATATGAGTGGTCATAGTCAGGCTGGTAGCGAACCTTCAAGCCGTCGATGCCTGCGTCACGGGCTGCGGCTTCGAAGTTCTCCGGTAGGAGTTGGCCTTGTTTGTAGAAGTTGTCGCCGGTGCCCTGGATATGGATTAGATGTTGTACGGGATAAAAAGGGAAGAAAGTGGAAACAGAATAGAGAAAAGAAGACTTGGACAAATCAAACTCACCACATCAATCAGGATATCCAGCGGACCCCCACTCCACTTCTTAATCAGTTCAGTAGCATCGTGCTCCTTCCACTTATCCTGCTGATCATCGCCGAAGTAACCCTTGAACGCCTTCTGGCCCCAGGGGCAGTTCGTCGGGTTCGTGATCGGCGCGAACGCAGAGACGGACTTGTACTTGCCAGGGTTGCGGAGGAACTGATGAATTAATTAGATAAAACCACTCCACGAAGACATCTCCTCTTCCAGCTCATGTGCCATAGAGCGAACATCCAGATATGACATGTGTATAACTTACCAAAGTGAGAGCACCGTGTCCGCCCATACTGTGGCCGGTGATACTAACACGACTAGCATCCAACTGCGGGAAAGCAGCAAAGACAGTCTGTGGCAGCTCGTCGGTGACGTAGCTATACATGTTGTAGCCGGCGTTGTAGGGGGCTTTGGTGGCGTCGACGTAGAAGCCGGCGCCGGAGCCGAAGTCGTATGCGTCGTCCTCGCCTTGGATGTTGAGGCCGCCTGTGGACAAGTCAATTATATTTCCCTTCACTTTGTAACATGATCACTCGATTTGATGAAAGATAGGACAATGACATAATAAAAGATAAGGTGGATACATACGTGGGCTGGTATCAGGATACAGCACGGCAATTCCCTTCTTGCTGGCGCCGTGCTGGAAAAAGCCCTTTTCGGAGCAGTTCTCGGCGGTGCAGGTCAGACCGGAGAGGTAGATGAGGACGGGGACCTTCTGTGTCTGGGCCTGCGGGGGCAAGAAGAGGTTGAATTTCATCTCGCATTTTGTGGTAGTGGCGGCATGGCTTAGTTTTAGGAGCTTGCCGCCGAAGGAAGCGATGGTTGCGTTTGTGGTGACGGACATTGTGTATATTTTGTATATTTTGTATGTTTTAATGTTAGAGGAAAGAGAACAAGAAGGGGGAGAGGTTGACGTTTTTTATGGTGGGGGGATGTCCCGCATGAGGGGAAAGGGTCCACTTCGATAGGATTGTACTTCCTATTTGGGATTTTATACAATTATATACACGATTAGATGTATTTACAGGTGATATTTGATATTAAGAGTTGCAACTGATAAACTGGATAGCTAGTTTATTAACTACACCTTAGGATATACCACGAATAGACAATGTTAAGCCTATTAAACTCTTAACCTCTCCGAAGACTGTCGGGAGTACGAAGAGTCAAATCACATTGCTGCCCACAGTGGGGAAAACGCCAAGGTATATATACACAATAAGAGAGAAACATGACCTCACATTCACTCCAAAAACACCGGGACTCCATAAACCACAGGCGCTGCGCCATTCAGATACCTCAACACACACGCACCCCTCGAGCGCGCAATTGCCGTGTCAAGCCCAACATTCTCTCCCCGACTCTTATCCTTCTTATCCTTCTTCTCGACCAGACCCCATGCATCAAAGGCAGTCGTTGTAAACCGATCGATGTCCCGATCAGTGACATCCCACAGCGTAGCCACGAGCGCAGGGCTGCCTGCATGGAGATAATTCATCGGCGTGCCGTAGGGCTCATACTCGCCAGCTTCGGTCAAAGTGCCGCTGCTACATCCCATTAGGAAAGTAACAGCGCATTGTGTGAGCCGCTTGACCGTGCGGCCGCGGATGTACTGCGCGCCGCTGCCGTGGCCGAAGTAGAGGAATAGATCCTTCTTTTCCAGCGCGTCGCGGAATTCGTCTTCGGTTGGTTCGCGCTGCACGACTGCAGTCCAGGATTTGAACTTGGAGAGGTCCTGTTCAAACGTTGTTTGTGTAGTGCGCAGGTCGCCTGTCGGGTTGAGAATGAATGCGCCGGAGTTGCGGTCCACGATGGTTCCGGAGGATGCCTTGCGGAATTGGAGAACACGGTCCCGGAGGCACTCGAGGGATGGAACCCGACAGACAGGGTATCCTTGCAGACAGGGAAGTGACTCCCACGGGAACAGGTGAAGAGCTTTATCGAGCACCAGGAGTGTATGTCTCGGCGGCCGTGCCGCCAGTTCATCGCGTGCAGCTTCGTGGTAACCTCGCAAGGCATCGAGAGTATCTACGACCATCATGTCAAAGTCGATCTCGTCGTAGGCATTACGCTCGCCCTGGAATTGTAGAATATCCACCACAAAGTAAAGAAGATCCATCAGTGTGTCTTCGGGCTCTTCTTGCTCTTCAAGATCGCGAAGCCCAATGAACAAGTCCACTACGTTCTGATGTAGTGTAAGCCGGGGTCCAGCGGCCTTGCCACCCTTCTGCCGAGAAGGAAGATGCTTGTCAAGGATACTTTGAAAGGTACTCGCGAACCGGGCCAGCGCGGTAGTCTCCCGCGACAACGGCGAGAACACACCACGGAACCCTCCAAACCATATGTTCTCAATGTTTTGAAGCACATTTTCCATCCGATGGTCGAGGGCTTCGCGGGTCTTCCACCATTCCTTCTTTGACAACTTGTCCGTCTGGGCCTTGGCTGCATGTGCACTTTCGTTGGCCAGCTTGATAAGTTCTTGCATCTCCTCTTTTCCATCCTCAAACGTGAATTGCTCTCTTCGTCGTCATCCTCCGAATTTCCGCGATGCAGGGGAAGACGCAGAAGGAACGGTGAGCGGTCTTTTTGGAGTCGTGAAACCACAAATTCGGTACGGTCTGCACTCAATGACAAAGAGAGAACATTCCAAGTTTCGGGCAGAATGTCGACGTAATCCTGCGTGAAGTTGGAGCAAAGATCCTGGTGCAGTTCAACAGCTGAGGGGAACGAGGTTGGCCAAAATAGAGGGTCGGCGAAATCAGCCAGCTGTCGATCGATATCAATCGCCATACGCTCCCGGGCAAATGCGCCAACACGTCCGATCTCTAATTGAAAAAGTCAGAAATATACGTCAAACCTAAAAAGTCTCGCAGAACTTACCATTCATATTCGCGGGCGACTGAGCCAGAGTCGCCGGAATCCCGGGAGAAGTCGCATGTGATAGCATAGAGATCCGACTCATCAAGCGAGATGCCGCATGGCTATCAAGCGTTGAGCCTAGGATGGTGGCATCAGAGAAGACACTGGCAAGACAATCGCTTGCCTTGGACAGCATAACCGAAAAGTCGTCACTGGCTCGCTGGGCCTTGGTGCGCGTTGTTTTGGCTGGAGCCCTGGTTCTCCTTGTCGACGGCTTTGCCGGGGGTAAACTGAGCTCATCTGCCGTCTTGCTTGGTGTCTTAAGTGACGGCAGCGAAATTGTAGATTCAGGCAAGACGCAGTACACGGCATGGCTGGCAAAACGGCGAATAGCATCAGCCAACAGATGCTCACTTTCGCCGATCTCCAGGGCGATCTTGCTTTCTCGGGCCACTGAAAATTGTCTGGCCTCTGCGAGTGCCTGTGCAGATCGCTCGAAGTCACGCAATTCCCGCAGGCAATCAGCTTGCTGCCTGAGGATGCTGCCTTTCAGTTGTAATAGGGATTTAGATTGGACTTCGGGGAGATTTGGTTTTGGAGCTGGGGCTTTCTTTGTGGTTTTGGTAGTCGCGGAACTGGTTGCACGGGTCCGCCGAGCGGTAGTGGTCGTAGGTGTTGGGGTTCGCCGGCTGCTTGCTCTAACCCGTAACTTGTCCATCTTTTCTTCGATTTCTGCCACGCCCGACGCCTCCAGATTCGCAGGAATATCGGTAGAGGTGACCGCTGTGATGATTTTATCTGCTTCCAGGAGGACACGGAGTGCCTTGTCATGTGCACCCTGCGTCTTGTACAGGGACGCAAGCGCCATTTGGAAAGACACGGTTTCGATACTTTTGTGGGTTTGTTTAGATGACTCGGCCGCTGCAGAGAGATGATCTTGTCCCTCACTCATGTGGCCGCTAAGAATCCAATGGCAACCAAGCTGGGTCTGCGCCGCCAGTAGCCGTGCATTGGCATCAAGGGTCTTGTCAATCTTGAGCGCTTGTTCGCCGTAATAGATAGCATCTTGGAACAAGCCATGGTGCGCAGATAATGTGGCGAGGTTCAGCAAGCAGGTATGGTGGGAACCTAGATGCGGCCAGAAAGGCGCACCTTGGATGTAGCTGGCAGACATATCTGGGGAAGACCCGTTCTGAGACAAATCAAGTTTCGCGATACCATCAGCAACAGCCTCAACATCAGAGTTTCCTGCAGCAGGCAACACCTTGTCTTGCTTTCTTTGGGCGAGCCTCTCAACCTTAGCCCATATGCGGCAGTTGAGCCTTACAGACAGCTTTGCGAAGTACAGAGCCTGGGTTGCTGCGCCCTGTGCGGAGAACAACCTGGACTGAACAAAGGCGGCATCTGCTACCAGCCTCTCCCACGAGATCTTCGACAGGACAGTCAAGTTGCTTAGTTCTGATTTCTGGCACTTGTCATAGAGTGTACGGGCTGCTGAGAGAACCGTGGCGGCTTTCTCGGGCTCTCCGGTCTCCAGAAGATATTCCACCCGTGCAATTTTGTAGGAAATGGTAGCAAGAGAAGAAACCTTGGTTTGAGCAAGATACTGCTCACCACGCGATAGGAGTTCACCTGCCTTTTGGCAGTAGCCCAGACGGCAATTCTGCAGTACCAAGCGCGACAGAATGATAATGGCATCTGACAAATCTCCTGACTGATTGAGCTCCGCGGCGCGTAATATCAGTTCCAGGGTGCATAGTTGAGCCTTCCAAAGCCCGTGAATTTCGGTATAGTCAACCAGTGCCTTCAACTGCAAGACCCAGTAGTCCGTGTCATTGATGCAGAGCAGCAGTGTTTTCCAGTCATGGGACTGGCGCGCCAATGAAGTCCAGGAAGCAAGTGTGTCGTCTCAGGTCGCTTGCGTCAATCTTGCCGCGGTGGAAACCGATGATGATTCGCAATGAGTTGCTAATATGGATTGCGAATGAGGCAAGGTCAATGTCATCTCGGACTTGTAAACCGCCATCCAAAGCCTTTGTTCCTGCATCCAGCAAAGTCTCGATCAATGTTGAATCCAAGGCAGTAGGCTGCTCCAGTAGAAGCCGCAAGGCAGAGAGGATCACGCGAGAACGACGAATAGGGTAGACGTCAGGGGGATAGAGATCGAGGAGGGAGGAAACAGCTGAGCCGAGAATCAAGCGAAACTCTTCTTCGTTTGAAGAAGAGCTATTCATGTCAACAAGCAAGCTCATCTGCCATTCGAGAAGAAGACATCTCTGTTCGAATTCTAGTTCAACATCATCATAGACAACAGAGGGGTGAGATCCCTTCCTGCGCAGCTTCATCTTCAGAAGGGCCGAGAATACACGGCCAAGCATGAAACCGGGGCTCTTAGGATCCTGGTTCAACAAACTCGGGTTGTGTCCTTCGCTGCTCTTGACAATCTGCTCTAGAGTGCCAGAGAGAATGTATTCTTCAATTGATTGTCGAAACATCAGCTCTGAGTCAATGTACATATTGCCCTCGATGTATAGATGGGCCATTCTCTCGAACTTGAGGGCTGCAAACGCCGTGTGGCGTTGGGAAGGCGAGCAACTTGAAAGCAGCTGGGTAGATTGTTTGAGAAGGGGTAGAAGCTCCCGATAACCCTGTCCGGCTTCTTTTTCTTTGATGTATCGCGACCAGAACAGATTTGAGAGTTTAACAAGTGCCATTCCTAGGTTTTCCGTTGTCTCCGTATCTTTTTCATCGGGGGTTTCGATAGTCGAAAGCAGGCGATGGCAATCAGCCAAGATTGGAAGCATGTCTTCCCAAGGTGGCCTCTGAGACATGATAGAAAGTTTCCCAATTGCGACAGTTGAATCAATGGCAGCTAGAATGATACTTCTAGAAATTGAAACACGTTTGTTGAACATCTCAATCTCTTTTTCGTCACCATCTTCCGCTGGTTGGCGTCCAACATAGCGTCTGAGGAACCTGATGAACGCTTGTAGATATTCCCTGATCTGAGTGGCAACTTGGTTTTTCTCACTTTCAGTCTCCGGGCTTTTTGTGACAGCCTCTCCGAACCACGCAAGAGCCAGCTTCTTCAGTCTTGCGGCTTCCACCAGCAGTTCATCTAGGTCGTTTGCGCTGCCTCTTAATTGCAACCCTAATGATTGGGTCGCCTCTGACACAGAATCTAAAGCTCCGTCCAGGAACTTTTTCGATGTCTTCGAGGCCTGGAAATGAACAGATGCAATTTTACACCGGACTGTTGCCAAAGAAAGAGACTGAGTTTTTGAGAGAGGATTGACGGCTTGTGTGAACAGCCTCATAGATTCATCAAAACAACCCGCGTCGAAAGCGAGCTGCCCGAGGATAGTCATGAGCTTGGCAGCCTGGTGGGCATTCTGTGTTTCTGAGGACTTCTTCTTGACCTCTGCAATGGATGTTTGCAGCCGGGTAACTGTTTTATAGATTGAAGCAAATTCGGATTTCTCAACGCTTTTGCTCCGGTGAGAAAAGCTACCAAAATAGCGAAGCAAAGGATCGAACACTTCTTTGCTCTCATCACAGACATGACCGGACAGTTTCCAGCTCAGGCATCGAACCTCGAGGGAAAGTAGTTGCAAGTCCAATGACGTCGTAGGCTTCAAACTATAGGAGGACTCATCCTTCGAGAAAGATGTTCCCGAGCAAAGCGATAGAACTGTATTTGATAATAGCTGGAGTTGGAGAGCAGCTTTGTCATTCGACAGGTGACCCGACTTCAAGGCAGCCAAAATTATTTGAGCAGGGCTGCTCGAATCGGAAAGTTGCAAAGAAGGGTACACCTTCTGGATTGTGGAGGCTCTTCTATCCGCAGCGAATAACCGCATCACATTCGAGTGGAAGGGAACAAGCAAGCCGTACAGCGATTTCCCGTTCGAGATGTGAGCGAATGTCAGCAGATCTGACATCCGTTCTTTCGAAGCTTCTTCTTCCGTCGCATCCTTCGCTTCCGCGGTCTTCTTCCCGGCCTTCCCGTTATCAAGATATTGTTGGATTCTCCGCTTCAAAAGTCGAAGCTCTTTGTATGCCAGGTCGTTCAGTCCCAGGGAAATAAGCTTTCCCGCGAGTACACACAGTCCCTGCTCGAGCTGCATGTTCGGGAACTGGTCGTTCCCAGCCTCATTCTTAAGAGTGCGCAGTGTGGACAAAGAAAGTCTGGCGCACTCCGCAGCCGAGACGATGCCCGCGTCGGGACCACTGGCAGTATCGGTGGTATTATTCTGGCGTTTGGCTGTAGATATCTTTGCGGCATCTGTGAGGGTCTTTAATGTGGCATTGAATACCTCCGTAGCAAAGACCAGCTTCTCCTGACATGACAGTGCCACCGCATCGTGATCGGCCAATGATTGCAGCGCCGCATCGTTTGCAGGTTTTGTCTTTGTTGCACGGGATGTTCTCGTTCGACTCGGCGCTGCAGTTGGTTCTCTTGTGGATTTTGTGCGTTTCGTGGGTTTCTCGGGCGTCTTTGGCGACCCGCGGAGGAGTGTTTGGAGGGACAACACGGTAGCATCCGAGCATGTTGTCGTTGAGCGGAGGGCCTGTTTCACGGACTCTGTTAAAGAGCTGGCCGGTAAGACGGTAACCGCCATTTTCGTGGTCGTTTTATCGAAGCTGCAGGACTGAGGTCATCGCTCGCGTCGAGCCTTTGATGTGCAATCGCTATCGGCCGGACGCTCTAAACGGGGGGTTGTCGTAGCAACAACAGCGCTATACCGTATTGGGATTTGATAGCCTTATCGCCTTAGGCAATCACGACCTCAACTTTTCCCGCTTCTACAGATCAACGGTTGCTGCTAGACAAGAACAGAGCTATGGCTTTCAGATTCAGGCCCTTTGGGCTTAGCAGACAAATATTTTCTGCTCCTTCTACATTAAATGCTACCAGACAATGCCGCGCTCCGGCTGGGCGCTCATATTCGACCTCCGATCGCCTTCCGAAGATCGCAGACACGTCAGTATGGACGGCAATGATTCCCCGATTTCTTCGAGGTGGCAGAACGCGCAAGGACCCTGCGAAAGAGAAATCAAAAGAATGGAACCCGGCGACGTTCTACATCATCATGTTCACTCTGATCGGCTCGCAAGCTATTCGCATGCTCACTTTGAAGAACGGTTATGCAGCGTATACTCGGACGACGGATGCGAAGATCGAGCTTCTAGCGGAGATTATCACACGAGTCAAGAATGGAGAGAAGGTCGATGTGGAGAAGTTACTGGGAACGGGCGATGAGGCAAAGGAACGAGAGTGGGATGAGGGTGTGTTGACCAATATCCGACAATTCTATTTCATGGCTGGCGTCTAACTATTTATCTCTAGTACTTCGCGAGATTGAAGCCGAAGATTCCCTATGGCATGAGAAGAAGACCGCCCAGTCACAAGCAGAGAAGTGTCAGGAACCCGAGAAAGAACAAAAACAACCCACACAGCCTTCGGAAGAAAAAGCTACCGATGAGGTTATTAAGACAGAATCTACACGAAAGCTTAGATTCTATTGAATGGGGACTAAGTTTGTTCTTCAAGAACGACCCTCTGGTCTTGAGGCTCGGTCATGTGGGCTTGGAATATACGCCGCATTGGGCCACTGCCATCTCAACGATGTCGAATTGATCTTCTAGATCACGATGGAATTCCATTCTATCCTCGACAATCGGGTCTGGCGTTTCCCACACTGAACCCAGTCCATGACCGATATATCCTCGGGGATATAAATGTAACATCACCTGTACAGGGAATCTCTCCTTAGAGTGGCTTCCGATACCCGTTTGTGAGCTTGCAAATTATGATTCATGTACATATTTTCTTGAACCTGGGATAAACAACTCAAAAAAACCAGATCTTACAATGTGGTTCATTGCAGATCACAAGATCAAATGCACCCAAATAGATTAAGTACTTAATCTAGCTAAGATCGATCTGCTCTCTATGTACGACTTGGATCAACGCCATACATATCTACGCCTACACTCGCGTTCGCGTGATAAAACAGGAGAATATCTACCCAAACCAGATCTAGATTGATAGAAACGCCACAATCAGGGCCCTCTAATACAACCCACACACCTTCTTTCCAGATCTATCTACTGTTGGTACAATGCAAACACAGGCGGTCTTCAACGAAGAAAGAGAAGACATCATGATGCAAAGGGGGGGATGCATGTCCCAATTCAAGCCCAACTTAACCACGAAGAGGGCGAACATGAAAACAATCCGAAAGGAATGAGAGAAAGATCTCATGCTAAATCGAGGGAAAGATAGGCCTTGAACAAATGAGAAATGAGAAACATATCGCTAGTAAAAGAAATGAAATAACAAAGACAAGAAATGACAAGCTCACTATCTAACAGCAAGCCTCCCTATTTCGAGCCCTGTAGGAACTTGGGCCAGTTTTCCGGCCGTGGGACCTGCACCCGGCCAATGTTCTGGTCAAGGTCAAGGATGAGCTTGAGGGCGTTCCTTGACCGGAGGTAAGGCAGAGGCGCCTTAGCACCGTGTCCCCCGACACTAGGCTCGATGTGACCAGCGGGGCTAATGGCCTCACCCTCACCGGGCATGGGGAGGAGTTTCTGCAGGACCTCGTAGGCGGCTAGGGTGAAACCGAATTGAGGTGAAGAACGCATGATACGGGCGGGTCCACCCTTGAAGAAGGCAGCCAGGCCCTCTTCTTTCCAGACGGTGGAAGCGCAGTGGCGCAGACCGTGGTACTTGGTGTCACCCTTGCGGGCTTCGACCTGCAGACGGGTTTTGATGACGTCGCACGGGGTGGTTAGGTAGGCGGCGGGCATACCGGCGATGGCACCGGCGGTGAGGAGCTGGACAACGCCGAGCCTGTTCGTAGCGGTTTCGCCGAAGAAGTCGGACTTCAAGTGCGCGTAGGTGGGGAAGTAGATGGCCGAGAAGGGGACGTCGCGAAGGAGACAGGCGCTGGCTCCCTTGTACAAGCCCACCAATCCCAGGTTCTTGACAATCCAGAGGGCTGAGCGGCGGGGGGCACCCTCGACGTTCTTTGCAATTTCACCCTGGACCTGCAGACGGATCTTCACAATCTCAAGCGGATTTGTGAAGACGACTTGACAACCACCGGCAGTTCCACCAGCCAGAATCTCTTGGCTGTACTTGATCCTGTTCGTTTCCTTGTCTGTGAAGAAGCCACGAACGAGATCGTTCACAGTCAGTTTGATAGCCTTTTCAGGCGCCACACCAATCAACTGAGGAATGACACCAGAGTACAAGCCAGTGAAACCCTCGTTGCGGATAACCTTCCTAGCGCAATCGATGGAGTTGTTGTACAGTCTTTCGCCGGGGCGAGACGAACGCTGGTTCTGTAGGCGGGTCTTGACCAGGTCAATGGGGTAGACCATGAAAGCACCAAAAGCACCGGCGATACTACCCAAAGCAAAGTGGTGTACAGACTCAAGAACGTTGTGAAGCATACCCTTGGTCTTCTCGGCAACTTCATGTCCAGCAGACACGGCCTGGCCCACAGCCATCACCGGGATACGCCATGAAGCATCGATGACCTTGGCGAAGTCCTTCTGCGCGAGACGTCCCGAAGGCGCATCCAGTCCGGCGAAGTGGAACAGAATATCGGCCTCCATAGGTGTGAACTGGGAGAAACGGGTCACGCGAGAGGCCTCGTTCAGGAAGTCGGTACGAGTGATCTTGCCATCCTTGCTCTTCTTTGTTGCTTCGCGGACAACCAAATCAATTATATCCATCTCGCGCATGACATTCAGGAAAGCACGGACATTGGCGTAGGAGATGCGGTTGCTGGTTGAGATATTGCACAGGGTGGGGAGGTTCTCCAGGACATGGTCGGACAGTTTGTGTTTTGAGGTCTCGAGGATAATGCGTTGGAAGTCCTCGGGCTGGATGAATCCATCACCATCCTTGTCGAAAATGTGGAAAGCTTGACGGATGCGCTCACCCTGCAGACCGCGCAGCATCTGGGCGAATTGGGGGTAGGTCATATCATGGCGAGACTTGGAGCGACCTCCGTACAGCGACGCCCATTCTGAGTCCCAATCAAAGGGAATGCTGTCAGCACTCTTGTTCATGTTGTACAATCCCTGCATGGTCTCAAACTTGACACTGCCGGTTCCATCGAAGTCGAAGAGACGAAAGGCGATCTCGTACTCGGCATCGGGCTTCGCGAGGAGGTTTTCGAAGGAGGCCCAGTCGGTAATGTTCAGCTTGCCAGCTCTCCGTCGGTCTGCGACGTTGAAAAGGATACCATATTGTTCGCGCTTGATCTTGTGCTGTTGGGAGGAAACCGGATCAGCAATTGCGAAGATTTCAGTACCTTTGGAGTCCGGGATGACACTCACATAGTCTTCCTGCTTAGGTGCCACGGCATTAATGAAGTTCTCCCGGTCCATGAAGAGCTCGCCATTCTCGTCCTTTTGCGCATGACGGGCAAAGTTCAAGCGCGACTGGTGGGACAGATGAGGCGCCTCTGTGCTGCCCAGGAGTGATTCCTTCACAGCTTCCTTCACGGTGGCCATTGTGTATGTCCAAGTCGATTTTGAGTACTAAACAAAAAAAAGAAAACCCACACAAAAGGGAAAACTGGGGGAAGGAAGGGATCGAGGGATGTGGAGAAGGGGAGAATTGAGTCAATAGCGCTGGAGAAAAGTTACGATAATCGAAGGAGTCCACTTTCCAAGGTTTCCCTTCTCTTCATAATATTTGTAGAAGATTATTTATGTATGTTGTATGTTGTATGTTGTATTTTTCAGATAGATTTGATATTCTCATTCTCTAATATAAAATTTCACGCTTCCACCCGTGGCCACGTTGAAATTTTTTTGGTTTTATTTTTTATTTTTTATTTTTTTGTACTTACCCCTTGTCTTTTTCATTATGGCGTTATTTACCCGGGCAGATCGGACCGAATCAGATTCTCACTTGTCCCCCGATCTCCGCATTGCGCCCTGGATAATCGACAGAATACATATCAACTCCCCAAATTAGCCTCAATGCGGTACTACTTCTTATTGTTCGAGAACAACTTATTATCTAGTTATTCCTTGGGATGGTATTGTTTTTGCCACCATGAGCCACCGGTATATATAGCTGAACCGGCCACATATAACCCAGGAGAAGTCCTGGTGGCAAAACAAAAGAAACACAGTCAGCAGGCGACTTTGAAAGAAAAACGATCGAAAATGAGGGAAAAACCGGAGGTTGAGCCTGTCACATGGCCCTTTCGGGACCGGTGAGCCTTAACGAGAAGACGAAAAGGCGAAAAAGGGCGAAAACACAGGTCTCCGAGTTCGGTGCGGAGTTCAGTGGGAACAAGAAGTTGGAGAATTCCCCTTCAATTGGTCGATTTCATCTCTTCCCCTCTCCCAAGCCTTCCAGACTCGGCTCAACTCCGGATTTATGTACGGAGCACTCCGTACCGTTCCCCTTTTTCTCCGCACATACTCTGTACTCTATATCAGATGTGCATTTACCCGACTAGAGTTGCTATAATAGTACATATATGTAGCTCATATTGATTCTACATCTATACCTTCTTAATTCTTCCAAAGTGCGCGGTTCTCCAGAGCCTTCAAAAACTCAATTGCACTGCAGAGTAGAGTTGGAGGATTTCTGAAACCTGACAGCTACGTACTCCGTACTACTCGATACTTCGTATATAAAAATCGGGGCGAGGGTCATACATTATATGTATGTAGTGGGTGTAGCGGTGTAGCTATAACACCCACCGCAATTCCCAGCTCTAAAAGCACTTTTCTTGTGCTTAAGCCTTAAAAAAACCCCAGAAATGATTCACCGGGAGCCAAGCCTGCCAACGGTGCCTTGGGCAATTAATATGGGGAACTCCACACGGCGTCTCCGAGCTACCTAACTAGGTAGGTATGTTGCAAGACCATCCGTAATATGGAAGAGATAAGATGAAGTAGTTACCAATTTCAATGCGGGCTATAGTATATGTCTGCCACGAATTACATGCAAGGTACGGAGTACTCTGTAAAGAGTTAAGATATATATTTATCCTAGCAAGTGCATTACACCTAGCAGTATGGAGTACTACTGAGGGCTATAAGGCCAAATCAATACCGAACTCTCATAGAGCAATAGCTAAATGCCCAAAAGACAAGAGAAACAGAAGGAATCAAGAGTGATCGAAGAAGGCACATACATGTTGCTACAATATATCGATGAGAACTCTATCACGAAAACATAAGAAAGGAAGAAAATTGTGTTTACCCCCACTAAATCGACTATCCTTAGCTTTAATCCCCTCTGAGCAATGGAGTTTATCGATTCCCAGGTTGGAAACCATTGGGTCCACGGTGGTGAAGGCACATCTTGCTTGTCGTTGGACTATGATCCTGAACTTGAGGACAACATCCCAACAAATCCCAGCTGATCATACTAAACACATGTTGAAGAATCAAGGGCCACATCAGCTTAAGGGAAATAAGTCGCTAAGATCCTGTCATCTATGGATACCCTACATAGTATATGGTGGTCTTTTCGTCCTCTAACTTTGTCTTTTCTCATACATCTCAGCATTGTTCACTTCCTTTTCATCAAGAACAGAACCCCAAGTGCCATTGATCTTGTTTCGATTCATGCATGAGCACAACATTTTCCTCATTTCCGAAAGCTTGCTGGAAACTGCTATACCTTGTTGATGAACATGAAAGAAAGGGATTCTAGAATAGGTATTGTTTCTTTTTCCTTTTATTCGAGGTTATTGAGAGAGAACAAGAATAGTATGTCCGCCATAATCTCGGAGAGCGAACTACAATATCTTTGTGAGACCGTCTCATCGTCTTAAGATGCATTAACCCCAGCCACCTCCACGGCAGGCCGGAGATCCTCCCAACAAGCTATGGAAGCCTCGACCTCCCAACCTAAGCCTCAAGGCTCCTGGTTTCCTATATAATGTTGTAAATTCCGTTAATCTCATAGGAACTCGAGCAGTATTTATTGCAGGAGTTGTGTGTCTTCTGCACATGTTTGCCCATGTCCTCGAATGTCTGCTTTTGATATCATTCTTACCGTCCAGTGCCATGTCCAGTGCCATGTCCAGTCACAGGTTCGGATACTTGGGTAGACAGAGTCGCTCGTCTTATAAGATCAAACACTTTCTCCCCTAGCGCTGTCCTTATCAAGTAGATGTATGTAAGTATGTGTGTCAACTATATGTTGTCAATTTTGGAGACTCTATAAATAGAACACACGTCCAGGCATTGTATCGTACAACATACGTGCTCTGTTTGAAAAGGTAGGAAATAAAGCCACTAAGACGATCACTCCAGAAGCATGTAACATAGATGGAGCATTATCTTGTAAGGACTGGATGTCATTTGGCCTTCCAAAAAGCCACAACAAAATGTGACCAACATGTTACATCTGCATTTACTCCGTAGTGTGTATCTTCTATGTCCAAGTATAGGTTCTTCATCGCTCAATCTTCAAGACTAAAAATAGTTGCGGCATCAACCCCATGTGATATCTAATTATAGTACGCCGCAACGATCCTGCCAATATTCAAACCAATCAGCTGTCTCTGTGACTGCTAATCACTGTGATGATGCGGGGATATCACTCAGTATGCAGGAATCCACTTGATGTAAGTGTGATCTTCCTCGCCTATTAAGTGATAGTCGGTTGAGAGTTTCGAATCAAATGGACAGGAAGACCGATGTGTGGGTTCCAAGTGCAGTTGGCTGCAGGGTATATTGGACACTCTATTGTGGAATCCTACCATCCGTCACATCACACTAGACGGGGATTCCAATCCATAATTTTAATTGGCTGGATGGGACGGAAGCTTTCCAAAGTTAGAAACTGAAGTGTGATGGTGGTGATTTGTGCATCGTCGTGCATAGGGTGGGCGCTTAGACAGAAGAAGGTGGTAGGTCGTTCCCCTCCTCCCCAAGTGTATATAGCCGCCCTGTGTCCCCCAGGAGACTACGTTTTACATATTGTTTAAGATTTTCCTATTTTTCTATTTTCGCCTTTTCTATTTTCGTCTTTTCCGACTTGGCTGGCCCAAGTTCTTCAACTCCTTATCTACATCTACGTCAATAATTTGTTTCTCTCCTTGCCTACTCGGATATCTTTGTTGATCAAAATTTCCCTGAAATCCTCAAATAACATCAACTGGTTGTCTTGAACTTCTTCAACTATCGTGGATTCTTCGTCTGTCACAATGTACACTACCACTGCCCGTGTCGTCAAGCCAAAGCTGTCCTTGAGCATCTCTGCTGCGCAGAATGTTCCTCGGCCATCACTGTCGCTCAAGTCACCAAGTGCTCTTTCTCGCACGCCGGTCTCACCAATCTCCGCGGCAAGTCCGACCAGCAAGAGATTCTCCTCACCGCAAGTTCCAAGCTACGCATACACAAACTCTTGCTCATCGAAGAGCATCCTCAAGAAGCAGTCATCCTCACGCGCTGGCTCTGTTGACAAGCGTATACAATTCAAAGGGACGCCGACTGTCCACTGCGTGACGCCTATTGAGAATCCAGACGAGTATTACGGCAAGCACATGAAGATGTCACGAGAAGAGCGGCGGTGGACGGTCCGACAGTGAGATCAATTTCGAGATCTGTATCACTAATGACCGTCCACAGCTGGGGTAATGAGGACCGACCAGGTGCTTCTGAATGACTCGGGGTATGCATCTTGCTTTTGCAATGATACTACGCCCTGCACCCTGGGTCTATTGTTGATCACCTCAATCCACATAGCAACTCGCGCGCCCGACAATCGACATCCTCAAACTGCAAGATGGACTCCTATAAATGACAGAATGGCGCATTAAAGTGTTCATCCAGCTTGTCTCAAGATGATTCTCTGGATGATTATGCTGCCTCTCGCTCTTTTCGCTGGCCCAGAGCTTGACAGTGACATACTCATCTGGGCTGACTCGTCCTTGGATACACACCGCACATCCTGTTTTTGAAGGGAAAACGATGTATCAGTGTTTTTGGAGTAACAATATATTTATGACGTTATGATAGGACCTGGATTGATGATTTTGATTTTTGAGCATAAAAGTTTTAACCTAGTCGTTCGTTACTGCAATATAACGGTGTCCTCGGCCCCATGCCGACATTATCAATCTCAATATTACGTAGACTCAAGACCCGTAGTATGTACATAGTCTTTGCGACAGCACGGAGTATGTACTCCGTACTCCGTAGATCAGTATAGATTGCTGTTTTGGTACCTGTTTTAGGGCTCCATTTGAGGGCTTCTCCGGCCCGTGCGCGTCCGATCTTTTTTTCGCCCCTGTTGCCGGTCATATGTCAAGCATCTAGCCAATGTTATTCTCAGTTGCTTCTGCTGCGGCTTTTCGCAGATCGGCACTAAATACGAGGAGATGTTTGACTTCCCGCCGTGGTTTGCTCACGTTGGCAATTGAAACGTCATGGTAAGCGGTGATGAACGCCCGGAAAAACCAAGCCACCCGACTAATTTGTTTCCAACAGTGACGATACGTCAGTAGCCATCGTCGAGAAAACAAAGAAAGACTCCGGAAGCGCAGCCAAGATCCATTTCCTTGAAAATGTAACGGCCGACACGCGCGCGCATCGGGGAATTCACCCTATCATCGCCCTCGAATCTCACCAAGACAACCTCGCAACCCTTGTACAGAAAGCCCTTAATTACCTACCAGAGTCAAAAACAAGCGATGGACTCAAACTGGCAGATGGAACTCGTCGCCGGCTCCCCGATTTCATATCCGCCACAAGAGGTCCCGGAATGCGGTCCAACCTGTCCGTTGGCCTCGACACTGGAAAAGCGCTGTCGGTTGCATGGCAAATCCCTATGGTCGGAGTGCACCACATGCAGGCACATCTTTTGACGCCGGGACTCGTAACGTGTCTGGAAAATGAATCCAAGGCCGGCCCACCCGCAATGGGGCCCGAGTTCCCTTTCCTGTCTATTCTTGTCTCTGGCGGCCATACGACTCTAGTTCAATCTAAAGGCCTCACAGACCACAAGATCCTCGCTACAAGCGAAGATATAGCTATTGGAGAGGCGCTCGATAAATCCGCACGAGATATCCTACCTGATTCTTTGCTCCAGGAAGCTAAAAGCACAATGTACGGCAAGAATCTGGAGCAATTCGTCTTCCCTAATGGCAAGGCCGATTTCGCGGACTACTCGGCGCCAGATACTCGAGGTCAAGAAATAACCAAGCGCGTGAGCGATTGGGGCTGGTCTCTTACGACTCCATTCGCGAATACGCGCATGATGCAGTTCAGCTTTTCTTCGATTTCCAGCATGGTCGGGAAGATTGTTCAAAGAGGCGGTACGAATATTAAGATGTCGCATGCAGAGCGTGTTGATCTAGGCCGGGAAGCCATGCGCGTCTGTTTTGAGCACCTTGCTTCACGCACCGTTATCGCTCTGGAGACTCTGCGGCCGCACAATACTGGCAAAGATGAGATCAAAACCCTCGTTGTCAGTGGTGGTGTTGCCGCCAACCAGTTCCTCATGAAAGTGCTCACTTCATTTTTGGAAGTGCGCGGCTTTGGCAATATAAACATTGTTGCTCCGCCTCCGTATTTGTGTACCGACAATGCGGCCATGATTGGATGGGCGGGCATTGAGATGTTCGAAGCTGGCTTCCGATCTGACCTCAGCTGTCGTCCTCTGCGGAAATGGACCCTCGATCCGCAGGCTGATGATGGAGGTATCCTTGGCCCAGGAGGCTGGATCCGAGAGTGATGATTGCAGTTGGATGGCTACGTGCTTGTATATTAACATACCCTCTCTGTATAATAGCCCGTGTATGATAATGTAGTTTTATTCCCATAATTCCTTGATACAGCGCGTAATGAATAAATTTTTCTTAAAAAAGGAGTCATAGTGCATTATGGACATGTGAGACCCAGAATCATCAGAGACGCCGATGCCATGTAGCCTCCAAGTCCATTCATCACCCATGCATCCTCCACAGTAGGGTATCGAAGATGCGCCGTTGCAACCCATGAAAACGAACCAAACTCGCGACCGGCCGACTGTGCAATGCAAGTATTTTGAGATAATGAAGTCGTAATCGTCATGATCAGCCGCCGACAGGGGGACCGCTTCGCTGCAGCGAAGCAATCTGTTTTCGAAGCTCTAGGAAGAAGTCTTTCCCGTTCGCCATGTTTTGCGCTGTAGATATGGTTATTGCTTGTTCAATGTATGCTGCGATCGAAAGGAAACTGTACCCTTGGGACCCCAGGCAGTAGATCGTTGGGTAGGGCCGTCTTTGAAATGAGATTTGTAGGGTGTCGACATCTTGGTTTCTGGATCGATGGCGCATAAGTTAGGCTTTGGTAGATACGGAGGTAGATACAAGACGTACCATACTGTCCTGCTGTATCTCAAAAGCTTGGTTAGACCTTGTACTTGCAGATTGGGTGCATATACATACCCTTCAAAACGTTCTTAACCTCTGCGGTGTTGAAGCCTCGTACAGGGACATGCTGTTCCCGCGGAGGGTTGGATGCGCCCCAAGCAGCATTGTTATCGCCTGCGCCTCCCTGTCCTCCTGTTTTATCACGGTTGTTCGAGTTGCGCTGCGACGCCTGGCGACTGGGTCCACCCCGCCACCTTGGGAAGGCAGTAACAGTTAGCGAAGCTGAAACGCGAGGTGTCTGGGGGCGGATAACGCGTACCTGTTGTCGCTGGAGCCGCTCATGTTGTAAATTTATTTAAGAATGAAAAATGAAAGCTTGATCGAAGGAATAAAGTCGTAAATAGCTCACAAAGGACAGCTGTGGATGTCATGTCATTGTGTCAAGCTGCGGAGGTGCTTAAAGTCCATATTTGTGCCTCAGGCCAACAGGCCCAGACAGCTCGGGTGTCTCCGCCTTGACCAGATAACCAAACACATCATCGCGCCTTACAGCTTCCACGGGCTCTGGCGTCCTTTGCGTCTATTCTGCCCATTCGTTTCTAGTTTGCTGTCGCATGACTTCAGACTTGCGGCTTTGATTTTTACCGAGGCCCTGCCTGAGTTGGCCTCTGAACGCGACCTGACGCCGTCCGATTAACAATCGCCATCCCAAACGAGCAACATACACACACCCGAAACCTCGTTCTTAAATTATGGCACCGTCGGTCAGACATTCAATCTCTGGTCGTCCATCACGCAGTAAACCTAGGTCCTCCCTCAAATCACCCAACAGCGGCTCCTTCGATTCCCCTGACGGCCCTCCTTCGAAGAAGCGAAAGTACGTTCCAGGTGGTCCTGGAGGAGGAGGAAGATTTGTCGACTTCGACGCTGCAGCTGCAGCCGCCGCCGCCGCCCAAGAAAGTCCCAAGAAAGCTACTCCTCGACGCCACTCCGCAGGTGCTCGAGGCCGTCCACCGCGTGAGATGGAGCAACCATTCTCAGCCCCTCCACCGCCACCTCCCATCGTACCAACAACACCACCCTCTATGTCGCGTCCAAGGCGCGACAAGAACCAAACCCGCGGTCGGTTTACCTCTTCTACGGCCGCCGCTCTGGCTCTTCAACAAGGCGACGGGTACAAGCCACGCGAAGAACGCGGGTGGGAAGAGTTCCATCCCGACTTGGACATTGATGGCAAAATTGCCGTCTTCACGTCTGAAGAGGTCGATGCCCCGGATACCTCTGCTCCTATCCTGAGTCTGGAGTCACTGGCTGGTGCGACAGTCTCCGATCTGTCAGGATCACCGGTTATCATATCAGGCGAAATGGCTTCCCCAATCCCAATCAAACGTAGGCCTGGCCGTCCACCTCGTCGCCCCGAGGCCATCCTTAACGCCCTTCTCGCCCAGCAAGGGCAAAAGATCATACCGCCCCCGGGCCCCAACCCCCGGGAGAAATTAACACTGCCCAAGCCGTCGTTCCGACTGCGTGACCCTTTTACATTCTATGAGAAGAAGGGTGTCGGTCATCAAAACTATGTCGATCGAACCATGGCAAATGTTGGATACCAGGAGAGCGATCTCTTCCTCCGCCATGACCGGCGATTTATTCGAATGACTGAAGGCACCCAAGAAGATGACCTCGATGTGATTCAACCTGCCATGACGGATGGAGATATTAACACCACCATTGGACGTGTCGAGTATGACATGGATGAGCAGGATGAAAAATGGTTGGAAGAATACAATGCTAAGCGCCGTGAAGATCAGCTCGAACCCATTAAGCCCGCTGTGTTTGAGATCACCATGACCAAAATTGAGAGGGAATGGCATGCCCTTGAGAAGCGTATTCCCAAGCCGAATCCCAAACCCCCACAGACCGGACGTCTTCGTTCTAGCTCTGCAGCTGCGGTCAATGGGGAGACTGCTGGCCCGGGCGAAGAACAAGATAGCAAGTGTGCTATCTGTGATGATGGCGATTGTGAAAACTCGAATGCAATTGTTTTCTGCGATGGCTGCGATCTTGCAGTGCATCAAGAGTGTTATGGTGTTCCTTTCATTCCAGAAGGTCAGTGGCTTTGCCGCAAGTGCCAATTGCTGGGGAGAGGGTCCACCAACTGTATTTTCTGCCCAAACACTGAGGGCGCATTTAAACAAACAACCTCATCCAAATGGGCTCACCTACTTTGCTCTTTCTGGATCCCTGAAGTTTCTATTGGTAATCCATCTCTTATGGAGCCGGTGACTGATGTCGAAAAGGTTCCACGCAGCCGGTGGAAGTTGAATTGCTACATCTGCAAACAGCGGATGGGTGCATCTATCCAATGCAGTAACAAAAACTGCTTTGTTGCCTTCCATGTCTCATGTGCACGCAGAGCTCAACTTTATTTAAAGATGAAGATTGGCCATGGTCTTATGGACTCCCACCTACTCAAGGCTTTCTGCGACAAGCACGTTCCCCCTGACTGGCGATTGGAGCATGGTACTGATGCTGCAACTGCCGATGCCATCGAGTATTACCGCAATGCCATGCAAGGTAGGCGCTGGGGAGACAGCCAAGCTGCAGCTCTCTCGATGGGGCCAGCGCACCCCAACGATGCAGGAGAAGAAGATCGCACCCTCACTCCTCGCCTCACCTTAACAGTAGGCGGCAATAAGCGGAAACGTGTTCCTAGAACAATTTGGAAGCTACCTTCTGGTGCGCCAGTTATCCCCCAGGTTGTGTTAAACTCAGTGATCGCTTCGCTTGGGCGATTTACGGTTCGCCAAAGGAAGCAATATGCTGAGGATGCATCCAAGTACTGGACATTGAAGCGAGAGGCGAGACGTGGAGCAGCATTGCTCAAGCGACTCCAGTTGCAGTTGGAGACCTTCTCATCCATGGAAATGACACGAAGAGACTACGTGGCAATGGGCGTTCCGGGACACAAACGTCTGGAGCGTCGCATTGAGTTTGGTGAGCGACTTTACAAGGATCTTGATCGGTTGAGGATGCTATGCGACGAAGTCAAGAAACGAGAGAGGGAGAAGTTGAAGGATGCAGAGATGCTCCGTAACATCGTCGATCTTGTTTACTTCCCTACGTTCCCACTGCTGTGGCCAATCCTTGAGAAAGCTCAACTGTAAGATATGCTCGTCCTATCTTGTCAATACTCATACTGACTTTATTCCAGGCTCGATGGAAAGGGTGTGTTTGCATCAGGCTTGATGTCAATTCGACAAAGGCTCAAAGAACGATTCTATCCGTCTGTTGCTGCCTTCTCTGCCGACTTGGCCAGTCTTTTCACCTCAGAAATTGGCGTGGAGCCCGCCGGCGATACCGCAGAACTCCAAGCGCAGATCAGTGGTCGCGCCCCAGAGCTTAGCCTGGAGCAACGCGAAAAGAGAAAGCTAGCAAAACGGATAATCAAAGTCATCCAGCCTTCCCTAGAGGATGCGATTAGGAAAGAGAGCGAGCTCAATCGCAAGCCATTTGAGAAGGAATTGAAGGAGCTGGATGTGATTCTTGACCACAGCGTGATGTCACGTAGTGGCGATTCTGTCGAACCGGAAGGTGATACTGAGCTGTCTGGTCACCCTGATGCCATGGAAGGGGTTGAAGAAACACTTCCTACGACGGAGGCTCCAACGGAAGCCCAGCCTGCAGATGAACAACTCCCAGAAGCACCTGGGGCAGAAGAGCTACCTCCTGCTGAAGATCCCGTGAAGAGCGTTCCCACCTACTATCGACATCCAACGCCTGTCTTGACCGAGCAGGATCAACAGCTACCGTTGGCTATGGGTGGCATTCAATGGTACATGCAGCCATTTGACCCGGTCGGTACAACTATTCACGAGGAACGGTGGACTGGGCGGGATGTCATGCGTGGAATGAGTGAAGAACTCAGTGAACTAGATGAGGATGAACTCGAAGGGTTGAAGGACTTGGTCGATGATGGAGACCTGAAGGGCCAGACCACCAGCACCCCGGCTGCTTCACAACAGAATACCCGTCGGACTCGACGTTTGCGAGGCTCACGATGATTACTCCTCTGGACATGATGCGTATGGGGTTCACGAATTTGATTTTAGCGCAGTCCAATTTCAGGAGTTAGTTTAGTTTTATAGTTTGTATGAGTATGTGTACTAGTTCTATAGCTAATAAAGCTGTAATATGGCGATCTCTTTGGATCTTGGCATAATAGCTGTTCGTCGAGGCTAACCCCCTGCATAAGCTCGCATTTTCAAAAAAAAAAAAAAAAGAAAAGAAAAGAATGAAATCTCTGAATTTTCTTCTCAAAACCCCCTCAAATTCGTCCGATTCACTGAGAATCCACGCAGTTTTGCACCGCTGCCTGATTCCTCGGGTGTGTAGTTCCCGGTGCTTAGCGTCCGCTCTTATCAGCTTTCCCAACTTCTCTTTCTTCCTTCTTCCAACCTACACCTTCGGTCCTTTTATCATGGCGGACTACGACAACGATTCCAGCCGTTACGCGGGTATGTCCTTTATAATTATTTCGGCGCGCTCGAAAATATTTACCCTTTTACGATAGACGAGCCCCGATATGATCGCGAGCGCAGCGCCTCTCCTCGCGATGAGCCTCGAGCCGACCGCGACCGTGCTCGCAGCCGCTCCCCCCAATGGCCGCTCTGACGACAGGTATGTATTTGTCTGATCTGGTATATCGATTCCAAAATTAATCAACTCACAGAGCCCCTCTGGCTCGCAAGCCTATCGAGGAAGAGGATGAAGGTGCCGTCAATACTGGCTCTAACCTCTTCGTTACTGGTATTCACCCGCGCCTGACGGAGTCTGATATTTCGCGTCTGTTTGAAAAGTATGGCGATGTCGAGAACTGCTCTATCATGCTTGACCCCCACACCAAGGAGTCCCGTGGATTCGGTTTCGTGAACATGGTCACCGCCGAGCAGGCTGATGCCGCCAAGGAGGGTCTCCAGGGTGAGGTCATCGAAGGTCGCACCCTCAGCATCGAGAAGGCTCGTCGTGCCCGCCCTCGTACCCCTACCCCCGGAAAGTACTTCGGTCCTCCCAAGCGTGGTAAGCTACATCATCCCTTCCTTTTGCGCCTTCGCATCGGCTTACGTTTCCCTTCTTCAGATGGTCCTGGTGGTCCCCCTGGTGGTGGTCGTGGAGGTCCCCGCCGTGAGCGTTATGATGATCGCCGTGGCCCCTCCGGTGGCGGCTGGCGTCGTCGCGACGATGACTACTCCCGCTATGGTCGCTACGACTCTTACAATGATCGCCGTGATTATGGCCGCGACTACGGTCGCGACTATGGCCGTCGTGATTACGGTGGCGGTGGCGGTGGCCGTGACTATGGTGGCCGCCGTGAATCGCGCGACGACTATGGATACCGTGGTGGTGGTGACCGCTACGGCGGTGGCCGTGATGACCGTTACAGCCGTGATGACCGTCGTGGAGGTGATGATTCTCGCGGCGGCGGCGGTTACTACGATCGTGACGCCAACCCTCCCAGCTTCGATGCTGCCGGCCCTCCCCGTGAGGCCCGCGACCCCTACGTTGGTGGTGGACGTTCCTATGAAGGCCAGGCACGCAGCAGCGCTGGTGGTGCTCCTGGCGGCGAGGATCGGTACGCTGGCAGGTAAAGTGTCTCCCCTTTTCTTCTAACCAGAACAGAGACTGGCCTTTGGTGTCTCCTGGTTCCTGGTTCCCATGTTTCACCAACTTGCCCACTTCCTCCCCTTTTTTTTTGTTTCTTGGGACTTTTTTTTTTAATGCGGGATTTGGGCGACGGGCCACGGGGCGTCGCTGTCTTTGTTTGTCAATTTCTCTCGGCTCGACGATTTTGCAAAAAAGAAAAACGGAGCGCCACGACTCGGCAACTTCATCGCTGCACACTTCGGTCGCTTGATGATGTGTCTCATTTATGTCTGTTCGCGACGCAACTTCGGGAAAGAAAAAAAAACTTCTAGCGGCAAAGGGACAGAAAAATTATCGCTGTAATTCGGTTATCTCAGGGTCAGCAAATTCGTCACAGCTACAGCTACAACTTCACCTCTACACCATCTCCAGTAACGGCTCGATTGTATTCGACTTCTCTAAACAACTGAATGATCAACCATTCGCCCCATCCAAAGCCGTCGACTTTGCGCTTGTAGTCTCAACCTTTAAAGCTCCAGGCATTAATCGATTTGGAATATTGATGCCGTTAAAGGTGAGATGTTGTTCACAAGCTAACCTATCTAGGTTCTTTTCGGAATTCTTTGTTCTTCCCCGAATACTTGGTCGGGGAGAACAAGATTGTACTTAACCTATTTAGGGATCTCTATGAAGCTTCCAAACTTGAATATATATATATCTCGGCTTCGATACTTGGATGGTTTAATGCACCTTCGACAAGACCTTAGCTCGGTCTGGGACTTCAGCGTGAGATGCATACTACTTCGAAGACGGTACCCAAGGTTCCTTCCTGAGCAGCTACTTATCCAAGACTTTCTTTGTCTTTAATTCCAGGGCCGTGTGGATTCGTGGATTCGTGGATTCTCTTTGATCGATGAGACTTGGGTCTTTGAAGACTAATATATTTCTCCAACCACTAGGGCATTTCTGTGGCCTACCTCCCATAAGTTCACCCTGGTGGTTACATATCCTTTGACAAGTGTAATCGCTATATCCATGGATAGCCTCTGTCCTTGACGATGAGACTTGAATAATATGACTTATTTGGGATAGTACTAATGATGTTCTATTTAGAACCACACTACAATACCTTAGATATCTTTCTAGATGTTCTTTTCCCTTTTCAGTGTTAAAGCTGGAAGGACAACCAGATGCAGAATACATGCGCTGAGAAGCTGAATTTCTACAAAATGTCTTCTTGTATATGTTAGTTAGGATAGTTTCATGCTCGATGCGTATACGCAAGGAATCACCACCTCGCTTTCTCTGACATTATCTCTTTCTTTTCTGCCATCTTTCAGACCCTACTAGCAAGACAGATATGGACATTGACTGGGGGTATCAAATGGTGAACGTCTTATTGTACACCAAAGTCCATTCATAAGCTTTTAAAACCAAAGCAATCAATTCCATCACAAAAAGAAAATAAAATAAACCAAAAGAAAAAGAAAAAGAACCCCAGAACAGCCGATCAAGCACCGTCTAACGCCCAAGAAATCCCATCCTCTTTTTACTCCGACTCTTTCTTAGTCTCACCCTCCACTTCATTACTCTTCTGAAGCAAGAACTCGCCGAGTACACGGAGAGGATCAGCAGGCCTAGCACAAGCGAAAGAAAAGATATCAGTAAACCCATTCAGCACGCTAGTCCAGAAACCCCAGCTACTCCACTCACTGTTCGCGCGCAACAGACTTCATCCCGTCAAGCAGATACGGCACGACCTTCTCATTGAGATAGACGCGCGCAGGTGCACCACCGGGACGAATCTGGCCTGCAGGGATATTGCCCAAGTCGCCAAGCGGCGTGTTGGAGCCGCCATTTGCTTCGCCCATTGTGGATGTGGGTTTTGGTTGGGGCGCCGGGGTGTGTGTAGGAGCCGAGGAGGCGGGAGGATCTGAGATTGCGAGAGTGGGAGGCTGCACAGGTTAATTGAGAACCTGGGATGTGTATCTTGGAAGAAGTGGGAGTCGCAGCAGTGGAATCGGCGAATGTTCGCGGAGCGGAAGCTGTGGAGCTCGGTGTCGATCCGTGAGGGAGGGAGAGCTGGAGCTTACTGGTAGGGCCATTTTTATATCTAGAGATTGGACTTAGAAGCTTTGCGGTTGATATTCAGATGGCATTTCTGTCTTTCTTTCTTTCTTTCTTTCGGATTGTCTTTGCTCAGTTCGTTATTTGTTTGGCTGTGCCTCTTTGTCTATGTCATATGCAAACAGGCCAAACAGCCTAATAGAGTTATATCGAGCACGTGATCTCGTGTTTGAAACCTGTTCGCGAGACACGTCGTTCGTGTCTGCTTATACTCGGAGACTCGAGTTGCTGGGACTGATTGCGTCCATGGACACGGAGTATTATGTCCTTGCTGAACTTTTGGGAGACGCAGCGTCCCGCGAAACGTCGGCGGACTTTTGAAAATGAGGATTCTAGTACAGGCGCCGAGATTAGACCACCGCCGAGTCCGAGTCCTTCGGTCACGGCAGAGGAGACTCCCCCAGCGGACGATTTAGGGATTGTTACCAGCAGTCAAACGGAACTCGAGACTTCCCTTCCTGCGATCAAGACCGACGAGGACGCAATTGAGGAGTACGAGGCATTACAGAACGACACTAAATCGGGATTGCATGTGAGGCTACGAGATGGTGCCTGGCAAAAAGGCAAAAGCTCCATATATGTGGATGCATTCAATCTGGCACTGGAAACTGTGCTGGGCGAGGAATCGCATCTCTTTAACGAGGCCGAAATGGAAATTTTTGCACAGTGGCAGGGGCTGTCCTACGAATCCCAGTATCTGTATGTCTTCCTGTAGAACTTGATGAGCTATGGTTGAGATTAATGTTTGAGTTAGGTACGTTCGGCTGTTTCTCCGCAAGACCTCTGCCTGGCACCGTATCAATCGGTTGAACTATTACTCCGATATCTCGGATCTATTCTCTGTTGCTGAGGACCTACAGCGGGACCGGAGCCTGCCTGATTCAGAACTTGGAAATACATTCAGATTTGCAGAAGGCATAGAAGCGATCACAACGCTGGAAGAGGCTTCATCACTTTTATTGCTGGAAGAACTCAAGGTCTTTGCAAAGGAGGCCAAGGTCCAGGGCAAGAGCAAGAAAGAGCTGCTGGCGGCTCTTCATGAAGCGAGCCAGACCCAAACAGGACTCAAAGACTCAAACAACAGAGACGGTCATTTCACCCAGAAGATACTGGACTACACGGGTGCGTGCATCAGAATCTCGCCAGTGCCTCGTGCTCTCTTCGAGCGAGTGCACCTGGTATTCTATCGTTCCACTGAGTGGACCGAAAAGTCCCTCACAACGATTATCTTAGCCAAAATGACCAAAAGAAACTTCCCGGAGTATATCGTCTGCCGCTCGAATTCCATCTTCTCGTCCAGAGAAGCGCTACTGGAATTCGAATCAGCGATACAAATCCAATTCGCAATCGACAACATGCTTGAATTCAACGGTCCAGTCACGACCGACTCCCTCCAACAGATCATCGACCTTGCCAACAAGTACTACCCCCGATGGAAAGAGCTAGTCGAGCAAGAGCAAAAGAAAGAAGACAGCATCTACGAAAGCGGCGAAGGCGCATATCTACGCCGGTTCTCGCCGGCATGGGTGCTCACAAGAATAATCCACAAGAGCCTCCACCCGCTCGGACGGTTCAAGGAGCATAAACGCGAGCACGAGGTGCTAGAGGAACTTCTCGCCCAACGACTTTTCCACGCTGCGCGGCGCGGTGCATGGTATCAGCGCAAGGCACTGCTGGAAGAACACTACATGTGGGCGCTTACGCCTGCAGATGGGCGCAGCGAAGAGGCTCAGCGCAAGCATTGGAAGAGACTTGCGCTGCGGACATGCGAGGCTGGACTGGAAGACCCGCTGTGTCATCTGATCTTTCATTATGACTTGCAGAAGCGGATCACGAAGCTGGAAAAGGCGCTGCGGGTGGTGAAGCGCGAGCAGCATGATTTCGGACATGTCATGCTAGGGAAGCCGGCTGAGCGGACGATTGAGGGTATACGTATTGATACGGGTGATTCCCCGCGGAAGGGGAAAGCGACGGTTTGGGTTGATGAGAGGGAGGGCGGCGAGTGCAGGGTTGAGAGTATGTGCCTGAGCTGGTACCGAGATCACGGATGGAAGGGGTATCACTCCGAGGGGGGAATTGTGCGGACGCTGGTGAGTCTTATCCCATGCAAAGCAGCATTCGAATATCCGGAAGATCGAACTGACTCTGGTCTTCAATACAGTTCGGCTACCTCTTCTACGATATCCTGTTCACGTACGTACCTAATGTATTCCAAACTGCGTTCCAGACGTGTCCGCTCGATCTCCACACCGATGTCTTCTACCCGTCTCGTGCATCGGAGATCAATCACCGGCTTGTTGAGATCACGAATGGGGATGCGGAGCGGATCATCCGTGAGATCCATGCTCGTGAGGCGGAGGCGCAGCCCTGCGCTGTTGGGCTTGACTGGACTTTCGATCTAGATGACTTGGTTGAGATCGTGCAGTGTTTCCGGGGAGAAGCACTTGCTACCATCTGTAAGGTTATGGCGCAGGAGTATCAGCAGCGCGGTGGTGGAATTCCGGACTTGTTCCTCTGGAATCATGAGAAGAGGACAGTGATGTTCGCCGAGGTTAAGTCGGAGAATGATCGATTGAGTGATACCCAGCGTCTTTGGATCCATGTCTTATTGGGGGCTGGGGTTCAGGTTGAGCTTTGCAATGCTGTGGCGAGGGAGGTTAGAGCTGAGTGTGATATGTAACGCCTATACATCTATTTTCCATGGATATATGCCCGCTTAAAGTGGTGCAACATAGCCTTATCTGCTAGCGCTCCAACTGATCACATCGGTCAAATAGTGTGAAGGATCGTGACGAAATCCAGTATACTACTTGAGTACCCACTCTATATTGGCAGGCTAGTGATCATTTATGCTATAATTTACCATTTACGGCCCCTACCAGCCAAACCTACAACTACAAAAGATCTAGAGCATTCATGAACAGGGTATCAAATAATCGTAATCTTTTTTGTTGTACCTAGCAGAAGATAAACCCTCCAGATACGACGATCACGACGATCCGATGGGTTCCCTCCGTCAACCACTCATCCTCCCAAAATGCGCTTATGCGACAAGGGTGGAGGCAGTGGCGCTCTCGTAGCGCCAGGTGGGGGGCAGGACACCGACGGTCTTGTAGTAACGGGACAGACGGTGGATGCGGGACTCGATCAGAATGAGGCGGAACTTGGAGTCCTTGTCCTTGCGGTTACGCTCAAGGTGCTTGCGGACAGCGACGGCCTTGATGATGAAAGGTTAGCATAATCTACACGGATGGAGACAAGGGGGAAAATAGGGAGGGAAAAAAAGGGTTTACCTTCTTGATCAGGAAGTAGAGGTCCTCGGGGAGTTCGGGAGCGAGGCCTGTATTCCAAAATCTCTCTGTCAGTCTAGATATTCTTGACCAAGCAGAGGCTTAATTGCTGGTGCATTTCTGCGACCAGTGTCGGGGAGAGAGACGAGCATTTTGCGCTTCGAAACCAGCGGGTTCTTTTACCGAACCAGAAAAGTTTTGTCCACACAAATTGTTCGCTCTCTTCACCCGACGGATGTGATTATGCTGGCGAAGGGAGTCGTACCGTTGGACTTCAAGATACGGAGGATCTTGTTACCTGCGCAAAAATGTTAGAAAATTTCGATACTCCAATTCCTGGGATTGCGCTTCTTCGGATTTCCATACCAGTGACAATCTTGACCTGGGCAACACCGTGGGAGTCACGGAGGACAACACCGATCTGGGAAGGGGTGGCACCCTTCTTGGCCAGCTTGCAGATGTGGTCGACAACCTGGTCGGGGGTGGTCTTGAGCCACGCGGGGGTGGTGCGGGAGTAGGGGATGGCGGAGGCGGCAATACCCTTGCCCTTGCTGTGAAGACGACCCATTTTGGATTGGTGATGTGTCCGGCGGAGGAAATCTGGTCGGTTGTCGGCGTGGATGAAAGATCGAAAATCGAGAAGTGAGAGGGTGTGAGTGTGGACGGGAAAGATGGGGCCTGTGTGGGGTCACGTGATGGGCTTCGCTTATTTCTTTTCTTCGACAAAACTTCACTTCGTTTCTCTTCGGCTTTTGTTCCAACTTCAACAACCAACAATCTCAATTTCGCACTTGAGTTGACTGGAATTAGTGTTTTCTGATTCAACCCGAGTGCAAATTGTAGTATATACACTCGACACGCCTTTCATCCTCTCGCCACTGTCAATATCAGGTCAGTTCCAGCTTTTTTTTTTTCAATCCCCAAACTTCCGACCTGATGATACAACGCATTCGTTATTACTTTATTTTCTGGTACCTCTTATGTCAGAGCTAGTGTTTTCGGATGCTAGCTCGATGATCTATCTGGACTTCTGATCGACTTGTTTCAACTTCAAGACTTGTGCTATAAGTTGCTCGACCGTTATACTAACTACGGTTATAGGCACTGATGGTTGATATATCTAAGATTATTGAATACAAATACACATGTTTATCGCACTAGACTCACGTCTATATTGTACATGCGTGCTTTCGGCACATGATTCCATTGCTTTGCAATGCCCAGTATTAGATGTACAGACATTTTTTGGTAAAAGTAGTAGTCCAAATACTCATTTGTAGTCTCAGCGCTTTAGTCGCTTGGACATTCTTCGTGTCTCTGTTGTTTGAGCGGTAGAAACAATGGTCTCAGCCTCCTTTCGCTTCTTACCACTGGGCTTCTTGGCATCATCTATGTCCTCAACTTTGACTTTAACATCGACGTCTTCTTCCTTAGGAACTTTCAAAGAGACGGCAGTTATCACTTCCGTCTCGACCTTGATATCAGACTCTTCGTCTTTCACCTTCACATCAACCTTCTTGGTTGCAGCAAGTTTGTCTGCAAAGGTCCGCAGGTCTGCAGTGAAAAGCACACTATGGGCCCATCCAGCTTCCTTACCCCAAAGCTTGCGGAAATGATTGGCAACAGCATCATAAGTTGTCTTGTTCAGGTTCTTATTGGAGCTCTTTCCAAATCGGTAGTCTCGCTGTGCGATTTGCCAAACTGCCATAAAGGATTAGAAACAGTTCAGACCTATTATCAAGACAACTCACCATGAGTATCAACCGGCACAGACTCTCCCCAGCCTAATCCCATTAAACTGACACAGTCTGACACTTTGGGCCCAACTCCCTGTAGCTCAAGGAGCTTTTCATGGGCTTCACGATATCCCTCTCGCCCTTCCGGTTTCATTTCACCGCTGGGTTTAGGGTCCACGCCAAATGCTGGACACTCAGGGTTGCTTAAACTGTCCAGCCAGCCTTCATCTCGACTGGATACCATAACCGCAGTTTGGTATATGTATTTCGCCCGGTATCCGAAGCCTAACTTGCGGAGATTGCTTTCGACGTCGTTGCCAGTTAATGCACCTGGGGGAGGAAAGTCATGGTATGCACGCCCTTCAATCGTGGCCACAGATTTTCCATAATGTATGCACAATTTCTCCACCATTTGTGAGATCCGTGCAATATTATTGTTGCTGCTGCAGATAAATGATACCAATGCTTCCCACGCATCTTGTCGAAGGATCCTGATCCCTGTGAATTGCGCAGCCTTTTTCTTGAAGTTGGGGTCTTGTGATGACCATTGGGAGTATAGTTCGGTCAAATTAGGTGTCAGGTTGAAGTAATGCTCGATAATGCGGACGAGATGGTCGTTGTCAGAGGATGTTGGTGTGGGCGTATGGGAAGGAGGTTGCACAGATCTATAGTACAAGAAATCTGAGTCTTGCTTCAGCGATAGGAGGTGGCCATATAGGACACATCGCCATTCCTGAGTTTCTGGGAAGTTCTGCCATCTAAGAAGGGTCAGTCGTTTGATCTGCGATCCTCGGCGCCGAGAACTTGGCTGACAAACCTAAAAGACTGGCCACATCTGAGGGTAGTATTGATGCAAAGCTCACTCAAGCTCAAGGGAAGCTTCTGCCATCCGGAAAAAGCACCGACAGACATCTTTAGAACTATAAAAAGAAGTGATTCGGGACCGCCGAGACGTTGTCCTTATGTTTGTTCTTTTCTGCCAGTATCATAATCGACACTCGGGCGGTGAGGGTATCACCGCCTGCAGCTCCGGGTCATGAGTTTTCCCCTTCACTAGTGACAGAGCTTCATTTCCTCAACCAACTTCAACATGAACGGTGATACCTACTCATCCAGGGGTAAGTTATCCTTACAATTACTTCAGATATAGCTACTAACATCTCTCAGACACTGGACGTTCCCGCGATTACTACGTAAGTACCAGCCAATCTTTGGTCGCAACCGCGGCGATTAACCCCAATTCTAGCGCGAGGAGCGGCGTGAGCGAGACCGGCCCGACCGAACTGCCGACCGAGGTGCTGAACGTGGTTCCGAGCGAGGAAGCGAGCGTGGAGCTGAACGGGGCGATCGGAGTGATCGCGGTGAACGACGCCGATCGCGTTCGCCTCACCATGGATCCCGAGCTGACTCCCGTCGGGAGCGTGAAGTGAACTCATACTCAACCAGCCGTGACTACCGTGCCCGTGAGCGCGAGGACCGCTATCGTCGCGATGATCGTGATTGGGACCGCGGCGACCGTGCCGAGCGTGGGGGTGGTGACCGGGGCGACCGTCGCCGCCGTGACTTTGACGATAGACCCCGTCGCGACCTGTTTGACGATCGACGCGGCGGACGTGGTGATCGTGGAGATCGTGGAGACCGTGGAGACCGTGAGAGAAGAGAGCGCAAGCGAAGCGCCACGCCCCCGCGGCGCAAGGAGCCTACTCCGGATTTGACAGATGTGCCATCGGTGTTGACTCGCAAACGTCGTTTGACTCAATGGGATATGAAGCCGCCTGGTTATGAGAATGTTACAGCTGAACAGGCAAAGATCTCAGGTATGTATTTGGATCTCCTGAACTAGTGGAATTGCCTAACATTATCAGGAATGTTCCCTCTCCCCGGAGCTCCTCGTCAGCAGCCAATGGACCCCAGCCGCATGAAGGACTTCCTGAACCCACCCACTGGCGATAGCGAGAACGCTGCCCTCAAGCCTTCCAACTCTCGTCAATCAAAGCGCCTTTTCGTTTACAACATCCCGCCCGGTGTCTCAGGCGATGCCGTTATTGCCTTCTTCAATCTTCAGTTGAATGGTCTCAATGTTATTCGCAGTGTCGACCCATGCATCTCAGCCCAAGTTTCTGAAGATAAAACATTCGCACTCCTGGAGTTCAAGGATCCAAATGACGCCACAGTCGCATTGGCTTTTGATGGAATTACCATGCCGGAGAGTGGAGACAAAGGACTTGAAGTGCGACGACCAAAGGACTACATTGTTCCCGACGGCAGCGCAGCCCAGCCAGTCCAGCCTGACGTTGTTCTGAATGAGGTGCCTGACTCACCCAACAAGATCTGCATCTCTAATATTCCCACCTACATCAATGAGGAGGCTATCATCATGTTGCTAAAGTCATTCGGCGACCTTAAGTCCTTTATTTTGGTCAAGGATGCTTCTACAGAGGAGTCTCGGGTAAGTCTAGGTATCTCCCTACCGTCCAATACTTTGCAAACTAACCTTTCCAGGGAATTGCCTTTTATGAATACGTCGACCCAAACAACACTGCTCTGGCCGTTGAAGGTTTGAACGGCATGGAACTGGCTGACCGCCGCCTCAAGTTTGTTCGTGCCAGTATTGGAACCACACAAGCCTCTGGCCTCGACATGGGCGTGAACGCCATGCAGATGTTCGCCAAGACCACCTCCCAGGATCTCGAGACCACCCAGGTCCTCCAGCTTCTCAACATGGTTACGCTTGACGAGCTCCTCAATGACGAAGATTACGAAGAAATCTTGGAGGACGTGGGCGAGGAGTGTTCGAAGTTCGGAAAGATGATCGGGATTAAGATCCCCCGCCGCGGACACGGCGCTGGCAAGATCTTCATTAAGTACGACAGCGCTGAGTCTGCCACTAACGCCCTCAAGGCGCTGGCGGGTCGTAAGTTCTCTGACCGTACAGTTGTTGCCTCATACTTCAGCGTTGAGAACTTCGACACGGAGGCCTGGTAAACCGGTGTTGATACTGTTGATTTCCCGTTCCTTATTTCCCTTGATGCAGGCGTGTTTTTTCTTTCTTTTTCTCGGGACCAGTCGCTTCTGGAGCAGGTAGGTCCCAAATGTGTACCATAACAAAAACATGTTCACATCATCAACGGTCAATTGTAATGCTCACTAAAGCTTTAGTTCCTCTTCCGTGCAGCTGTGGTTCCCAGAGGTTTGGGATAGGTGTTGGGTGAATGGATGACGGCAGAAGCTATCCTAGTTGATCTGTCATGGATTGTCTAGAGTACCTTCTCCAATCAACAACCATGGCGTTTGTGTCTATCTGTTTCTTGCAACGCACTGTAGGGATAAACCCAATGAATACACGATATCACACTACGCATAAAGACCAGTCCACTTCCGCGGGCATGCGTCTCCAACATGTAGATTAGAGCAGCCATAAGTTATGAACCTTCCAAGGTTAGGAGTGAAAGGCAGGCACGTAAAAATGTGTAATATACACGATAGGAAAAAAAAGAAGCGAAAAAAGAAGGATGACTCCGGGCAGAGATCGATTCTCCCTGCCCGTCTTTTAGGAACCCCAAGGATAGAGGGAGTCTGAACTCCCTTAAGATAGGTGGTATTTGAGTTCATTTGGATAGAGGGGATCCGCAATCCCCTCCCTTTTTTGGTTCATGCGCGGCGCGGTTTGAACCGTAGACCTTAGAGGGAATCCGCACTCCAGATGAGCGAGATATCGCTCAAGCGTTTACCGCTTAGCCATACCTGCTGCGATGGATGTATGGTGGTGACGTCATATATTTAACCCCACGTGACTTCCATAACCCTCTAGCATACCACCACGATGACTACCTACATATGTACCTAGGTATATTGTACCTCGATTCTCTACCATGGTAGCTGTTTATCTTGGTATTTTAGATAAGTGAGAGCATACCTAGGTATGTCTAGTACATAATGTATTTGTCTCAATGGTGGATTTTCTCTGGTTTTGATACCCAGTGTGTACATGTATGCATATTCAATTCGGTTTGTGATGCTATTCCTCTTCTGACCTCAGGAGAACAATCTGCGCGAAGGAGGAAATAGGACCATTTGAACCTCATAGGCTAGGTTGTATGATGTTTGTGGGCAGAACAGCATTAGCTAATAACCATGTTAGAAGTCGACATCAAGGAGTCATAGTAGACTTATGCATGTATATACATACCATGCATGTTTGCCTCCGGTCTCGTTTCCATACATATGCATGTACCCTCTTCTCTTGTTATTCCTATGTATTCCTCTTCTAACAATCTAGGGTTCCGGACGGGGTTTGTATCGGTAAATGCCAACGACCTCAGGTTCTTCGGTGTATATAGCATACTCTGATGTGCATAACCCGTCGTCTGCTATATATAATGTAGACTCCCTATATTCCCCTTGCCCTCTCTCATTTACCAGTTATCCTGATGCTACAGCTGTTGATCCATACGAGTAAACACTAGTTATGTACGTAAGTAACAGAAAGTACTCGATACGCAAACTCGGGTGCAGGTGATGTCCCTTACATGCAAGCTACCGTATACATCCGACAACCATGTCTACCGTTTACTCGAACTGCACAATCTAAAGCTGAAGCGCTGAATTGACTAACACACGGACAGGCGGCGAACAACCAAATGTCCCAAACACTAAGAAAATAACGAAATGAGCGGGTAATAGGGCACACAGAAAAGTGGCAAGACAAGATATGGCGTAGCAAAAAGTACATCACAAGAAGTGAAAGGTCCCAGGCTGACCCTCGCAGGATCGTATTATCAATCAATCGGTAAGAAAAGAAAACCCCATTCTTTTTTCAGTGCGCGGGCCCATCCAGTGAGAAAGCAGTTGCGTTATGGGGACGGTAAGGGAGTGTGATGGATGACAAGTGTAAGGAAAAAAAAGGGAACGAGAGTGGGATCGGTTAGTTGCCAGAAGTAAAGGCAAAAAAAAAAGCAATGGCAGAGACATGGACATTAACGAAGCGAGAAGCCCTTTCGCTTGCCCTTCTCTTCGACGGGGCGTCCGGTCTCGAGGCGACCCTTCTTCTCCTCGAGTTCTCCGCGCTGGCGATCTAGCTGATCCTTCATCTCGCGATGTCGGGCATAGAGTTCGTCTTCGCTCTGTTTGAGCTTGCTTTCTTTTTCAGCGACCTTCTGCTGGAAGACCATCTTCATTTCGGCTTCCATCTTGGCCAGCTTCTGCTCGTGCAGGGCGCGCTCCTCCTCCTGCTTGACGGCAGGGTTGACCTCCTTGAAGACGCTGGGGTCCTGGGCGACACCCATCAGGGTGAGCTTGTCGGACCGGTAGTTCTCGTACAGGAAGTTGTTGGTGTGCTCCTTGAGCTCCTCCATGTGGGTACGGATCAGCATCTGGCGCAGCTTGACAAAGTCGCAGTGCTCCTCGTTGTCGACCTCGATAATACCCCAGGGGTAGCTACGACCACGGACGCGACGACCGTCAGCAGTGGACACCTCGGAGTTGGCACCAACAACGGCGAAGGGAACCTTGGACATGATCTCCTGGTTCTCAGCAATGGTCTCCTCATCGTCAAGCTCGTAACGGGGACCTTCAAAGATCTGGAGGGAGTGTTGTTCGATATCGGCAAGGATCTAGACAAGTCAGTATCCACAGTTTCAATCGAAAATAAGGGAATCCCCCAAAAAAACATACACGCTGCTTGAAAAGGGCAACCTCCTCGTCGGTCAAGGTATCAGCCTTGGCAATGACGGGGATCAGGTTGACCTTGGTGTGCAGGCGGCGCATCACCTCGATGTCCAGGGGCTTCAGGGAGTGGCCGGTAGGCTGGATGAAGTAGACACAGGCGTGGATGCGGTTGTCGACAATGTTGCTGCGGTTGACCTTGTTCTCGGCCTCGAGGTAGGTGTCGTAACGCTGCTCGATGTTCTCGACAATTGGGCGCCAGGAGTCATCATTGTTGACAAAGTCACCGAAGCCGGGGGTATCAATGACGCTCAGGCGGAGACGCACGCCGTTCTCCTCAATGTCGGCACTGGTCGACTGGATAGACACAGTCTTGGGGGATGATATCGGCATTAGGACCGGTGCGCTCCTTCGGGGGATAGAGCGAGGTGTTGAACAGGGTGTTCACGAGGGTGGACTTTCCGAGACCGGATTCACCTGGCGGGATATGAGCTTTGGTCATGGAATACTATCTGTCTAACTTACCGACAACCATGACATTGAAGTTGAAGCCCTTGCGGACACTCTTGCGGTGCCACTGGTTGGGCAGGTTGGCGAAGCCGACATAGCCTGTCAGCTTGCGGCGGACGACGTTCTTCATGTCGGTGGCGGCCTGAGCTGCGGCCTTGGGGTCGCGGGAGGTGACGGTCTGGGCGATACCGGAGCCCATGGGGTTGCTGCGCTCGACAAAAGGTGACTCCACGCCGCTGTTAGGCGTGGCAGAGTCCCGGGACACGACGGGAGACGCGACGGGAGAGCTGGTCGCAGGTGGCGAAGCTTCAAAAACATATCAGCATCTTGTCTGGGGAAGAGCCTCGGGATTGTTTGTCTCCTGATCATGGGCGGAATAGCTTACACATTGCGAAAGCCAGGGATTTAGGATACGTAAAACTTGTAAATTAAGATCCCCTAGATGATGAATGTCGTCAGTCGTCTTTCCTAATCTTCAGTGGGGTCGAATTGTCGCGATAGGGGAAAAAAATTCGGGGGAGCAGGGGGGGGAATGTACCTGGAATTGTTCTTTCCAAAAAAAAAAAGGGGGGGCTTGGAATTAATTGACCGGAAGCGAGAGACGAGGAAAAGAAAAGAAGATGAAAAACGAAGGAAGATGAAAAGGATGGAGAGAAGGAGGTTGACTCTACCAGTCTGGGAAAGAAAGGGGGGAGGAGTTGGTCGGGGGGGCCCAGCTATTCTGGAGTTGGTTTGGATCGACCCGCGTAGAGAAAACACCTGATGTGTTGGCTATACGAATCTGGACTATACATATATGTAATGTATCTGATTATTATTATGTTGTATATTATTTCGCTTTCTTCTATTTGTTTGCTTTAATTGCTCCTATGTTATCTATACTTCGGGTCTTTTCTACTTTACTCTATACGTAAAGCGTAAAAACACCGTTACTGACTGCAGTTCGCATGGTTCTAGGCCATAGGACTACAGTTCTATTTCCAGCTAGGAATGTGAGATTTCCTATTGGTACTGGATTGTCGGAAGCTACTAGTACATTCATATACATTCGTATACATTTCATGTGTACTTGTGTACTTGTACTTGCCAGATATCTCTTCTCCTGAGATCAGGGGTTAAGGAACGGAAAGCCCCAGAATTGGTCCAATCAACTCACGTGAGCTCCACTATATATATCAGGAACATTAACATTGGACTATATCTTGTATAAAATGCTATAAAATGCTATAAAAACTTGTATTACTAGAACAGACTTGGATATTTTGAAAAGAACTAGCTGTACATCTAAACCTTGGTCTTCTTCTTGGGACGCTCATCCTCGTTGTCGCCTCCATCAGAAGCATCACCCATCTCTTCATCGCTATCACCACTACTCTCGTGATCCGAGTCGAACTCTTCGGCCACATCAGATTCCGAAGAACCAGCAAAGTCTTCGTCAACTGATTCCTCATCCTCATCTGCCGATCCTCGATCAGGTCGTGCTTCTTCATCACTCGAGCCCATGGCATCGTTGTCAAGAGCGGCAGCAATAAGTCCAGCAGCCTAGGAGATAATTAGCATTTGTATTAACACACCAGGGAAACGGAGTTCACATACCTCTTCGGCCATCTCGTTCTTGATGCGGATGCTCTTAGCTTTGAAAAAGTCCTCGAGGGATTTTTGTTCCTCGCTGTTCATGTCAGAATATCTCCGGAAAAAGGAAAACATCGGGGCACTTACCGGTTGATGTTGCTAAACTGGTGCTCACCCAAACCACCCTTCAGACTAACAGTGATGTCAAAGGTTCGGCTGGCGGAAACAGCCCCTCCGACACGCGACATTGTGACAATCGCAATGTTCTCCAGTTGAATGTAGGTCGCGGGCTTGGGAACGAACATGAGACTCTTATCCAAGAAGTATAGGAGACCCTCGTTGGCCTTGATTGAGCACTTGACGCCTTGGTGACCGTGGTGGCTATGAGCATGTTAGTAATGGGCTACGCGAATGTTGCAAAGATAGGCTGGCAGTCACTGACCTGGAGAAATCCTTGGAAGGCATGATGACCTTCTTTCCAGATAGACCACGGAAGACCTTGGTGACGACTTGGTGGATTGGCTCTTCATAGTGCGCCTGCAACCTGTCCTTGTACTGATCTTTCAAGATATCTCTAAAAGATTGTTAGTAGGCAAAGTAGACACAAGCGCAGGGAAACTGACTCTGTCATGTTCATCTCAAGGCTAATCTCCTCGTCCAGCTTCAGCTGCATGACCAGGAAAGGATAACGGGTCTGACCCTGTCTCAGAGGGGGATCAAGACCGAGCACAATAAGAGTATGGGTATCGTCGTTCTTGGGGAGAAGGAAGAATTTCTTAATGGCGGAATATTGAATCTTGTAGTCGTATGTCTTTCCGCGCAACCGGAAGGACGATTCGTACATGTCAATATCGAAGCGACCTCTGGGGGTGAGGTGAAGAACATCCAGGAAAGTAGCAAAGGTATCGCCAGCGACATCTCCAATCTCGGCCTTGTCCATGAGCGTCTCGTAGAAGAGATTGGCAGCATTCTGCTCCTCAGCCTCTTCCTCGTTGTCTTCTTCCTCACCATCGGCGCCTTCCATCTTCTCCTTCTTCACGGCCGTTCCGGGAATGTAGAATCGCATTTCGACAAGCTCGTCAGGTCCTGCAGCAGCCTTGCGGCCTCGGTTCCTTGTGCTTCCGGGCTTTGCCACGGCATCGCTTCCGTCGCCGGCGGGAGGGAAAACTCAACGGCGACCTCGTTTCGTCCAGCCAGGTTGGTGTTTGAAATTTCGGAGTAAGGAACCTCGAAGGCGGGTCGGTTTTGGACGTTAAAGGCCAGCTCTGCTTTTGTGAATTCTGCTTTGCCCAGTTCCACCCTCGCAGAGCGTGCTCGCGGCTCTCCACGTTAATGCCGTACCAAATCTTGAATGCTTTGCTCAGTCGCTCAAAGTCCTTTTGAGTTGTCAGTTTATAGGTCAATGGTCGCAGAATGCTCAGGTGAAGTATACCTCTTGATCGAATCCATCCAGTTGGATCACTCCAGACGATCTCGATAGGATCTTCAGCTCAAAGCCTTTTGCGGCGCGACTCCATTGGGCTGCGCCAATGTTGCTGCTGTCAAGTGTGAAAGTATCGCCACCGCCGGACGGGCGCCAGCCCAGACCACTTTCAGCGAGCTTGCATTTTCCAGGCTGCTTTGAGATGTCTAGGTAGATGTTATCGAAGCTCTCCCTGTAAGATGGTCAGTGCCGGACAACAGAACCACTGCGGAAAACTCTTACATGATGGAGCTTGTGGATGTAAGACCGTGGCAGTTGAAGGGATAGGATGCAGAAGAAAGAGATTTGAAGTGGCGAGAAAACAGATGAGAAAAGTAGGTGAGGGATGAGCAGCTGGGTTGAAAGCTTTAAGATTTCGGTTTCTGGAGTTCGCGTTGCGGCGCGCCGTAGGGAGGCCAATTCAGCCCAAAAGAGTTTAGCGTTTATGCCTGAGGCGACGAAGAGCATGTATATTCTTTTTCTTTTTGAATCTGAAGGAAATCATTTCAAGTTCAACTTCGGAAAATTGGAACCAAATTTTGGATGCAAATTCAGTACGTTCTATCTAAGTGTAGAATAGTTGACTTGGTCGTGTAATTTGGAGTACTGACTCAGGTTATGTATATATGGCTCTCTACATACCATATTTCCTCTGCCGGGGCTTTCCTTTCTGAGCTGCTGCTCTTAAGAACCCAGTACAATGGTAATCTCATAGAACAATCCCACATGAACTGATAGCAGTATTGGAGCATCAAACGCCCGCATAGACTCGTTTACAATTACAAGTCACTTGCCCCACTTTAGTGCCATGACCCCCCACGAACACGAACAATACTAAAGCCAACGACTTCAATATATCAACCTCATTCCAGTGTCGACTGAACCAGTTTTCCAACTCCACCCGCCAAATATAATGGCCGCTAGCTTTCAGCGCAGATCGAAGACCTGGGAGTCCGTCTAGGCTGCGAGAATTCCAGTCTTGTTGGTATTTATGTATCTGGCCGGCACTAACCGCTTTGGCGGCAAAGTGGCCCAGTGTCTGGCGGTCTTTAAGATAGGGACTGGGTTTGTCGGTTTCAGGATCGTCGGTTAGTGTCAATAGTGGGACACCATAACCGCAGGAGGTTTGAACCTGGATATGTTGTTAGATAGAATCAACCCTTGTTATGAGTCATATCTCTATGACGCATTTGGATGCTTGTCGGTCTTGTTTTCCAAGCAACCGATTGATCATCGAGTGAAAGTCATATGAAAGACAAATGCTAACCTTAAAAACGTCAAGTTGGATGATAGCGCGCGCTCCCGCAATCGGGGTCTTCCCCATGCGCTGTAAACATTCACCAAACTCGGGCTGGTCCCACTCGATAACAGTACCAGTAGAGAACAGCCGCAAGATACGAGGAGACGCTTCGAATGAGCAGAACATCAAGGTAATGCGACCATTTTCACGCACATGCGAGATGGTTTCGCAGCCAGACCCGGTTGAATCGATATACGCTACCTGGTTTGGACCGAGAAACGCAAGGCAAGAATCGGGTAAGCCCTTTGGAGAAAGGTTAACATGTCGGCCCCGCAGAGGAGCAGAAGCCACGAAGAAAACACTTTGGCGTAGGGCCCAGTCACGTAGGTCGTCTGAAATGGACTCGTAGAACTTGCCCATGGCTACGTGTGAGTTGGTTGACAATAAGAGGTTGAGAGAGGAGTTGATGAGGAAAGCGGAGTGCATGAAAGTGAGGTGTTGCATTAATACCTCCTCGCAGCTACGTCTAATTGGCCAGTTTTGTACGAGCTCCTTCAGAATCCGAGATCCGTTACCCTCGAAGTATCTGGCGATATCGTTTATCCCGCTAAGCTGAGGATCGGTGAGCAAAAAGCGGCCATGGGTGAGCCCTCAAACAGAAAGGGAAGGCCAAGAAGTAGCATAAGAAATCCGGTTGGCAAGACAGACCTGATGAAACCAGCACAATATTCTTCACTTTTCTATTATATATAACATCCTTACTACAACATAAAGCATAACTCTATAGGCATATCCACCTATTGACCCGCAAGCCGACCTAGGTATGTACCTTTTGAGTAGACAATTTCGCTGCCTGGTACTCCGTACTTCGTATACGGATGGTATACGTTGATTATGTGGATTCCAAAGAACCAAACATCTACAACGTACGCCCCAGAGGCGTGCGTGTGTTGGATACGCAGACCGAACCAGATCGTGGAGCCCGATTCTATATTTAAGCGAAACAACGCGGGGCTTTGAATCATTTCTGCGACAAAACATCGGGATCCACTTGGTGATTTAGCTCAACGTTGGTGTACGATGCGATTCTCAGGATATATTAATACACATCGACCTACTAATACAGTATAGATAGGTGAGTACATTGTTGACAAGCATCAGAATAAATGACATTAAAAAGCACTTTCGATATATCAAAAGGGATTAAAGGGGATACCCATGGGATGACTTCACAGGAGATAAGGGCAGTGCTAAATATTTCGTACATCTTGTCATTACCGGCAAATTAGTCGTACAACGGTAGATCCTCATTCTATCGAGTCCCCCTTGCCCTAGTAATAATGGACAGTATTTGATATTAATTTGAGGGCTTGTTTGACAAACAACAGAACCCTCAATTGCAGACACATTTGCTTTTTCCTCTAGTACATCATGCTATCCTTGTCAACATCATCAAGAGACCCTTTGATATCACACATCCACGGTCCATAGGTCCCCACTATTTAGACGGGAGGCTGGGAGTGGCCATCCTCATTGGCTGTCTGTGAGTTGTGAAGTGCATTAGCGTTGTAGTCCTTGTATTTTTAATTTGGGAGCTGTAATTTAAAGTATTGCCGTTTCAATTTCGAAAAAACAAGACTGGGTCTTCCCCTGGGTTCCCTTCACCTTCATATTCAGTCATTCGTTGATACTCAAATGCAGTGAGGCTTCGGTCTCGAGCATGATTCATTCATTTACATTCCTTCGCTTCTAAGTTCTTTTTTTTATGCCACATTCTTTATCACGTTCTTTTCACCACGCGTTGCGGCCTGACGGCCTCCCTGAATTCCTTGGACAGCACAGCCCTGTCTAGTCTTCCCACACTCGCTTCAACCATTCCAGCCACTTCAACTGGTCAACTACACTTCTCTTGCCCGTCGTCGCTCCCACGACAATGAGGATCTCTTCATTGTTTGGGCCCGCGGCGGCCGGCTGGCCCTCGCTCCTCGCGCTTTTACCAACTCTCAACGCCCTGTCATTCGAGTCGGTCTCCGTTCCGGAACTGGACCTGAGCTCGCTGGGACGGGTATCAATTACTGGTGATTTTGATGGCGTTTCCCTCTATCAGTATAAGGAACAGACCGAATCAATTCCTGATGGCACCCAAGCCCTCCTGACCCCGCTACCGAACGGCATTCTCACAAATCTTTCATCCGCCGATGCGCAAATCATGGCAATGTGCCCTTTCACTCAAAAAGATGGAAACTTCGCAGGGATATTTGTCGGTGGTAACTTCACCAGCCTGGGCGGAGTTGATTCACCCGGTGCTGCTCTCTTCGACCCCAATACCAGCAAAATTACTGCCTTACCGGGCCTTTCGGGCTCGGTAGCTGCCGTGACTTGCGATCAGGACACTAACCGCGTCTACGTTGGAGGAGAATTCGCCTACGACAACACGACTAACGCCGTCGCATGGGCGCCGGACGATGGCTGGACTGATCTCCCGTTCAATGGCCTAAATGGCCCAGTTAGCTCGATTTTGAAGGCTGACAATGGTCATATCATCTTTGGAGGATCATTTGACGCCCTGGGAAACAGCACCAGCTCCTCGAACGAAAGACAAATTCTCAACCTCCAAGATGCGACCATCACATCCGATGCAGACTCACCTCTGGACGGCTACTCCGATCCTCGTAACATCATTTGCTCGACAGACGGGAAGGCTGCCAAAGGCAAGACCTATCTTCTACACGACTATGCGCCCGGATTTTGGAGAGCAGACCTCGGATTCGATTTTTTCCCGACTAAGATTCGCATTTACAACACTCATCTGGATGGACGCGGCACTAAGGAGTTTTTATTTCGAGCTCTCCCCGACAATGGTATCATGAATCTGACTTACATCGACGAGTCAGGAAAAAAGGCCAGCTGCGACTCGTCCTGTCCGCTTTCCAGCGACACGAATGAAACATACCGTGAATTTACCATGGTTAATCCCGTTGGTATGCGGGGTCTCCAGATCGAGGTTCTCAGTTGGTACGGGCAAGGAGCTGGCCTGAACGGCATTGAAGTCTTCCAAGATCAAATTCTAACATACGCTATCGACCAATACAACGAACCGACATGCTCGGGCATTGAATACCCCGCCAAGTCAACGCGCACCGGCTCTTGGACCGTCGAGTCTGGGTATGTGTCTGCAAAAGTGTCCGACTCTGATGCCTCAACTACATCCGTCACATTCGAGCCTGACGTGAAGAAATCCGGCAACTATACCATCAAGCTATATACTCCCGGCTGCAGCCAGGACAACTCTTTGCAGCTCACGGGGCATTGTTAATGTCACGGCTACCCTTTCGAGTGGATCTGACTTTGACCAGCCCGTTCCGTCATATTTCTCCCAGACCAACCGCGATGACAAGTATGACGAATTCTACACTGGGTACGTTGACGCCAACAGTGACTCCTTCCGACCAAAGGTTACCCTGCGGGCCAAGGACGGCCAAGGGGATATCACCATCGTGGCGTCTCGTGTCCGATTTGAACTACTCTCCAGCACTGGTGGTCTCAATGGACTATACGACTATGATCCGACCTCCAAGATTGAAACCTCGGATCTTACAAAGTCGGACATCAACAAGGCGGGGACTTCACTTGACCATAACGCAACAATCTCAGTCATCAAGGAGCATGATGATGTGATCTATGTCGCTGGTAACTTCTCCGACAGCAAGATCCACAACATCATGTCGATCAAGGATGGCAATATCACAGCAATGCCCGGTTCTGGATTGAACTCTCCAGTACTAGCAATGACCACCCTTGACAATGTCCTGTATGTTGGAGGTCGCTTCACCGATACCTCAGACGCAGGTTCTAAGGGCCTCCAGCACGTTGCGGCATACTCATACTCTTCCAAGGAGTGGTCACCCCTGGGTGCAGGCCTGAACGGTCCTGTTAGTTCGATCTGGGCTGTTGAATTGAATGCATCAACTGCTATCAACGAAACAATCATTGCTGTGAGCGGTGATTTTGATCAGATCATTGCTTCCAACGGGAACCCCGCGGTATCCGTTGCCGGTTTCGCCATGTGGGTTCCTTCTCACAAGGACTGGCTCCAGAACCTTAATGTTACACAGATGCAGTTCGGTGGTCAGCTCTCCAGTGTTGCTTCGCACAACGATACGCTCATTTTGGCAGGCAATCTTGCCACCAATGGTATCATCGCTGGCGGTGCGGTGTCACTGCTAGATTCCGATGATTTGCAACTCATTCCTCTGTCGATGAAGATCAACCGCCAAAAATCGAGCACTGGTCTGATCACTGGTGCCTATGATACCGAATCGAGCCGGAATCTCACTATCTACGGTGGGCATTTCGCTGCCGCTGGCAGCAATGGATCAACCATTGAAAATATTGCCATCCACAACGGTACCGATCAGAAGATTTCAGGTCTACCGCAAGGCGCCGACAGTAACTCAACATTTGTTTCAATGCTTGTGCACAACGACACCCTTTATGCGGGTGGAAACGTCACCGGAAAGATCGATGGTACTACTCTGCAAGGTCTTGTGGTTTACGACCTGGACAAGAACGAGTTTTCACAGACTCAGCCGGCTTTCTCGGGCTCAGACGTCTCAGTCAATGCTATTGTCAATCGACCGGGTTCGTCTGATATCTACTTTGGAGGAAACTTCGAAGGTGTCGGGCAGTTGCCATGTAATTCCGTCTGCTACGTTGATTCCGCCACCGGCGAATGGGATCAACCTGGCTCGTCCTTAAGTGGCACCGTGGTTGACCTTCATTGGGCTAGTCAAAAGACGCTGATGGCTGTGGGTGACCTCCAGGTCGGCGGAAACAAGACCGCAATTGCTACCTACGAAGTCAAATCCGAAAAATGGACTTCTTTCTCTGGAGCATCTCAGTCAGATCTCCCCGGGAATGTGACTACCTTTACAGCTTCTAGCGCAGATCTGTCAAAGTTCTGGATCGGAGGTACTGCGGCCAATGGCTCGGCCTTCTTCTTGAGCTACGACGGTTCCAAGTTCCTATCTCCCGGAAGTCTGTTCTCCGAGGGCACAGTTATTCATGCTCTAGAGGTTCTTCCTGTCCGCCATGACCATTCTGCAGCCCCTCTGTTGAGCAACGAACAGACCTTGTTGATCATGGGTTCGCTTGTGATCCCGGACTTCGGACATGCATCGGCCGCGCTCTACAACGGAACCCATATCACTCCATTTATCCTTTCCCAGCAAGCTGATGGCCAACCGGGCAGCATGTCGAAGTTCTTCTCCGAGAACAAAAACCCTTACACCACCAACAGTGAGTTTACCTGACTTTTGTTCTTGACAGGAATCAATACTGACTTACCAACGTAGAAAAACATCACTCCAATGGCATTGCAGTCTTGGTCGCTTTCTGCTGCGCTCTGGGCTGCGTCTTCCTCATCGTGCTAGCCGGTGTCATCCTGAACAAGGTGCAGCGCCGCCGCCAGGGCTACGCGGCTGCCCCTCAAACCTTTGGCACCGATCGACCATCCGATATGCAGCGCCTGCCGCCCGAGTATCTCTTCAACTCGCTGCATCAGTCCAACCCTGGTGCCCCGGCCATTTAATGCCCCTTCTCACTCCAAAAAAAAACACACTAAATCCCTTTGATTTGCTTCGAGGCTGGCGTTTTTGTTCTATCGTAAGCAACGTTGCTATACCCAGCCATCTTTAATGTCTTTTGTTCCATTCGCTGTGTTTGTTTTCGCGCCGGCCATATCGCGATTTATCTTCAATTTTTTCCCCCTGGCTCCTTGCTCCTGGCACATGTGCCCGATACAATCTTTCAAAGCTCCTTTGTGAATACGCCTCTGTGTTGATGTACCATATGCTTTTCAGCGATTTATTTCTCACTTGAGTGGATGTGTGTTGCTTGGGAGGTTGGAGATATGTAGATAGCCACGTTTTGTTCGTGGACACGACAATTAATACAATACCCTTTTGCTGATGAATATATTCTCAATAAATACTATTGTACTTCGTACTCCGCACTATACTAGCAATATCTAATTATATCCCCAAAAAAGCATAGCCCAATTTCCACTTAATATAAACCACGCGTCCACATCTGAGCACCTGACCTCGGGAGCACAGCCCTGGTCTGAGTCAGGTTATTTGTGTGGGGGCCCCAGGTCACCTGCTCTCTCCCCGCAAGTCGATCTCCAGGTTTTCGTATCCCCAAACTCAACCAACCACTTTCTCTACTTCGGATGTTGTTACTGCATCGCATTCATGCCATTTCGGTATGCGATCACGAACCGGCTGGTAAGTTTATACGCCCAATAGGTGTGGTCCATTGCTGACGCGACCCAGCTTAACGTGTCGAACACGAAAGCTCAAATGTAGGAATCTGCTCTCTCGACCGTTTGATTGCTTGGCGGCTAAATAATTCATAGGCGATGAAGAGAAGCCCGAGTGTTCACAATGCCGCAAAGGCGGCCGAGAATGCCGTCCGAGCGAAGGTGTAGTTTTCCGCCATCAGCAGAACGCGTCGATGAACCGGAACTCCCCAGATGGTCGTGGCAGTCTCAACGGGTTCTATTCGTATAAAAACACGTTTGACAAGGATAGTGTGTGGCTGGATGTTCCCAAACATGGTACGGCACCGCTGCGACATATTGTTTCGATTTTGGGATTCTTTTTGGACGGTAGCTCATATCCTCTGCAGTGATCTTCGTCGACAACTCCGATCCATACGCCGACGACCTCGAGTCCTCATTGATAGACCCGGGCAGCGCAGCGCAGACAAACTCTCCAAATCGCAGATGGGGTAGTGGGGACTCTCGAACGAGTGATGCCGAGACGCAGGGATTAGAAGCCTTGTCGGCGGTCGCAACACACGATCGCTTCCCTTTTTCTCCCCTAGACCATTCGGTCTCCGATAGTACCTCCTATACCTCTCCAAACCCACGGCAGAGTGCCGCTATACCCCCGGCCTCGCCCTCTATGTCGCTGTCATCCACCAGCAACAATACCAATATTAATTTCCTCCTTAACCCCTCGCAGTCGATGTCTCCCTCCATCGACCCAAGTATGCAGCTCCCTGATCGGAACACTGCGCTTCCATCAAGACCGGCAATTTCGCAGAGAAGCTTGAGCCATATGAGCCACATGAGTCTCATGAATCACGCACCAGACGACAATGCAGAGAACGATTTCGAGACTGCTTTCTTTTTGCGACATTACTCAGAAGGACCGGGTCTGTGGTATGCTTTCTTCCTTCTGCTGACGTGGAACCATGAGTAACGATGATGTCTGCAGGATGGATCTCTTTGATCTAGGGACATATTTCGCTTCATACGTGCCAGTGCGAGCAAGAACCAACCCGCTTTTAAAATTCGCCGCCTGCGCATATTCCGCTAAACAGCTGGGCCGAGTCAAAGGTGCCAAGGCACCGGTGGGCGGAGTCTGCACCCAGCAAGCTGCCATGGAACTGTGGCCTGATAAAGACCCTGACTTCGCATGGTATGGGGCAAAGTATTATGAAAAGGCCATCCAGCTGTTAATGAAGGAGCTGCAACCTGACGCAGAGGGTCCACCTCCATTGAGCACCCCAGAGGCTTTCGGTCAATGGCAGGCTGCCGAGCTTTGTGTAGATTCGGATAACCCACGTAAGCGCCGCAGACGGGTTTCTGATAGTCGGCTCACGCATGGAGTTCATTCCGATGAGGTGCTCGCGGCGACGGCCATTTTGTCCGTGTATGAGTTCCTCGATGCCGCAGGGCCTGCGTGGAACCGTCATTTGAGCGGCGTGAAGTCATTGCTTGATGTCGCTGAAGTGGGCATGATGCCTCTCGAGCAGCGTCCGTCTCCGGGAGAGAATTCATATCAGACACAGACACCTAAGAAGTCGGGTCTTTCTAAGGCTCGGAAGGCGACGTTTTGGAATTTCGCGCGGCAGGACTACTTAGCTGCCTGTAAGTGTTTTCTCCGAATGAGTGACGCCCCCAAGACTCCGCTGACAGAAAGAAGTTATCAATGAAAGCCATACAAGGCTGAACACCGACGACACAGTCCTGTGGACCGAAGCAGGTCTACTCATCGACAATGCGGGCTTTGTCCGCCCCAGCAACACAGGCGCAGCAGGATACCCGGAAGGCGAAGACGTAATGAAAGAAGATCTAATCAGCAACGGACTAGTCTGGATAGTGTCCAAGATAGTCAATTTCATAAGCTCTGGCGACAACGTGCATCTAACCGACCACCGACCCGTGCCAGGACCCTTGGCCGTCTCGCAACAAGTCCTCCTGGAGCGGTGGTACAGGCTCGAATCCGAGCTTGATGCATGGTACAACGGGGTCCCAGAGACATTCCGGCCCTGCGCACGAATAGACTCATCCAAGCTCGGACACCATCGCCCGCCCAACGAAATCGAAGACATCTCCACCCTCCAGGAAATCTGGTACAGCCTGCCCATGTGCGCCTCCGCTATGCAGCATTACCACATGGCACGTATTCTGTTGCTCATCAACAAGCCGCACGAGTCCACCAGTCGTCGGAGCACGATCACGCTTCGTCTCCAGTCATACCGCTCCATCGAATCTGAGATTGCATTCCACAGCCGCGAGATCGTGGGAATCGGTCTCTCCCGCCCGGACGGAAGTGTCAGGATCAACTCACTGCAGCCGCTCTTTGTTAGTGGGCAGTGTCTGACGGATCCGCGTGAGCGCCGCACTACCGTGCGCCTGCTGAGGAGTATCGAGTCGGATCTGGGCTGGGCAACTGAGTATCGTGTGCAGCAGTTGCTGAAGGAGTGGGGGTGGGATGAGAGTTCGACCCTGTCGCCTGGTTCTTCCGGTTCCTGAGACTTGAAGGTATCTTGTTTTTCACAAGATACGGTTAGAGTTGAAGGGTTGGCGCGGGCTCAACGCAACCACCCTCATTGTATAGTACCTGGACCCTCTTGGTCGGACCTGTATTGGATCCGATGACATCATTTGAGGGTACAGGAGTGAACTGCGTATTTGCAGAGTAATGGGCCGGCTGTCGAATTGTGACCATGCATTCCAGTCCCGTCACCAACATCATGCCATGCCATGCTGAGAATCAAGCGACAAGCGACTGGGAATTCTCATTCATTCGGGGGATGTGTCCTCATGGTGTGACGAATGCCAGAGACATGAGTAATGATTGTTCATGATACCCCCGGGGCCGTGGACCTCTTATAGTAATCATAGTATAATGCAGCCCTCTGTACAATGTGCAAGATAGGTATAACCATAAAGTGGGCAAATGGAATCTAAAGAAAAAGAGCACAGGAATATTAGCAAATTTAGGGTCGAAAACCTTTCCTCATTTGATTCTGCAGGGTTCGGTTTAGTTGCCTCTGAGTACTGCACATGAGACAACATTCTCCATATTATCTACGGAGGACATGTAGGGTATACTCCAGTAATTATTCGAACTTATCTCTGATTCGATCAATACCGACCCCATACTCCTTGTTCTTCAGCTTTGACAATTTTAATCATAAAAGAATGGGAATACCTACGTAAGCCCTGGTCAAAATACCTCGGGATACCAAGTATCACTAACACCAACACACCAAATATCAAATATCACCAATCTCTTCCTAATCTCTTCCTCTACATAACCTTCACCGCAAACCCACTCCAGCCCTAAAACCAAACCCCAGCCCCCAACGTTGCAGGTTTTCCGTTGCCCATTGTGTCACCGAATCCACATGCCCCCCACTGATTTACCCTTCTGGGGTTCCGGGGGCAACTTATCCGAACCACAACGCTCCAGATCCGACATTATTCAGGATCTATATTGTACCCCGACGAGAATATCTCGGGTTACTTCCGTAGGATTCGGGGATCATTTTCGGAAAGGAGAATGGAGAATGGAGAATGGAAAGTTTGGCGGGGCGGAATGGCGGAGGGGCTCGAATTCGAATTTAAGGTGGCGGGGGAGATTAGAGATTTAGTTGGAGATTTAGTTTGTGGACTAGGGAGCTTGAATACGATGTAGTTTATAGGAGTTTGGGTTTGCGATAGTTATGTTGATAGTTAGGGGTTCATTTATGTACTCCATATAGAATTTGGCGCACTAATATCTGGGGTTAAGCGCACCTTGAATCCACGGATGTGGATATCAGTGAGCTTGTGTCTGATGTCTCTGTTGAGTGGTTTACATGGGTGGGAATAGAACGAAGTCGGGAGTTTTGAGAGATGTTTATTTAGTTTTTGATGGCAGCAGTTGGCCTGTTTGTATTCCGGAAGAATGAGGGTTATTTCTGTGTCAAGACTGTTCTGACTTGCAGTTTCTTTTTCTATCTTGTGGTATAGGATTGACTGTGAGTTGGGTTGATGCGGATAGGAAGAATAGCGAATCGGATAGCTCTAAGCTTGGAGCTAGCAGACATCATGTAGAATATATGGACTATAGGAAGAGTCCGAATTAAAAAGCTGGGTAGAACCGAGGTGACAAGGAGAACTAGGCTGTGATCCAATGTGCACATTTAACTGACTCAGAAGTCAATGATTGTGATCTTCATCGAGAGCGGAAGACAAGTCAACGTTTGAGTGGTTTAAGAGTTGTGGCTGGCGCTAAGTGCGATGATCACTAGAGGATGCGGTGTGATCTGGGCATATAAGGACTCCATACTGCGTAAATATGAACATCTTTCCTCTAGAGGGTTTTAGAGATGGACAGTGGGACTCCCTCAATATTGGGCCACATTGTATCCACACATTAGGTATGGATGCCCCTTCTACATTATGTAATTCTGTCAGTTTAACGGTGTATTTGGCAAGCGGTATACTTAATAGGCAGGCGGTATATGTAGATATCGGGTTGGCCCAATATTTAGGAAGTCAGCTGATCTATCCACGAATGAGATCTAATATTTAGGTACAGCATCAGGATCTGAACGAATTAGTGTGGATGAGGATTCCGGGACTTTTACATGCAAATCACTTCACAACTTCGCTGTGATAGATCGTCTGGCATACAGATATATATCATAAGAACACTGTCGGCCATCCGATTGGATTTATGAATGACGAATGCCGGTGCTGATCACAGCGGTAGGTGGGTTAGCAATAATGATTGGGTGGATTAACGCGTGAGCTCTAGAGAAGGAACGTTATTGTGGGTGACACTGCCCACTCTGGCCACTCTGTGCTACGAGACACAGAATTTGATCTCCAGGGGTAAAAAATGCAACCGAATCATGAAGAGGCGAGTGCTTGGCAGACCTGCCGTCAGCTTGGGGCTGGACATTTGCTCGGGCTGTCAGCTGTGTACTTCGTAATTTATGAGTATTTACTCCGTACTGCGTATGGAGCAGTGTAGATGCATACTTAGATCTATTAATTAAATCTCGATTTAACATTAGCATTGTCTCCATTGTAGGCTGAAAAATAGTACAAAGCACTAACCACGGAAAGGGCTGAGCGAATTATATTAATTATTCCACAATGTAATATTATACCCGAGATACACTACACGGAGATCTACTCCGTACTCTACAGGTGTTTAGCATTTAAAGGAAGGTGCATTACGAGTCTCGGGTTACCGTCCAAGGTTGTTATTATGACTTATGGCCTTCTAGATACGATCCTCGGTCAGTCATTTTCAAAAGGTCTGTGTACTCCGTACTGTGTACTGTGTATTCCGTACTCCGTACTGTATTTTATCCCCGCTAACCGACTTTGCCAAGACCGAATTGAGTTCTGGAGGACCGTGGGTAGGACTTGAGTGCCTCGTGTGCCGGTGGGGCAAAGAACGGGCCTTGCAGACTATCCAGTCCACGGGTATGATGGAGTACGTACCGTACATCGTACAAGTACAATTGTATACCCCCCCTTAAGTTCTCTATTTCTCCTGTCTTTCTCTTCGACTTATACTGTTCCTTTGCGATATCGCGCTGGCGCGTTACGGATTTGCGCAGGATATGCATATCTCGCCATCATGGAGAACGCCCTAACTGGACATTGCCCGTCTCCCTTCCTGCAGGAGACACTATTCCCCGCCGCCGGGGGATTTATCGATGGTCGTTATTGCCAGAAGGTCACTCTCGGCAACAGCACTTTGTCCTGTTGCTTGCCATGTCCTCTTGCCGAGTGGAGATATGACTCTGGTATGTTTCTGTGATTTCCAAGTCTGTTTCCAAAATCTAACGTGGTTACAATAGACTTGGGAAATACAATTCATGCCACGAGTTGGATCAGTGTCGCCATTCTCCCTCTTTGTATCTTCTTGCTGATTTCCTACGCCGTACTACCTGTCAAATGGACTCACCGTCATTATCTGAGCGTCTGCTTTACGCTAGGAATTTGTTGCATGGAGGCAAGTTGGATGCTGGCGTGTGCTGCGGACCTTCATAGCTAACTCTAATCTAGCTCGCCTTCATCATCCCGCTCGGCGCCAAACCAGACCAATGCCACAATGCAATCACCCCCAATGATATGCGCTCCGACCTTTCCTGCGCCTTCTCCGGATCTTTGCTGTTATTTGGGGGCTGGCTAGTGGTCATATGGAGTTTCATCCGCACAATGGCTTTCCACTTACAAGTATGCTGGGAAAAAGTTCTGGGACCGAAGTTCATGTGGGCAGCCTTTGTCTGCGGATTCGGAATCCCAGCAATCGGACTGACGGTTATGCTGATCTTAACGGGAGTGTCATTCCGATTCGGCGATATCTGCCATATTAACGTAAACAACGGACTATACGACTACTGGATCCCAGTCATGGTTTTCGCCGTCGCAGCTCTCTTCTTCCAACTATCAACAATGATCTACTGCATCCACATCTACCTCCGCTCCCTCTTCGACAAATCCGCCTCAACATCAGGCAGCTCCGGCGCGAACCTCCCGTCGTATACGGCTAGCATCGGCACCGTGACAGCCCGACAAGCCTACCGGCGTGTGCGCCGCGTCCTTAAACTCCAATGGCGTGGTATCGCCCTCACATCGATCATCCTCGGCAACGTAATCTTCTTCGCAGTCGTCTTCATCAACCTCGACAACGCCGTCGCGCCAACCGCAGAAAACGTCAAAACCGCAGGCCCTTGGCTAATGTGCCTTGCTGAAACCGGCAACAAGGACCTCTGCCGCGAATACGCCTCAGCCATCGGTCCCAACGAAGCAACCCTACTAGCAGTCGTGTTTTTGCTCTCGCTCGTCGGCTTCTGGAACTTCATCCTCTTCGCCCGTCCATCCATGTTCGCCGGCTGGCTGGATCTATTCCACCGCAAAGTGACACGTCGCCACGAGTTCGTCTCCGCGGATGCGACCACCCGCTACGCCGACAACAAGGGCTTCGAAATGCTGACTACATCCGTGAAATCACCCGATGCGTTCATGCGATCGCCAAGCCCTTCCCGAACAGGACCAGACCGCAACGCTTTCATGCGCTCACCGAGCCCTACACAAATGGGCGGGTCTGATCGCAGCGCTTTCATGCCCTCGCCGACGCCTACGCAGACGAGTGGATACGGCCGCAGTCCGGTTGCCAGCCCCAGTCTCAGGCTCCGAGCGCAATACTGTTACTCGTGAGGCACGCTATGTGCGTCCCTCGTTGAGCTTTTCCGGGCCTAGGCCGCCTAGTGCACGCGAGTGGGATCCACAGTCTTCGTTTGCGCCAGGGTACGGGCGAGAACGAGTGTAATGTTTACTGAAATACGTTTTTATGTTTTGCCCCCTCTTTTTTATTTAATGTTCAAAAATATTTACTGGGGTTTTATTTCTGTGCTTTAGCCTATACCCTATTCCCGTTTCCGAAAGATGGGACGTTTACAAAAGGGATGTCCCAGGGGTTTTTCTCGACGGTGTTACAGGGACGTCTCACCATTTCCAAGTTAGGCGTTCATGATTTTTGCAACTCCAACATGTATGTATCAATGATGTATGATGTGCCGATTTCATGGTATCCTCACTTGGTATACGATATAACTCTATTACAATTTATTGGATGGGCTCCACATTAAATACACTTTCCATATCCCGAAACTCGCTACCAAGTACATCCATGGATTGTCCATTGGGATCTCAATGGCGATTCACTTTGCACCCGTCCCAATCTTAATTCCAATCTCAACCTCAACCACGATAATTCAATCGGGTTCGGTATGCCCGTGATCAGACGGTCACTAAATATGAAAATACCGCATACGCGCAAAAAGTGGTCCCACAAAGACGGCCCCAACCCGTCCGTATTAGGGTACCACTAACAATACCGGGGGCGAGACTAATTCCCCTGCACGGGATTACGCACTCCACCTTTTCCCGCAGGAACGGCTGTTTTGCCTCGTTAGGGCTAGTGTTTCGATATAGTTTCAGCCTGGAACGCGTGTATCAATGAATTAGTACGGAGTATTACTGCATACTAGTACTAGTAGTAGTACTCCGTAGTAGTATTTCCAGGGTTGGTGTACTTTACGGAGTACTACCGGCTAAACGTGAGAGCGTTATTACTATATTAGCTAAACCCGACTGCACACTACAGTAACAAACACCCCTGTTAGACTTTCAGAGAACCCTTCTAGATCGTTGCTGGATGCATCGGGTGGAAACTCCGCGAGTATGCCGCTCCCTGGCCCAGGAGATTTAGTGATTATGTGAGATTGCTTTATTCCGATTTTGGAAGGTTGTACCTACATAAGGGCATTCTTTAAATTGCGAGGCTGAATGGACGTCTTTTTGGTATTGTATTTAGGTGACTACATACTATGTACTCCTACACCGGACCCTGCATAGACATGTATGGAGGACAGGGTCTGGGGTCGGGAAGTTAATTAAATTGCGTACATTGGACAGGGTATGTGATAGCGAGGGGTAGTTACTACATGCACGCAGGGGTAGACTAGTATATGGCTGGTTTTCTAGTGGACGTTGATGTAATTACCACATGGCACACCCGTCAAACATTCCATATATTCTCTACCAATGCTGCCATCTGTCATCCTGACCTCGGGAAAACTGATCGACGGGCCACGGTTCACGGAACTCCCCGCATCCCAACTCCGGCAAATATCCGGCGAACCTTCAACATCAAGACTTCTGTCTCCAGATGTAGTGATCAACCTCTCTTGTGATTGTTCTAGTTCTGTTGATCCGCGGATCTTACGGCCATCCATTGTGAGTTGTCTGTGGTGATCTCACGAGAACTCCCGGTTGCGGGGTTGATCGACCGAGGTAGCATGTTCCCCAGATCTGACATTGGGGACTAAGAAGTCGATATACGGAGCCGAGTGGGATCTGGCTCCAGTTAATCCATGATTCCTGGGGTTTGTGGCTGTTCATAGGCCAGGAGAGTGGTCACTTCGGCATTGATGGCACTGGTGGGGTTGGCACGTGCTTTTGGTGGCGTACAGCTTCACATTACTCCATGCATACAACATACGATTGGGAATGTAGAATCCGGGGCAGACGGGGTTCGGGATTGTCCTTGAAGATGGGGCCACGAATGGCGGGGAAAGAGGCCTTCCAAGGTTGGATTCCAACGTTGACGCTAGATGATGATCCGAGGTCTGCCATGTGATTATCAACCTTGGAAGGTCCGGGGAAACTTTATTTGATTTAATTTGTTTGATAATGCCTTCTCACTGTATAACCTTTTAGAAAACAGACCTTCAACGGACTCTATACAATCAGACGGTATCACGGATAGCAACATTATTACACTCCCTTACATCCAAACTTTCGGCTTATCAGCTGGAAAAACTGCTCGGGGATGGAGCAAGGACTCATAACCTCTTGACGCTACATGCTACTAGGGACATGGAGGAGGAAGAAACTCTTAGTATTCAATAGTAAAGCAGGGCCTTTATAAAAGCCTGCATTGACAAACAACAAATAAAGCACTCAGTCTGCCACCATAGTAAGGCATCCATGTAGGATAGCATGATCTCAACAATAGGTGGTTCTCGATATAGTTAGGTCCCTTTAGAAGATAATTCCTATATTCTTATAAATGAAGGCACAAATATTGTAAGCGATAGGAAATATATGCGATGCATATGGGACCCTAATTCTTTTTAGCTTAGTAGACAACCTTGGAAGACGTTGTAACTATCACTAACCTTGTAGACTCTTTTTTCGAGGTAACAATTCCTATTTTCAGACGGTAAAATCACCTTTATGTATATCGCCGCCTTCCCCTCAATTTTGAATACGAAAGCCGGAAATATACCTCCACATACATACATGTACCGGTTAACGGCTGGAACTCGAGGTGTCTAACACTCAAATCATCACAGTATCTCAACCAGACCCCTCTGGAAACATTCTATATCCGCATCCTAGCATACCCATACCGACACCCATCATGAAGTCTCAGGTCCGTATTCCCATCCGTAGCATCATACAGCCCATTATTAATGCCATCGACGTCTAAAGCGACTTCGCATCTTTTGAACCCAATCAGCGGACGACGTAATCGAACCGGCTTTCCTATCTCATCTATTCTTATCCGCTCGGTGCAGATCGATGGGTGTATGGCGATCAGTAGTCCGCATGTTATAGCGAACCCGATCCAGAGATATGTTTTGCCGACTATTGGGAGGTAGTCGCTTATCCAGGCAAAAGTGAATGACCCAATGAAGGTATATGAGTAGAAGAATGGGTTGTAGTATGGGATCGTGTAGTATATGTTGTATGGATTTCGGGGGTGCTCGTGAGATTTGTTAGGGAGTAAGCTGGTGTTGTCTGACATTTTGAATCGTGGAGATAGACGGGAGAATGTCAATAGACTAAGAGGGAGGAAAGAGAAGGCCAAGTTAAGAAACGTCGGGCGGAGCAATCAGCAAACGGGCCATTTTCACAAAGTACACAATTTTCGGGTAAACGCGACCAGACTCTCCACAACTTCGTTGTCTCAGGCAGTCCATCACATCTTCATATGATCCTTGCTAAATACAAAAATCGAGCACCTGGAGGCCTCTCCTATCCCCAGAAATCCGGAAAAACCATTGAAATCTTGACAGAAACGATCTCTCGCTTTTCTCTCTCGGCCTGGCAGTTATGGGCATGAACCAACTACCTTAGATCTGGCACATACATGACATGGACGAGGAGCAGATATTAACTTTCATTTCTTTTGGAGATCCCAAGGAGTGGGCAATATCAAATGTCTGTATGCTTATCGTACTATAGACAATAATAAAGCAAGTCACACACACTCTTCATATTCTAACAGAAAAAGCAGTAAAAAAGCCACAATGTCTAATCAACATGATCCAAGCAAATGTCAAAAATAATGTCCATCTACAGGCCACCAGCAGCACAAATCTTCTTGGCCTCAGCGACACGCTCCGAATAGCGATCGGGGTAGGCCGAGCGCTGCACCTTCTGGCAAAGCTTGCCAACCTCCATAGTCTTCCAGCCGCTAATAGCCTTCATGCCTTTAAAGAACTGAGCCGCGGACTTGGCAGCGTCCATATCGGCAGCGATGTCGGGGTAGTAAACAGCACGTTGCTGGAAGATGCCGACGCTGTCGTAGTCCGAGCCGACAGCATCATGGGGGTATTTGAGGGACTCGGGGACTTTCTTGTTGGCGTACATGAGCATATTAGACTGGCGATAGTGTCAGTATTGTTCTGCGTAATATCGGGATTGAATGTGCATGTTAGAACTCACCTCAACAAGACCGGTGGCAATTCCAGCAAGACAGCCCTGACGACCCAGGTCTTCTTTCTTTGCTTCTCCGATGATGTCCTTTGCATGCTTGGACTGGGTGGATGTGAGACCGGGCAGGTTTCCACTGCTGCTGTCGCCGTCGTCATCGCCTCCGCTGCCGCTGTCACACTTCTTCGTGACATAGCTGCTGCTGCCAGTTCTGATGTAGTAGTCGGTAATGTAGCAGCCGTCCTCAGTCTTGTCCCAGATTTCGTTGCCGTTGACGGAGGTGCCGGCCGTCTGGCAGGTAATTGCAACGTCGGCTCCCTGCTTGTAGCTCTTGACTACAGAGTAGGAGGTTCCTGGACCAGAGCGGCAGTTGACGCCGTCGCCGGTGATGGGGTAGGCATTGGCGATGGGTGTGAGGGCAGCAACTGCCAGTGCCACAACGGGAGTGAACATCATTTTGAATGGATGTTGGAGTTATACTTGAAGTATATTGTGAAGTTGAAGCTGGTGTTGCAGATGGAGCTTGCAGAGGAGCTGTTGTTGCGATGTGGTGAGCTGATGGATAGAAGAGTTTGGAGGGGAGTCAATGGGCATTTTATATCCTTGGGCTCCTCATTCCTCGAGATCGGATCCTACATAGAAGAACTATTTTGTGCATCCTTGCTTGACTCGGACCCCACGAAGCTCGTATAATGATGCTGAATGTAGAGAGATCTTCGATTCGTATTCGTAGTTTTTTCCTACAGGGCCCGTATCCAGGGCTGAGGTTGGATCAAGTGAAAGTGACGAATCTATATTCGGAAAGGTCATATCGTATAACCCCCACAGGGAAATCGTGTTATTAAAAGTCCGATGTTGTTTAGCTAGATCGAAACATCGGTCAAGCTTGGCGTTCGTGTTCCTGAAGATAATTGCCTCTCAGGGCACAACGTGCCCGCCTAAAAATAGCAGGGCTATCCCGATATTAGCGTGGATTGTTGTAGATCACCCGTATTCAGATTATTCACTTCAACTGATTCGTCTGTTATGTTCCTGGCAGATTTAGTGCATACTACATCGGAAAGTTGAGTTTGTGAAGGGTCTATAGGGATAAATTTAAGTCTTGGGTATGCTTCCTGTACCTCGTTTCAGCTGTTGCACATATGGTGTAGATTAGTACTAAGTTCTGAGAGAAGGATTCGACAATAGACGTGTATCCGTGTTTTACGAGCCTTTGTGCAAGTTAAGCGTCGACCATTGGAACTCCAAGTTATGTGATGATACCTACCTGCATATGGAGTATGGAGTACTACGTTAGTTAACTGGGTATACTAAGTAGCAACCGGGCTAAAGGAATAATTTGAACTCGCGATTTGCTTCCCAACAAGGTAGTTACCTAGGGTACCCTCCGTACCTCGGGTGATTTTCTTATCTCTTTGCTCCGATCGGTCTAAACAGAGCAAGCATTCGGGGATCAGCCTCTTAGTAGTATTCCGAAGAAACACCGAACATTGACAAGGGCCTCTGGCTTCTGTAACGTGCCTCGGCTAATGAGGGTTGGCAATTTTGCCTGACCGAGAATCGTAAGTACTTATACTCCGTGCAGACCTGCTGCTTCTGTCTCAATTGGTACTGGTATGGATGAAATGCTCATAGTTAAGTATGGGATTTTATCATTCCCTGCCATATCTCCTGTTTTGTCAGTAGCCGAGTCGATTCTTAAGGCTGTGAGATATGAGTATAGCTCTTCCACCTGAGTCTATGCTGTTTATTCTTGTCGGGTTCTGGATATATTCCCAGCAGAGCTTGGACTGTCTACAGGTGTGAAGGCCCGATTCTAGTGCCTGACTAAGTCGCGTGTCCTCTAGTTCTTTAACCACCTGGGCACCCATTTCTTTACATCAGCGGCCTCCGCGTCAGTGAACTGCATGGATTTCCGAACAATTTCAAACTGTGTTGAATTGGGTCGAACAAAAGATCAAGCTTGAAAATATATCGAGTATGTCAAGACTTCTTTGGCATTTACTCAAATAAAACGTGTGTTCTATCAAGACGTACCTATTACATGAACTATTGGAGAATCCTGCAAGTGCATGCAAATGGCCGTTAGTGCTGAAACTGGATCTCCTCAAGCGGGTCACACCGACTCGACTCGAGGTTGAGACAAACATATAAACAAGGTCGAACAGACAAAAGCAGAAGTAGAGAATAAGAAATACAAGCTCTATACTCCGTAGATGTCTATAGAGTATATAGATGTATAGATAAGAAATTGCATCATTCCCGAATACCCAACGTCACCAAAAAGGCGGAGAGGAAGGGAAGCTCACTTGTGCGTCCACGGGTGAAGTCCCCCCCGCTCTCCCAGCCACCTTCTTATCTGTCTTTCCACATTTTCTACTCTTACCTTTTTCCTCATCTCCAATTTCATCATATTCTCCATCTGTGACAGGAAGAACGACATGGCTCCTCCTCCTCCTTCTGCAACCTTGCCTCTGGTTGAGAGACTCAAGGCCTTGGCACAGACCCTACAGTGCGTTTCCCTCCAATACCGAAATGATGCTTCAATGCCTTGGTTTCCCATACTAATATACCACGTTACAGGTTTGCCTGGTTCGTTGGGTAGGTCAATTGCTAAAGCGCACACCGAAAGAGACCCCAATTCAGGGTCACTAACAATTTCTAGACATGTGACACTTTTGCTCTCAGTCTTCCGCTACTCCCTGTCCTGCGTCTTCTTCAACTACTACTCCTCCTCGGCACAGATCGCCTACCGTCTGACCTTCATCTCGGCCGCCGTGACCTATGGAATCGTCGTGTACAAGGGCCACTTCGCCCGGGGTGTCCAGGGCAGCCCTCTGGCAATTGTGATGAAGCTCATCTCTGATGAGAATGTGCAATACCTCGGTGAGTGATCGGCGATGCGACAGTCCAAAAAAAAATTCAAGCTTATACGTATTCTAGGGATGGCTCTGGTCTGGCTGTATTCGCGCCAGCTCATTCTGGCTCTTCTGCCTTTCAGCGTCTACTCGGTCTTCCACGTCGCAACCTACAGCCGCATGTACTTGATCCCTACCCTGCAGCCCGCTGCTCCGGCCGCCCCTACCTCTCCCACCTCCCCTAGCTCCAAGCCCGCTGTCAAGCAGTCTCCCCTCGCCGAGACCATTGGACGGTTCATCAAGCAATACTACGATGCTAGCATGGGTGTTGTCGCTACCCTCGAGATTGCCCTGCTGTTCCGCCTTGTTCTGTCCGCTATCACCTTCTCCAAGGGTAGCTGGGTGCTCCTGTTGGTCTACCTGTCTTTCTTCCGCGCCCGCTATGCGCAGAGCTCCTTCGTCCAACAGGCCGTCCGCCAGCTCACCGCCCGTGCCGATGCCACCATCTCCCACCAGAGCACTCCTCCTCAGGTTCGCCAGGGCTGGGAGACCGTCAAGGGTATTGTGCGTCAGGGCTACGAAGCCACCGATATCGGCCGCTACGTCTCTGGCCCTACCGCTGCCAAGAAGCCGCAGTAAATGTCGCTATGGTGATGTGCCAGACACCTTTCTTTGCAAGCTGGGAGCTCATGGCGTTAGGAAAGAACGTGAGTTTTCGGTTTGCGAGATTTATGAACGAAGGTGGCTGGTGCGAGGCATAATATTACAGCTTTATCTTTCCCCTTGGCATGTTCCCGCCTGAGCGAAGAACTTGGAGGATGTCGGAGTATGGGACGCCCAGGTCCCGACTGTAGAAAAGAGGCGGACGCGGAGGATTCCCGCCATGATGATGCTATACGCAACGACTTGTGTTTATTATTTCTAGAGTATTGCGATGCATAGTTTTGTATTTGCTTTCCTCTTGTCAACATACCTTGTTTCGGTTTCTCTTCGGTATTTTGAATTTGGAGATTTTGTAGAGACCCGCTAAATATAGTAGGCAATAACTGAAAGGGGATGTCCCAACCCCTATAAAAAGCAGCGTCCAAACCAATTGGACAAGGTGTATGTGCAAGTTTGTTAGAAGTGGACATGCACGAATATATTTGTGTACCAAGGAAGTTGGAGGATAATAAGGACTAAGAAGCTCATTTGCGGGTTTTATAGAAACCAATTATTTTGTGTCCTTGCACATATTTGAAAGAAGCCTCTCAGACTAAATCAGCAAGATTATTTATGCTATAGGTATCTCAGATCTCTCAGACAAAATGCTATGACGAAATCCCGTGACTCATGCCTGAGGCGACATATCGGGCTTGGCGGCGAAAAGAAGCCGATCAGAATTTTGGCTGGTGGAACAATCGTCTCGCAAACAATACTAATCAATCCTTTCTCGGTCTCTTGTCACTCTTTCTTCCTATTACCTCCCAGGGGTGCTCCTCTCCCATCCACTCTCTCAGCACCCCCTAATCCCAGCCTGGTCCCGACCAGTACCCGCTTGGGACTGCAGTTTGGCATAATATTGCCATGAGCCTGACCTCGCGGGTGTTCGGCCTGTTCTCGACAGCGACCTCGGACTCAACAACACCGGTGGGGGACTCACATACCTCGACATGGACACAGCCGACCCCAACTGGTGGAATCCATGATTCCTACCACACTGTTCGAAATGACCTCGCGCTGTTGGAGGAAGAGGAGCCTCGGCCGCCATACCTACATGTACAATTGTCCCTAGCGACATCCCACCATTGCGCGAGGGCTGACCTGATTTCAAAATTATAGGCGATGTTGGCTGGTGGTACCGGAGGAACATGTGGCGACATGTTAATGCACTCATTAGACACAGTCAAGACCCGACAACAGGGCGATCCGACCTTTCCGCCCAAATACACTTCGATGGGTCAGTCCTATTCAACAATTTACCGCCAAGAAGGATTCTGTCGCGGATTATATGGAGGAGTAACACCGGCCCTGCTCGGCTCGTTTCCCGGCACCGTGATCTTCTTCGGCGTGTATGAATATACCAAGCGTTTGATGATCGATTCCGGGATCAACCCCAGCATCGCCTATTTATCAGGTGGTTTCTTTGCCGACTTGGCTGCATCGGTTGTCTACGTGCCATCCGAGGTGCTGAAGACGCGACTCCAGTTGCAGGGCCGACACAACAACCCCCACTTCGACTCGGGCTACAACTACCGCAACATGCGAGATGGGTTCCGTCAGATCGTCCGCCTCGAAGGAATTTCAGCATTATTCCACGGTTACAAGGCTACTATCTTCCGCGACCTCCCGTTTTCGGCGCTCCAATTCGCATTCTACGAGAAAGAACAATCAATGGCTAAACAATGGGTTGGCAAACGGGACATTGGACTGGGATTGGAGATCTTGACAGCCGCCACCGCTGGCGGTATGGCTGGTGTGATCACCTGTCCCATGGATGTGGTCAAGACTCGCATCCAAACCCAGCAAAACCCACCAGAGCCCCCATCCGGTTCTTCGGGCGCCAAACATAATGTCGAACACATACCGAAAGAAAGCCCACGGCCACACGCCCCGGCCTCATCACATTCCCACCCTTCCCGGGCACACTCGCGACCAATCTCCACATCAGGGGCAAGCACAGCAATCCCCCCCACCGGGTACGCCGCGACTTGACACTTCCTCCGTGTTCACGGGGTTGAAGATGATCTACCGCACGGAAGGTATTGCGGGGTGGTTCCGCGGCGTGGGCCCACGCGGTGTGTGGACTAGCATCCAAAGCGGAACTATGCTGGTTATGTATCAGTACCTGCTCAAACAACTCGAGGCTTACCAGATTATGGAAGGGTCTCTGTAAGGCCTTTCATCTAACTGCATGCATTTCCAAGATTTCTGTTTTTCTTTCTTTTTTCATTGGGAAACGGGGCGTTGGATTTCTTTGTCCCAATTGGGGATGTTATGACCCTGCTTTGAGCATTTTGTATACTGTGTACCCTACTCTGTGATAGATTATTAGACTGGCTACGGCCTCCTGTACCATAACTCTTCTTTTCATCTCCATATTATACATATTTTGGCATATTGCAGGTTCTACACTCCGATTAGATGTGATATATTTGCTGATATCCAAGCAAATAGGGTAAACTATATAATTCATAACAAAAAGAAACATAGAATCTTTCTACTATCCAACCCTGGTTACATATTCTTAAAAAAGACCTAGAAAAAGAAATCAAAGAAAACGGAATGACACTGAACAAAGGGAGTGAACGCGCTAAACCGTGTTTTGTTTTGGCGATCGGCGGATGTAAACAATTACCGGCCACTCCCCTCCCTTGCATCTTCTTTCCCCCCCAGTATTTACTTTCTTATTTGACATTGGTCCAATTTCTCACAGTTGATATCGGATACATTATGTCTCTTCCTTATCTCAAGTCGCTGAAAAAGCCTGAGTTGGCCGAGTTGGCCGATCAGACCGACCTGCCACAGTAAGAACGAAAGCGATTGTCGCATAGACCGAGCTGATCGAATCTATAGCTACGATGACTATAACAAGAACGATCTTGTCGTAGTTCTGGACAGACATCTCCGCGAAAACCGCTCTATCTTCTCCGGACTCAAGAGCCTCTCTGAATACTACTCGCGCCTGGCCTCCCCACCCCGCAGAGGATCGCCCGTGAAGCGCGAAACCGCGCGAACCCCAGCGCGCACTCCAGCACGCCGCTCTGCGAAGAAGGAAGTGAAGGAAGAGGAAAAAGAGGAAACTAGGTAAGAGCACCCCTAATGCGCCACTGTATCTATCGCCGTTAACGCACATACTAACCCACGGACAAGCGAGGGTGTGGAGGAACCCATGCCTAGCCCAGTTGTAGTCAGCCCGACTCCCGCTGCGGCGCGCACGAGCACTCGTCAGTCCGCGCGCCAGACACCCCGCCAGACGCCCCGCCAACCAGTTCTCGCTACTGTCGTAGATCCAGAGCCATCACTGCCCGCATCTCCCGCTGCCATCACCGAAGCCATCGATGCGCAGACGCTCAAGTTGCGCGAGAGCCTTGAGGATGTCTGGACTGCGTCCGGTTTGGTAGACCGCGCGCATTCCTGCGAGCAACGCTGAGCAGCGTGAAGGCGGTTGAGATCATCGTGCTTCTGCTTGAGAGTGGCAGTCTTGCGAAAGAGTTGATCCCGATACGCTACCTTACTACTACGCCTCCTGTGCAAGCCGCGCAGATCCCCGCGATTCCCATCCGCGTTCCTGATCTATTTGTGTTCTTGGAAGGAGCATTCTGGGCGCCGTTTTCGCTTTGGTTCCTTACTTGTCTGTTTTTGCCTTTGGTTTCTGCCTACTTTATCAACTTGAGCTGGAAGGCTTCTAGCAGTGCGCGTCGCACCCGGTCTGCGCCTAGTCTTGCCCAGTTTGATCCGTTGACTTTCAATATTGTCAAGGCGTTGCTGGTGCACATTGTCTTTGGCAATGGTTTCAACTTCTTTGGTTTCTATAGCAGGTATGCTATTGGGAAGGTTGTTGACTCTGTCCCTGGTGGAGACCTTGGTCTTTTTACCGGGTCCGCTATCGGTGGTGTTAGTGCTCTGTACGAGGCTATTCTGCACCGCTCGTGAGGTATGAATTTTGTGAGGCTGTACAGATCGAGCAATGGTTATTCAGTGGTTTTGGATGATTGTTATTCTATTCGTCTCCATGGTTGTTTTTTTGTTTATGGGTTCAAGTTTTAGTCACTGGTATGTGGTTTATGCGATATGCGATATTGGGTTTCCTTTGCCTTCTCTTTCCCCTGTCTTGCTGGGTCTCTCGTTCTAGCCAGAGATGGCGCCTTGGGGTTTTTATTCTGGTCCTTGTTCTGATCATCTTTTTGGGAGACTCTCCCCTGTTTTTCTCTCCTAATGACCGATTCTTTATTTTCCAGTCTGTGTCAGGGGTATCAAAGTGTAGAAGTATATGTATAGTCGAGTTTATCCATCCTGTGGACAACCTTTTAATGCTGGCATAGGGGCGCAGCGGTTGCTGGAAGCCAATCTACCATATCTGTTGCTATGGGCTAAATCGCAAATTTGCGATAGCGATGTGCCTCCGACAGCCTAGGCTCCATGAGGCTGAAAGGTCCCGGACAGACTGGTGCTTCCTATTAACCTCTGTGCCCACCTTGGCAATACCATGCTTCACACTCGCAGTCACCTCTTCAACCTCTCCGCCAACTCCACAGTGAACAAAACCGGCACAGAGGTCTCAACCTCGACCCTATCGGCGCGGATATGATTGCTCGTGGATAGCTGCCCTCCAATCTCGGTATGCCAATTCTCCACATCCCATTCAAAGCCATGGGTTGTAATCTTAGCAGGTGACGAGAGGGGGATGATCCCGATATTCTCTTCGAAGAAGTATTCCGGTTCTGATTCTTGCTCTTGCTCCTGCTCTTGCCCGCGCTTCCGTTTTCTTGGTGATTTGCTTACACCAGATGCCGACCCTGTCACGATATCTGCTCGTCTTGTTGCCGGCGTGTGGATTGTATTCTTCCCTGTTTGGATAATGAAGGTAATGCTTTCCTCGGAGACGAGGTAGAGGTTACCACCTGCAGCTGGCTTGGCATCAGAGCTTGAGGTGTCGCTTCCATTTTCCCGGATTGAGCGCTGCGTCTGCGTCATCATGTACAAATGGTGGACTTGGGAGAACGCTTGATCCACGCGGCCGCCTAGGCCGCCGAGGATGACAATTTCCAGAGGTGATTGATCAGATGGTGAGGTTGATGTGCTTCCATTTGCGCCATTGGTGTCTGATTTGGTGGCTTTTGCTCCGTTTCGGGGAGAAGCTATGATCTCCGCGGCATGTGCGTTGAGATATTTTAGACACTTTGTGAAGTCTGTTGAGTATTGGTCTGGATCTTGGAGGACGGACACTCCGAGTTTCTCATAATGCTCTCGCACTGCGGGGCGGATGGAATCAAGGTCGCCGACAATGGAGTCAGGAAGCTATATCTGGTCAGTTTGGTCTTTATTGTGATGCAGTTAGGTATTTCTCCCCAAGACTGCAGTCTAGAAGGATTGTGCAAATAGTACAGTCCATATATATCGCTTACTTGGTCATTATATTCCGGCATATCAAAAAGCCGATTGGCGCCTCCGTCGGCGCAAATAATATAGGATGCTGTATAGCCATTAGTATTCCTTATTCAAGGCATCATGTCTATATAATTCATATAGAAACTTACCATATCTGCTCAGCACTCCAAAAGCTCTCTCATTGATTGGCTGGTTGAGGATGAGAAGAGCGTACGGCGAAGAACTTCCCTGAGGATGGAAGAATCGGCTGGGATCCCACTCCATTGCGAGTAACGAATACAAACCAAACCGAACTAGTTCAAAAGATGTAAACAAGAGAAATCAAAACCCGAAAGCATGCGTGGTGACGATATAATTATCTCGACTCAAAGCTGCAACGTGACTGGCTGACGCGGGCAGACAACCTCAGGCCAAAATCCACATCGCTTTCCAACTTCTCCATCCCGCGGTGCCTCGACTCCCCTCCTCCCAATCCCTTCTTGGAGGAACTCTCGGTCAATTCGATTGATTCCCACTCTTCTCACACATAATGTTCCGTCCCGCCGCTCGAGCGCTCGCCCGCGCGCCCACCGTCGCAGCCCGTACACCAGCGAACAGACGATTGATAAGCACCGGTCCGACCAAGTCGAGAAGCTGGAAGAACACCTTCTTGCGATTGGGCCTGGCCGGTGGTGCAGTCTACTACTACAACACGAGCAGTGTTTTCTCCGAGGAGCCGAAGTGTACGTTTCGCCGATTGGAGTTGGGATTGCCCTTGTTCCTCGATCCCGAGGTTGCAAGCCGCGACAATCCCGTCCCCGTCAAGGCCAATGAGGTCTGGGATCGCAAATCGCTAACTCTGCTTCTGTTTGGCTTTAGTCTCTCTCCTTTCTTCGATCCGGAAACAAAATGGCGATGATGCCAACCCCCAGACCCTCGACTCCATTACTCCGAAGATTCGGCAAGAACGAGCTGCCGCGCAGGCCCAGAAGAGCGAGTCTGCTGTTTTTGAAGGTGGACTGAACGCCCAGGAGCTCGAGGAGGAGGCCGGCCAGGAGGCTGCGTTCAACCCCGAGACCGGCGAGATCAACTGGGACTGCCCGTGTCTTGGAGGTATGGCCCACGGGCCATGTGGAGAGGACTTTAAGGCTGCTTTCAGCTGCTTCGTCTACTCCGAGGAAGAGCCTAAGGGCATTGACTGCATTGAGAAATTCAAGTATGTTTCACTGTCATTTTGAGACCGATGGTTCTGTGCTAACGATTTTTGCAGGGCCATGCAAGATTGCTTCCGCCAATACCCTGAAGTCTACGGCGCCGAGCTGGAAGACGACGATGAGCCCCAACCTCAGTCCGATGCTCCCGCTCCTTCCGAAGCTCCAGCTCCCTCTGAAGTTCCCTCTACCTCCGAACCTAGTGCTGCCGAGGTGGATGCGTCGTCGCACCCCACTGAGAAGCAGACCCGCGCTAAGGACGTCAACACCCAGGCGAAGGCCGACAACGCTGCTGCAGGCGAGAGCGCCGAGAGCGACTCTCTCATCCCCAAGGCCGCGCATGACACCGAGGAGAAGAACCAGGCCGGCAAGGCTTAGAGCTGAGCTTCCGAATCCCTGCATCCTGTTTGACACCATCCTCCCCTAGAGACAAGCGTACTGCTCGATTTCTTTTCCGTAATGCACAGGGACTGGGATTGGAGTTGTGTATTATATAGACCTTTCTGCCATCTCTCCATCTCCCCTTTTGCCTTTGATGCATTTTCCCCGTGATCTTTCAGCATATCCATTCCCCCGGTCTGCGCTCCTGTGTTCTTCCTGATACTTCCTCCTTGTCAATGTGTAACTTAGTGTACTGATATGCTTCACGCTCTTGTCCCTTGGACAAATAAAAGAAAGAGGGGAAATCGAATAGACCTGTTGCATCATGACTATATTGTATAGAGCCTTTGCATAGGACCAGACAAGGAGGGCATATCTCCTGTTGGAAAAGAGCTGGTCCATTTTCCGCGGAAATCTTGTCAAATATTGAAATTAGTTTCCACACAACTGCTGAGGTTGCATGAACCCAGCTTCTCTCACTTGCTTCAAGAGTGCAAACGTGACTGTCGGGCCCGTTCTACCTTATTCCATGATTCCTGTCTTGCCAATTGGCTTTTCTACAACCATCATCACTTACTGCAACAATTCTTGCCTAGCCCTATATTCATGCAACCTTCGAACAACACTCTCCCCATTCCATAGCTCTTCACCTCCTTCGTTGCTCTTCTCCGGCATCCCTACCTGCTCTAATGCAAACGAAGCTGCAACAGACCCGTAGCAGGCCGCTTCAAGAATATCACCCTTTCCTTGGAGGTATCCAATAGCGTAGCCTCCCAGAAATGCATTACCAGCTCCAGTCGGATCAACCACTTTAGCAGGCTGCTCTTCTCCTATGTCTTCTTTGTAAAAAGGAGGTAGCCATCGAGAAGCGGTGTTACGCGATTGAACGAAACAGCCATTCTCACCAGCTCGAATAACCACCGCGCCTTTTCCTTCCGGGCCGACTCCGCTAGCCAGGAGCTTCTCGCCCAGCCTTTCGATCTCGGATCTATCGGATGCAACCGGCGACTGTCCAAAGAATGCCGCCAGCTCTAAATGGTTTGGAGAGAACACGTCGACCAGAGCTGCGGTTTCTAGACAAGCTTCGAGGTTTTCCGGTCTGCACGAAAGAGGGGCCGGTTCCCAGATAATCAAAGGTCGGTCTAGTATACCCTCTTTCTCTCGGAGAGCGAGGATATTCAGAACATGTGTTTTCATATCTTGGGGACTAGCAAGATAGTGATACACCTTCGAAGCCAGCAAGGCCGTGTCCTGCAGCTTGCTTTCTCGAACTGCCAGAACCGGTGTGGTGTACTTGAAATTCTTGGCTAAAAGACAAGTTAGCTCATTCATATATGTCTGGATTTACAAATGGAAACAGAGATGGGAAATGAAAAGGCATTTCGCACGTCCAAATGTAGTATCTTGATATTCCAGTAAGCCTCGAGTCGAGGGTCTTTCTGATTCCTTGTCTATGACCAGATTTGTATCCCAGGTCTGCAGATGCTCTGCAATGGCGTCTGGGAAGTCATTTCCCACATGGATCGGCCAGGCTAAGGAGCGGCTGAGTGGTGAGGGTAGGAACAACCGGGCGCCCAGAGTGGCTGGATCAGATATGTATGTATTAGAAATCTGGTTGTTCTGGATATAGTGAGATATAGTGCAGGCAAAAACTAACCATAAGCCCCGGACCCTCCCAGTACATTGGTTAGAGGTTTCCGGTTGGGAAAATGGATCTCGTCCAGCACCACCAAGCCAAAGCTTGCGAAAGAAATGTCCATAGGAGAATTTCCCACTTTTTCCAAGACTTTCCAAGACAGGATATTTCTGATGTTTCTGATTTTGAGACAAACAGGGGGCCTGTGTTAGTGTTTTGCCCGCTTGGTCGATCGGTGGACTCGGAACGGGGAATGAACTTTGTGGCGTCTCGGTGGGTAACTTGGTCAAAGTTCCAGTCTTGTCTCTTTCAAACCCCCCCCCAAAAAAATGCGATCCTTCGTACTTCTTATGGAGAACACGTTACAGGTTTATCTTTCCATGTCGAATAATTTAGTGTAGGTAATATATACTGTTGAGTCCATTTGGTATTCAAGACACTCTTTTAGGGTTGCCATAGGAGTCCAATTGGCATACCCAAATAGGAAATTTATAGTAACTTCCTCCGTCCACTCCGTACGGAGGACATACAACACAACTTCTATATACGGAGTCCTCCGTAGATCTACGCCAAATGGAAGATAAAACTTTAAAGGCAACATTGGAAGTGTGGATCGTTTCAAGTAGATTTGACTCACTAGACCTCGGTAGTATACTTGATCTTCCCTAATAATAGCTTAAGGGAAAGAGACCTCGACATTTAGCATTCCGTAGAACAACGCCCTCTCTGACTCAAAGCTATATTGAAATATTTCATATGCTCATTTCCTGTGTACGAGGTAACCCACTTGGAATCAGTTACCCAATTCGTAAAAATATAATATATTGATCGTCCCGGGGGTCCCCTTCCTGAACCTTATGCCAACTCGCATTCTATCAAACTCTCAGCACTATCCAGCGGGGTCCAGATTTTAATAATCTTGAGACCAACAGGCTCAATAACCTGATGCCACTGCTGTTCCGTCCGCTCCTTGGCAGCAAGATCCACCATCATGATCAGGTCGAGGGAAGTAGCCTGCCAATGGGCCCCGGTATTGGGGACAACGTTCTCATTGATCAGCAACTTGCTGTATCCGGGCGTCATCGCCGCGACCAACTGTGACAGGATTTTCCGGCAAGTCTCGCCATTCCAGTCGTGTAGGACCGAGTGCAAGAAATATACTCGCGCGCCTAGACATGTGTCAGCTACTACTAGTAGTTAATTTTCGGTGCGTCTCAATCCACTCACCCTTGATAGGCTGTTCCTGGTAGAAGTCGTGCACCATGGACTTGATTGCTGGGTTCAATGACTTGATATCTTTCAAAACGTGTGGCTGGTCTTGCAGGATCAATCTACCCGGTGTGTTGGGCCACTTCGATATGAACTCCTCCAGATCATGTCCTTTGTTCCCGCCAACGTCCACGATAAAAACGTCTTCTTCACCGGTCTTCGCTCCCTCGATGAGAGTCTCTACAGGATAGAAATTCCCATCCATCCAGCTGGGTCTGCCTTGGTGGTAGGCCGACATGAGATTGTTGAATTGGGCGCCGAGTTCGGGGTAGTCGGGGTTCTTGCCGTTAAGAAATTCGAAGAAGTGATAGTTGGTTTTGAATCCTAGGGTAAACGGACAGTCTGTTCCTACGGTGGGACTTCGATAGTCGTTTTTCTTGAGCCAGGCGGGTAGTGCGTTGATTGCTGGAAGCGTGCATCCATTACTGCCGGTGAGTAGTCAAGTCAGTATACCAATCTGGAGAAGAGAATGTCCAGGGAACTACTTACATGCACGGCCAAGCATCATTGTACCGCTTAATAGACAATGTGGTAGTTAGCCCGTTGCGGCCATACTCATCCATACCAGTCTCAATGAAGACCCCCATTGTGGCGAGATGCTTCATGATACGACCTTCACAATGATGAAATGAGCGTTATATTTGTCTGATATGGAAATTATCACTGACCGAGAAGTTCTGGTTCCGCGCCTGTTGTGGCTGCGAGCTCTGCCACTGTCTTAGGCTTGTCGGTCTGTGCTAATATGAAGAAGATACCCAGATCGATACAGGTTTCGATGCCGGCGAACGCTGTCGGCTGTCATATAGAAACGACCAAATAAGCATTCTCGGTTCCTCGACTAAGATCTTTGTTCTGACGCACCTGGGCCCAGCAGTATCGCAGCATGGTCTCCTGGGGTGTTTCCATTGCCTGTACGAGAGACCGGGCTGTCTCTAGGAGATTCAGGCGCGCATCAGTGTTGCCGTTGGTGTAAGCCTGGGAATGGGATTCAATTTCCTTCTGCAAATGGGCAAGTCTCTCAGGGGCGCTGGGCGTAGTAGCAACTCGAGGATCAATAATGGCTTGCCCATGGCCATTAGTTGCAGATCCGTTTGATACAGTCATTTTGAATGTTGCGTGAGATTGTGACACCTTTGACAGAGAGAAAATGGTGAACTTAAAACAGGAATATGGAATATCTCTAACATATGGCTAGCTATATAAGGGGCCTTGTGAACCATGTTAAGCGGATGCGAACGTATATGGGTTCCACTATGGAAAACAAAGATAATATGTTGTAATAGTATCCCATGCCTGGATATCAATGAAACAGACTGCTTCAGACTAGCGCTATAAAAGGTTATTGCGTGATATGTTTATTGGATTCTTCATTTTATTCCGTCCGGTTCAGGGTGAAAGAAGGGAGTCAATCCAGCTGAATCACTTATTGGTAGCTGATGGCGGGCTATCAGACCGTGTCTAACCGTGTCTACCGATTAGTGCATGCGGGTCTACAATATAGGACAAAAACTTGTAAAACATGCTGGGATTAGGTGCGCTAAAACAACTCGCGGTTACGTTGGAGATGGATGAGGGCCTCGCAGGATCGTTGATGCATGTCACTAATGCATTGTGCCCCGTTCGACCCCGGTATATACGCTAGAGTACTCCAATCGGCTGTTCATATTGTTGTTCTAAGCAAGAAAAATGGACCTGTGCTCACATACGGAGTATAATATACTACCGTTGAAATGATCCCTGAATCAGACAATCCCCTTATCTTAGTTTTTAGTTTTTAATTACTTTTGCCACTCACAAGCTCCTCGGCTCCTTTGCATCTCATAAAGTCACTAGCTACACTCGTTGTCAATGGTGATCCAGATCTTGATATAGAACACTCCCTGGTATGGCGGGTTCGATGACTGATGTCGCCAAAACGGGCGACAAAGGCCCAAAAATGTTGGCGGTAATGTGGACAATGACAGCACTTGCCACGTTACTTGTTATCGCTCGTTTATGTGTCCGACAGCGAATGCTACGCAACTTCGGGTTCGATGACTGGTTGATCGGAGCATCTATGGTGATTATCCCATCTGTTTCGGCTTCCTCTGAAAGCATCCTGGACCAAGGTTTCTGACATATACGACTGCTTCAGATCTTCGGGCTAATTTTCGTTGCGACTGCGACAGTCTCCGTGACTTATGGATATGGACAGCACATGAGCAATCTCGATCCTAAGACCGTTGAGCCGGCCCTCATGTGGAATATGATCTCGTTCATTTTCGGAATTATATCCTTCGCAATACCGAAGCTTGCGGTTGCGGCACTACTCCATCGAATCCTGAACCCAAGCTTCATCCAACGTATTATAGTGTGGGGTCTTGTCATTCTGGTCGCTATCATTGCCCTCGTCAACATCCTGATCTACGTTACCATGTGCAATCCGCCGCAGGCACTTTGGAAACCTTCGATGATACTAAAAGGGGGGGGCGACGTGTCGGGATGTTTGGATTCTTATAAACTATGCTACATTTAACGGAGGTGAGCGGTGTTCGATGGATCGTGATTCTCACCACAGTGACTGATTAACGCCATGCACGAACAGCTTTCTCCGCGTTCGTCGATCTCTTCCTCGCTATCTATCCAGGCGTTGTTCTGTTCAAACTGCAAATGTCATTGCGCAAAAAGATTGCATTGACTGCTGCGCTTGGTCTGGGTTCAATGTATGGGAATATGGAAATTGATCCCTTGGAGTACCCCAAAGCTAACAAGTACGGTCTGCGCTAGTGCGGCTGCAACTGCAATGGTCAAATGTGCTCAGATCAAGGGTCTGGCTGACCAGACTGATCCAACCTGTTAGTTCTCTTTTCCGAGTTTGATCCTGACCTTCCAAATGCTAACGCTGATCGGTGGATTAGTTAGCACTGTACCTCTTGTGGTTTGGACAAAGCAAGCGATTCCATCTTCCACCAAGTTGTTATCATACTAACAAGCCTCCAGTGTCGAAGCCAATGTCGTTGTCATTGCCGCCTGTATACCGACATTACAGCCGATGCTTGAACTTATTCTGAGAAAGTTGAAACTCGTTTCGACATTTAAGGGTCACTCCAAGCCATCATCCTACGCACAACACAAGATATACGACAATCAATCCAGTTCTTGGGCTCACGCGTCGAAAAAGGAAAGAACTACTCCGTCGCGGAAGGAGAGTCAGGAAAGTATCCTCAATGACCTGGAGCAATACCAGATACGGCGCACGGATGAAGTCCATGTTGAATATGAGATGCAGCAGCCGAAGGCAGCTTCGAAATAAGTCACTCGGGTACTGACTGAAATTAACGAAATACTCAAGATAATGAAATATTTAGACTTATACGGCTTCTTATGTCTGTTTTGTTGGTCTTTTTGGTAGTCTCCTTGGATTCCTTAGATGTATTAAATGTATTCTTTTATAGATCTTCCCCTTCCAAGTGCTGCAGCTAGAAGGCTAAGGAGAACCCAATCTAAACATACTTTCACATGCAGATTGCCAGGGATCGGTCAGGACTAGTAGTTTCATGTTGAAAGCAGTTCTCCAGTTTATGGAATTGTACGAGAATAATCAAACTCACGCCCGGGTATGATGTTACATATGCACATATGTAGGTAGTAGAGATGGCACTCCAAAGAGACTAGACTGAAAACAAGGCTACGCAAGCCAATAGCCAATACAACAGATTTCACTTAAGATACAATTAAAAGACTTGAGGCTCAGCGGGAACCTTGGAATATTTTGGAGGTCCCGTGGACTGTATAACAACCTTGAAATCTTGGGACCTTTCCAAGGTGAAGGAGAGCCCTGGAGAGGTTCCTCAGAATGAAACAGGGGCCCGACCAGGAGAAGCCGATCCCAGCCCGGGAGCAGATAAACTTTTACCGTTTTAGCACATGTGGTCACGTGGTGTTGTGGAGTGATTATTGACTTGGTTGTTTGTACCTGGGTACCTACATATGTCGGTAAGAAGAAAGTTTCTTTCCTCCTTCTTTATTCCATCTGTCTATCTTTTCAGTACAAGTGAGTGTTGATACTTTCTTGTGCTTCTGTTCCTGTAGAGACCTTGTCTTGGAGCTTCGATCACGTGATTCAAGTGGCTGCCTGATTCATCAGGCTAGTAATACCTGCTTGTTTACTCTTTCTCAGCCTCTCTCTCTCTTCCCAGTCTTCCAAGGTTTGTTAGTCTTTCAATACAGATCTTTCCGCTCTGCTTCTTGTTCTCGTTCTCCAACACCTTGGAAGCGTTCAGCATTTTCTTTCAACATGACCACCCGAGGTCAGCCTCCTGGTCTTGTGCGCTCAACCACCCCACCAGATCCCACTCTCAATGTGCGCCCCGTACCAAGCTATCGCAATTTTGCCTTTCGCTCATTTGGACAAGGCGCTGCTGTATCGGATTTGACGACGGTTCGGTCGCTTCAAGAGCTAGATACTCTCCCCGAGGCCGATCCAGAAACCAGCGACCTTCGATTCTATTCGAAAAGATCCGATACAGTACGCAATTTGCTCCAACAAGTCGAAGAGCATGAGCAACTTTATAGTGGAGACGAGGTGCTTAGGCGAGACCCTACGTGGGGGTTTTTCGTGTTCGTGACGGATTATTCGCCTACCAATATTGAAAATATCCCCCGAGCAATGGAAAAACCTAGTGAAATCGATCGAGCGCACTATGCGAAGGAGTCTTCGTGCCTATATAGGCGAGGCTTCCCGCCGCTTTAAGCTAGATATAGTTGAAGATGAAGAGGCCTTATCAGGTGCCTCGGACGATCGTATACGGGAGGAGTTTAGGGCCTACCTTCGGACTACGCGCCTACTCGATAGTAAGGGTAATATCTGGCCTCCGGCGAGGAATATAGCTTGTTTAGTTCTTGATAGGAGTACGACTTCTATGCTAGCCAATCTCTCCTTTATCGGTGGCAACTATATGGACGAATATAAGGCGTTTAAGGGAAAATCTGTCAAAGTTGTGGACTCGACATGGGAGCGTCCGTATATGAATACCTCCCTTTATCGTGGTGTGGACCAGTGCCCTCTTTATTACATTCTCAGCTTGTATTTTCACCTCACGAAGAGTGGGGGATTTATGGAGGACCTCTACCCTATGCACGACAGATGCTATTGAAATGGACTAGTTATCCACAATTCTACAATTTGATTGCAATTGAAAAAATGTAACATTTGTCTTCATTAAGCTGCTATAGTTACTCCGCTGACATAGGAGGTGCCCATGTCCTGACGAGAGGGAACCAACTGAAGAGTAGATCGGAGGATCCCGAACTTAACGGATTTCTAAGGATTGAGATGACCGGGGACAAGCAAAGTGGCTTTGGATAGAGCATTCTGATGGCTTCTTTGCTTTCTCTTTTATTGTACGATAGCTGAAGCCGAGAGCCTGATTCAGTTTGCTTTACGGACTAGTATAAATCAGTATAAATTAGCAACTGTCTCAACCCTTTTTGTTCTATCTTGATTATAGTGTTCATAGTTAAACCGAGTGTTATCAAAGTTCTCGCTAGAGGTTCTTCCTACATAGTATGCAGCTTGTTAGAATTAAGTAACTCTGATGAAAGTCATAAGTGGGAGATAGTCTCTAAATATATTTCATAGTTGAAGGCTAGAGCCCGAGGCGTAAGAGCCAAGCCATGGAAATTAGGACCGGACTCTTAGAATCCGGTCTGCCCCTCGAGGAAACCCAAAAAGGAAATCCACCGGCATTCACTCTCCTATGCCGATTATTGGCATGGCGTTATCTTAAACTAACTCCATTAATTCCGTTTATTCTACTCCAGATATGTGATGCTGTCAATGACCACTAAATAACCGGCCATCCTAACTCCGTATTCTACGCATGGGGCTCCGGCGGGTGCCTATAAGGATCAATCAGATTTCGGATAAACCGATACTTTATAGGAAAACCATCACCAGCATCTGCATCCTTAATTCGCTTAAAGTCCAGCTGCACGACTCCCCCTTCTTCCTGTTATCTTAAACCCCAGCTACTACCCCTTTTACTCATACTATACGAAGTTATCCACCCTCTATAGCAAGTGCTTCAACAATGACCCAGACTCCAGAAAACAAGGCGGCCTGGCTATCCGCCTCCGGTGTCGCGCCGCTTGAGATCGGCCCGGCGCCGTACACATCACCGAGGCCTCACCAGATTGTGGTGAAGAATAGTGCACTGGGCATCAATTCGGTCGACTGGGCCAAGCAGATGCTCGGCGAGACCTTGCTAGGCTATATCAGGTACCCCTTCGTCCTTGGCGAGGATGTGGCCGGCACCGTTGTCGAAGTGGGCGAGGGAATAGAGCGCTTCCATGTCGGTGACCGTGTTGTAGCTGCAGCTGCAGCCATCTCCACCAACATCTCCTCTGAGGGCGGTTTCCAGCTGTATACAGTCATCCGCGAGTGGCTAGCCACACCACTACCAGATAGCATTACCTTTGAGCAGGCTAGTGTGATACCGCTAGCCATCTTCACAGCCTCTTATGGCCTGTTTGACACCGGCTACCTGGGCCTTGATCTACCAACCGTGCCTGCACGTCAGTCTAGCGACAAGCGTGTTGTCATCATCACCGGCGGCTCATCGGCTGTTGGTAGCACCGCTATCCAGCTGGCTGTGTCCGCCGGCTATGAGGTTGTGTCGACGGCGTCGCCTAAGAACTTCGACTACGTTAAAAAGCTCGGTGCTGCCCACATATTTGACTACAAGAGTGACACCGTGATTGAGGATATCAGCGCTGCTGTCAAGGGATTCCATCTTACCGGCGGCTACTCCATCGGCGACGGCTCCATCGACCTGCTGGCCGCCGTACTGTCCAAGCATCAGGGCCCCTCTGTTAATAAATTCATTGCTCTCGCCGGCGGTAAGCCCCGGGGCCGCAGCATTGACCCGAGTATCCAGGTCAAGTTCATCTTGCTCGGCCCGGACGCGGCTGCCTCTGACTCTGTCGTAAGCAATATCTACAAGGGCTACCTCCCGGATGCACTCGCCAACGGACAGTTTGTGCCAGCACCCAAGGCGTTTGTCGTTGGGAAGGGACTGGACAAGATTCAGGAGGCTTTTGGGGTCCATATGCAGGGTGTTTCAGCAAAGAAGATCGTTGTGTCACTATGAAGCCTAGAGATCTATGTATGATCCGCGCCTGTTCAGTCTAGCTATCTAGCTATGTACCACTCATTTTACATTTTGATCTACACTCCGTTAGGATCTAGTATTAGTTCTCAGGCTTCATCATTCAATATTTGTATACAGCCAGACAAACAATGTACTAATAGACCAGCCCACTTTTATTCTCCACCTAACATCCACGGGTATTTCCCAAGCGGCCCGCCCCTAAATCCGATATCTACGACAGTATGTAGCTGCCAGTGTAGGAATCGAGATATTGTAGAAGTTGAGATATCAAAGCTATATAACTATAGCAAAGTTCCTTTTTACAAATTAAGCCTTTTTTGGCCCTTTTCTGCTGTCTACCTAACAAACTAAGAAGGGAGAGAAAATGTCTGTATAACCGGGTATCTAAAAGGCTACCACTGAAAAGACCACTGAAAAGACCACTGGAAAGACCACTGAAAAGACCACTGAAAAGACCACTGAAAAGACCACTGAAAAGACCACTGAAAAGACCACTGAAAAGACCTACAAAATGACATATCAGAGAAGACTAAGACTGCGGTTGGAGACGGGGAAAAGAGTCGGCCTTCACCCAGAGTTCATCTCATCGCATCAAAAGGAGCAGAGATCAAGATCTTAACATAGCATAAAATCTACAGTGGGTGTACTCCAGCACATAGTCGCTGCTAAAACTAGAGAGTCTTTTAATACACCTGACCTTCAAATCCTCGCTCCTTCCAACTACTATGGCCTTACCCCAAGGAAGTCCTCTTAACGGAGGACCGTGGTCAACCCCCGACGTCAATGTCGGTCCCTGGCATCGCCCCTGGGCTCGATACGGATAGCGACCATATACAAAGAAGGTCTGAACAGCAGGGCATTGGCGTGGCATCTAGTTCCCGCCCCTGCGTCCAGCGCGCTACCCGCTACAGTCCTCCGCCGATAGAGGAGGAAGACGAAGGTATCGCTCCGATACCTGATCCTTTTCTGCTTTCATCTGAAACCTCTGAGGAAAGCTCTGAGGAAGGCTCTGATGGCACCTCGGATGATGGGGAGTCAATCTCTAGGGATAAACATGGCTTTGTCAACCGCTTGCCGCCAGGCTTCCCTAAAGGAAGTAAAAGTCTTACAGAGAACCGTCTTTCACCCCCGCCGCAGAAAGGCCCATTCGGATCAAGTATACAGGTGTCCAAGGCTTCTTGGCCAGTGTGTACCAGCAGTACGACCTGTTATGCCAGCACAAAACCGGAAACCAGCTCCTTGAGTTTTCTGGAGTGAGTGACGCTGATTTCAGTTTCCTGTCAGCGGATAGCACACGCCTTTGCAAATCTCCAAAGTTCCAGTACTTCCCCAATTCTCGAATCTTACGTGTCAATATCACTGTCTGGAACCACGAGATTCTGATTTCCCTACTACGGCGGCTCATCGAAAGACAACTTGTCGCAATGAACGTCGACGACGAGTGCATGACGTTTGATTCGCCGATGAATGTACTTGGCGATTGGGTCAAAGAACCAGATCTCTGTTGGTCCCTTATGACCTCCTCTGGCCAACTAAGATGCGTTGTTGAGGTTGGAATATCCGAATCTGCCAGACAACTTTCCATCGATGCACGCGGGTGGTTAGAAGCACCTCGCTCGTCGGTGCAAGCCGTCACTACTGTTTCTTTCAAGTATGTCGATTTAGGGAATGAACCGAACCTGTTCACAATCGCCGTATGGGAGCCTGTGGATCGCATTAGGAGTGCCGACACTCGCCTCTCCCCTCTCAATATTGCTCGTACAGCCACTCTGGATGTATGGAACGTCGCTGGTAATTTGACAGCTTCCGGATTTGTTGTCAAAGAGAAGATACGCAGAGGACTGTGACTACCAAGGAAATCCGTCTTCCCTTCGAGCTGTTTTGTCGGCCGCCCCGCTTCAAAGGGAGGTGAGCATGACATAGTCTTAACAGAAGAGATGGTTATTGGGCTTGTACGCCAATTGTTGCGATTTTGTGACAGCTTTTGTGTTGACTTCAATGTTGAATGGTATTGCGGGACAGGCATTCTTTGTATTTGTATTTGTACTTTGCTTGTCTTGCTCGATCGTATTTGTGCCCTTTTTCTATTATATTCGTTCCCAGTATTCTGAGACCAGGAAGAAGAATTAAAGAAACTTTCATCTGATCCTTTGCGCCGAGCGTAGCCCGTTATTGGATCTTTGCCATGTTTGTTGAATTCTCATCTAGTGGCATACATTGACAGATGAAAAGGTCAAGTGAGAATCTGAAATTTGATGCCGTCCCCGGACAATTGCGCCGATATGAGATTGATAAGGAGCTACTACTGCAAAGGCTCTGCAATGCTGTTCAAGTGTTCATCTCGCGCTTTGCGGGGGTGATGTCGTGACATTCGGAATAACAGTACAAGGCGGTATCACAAGTTTTGAACACGCAAAGCTGATTATTTTGTGCTGTTTAATTTCTATTCTGAGAGAAAAGAGCCAAATGACAGACCTGAGGCCAGGCGGTGTATAGTCCCTTTGCCAAGCACGGATGAACTGCCACCGCCTTCCGAAATTTTTTTGAGTCCCGATATGATTGCGAAAAAATTGGAGATATCCATCGAGTCTACAACTTGCTAAAATGGGCTCCTCTACTACTCAGCTTACCTCGAAGGTGACTTCGGGCTCCCCTTATCAGCTTGACAAGCCCCAGGTTAGTGCCAATGATTCCCAAGATCGAATTTCGCAAAGTACTTATCTTCACTCCAATCAGGCTCTCAAAGCTTCCACCGCGCTGCTGAAGCACATCAAGTCTACTCAGCAGGAACAGGAGAAGACCGCCACCAAGAAGACTCTTATTGGCGACGATGACTCCGATGACGAGAACAGCGCGACCAAGAACGAAGCCATCTGGCTTGTTCTCACCACCAAGCAGCATGTAGTGGACAAGAACCGCCTGAAGCCCGGCAAGATCAGCATCCCTCACTCTCTCAACACATCTCCCTCGCTCAGCATTTGCGTGATCACTGCCGACCCCCAGCGTGGCGTCAAGGATATCATTGCCGACCCATCCTTCCCCCAGGGCCTTTCCTCCCGCATCGAGAAGGTCATTGGTTTCTCTAAACTTAAGGCCCGCTACCAGAGCTTCGAGAGCCGTCGCCAATTGTTCGCCGAGCACGATGTCTTCCTGGCTGATGACCGTATCGCCATGCGCCTGGTCCAGACCCTCGGAAAGATTTTCTACAAGTCCAGCAAGCGCCCAATTCCCATCCGTATCGCCGAGATCGAGAAGGTGGATGGCAAGCGGGTCAAGAAAGACACCAAGAAGATCAACTCTTCCTCCAAGGAAGAGAAGCACGCCTCTTTCGCCTCTCCTCTTATCGTCGCTAAGGAGATCGAGCGTACCCTGAGCTGCGCCCCCGTGCAGCTCGCACCATCCACTACCGCTGCCGTCCGGGTCGGTTCATCCAAGTTCACAGCCGAGCAGCTCTCTGAGAATATTGCCGCTGTGGTCAACGGTCTGACCGATAAGTTTGTTGCAAAGGGCTGGAGAAACATCAAGGCTCTTCACATCAAGGGTGCCAACACCATGGCCCTGCCTATTTGGCTCGCTGATGAGTTGTGGGTGGAGGATGCCAACGTGCTGGAAGCTGCCCCAGAGACCGAGGCTATCAAGGATTCCAAGAAGCGCAAGTCCGCTGAAGACGGCAAGCTGCTCGAGGAGAAGAAGACTAAGAAGACCAAGTCTGCAGAGGATGAGGAGGAGGCTGCTGCCGTGGCCGCGCGGAAAGAGAAGCTCCAGCAGCTCAAGGCTCAGGCGCTCGAAGACGGTGACACAAGCAAGCCCACCGCAACGAAGGTTGGCGGCAAGAAGAAGAAGAAGGCGACTTCATGATGGTTATAGCTCTTAATGTTTTCTGCATGTAAAGGTATTTCTGGCGTACAAAATATCACGTGTCTATTGTTCCGACAATCTATATTGTGCTAGTAATTGAAATCAATCTAACAGTAGACGAACCAAAGCAACGAGATACAACGTAATAGAGCAATAGATTAAGTCCTTTCATCGCCGTCGCGTGCGTCATTTCGAAGAATGATCAGGCTATATGATCACCGCATTAACCGAGTCCGACCTCGGGAGCCAGTCTTGGCAATCCCGACGATAGCCACCCAAAGTCACATCACCGTGAATCGCCGAGCTTCAATCTTGCTCTTTTCCCCCACGCCTGGAAGAACAACGCCAAATCATTCCACCAAGTTGTCATTATGATTCCGATCGCTAGGCACTCTGTCCTGCGGGCTGCCCGCTCTCAGCTCCAACCCACCCGCAAATTGAGCCAGCCCGCTTCTTCGGCGCTCGCCCGCCTCCTCTCGACCCTCGCCGTTCTCGAGCAGCGCAATGGCAAGCTGGAATCTTCATCTTTGTCCGCAATTGCGGCTGCACAGAAGCTTGGTGGCTCAGTAACGGGTTTCATTGCTGGCTCCGGTGTCAAGGGCACCTCCGCTGCCGAGGCTGCTAAGATCAAGGGTATTGAGAAGGTGCTGGCCGTGGATAATGACGCATACGAGAAGGTATATATCCCAGCATCCTCCGAAATCAATTCCTTTAGAAGGATCCTTGACTAACAATTGAATTTCTTGCAAAATAGGGTCTCCCCGAAAACTATGCCCCTCTCCTAGTGGAAAACATTAAGAAGGGCGAATTCACCCACGTCGTTGCAGGTCACTCTGCCTTCGGAAAGAGCCTGCTGCCCCGCGTGGCTGCTCTCTTGGACGTGCAACAAGTCTCGGACATCACCGGCATCGAGAGCGAGGACAGTATGTGGAACCCCAAGAAAGAAGTTTGACATGTGATCCGGCCACTGACCGCAATCCAGCTTTCGTCCGCCCCATCTACGCCGGCAACGCGATTCTGACCGTCCAGTCAACCGACAACGTCAAGGTGATCACAGTGCGAGGCACTGCCTTCCAGGACGTCGAGACCGAGGGCGGCTCCGCTGAGGTCGTCGAGGGAGCGGACCCCAACGCCCCCGCGATGACTGAGTGGGTGTCCGAAGAATTGGCCAAGTCAGAGCGCCCCGAACTCGCCACAGCCACCCGTGTCGTGTCTGGAGGTCGTGGCTTGAAGTCGAAGGAGGAGTTTGACCGCATCATGCTTCCGCTGGCGGATTCCCTCGGCGCTGCTATTGGTGCTTCGCGCGCTGCTGTTGACAGTGGCTTCGCCGATAACAGTCTGCAGGTTGGCCAGACTGGTAAGAACGTTGCTCCTCAGCTTTACCTCTGTGCCGGTATCTCCGGTGCTATCCAGCACTTGGCTGGTATGAAGGACAGCAAGGTTATTGCTGCTATCAACAAGGATCCTGAGGCTCCCATCTTCCAGATTGCTGATGTTGGCCTCGTCGGTGATCTGTTTGACAAGGTGCCTGAGTTGACTGAGAAGATCAAGAGCGCCTAAAATCTGGTTGCACGAATAGTTTCTCTTTTGTATCATGACCTATCGAGCAGGTTGATACGTTTTTTTTTTGTCTGTTAAATGAACCGTACAGTATACCATTGACTAGAGGACTAGGACCAAGTTTTGGTCTAGAATACCAAATGTCCATCGTTTTTGATCTAATTTCAATCTCCTTAGAAACGATCGAATGCTAATTGACAGTTACTTTCAAAACAATCTAGTCTACAATCCAGACACTGCTTGAGTACTTGCCCTGGAACGAACGAAGTGAGAAAGCAATAATCAACGCGGATGTAGGCGCGCACAAGACGTTGCAAAAAGTAGTGGCTTAGCTACCGTGACATATGTATGTGGGTTATTCACCTTCATTCGCTCTTGCACACTGGTACCTGAATTACTGTCGCTTTCTTCGGACTACATATGTATGGAGTTAAATGGGTTATCTGCTAACTAACTCTATAAAGAGACCCTTCAATCAGCTCTTCCAATAAACTTTACACTACCTTTCGAGATAATTACTCTATTTTAACTAGTAAATTACAAAGATTAATAGAGAGTTACAAGACCGAGGAGCATACTGTAAAAGTATAGAATAGAATTTCGAACAGAAGTTTAGGCATTAAGAAATCAGACATTGAGAATTTAGCTAGGTAAGTATCGAGAATATAGGCATAGTAAGTCTATATCATTAAGAATTATTAAGAATTCAATCATTACGGATTCTATTCTCGAGGATTAGGCTTTAATCTTGCACTTATATATAGAGGATTGGTGTGACATGTGACATTGGTGTACATAATGCATCCATGGATAAAACACTCATATTACAAAGTATACTGCAGGCAAAATCTGATATGGTTCATAAGTCGTTAGGGACTGCCGTATCTTGCACGAGTGTTTATTCTGGGTCAACACTGGCGTCCCTTAAGCTGTCTTAAAACTAGCCTCGGATGCCACAAATGGGGCAATGGATGCCAACTTCTCACAAGTTTCAGTCAGTTCTCGTTGTGGATTTGACTGTGAAATGACTCCAGCCCCGGCTTGGATCCACTGGCGATTGGGATCTTGGAACACAGTGCGGAGAACTAGTGCTGCCTCAAAGGAGTTCGGATCTTCAATCATTAAGACGGCGCCGGAGTAGAGCTCTCTTGATTGATGCTCCAAATGCTGGATGGCGTCAATGGCTGCAATCTTTGGAATTCCCGAGGCTGTTATTGATGGAAATAGGACTGCGAGTGCATCCCACACATCTTTGTCTGGCGATAGAGTGCCCGCCACTCGGGACCCTAAATGCTGCACAGCGCCGCGAGCCCGAACCGACATCAGATCTTCAACGAAGATGGAATTTGCTGGGCACAGTTGACCGAGCTCTTGTATAGCCTCTTTGACCGACAAGACATGTTCAACAATTTCCTTTGGATCACTCAGTAATTCCTGTTTCAGTCGTTCAACTTCAGCCTCTGTTCCTCGGCATGACCGTGTACCGGCCAAAGGTTCGGTGATGACTTTTCCATTCTGCGCCGACATAACTAACTCGGGGCTAAAGCCTGTAGCTTGAAACCCTGCCTGGCTCAACGAGAAGCACCGGGCAGGATTATTTGAGCGTCTGCCACCAAGCAGAGTCGCCGGCATGTCGATCTTGCCCTCGATTTCGATGGCTCGCGATGGAATCACTTTGATGTATTGCCCTCTATGTATGTCGGACAGAGCTCTTGCAACTCTAGCAGTGTACTGCCCCGTGTTGTCATCCGTGTCGATAGTTTGAAGATAGACAGGATTCGGGATGGTGCCGCCAAGCTTGATCATGTTATATAGCCCTCTCACGTTCTCATCATCGGATCCAGTCACGGTGACAACGTCTCGGTGAATTGTCACTTGATTGTATGGAACCAGGAGGCTTAGAAGGGGCCATTGGCCGGGTTGGTACGGTTGGCCACGAGTATGCGCGGCATAATTGAAAGCAACTTGGCCGAAAATCTTCCCACCGGAGTTGAAATTTTCGTGGACAAACTTCCTCGAAATATCGGCTAGTGGGGTTCCATTCACTGGATATGATTCTTCCTTAGACTCCGTCTTGATGGTGACCGTCTTTCCTTCAGAGTCGACCAGCAATGACGACTTGTTTCCAAGGCCGATGTACCAGTTTTCGTCCCGCTCATACGCATAGTAATTGTCGTTTTTGTGATTTGCCAACACCATAGCCACTGTCTCCAGAGTATCCGTTTCGCAAGTGAACGTAATGGATGAGAGATTAGAAGACATTTTTCTAGATGGCTTGAGTATCAACAAAGGTATAAGATAGGGTTGGAAATTCAATGAGAATAGGATTATCTTTCGACGAGCAGATTCAAGTTCTTATATATCCCCTTTTTTTACCACTGAAAAGTTTATCTTCAGTACGATCATTTGTACAAATCCGAAAGGGGCATAATACGAGGCACCCACACCAACTCCATGATTTTGGCAACGTTGGAAGCCTATCACTTGACACTACGCAATAAATACTGAGTAGCACAACCCAAATCATAAGTAGTATAGCCAATAGATACATTATTGTAATTCGAAAGCCTGCAGGCCTGCCAAAGGGTTGGCTGTTTGACTTCTGCGTCGTCAAATATTGCGTGGTCAGTCACGTCCCTATCGTAGTGAGTATGTAACTTTGTCTCTATTAGATCAAGTCGGGAAATCGGATGGCAATAAGATCGACACCCTCATACTATTATTGAGAAAGCCTAAGATTGACATGTCCTGTAGGTGGTTCAGAAGTTAATCTCTTCCTTGACGTGAGTCTTTTCTGCCAGTGGGCCATTCAATAGCACATTCTAGAGGCATAGATCAGTTTATCTAGGTAATACTGTACATACTATCATATTTACATAGGCTAGGTGTGGCTGCCATCATTTTCTACCGCTGTTCTGTTTTCCTTCCGTCTCCTCAGTGCTAGTAGATGTAGTATTGGTAGGTAATTCATATTTGCTAATATTTGAAGTCAATATATGACATGTTAGAACATAGTAATGCTTTAGAGAGAAAGTTGTTCTACAACGCCACGAACTAATATGCACATATGGCACGCCACAATCGTTAATCTGGGGTGCACTCGATTGAAAAAGCTTATTTGGTACGCAACGCCCCCTTGATAGACAACCACTTCCTATTTAGGACATGGGTGCATATTGGTCAAGGACTCTAATACCTATGGATATTCTATCACAATGACTGTTTATGACCACGCTGCAAATGATACTTTTTATTGCGTCATTGATTTTCCTTTCGACATACTGCTGTGTGATACAGAACCTTAGACAGCATATCTGAGGAGAGTCCAAGCTATGTTTTACGCAGCATGCGCTGTCAATGCAGATCGAGGTTGAGTTATTCACGGATATAAAGCCTCTCCCCATCGTAGTCCAAATTGCCATGCGACCCTCATTTCAACCTCGGCGAACACAGATAGTATCGATAAGCGACTTCGATCATACTTGAATTGAAACAAGGAAACTTAAAAATGTCTCGAGGGAATGACTATGTTTTAGGCCGCGGCATGGCTGACTCCATACGGTGGGTACTCTCAATTTCTTTGCTGTTTATTTCCAAGTCGGAACTAGCTAACTAGAAGCAGCTTAGATGCGCAGCACCTACTTTGGAAGCTTCATAGGGGCTATGAGCTGCATCCTCGAATCCCCGATAACCAGCGATATGAAGGTAGCTGAGGTTGGGACAGGGACCGCGTATGATTCATCATCCTTTTCTAATGGTATCCTTTTCCCACCTAATTGATCCCTGATATTTGATAGAATCTGGATATTTGATGTTGCAAGACAACTCCCATCAACAGTCCAACTCCATGGCTTTGACATATCCGATAGTCAATTCCCACCAAAGGATTTACGGCCACAGAACGTCACTTTAGGGCTACTAGACTCCTTAGTTGACCCACCTGAATCACTAGTCGGTCAATATGATGTGGTTCATCTTAGGATGTGGGCAAGCAACCTGCGTGAAAGTGATACGTCTTCACTGATCAGCCACGTGAAACATATTCTAAGTATAGCGGAGTCTTACCTTACATAACGATTTCTACCGGGACTAATTATTATGTTATTAGAGCCTGGCGGGTATATCCAGTGGGAGGATGCCGACTTGGTACACCAGGTTATCAAAGGGGACACGGCGCACGAACTTGAGCAGCGCTTGAATGAAATATTCAAAAGAGTTGGCCTCGACTACAAGTATGCCTATAGATAAATATCATTTTGAAAGCGCTATGCTAATTTACGATCATACAGTTGGGTTTCTAATTTACCAAACCTCCTACGTCAGGACGGCCTTAGCATCCTGGAGTCCGACAGTGGTCACTTCAAACCCGACCTGGTGCAGTTGTGTACAAACACATATCTTCTGGCTCTTCGGGAGATCCTTTTGGGCATCAAGGAAATGCTAGCTCAAGATCTACTTCTTTCAGTTAGTGAGGTAGAAGTGGCTTTGTATCGTCTATGTTCAACAAACACAGACGGCACTATATACAACTGGTCCCCGATATCATTGTTGGCCCAGAAGGAGGGTTAGGGTCAAATTCGTTGATTTTATTTACTGGATATTAGTCTCTTCACAGAATATTTCGGATAGTAAAAAACAAATTGTCTAGTTTTCCAGGTCGTCTTTTAAGATATAGCGGAGTACAGATCTATAGCCCTTGGTTACGGCGTACTTGGTCTTTTGTTGCATCTTTACTCAGGACTCTCCGATCCAACTCTTTTTTTAAAAAAAAATTTTAACTTAGCTTTTCCCTCTCCGTTTTATCGTTTCAGGGCCGCAACGCGCGATGGCGTGTATTCCGGTTAGACAGCTTTGAAGAAGAGTCTGTAAAAGGACTATGTGGCCAAAACGGGACTAGCGCGTTCTGCACGCGTCGCGCGTCTATCAGAGGGGAATTACATCGGAGACCATTCAATGACATGAGATGTCTGAACGTTTGAATGCTTCCCTCCTCGCCATCATTCCTATCCTCGTTTGACCCCGCCCTTCATCTCCACTCCGAAGGTCCTGGCAACGCAAACCCACCGTCCGAATCATTCTCCGACGAGATCGAGGCAATCCACCTGCACCGGGAAGAACAAACCCGCAACCGAGTTGTGATTCAACATAGAGCGTGGGATCTGTCTGATGTGTTTCGTAGCGAAGACGACATACGACCTTGTTCGCGATCGAAAGCCCGCATTTCCTGACATAGCACCACTGACAACCACATAGTAGATACGCCGACGAAGAACGTTACGACCCCGAGACCATTTTCTCGCACTCCTACTCGAAATCTCTCTTTTATCCCATCCTCGCCGCCCGTTTCAAGTATGCCGTTCATAGCGTCTCCGGGTGCGCTAGCACCCACGTCTGGCAATGCAACCAACGATTCGCAGAAGAGGAAAGGCACAAATGCGGAGGGAGACATGCAGCCGACAGAGCCGAAGCGCCAGCGCATGGTTGGAGGCTTCGTTGATGACGATGACGATGACGAAGAGGACGACCTCGCTGCTTTCCGGGACGAGCATATGAAGAATCAATATGACTTGCCCGAGCACTTCTTCCAGGAGCCTCCGGCTCAACTACCTAATATACTGACAGCGCCGACGCCAACTGCGCAATTGAACGAGACGACCAATGCTACACCTAGCTCTTCTCGAACACCATTACAACTGACACCTCGGCCCGCTCCAATGGCTCCCAAAAGATTCCAGATCAAGACTTGCGCTGGCAAGACCCATAATGTCCCGCAAAGGAAGGCCCAGGCCCCCGTTTCCTATCAACAAATGATCGCCAATCGGTCCGAGACAGAACCTGGAAAGGCGACGAAGAGCTATTATGGTATCGATATCCACAAATTGCTGGACGATGCTGCCAAGGACGAGAAGCCCGCGAACAGAGACCCTCAACCCCAAGTCCAGAAAACCATCGAAACAAACAACGTGAGCTCAAAGCAAAAGAAGATAGACTCTGCAATGTGGACGGAGAAATATCGTGCTCGTAAATTCACCGATCTTATTGGAGATGAACGCACTCATCGATCTGTACTACGGTGGCTCAAGGGGTGGGAGCCAATTGTATTCCCTGGTCTAGCAAAGTCTCGACCGAAGAAGTCTACCCAGGAGGGTGAAGAAGAGTACACCCATCGAAAGGTTCTCTTATTGAGTGGTCCTCCCGGACTTGGAAAGACGACATTGGCACATGTCTGTGCCAGACAGGCTGGCTACGAAGTGCTTGAAATCAATGCAAGTGACGACCGCAGCAGGGACGTGGTCAAGGGCCGCATTCGTGACGCACTGGGAACCGAGAACGTCAAAGGTATGAACGTGGAAATTGGCGATAAAAAGGTCCGCCGTGCCGGTAAACCCGTATGTGTCGTGGTAGACGAAGTCGACGGTGTCACTGGTGGTTCTGGAAGTGGTGGTGAGGGCGGTTTCATGAAGGCCCTCATTGACCTTGTTTTGCTTGACCAACGAAACTCGAAATTGGCCTTGGAGGGCAATAATGGCAAGAAGCGCAAGGGTGATAACTTCCGATTCATGCGGCCGTTGATTTTGGTTTGCAATGACCTCTATCACAGCAGTCTCCGGCCTCTCAGGGCATCGTCCATTGCAGAGATGATCAATGTCCGCCAGGCTCCATTAGAGAATGTCGTTCAACGAGTCAAGGTTATATTCGGCCGCGAAGGTATCCCCTGTGACAGTGATGGAGCTCGAAGGCTCTGTGAAGCAGCCTGGGGCATGGCGACCCGAAAAAAGCGCAGTGCTAAATCCCAAGGATCCTCCGAGGGCGACATTCGTAGCGTGCTTGTTGCCGCAGAATTTGTGGCGCACAAGCTTCGAAACGAGTCGTTACCGTCCTCGCTCAGACTGACGAGGAACTGGCTAGAGACTCGAGTCCTCAACGCATCGGCCGAGGGTAGTAGCGCGTTCTTCAAGGAGTTGAGTCGTGGGGGTGTTCGTGAGATTGTGAACCGTGTGTTCACAGAGGGAGCTGGCTTCTCCGATGCTCCTGTTGGCATGAGCTTCCAAGATCGGTTTGATACTCCCAGCAGCCGTGTTCCTCTCGGCGTGGCAGATCTGCGCAAGCGACACGCAATCAACCGACTGCGGGAAATGATCGATTCTAGCGGTGATCATGACCGCTGTGTATCGGACTGCTTTGCTTCATATCCCATTCAGCAATACCAGGATGATAACTATTTCTCCAAACCCAACGCCGCGCACGACTGGCTTCATTTCCATGACTCAATCAGTTCGAAAGTCCATTCATCCCAAGAGTGGGAACTGATTCCGTACCTCAGCCAGTCTGTTGTCGCATTCCATCACCTATTTGCTACGGCTACTGGCAGAACCACCGATGACGACAAGAACGATGATGACGAGGAAGCCGAAGAGCCCCACCCTTTCTCAGGACCCAAAGCCGACTTTGCTGCCTTTGAAGCACAAAAGCAGAACCGCGCGGCCATGACTGCTTTCCACGCTTCCTTCTCGGCACCCATGGCTCGCCTTTTCCGGTCGACTGAAAGTATAATCACAGATCTAGTCCCTTACTTGATCCGCATGCTATCACCAGACATCAAGCCGGTGGTCATCCGTGGAAACGGAGAGCAGAGAAGCACCGCTACTGTCCGCAAAGACTCTGAACGTGCCCTTGTCCAATCTACCGTGCGTGTTATGACCGGGATGGGCGTCGCTTTTGAAAAAGTCCGAGTGGAACACGAAGGAAGCCACGGTGGGTGGGCTTATAGAATGGAACCGTAAGTGGGATTCCGAATCTTCCATGCAAACATAAAAAAGCTAATATATCCCCCAACAGACCAATTGACTCACTCGTGGTCTTCTCGAAGATCAAAGGTAGCACCATTGAGGCTTCGGGTGGTACAGCGCCGGTGCGGTATGCCGTCCGCCAGGTGCTTGACCAAGAGTATCGCAAGTCGACAATGCGCAAGCAGTCTGATGCTATCAGTGCGTCTAGAGTCGGCGTCAAGAGTGGCAAGAACTCCGATGATACGGCCGCAGCCAAAGCAATCAAGGAAGCGGCTGTCAAACGGGACTTCTTTGGTCGGCTGATTGAGCAGCCTGCGCCACAGCCTAAGGATCTAAACTGTGCAGACGGCTGGGCTGATGAGTCGTCCAAGGCTGGGCGCAAAGTATGGGTTACTTTCCATGAAGGCTTCTCGAATGCGGTCCGGAAACCCATATCTATGGGAGAGTTGATGGCTGGGTTGTAGTATATGCATTGTGTTCCAGGTTGCCTCCTTTAAGCGTTTGTCATCGTGTGCTGGAGTTTTGTTTTCCATGCTTTTTGCATACATTCTATAATGACCATTGTTTTCTACGAGCTATTGAGTGCCAATACTACCATATTACTTGATTGGTATTAGGTCTTGAAACGAAAGAGATATTCCTCTATTTCCTCAAAGCATATATAAACACCAACAAGCCAGCCAAACAATCCAGATTGTAGCTTTTAAAAATAGACACAAAACCAACGCATTGAGATGTTAAATCAAAGCACAAATAATTAAACATAGTATGTGGTATCCAAATCATTCCATCGTTGAGGCGAAAGGGCGAACAAGCGCACCCAGAAATCGACGCAGCAGCCTAGCATCGAAATAAATCCAATCAAGCCCAAAATCAGACAAGAAAAAAAGAAAAGAACACAAAAGAGAAGAAAAGAGGCCCGAAGCATCTAATCCAGGTATCCTGAGTAGGTCGAGCATGTGTAATGATAATCACAGAAGTATATGCATCCATTGTTCCGAACGGACTTAGCGCATACTGAAGTAGCCGGCAAGAGCCTCGTTGTGTATCTTCTTCTTCTCCATTGCGGCAGCCTTATTTGAATCGGAGCTCAGGGGCTTCGAGCTGAGCGAGTACCACTTGTGGTTCTTGGTTGATGCGTCTGGCGCATTGAGTGTTGTGGCCGTAGAGACGGTGGAGTGGGTTGAGGCTGCGCTCGAGGTGGTCTTGGAAGACGAGTTGGAGGATTTGCTGAACATTTTGGGTATTTGACGCTTGTGCGTGGTTTTGGAAGATTTTGGAGGATTGCGATTGCGTGGGGAACTTGGTAGGTTCGTTGACAATGGAGGTATAGGCGTAAACGAAGTTTGAGTTGGTTTGGCGTTTATAGTTCGGGAGCAAGGTGAAGAATGTCACTTTTTAGATCTTGGGATCTGATGCTTTGCAATGGATTGAATGTTTCTTTCTACGGGGATGTCATCGGGTCTTTATATAGAGGTAGATGTTGGGTGATCACCACACACATCATTTACTCCGTACTCCAGGTAGCTACTCCGAGAAAAAAATGAAAATCTCAAAACGCCAAAGCCCCACCGTCTCAGTCATAATACATACATAGTACATAGTGCGTAGACATCAAGTCTAGAAGCCCTGCACTGTACAGGGATAGGCCCAAAGACGTCAGTCACTGCCTTACATGTGGGTCTAACCGTCGGAGTAAAGCTCGGAGTTGGAAGTTTTCCTTGAGGGGACTATACGAGGTTAGAGTGGAAACCCATGAATATCCAAGTTTGGAAATTG